TCGGTGCATGCTCATGCATGCATGTGTGTGTGCATGTCTGTCGGTGTGTGCTCGTGCATGCGTGTATGCGTGCATGTCGACATCACCAGGTTCGCAGGCAGAACAAGGCGCGTCTGGCAGCATACATCGAAGGGATATCAGGGGTCAAGGTAAGCTGATCAGTAGGCAACAGCTGGCAAGTTGTTGTCTTCCACGTCCTTGGGTCATGGTCGTCCAAAAGTTTCACTCGGCCTTTTCTTCTGGCTGCTACTCTGCTGCTAGTCGGCTGCTACTCTGCTGCTAGTCGGCTGCTACTCTGCTGCTAGTCGGCTGCTACTCTGCTGCTAGTTGGCTGCTACTCTGCTGCTAGTCGGCTGCTACTCTGCTGCTAGTCGGCTGCTACTCTGCTGCTAGTCGGCTGCTACTCTGCCGCTAGTCGGTTGCTACTCTGCTGCTAGTCAGTTTTTTTTTTAGTCTTCTCCACCACCCCCCCACCCCCCGTCTCCAGCTTAGGTCAATGTTGCCTGGTCCGTAGCATCAGTACTCTGAATCCAGTCAAAAGGCGAGCATCGGCAACGTGTTTGGCGCACGAGTCAAGCACATATGCGAGTACAAGCCCCCTCTCCTCCTCTCTCGCCCCCCCCATCCCTTCCCTCCCCCCTCCCTTCCCCTCCCGGTCCCCTCCCCTTCCCCTCCCGGTCCCCGCCCCTTCCCATCCCGTCCCCTTCCCCAGGTGAGCATCGACGCCATGTTCGATGTGCAAGTGAAGCGCATCCACGAGTACAAGCGCCAACTTCTCAACGTCATGGGCATCATCCACCGCTACGACTGCATCAAGGTGAGTTCTCTCGTGGGCTCATCTCATGCACAACCTGGCTTGTTGCCAGGGAACGAGAGAAGAAACATTCTTCTTCATTCGATTTGTGAATGTCGATTTTATCTTTTCATTCTCCCTGCCAGGTGTGCCTGCTGAAGGACCTGAGCATCACTGCCAGCTCAACCCCTCGTTCGCTCGCCCCTATCTGCCCTGCCTCTGCCCCTCCTCTTCTCTCTCCCCCCCCCCCCCCTCCCCCACCAACGGCTGGGTCGAGCAGAAGATGAGTGCGGAGGATCGCAAGCGCGTGGTGCCGCGGGTGTGTCTGCTGGGCGGCAAGGCGGCGCCGGGGTACGAGCTGGCGAAGAAGATTGTGAAGCTCATCAGCGCTGTGAGCGAGGTCATCAACAACGACGAGGACGTGGGCGACCTGCTCAAGCTGGTGAGTGCACCTGCTTCTTGTGCATGCTGTGCGCACCGGACGGAACCGTGGGTGGGAAGATTGTGAAGCTTATCAGCGCTTGTCAGCGAGGTCATCAACAACGACGAGGATGTGGGCGACCTGCTCTCAAGCTTATGGGTGAATGACGATTCTACCTGTGTGTTATGGGCCCTTGCAACATGGGAAGATGGTGGAAGCTCGTCGCTGTGGTTTGCGACTTGTTCAAAAGAAGGAGGACGTGGTCGAACTGCTCAGACTGGTGGGTCAAGATGGATCTATGCTTGCTCTTACTCTGTCGGATGCACGCACCTAAGCGCCTGGCTATTCTCCGATGCATTTCCCCTCACATGCTTGGGGTTCTCCTCCCCATCCCCATCCCCATCCACTGACTGCCAGGTGTTCATTCCCGACTACAACGTCTCGCTGGCTGAGCTCATCATCCCTGCCAGCGACCTGTCGCAACACATCAGGTGAATATCGCAGCAAATCAGGTGATTATGTCGACGCACCAGGTGATTGTTGCGACGCATCAGGTGAGTCACAGCATGTCAGGTGGCTGCTGTAACGCACCAGGTGGCGCTTACATCACATCACATCACATTAGGTGACTGCCATGCCATCATCACCCATTACCCCGCATCCGTCCCATACCCCCATGCTAGCTCGGCGGGTAACAAGGCGTCGGACATGAGCAAGATGTTTTTAATCTTGCGATGAGCAGTTGCCCCTTCTTCCCCTGAATGCCCTCTCCGCATCCCCCCTGGCAGCACCACGGGCAATGAGGCATCAGGCACGAACGAGCAACATGAAGTTTGCGATGAACAGTGCCACGTGTTCCCCTGCCTGTAGTATTAATGCCTCCCCCTGACCACTGACATCCACACCACACTATACCCCCCTGGCAGCACGGCAGGCAACGAGGCATCAGGCACAAGCAACATGAAGTTTGCGATGAACGGGTGCCTCATTCTAGGCACTCTGGACGGCGCCACGCGGGAGATCCGAGAGGAGATTGGCCCTGAGAACATGGTAAGCTGGCATGGTGGTCCGCTGGCCTGTGCTGTGATAACATGGTAGCTGCCACGTTTGCGATGAGCGGATGCCTCCTTCTTTCTGGGCAATCTGGATGGCGCCACCCGGGATATCCGAGAGGAGATGGGCCCTGAGAACATGGTACGCGCACATGCTGTGCCTTCGTGTGCCATGGTGCCATGCCTTGACCTGAAAGCATGGTATGCCGGCTTTCCATGTCACAAAAAAGCAGTAGGCTCACATGCCATCACATGGGAACGTGGTATGCTCACATGCTGTTCCTTGCAAGCATGCTATGGTGACCTGCCTGTCATGGACACATGGCGCATCATGGCAAGTGTGTTATGCATACCATAGCCAGTAAGTCTGCTATAGCGACATGCCATGTCACGGGAACATGGCTGTTTGTCACATGGCAAACTTGTATGTGCTCTGCATACCATGGTATGCCATGTGGCCATGCAATGCCATGACTGTGCGACATGGTACAATGATTGCCATGCCAATGCCACACAGTATAATCATGATTCATAATGGCAGGTGTGTTTTATCCTTTCTACAGGACACGAGTGCATAGTGCAGTACACTGACTGTGCAGTATAGTATTCCGCAGTCTTATACAACGCACATGATCACTACAGTTTTGGCACAAAGTTCTGGGATATTGGATGCGTTGCTCTCATCTTATCTGCTCCTCAAACCTGCCGCGGCTCTCAACACCTCTCAACACCTCTCAACGCCTCTCAACACCTTCCACCACAGTTTGTGTTTGGTGCGGAGACAAAGGACGTGCCGCGGCTGAGGGAGGAGCGGCGCACCTTCACGCCCTGCCGCAACTTCACTCGCGTCGTGGGGTGAGCGCTGCCGCCATGCTGTGCGGTGCCTTGTGCTGTCTTTTCTGAAACGCCGTGCTGCGGTGCTACAATGGTGTAACGGTATGAGGGCGCAGAGGCGCACATTCACTCCCTGACGCAGCTTCACTCCCTGACGCAGCTTCACTCGCGTCGTGGGGTGCGTCTGTGGCTTGAGTTGCTGCAACGCTGTGCTGCTCTGGTGTGGCGGTGTGGTGGTGTAATGGTGTGGTGGTGTGATGATGGTATGAGGGAGGAGAGGCGCACATTCACACCCCGCCACAACTTCACTCACATTGCCGTGCCGCTGCTGTGCCGTTTCCGTGCCGCTGCCGTGCCACTGCCATGTGGTGGTGTGGTGCTGCCCTGCTATCTGGTCCCCTTTCAGCACTTGGATCAACAAGCAGTAGCATTCTTAAAATTCGTGCCATGTCACACTCACACCAAAAAAGCAGCTACTCTTTTCTTGACTCCCCTCACGTCCTCCTGTCTCACCTCTGCCTATCCCGTCCTCATCTCGTTTCTGCCTCCTTTCTCATCCCGCTCCCCCTTATTCTTAGCCTTTCTTTCTCCTTTCCTTGCTCATCTCTCACAGTCGACTTCCCTCACCCCCTCCCCTTCCCCCCCTAACAGCATGATTCGCAGCGGGTACTTTGGGTGGACGGAGTTCTTTGCGCCGCTCGTGGACTCCATTGACGGCCCGGGCAACGACTACTATCTGCTCGCCAATGACTTCCCCACCTACCTGCAAGCTCAGGTGCCTGCCTGCTGCCCCCTCTCTTCCTTGCTCTCTCCTCTCGCTTTCCTTGGTCTCCCCTCTCTCCTGTGCTCTCCACTCCATCCTGCTCTTCCGTCCCTCATACCAAAGATTCTTCTGATTCCTCCTCTCGAATCGCATCACCCTAAAATTGTTGGACCCCCCCCTTATCCCCTCACCCTCTCATCCACTGAAGGCTGCCATTGATGCCACGTTTGTGGACGTGCCCAAGTGTGCGTGCATGAGCATCAGCAGCAGCACTCCTGGGTGCAACTCAACCACCCCCCCGCCCCCTTCCCCCGCCCCTTTCTACCAGACCTCCCATCAACTCTACCCAACCCCTTGCAGGCTGCCATCGATGCAACGTATGTGGACGTGCCCAAGTGGACGCGCATGAGCATCAGCAGCACGGCTGGGGGCAACTCACCCTTCCCTCCTCCTCTGCGTGCAACCCCCCCTTCTCTTCCCACGCCCCTTGCAGGCTGCCATCGATGCCACCTACGTGGACGTGCCCAAGTGGACGCGCATGAGCATCAGCAGCACGGCTGGGTGCGGGCGGTTCACGAGCGACCGAACGATCAAGGAGTATGCGGAGGAGATCTGGGACGTTGAACCCATCACCCGGCCTTTCTAAGCTTTCTTTGGCCACTATAAATAGACAGCTCACAAGCACCCGGACCATCAAGTCGAGTATGCGTAGATCTGGGACGTCAAACTTGTTATCGACTGAGTTATCATTTATGCATTCCTGATGTAAGGTTTACTTTACTCCAACAAAACCCATCGGCCGCCCCTTCTGAAGTGCCCCTTGGTCGTACCAGTACAGCAATCTCACCAGCGATTGCAGCTTTCAAGGTGTATGAGTGGAGATGTGGGTCATGACCCACATACACCTCTCATACACATCTCATTCATGAAGCCCTTCCAGGTCTGCCTGAAGCGAAGTGCATCTGGAGCACTCAGGCATTTGCCGAGACAAAGCCCCTTAATTCCGTGCTGCCGCTAGGTCAGAAGTTCCGACTATGTACTGCCTATGTTGTACGCATAGCATATTCTAATCTGAGCCTGATTTACGGGCATTGCGTAGCAGTCCTGCATTTGGAGTGGACCTCCCCCGCAGGCGTTGGGCAAGTTGTGTGCACTGGACAAAAGGAAGTCTTATACACAGCGAATAAAAAACAGGCCGAAAACAGGCTTTCTGGCAAGTCGTACCAATTGGAAGCACTCGAATAAATTAGGCACGCGATGTGATGTGAACACAGCGCTGCACACTTGTGCATCAAGTACGGTTAGAGCTGCGGGATCCAGATTTAGGTGCCCCAGCACTAGCTTCAGTTGATGCTTCAGGCATCTCTTTTAGCTGCTGCTGCTGCTGCTGCCTTGGTTGTCTGTGGCTGGTCATCATCCCCCACTCAAGACATGAACGAGCACCTGAAGCTCCACCTGGGCTCGTCAGGAGAAACAGAGGAGCAGGTGGGTGTAGAGGGGTGGGGAGGGATGTACAGCAAACAATGAGTTAGCACCGCGACCGCAAGCATGCAGCATTGGAGGGAATGTAACAAGAAGCCGCAGCGTGTGAAGGAAGAGAGTGCTTGCAGCTGAGGGGAGGGCACTGGTGGAGGGCGCTGGTGAGTGAGAGTGCGAGGCTGGTGGAGTGGCATGAGATTGTTGTGAAGAACCAGCTCTCTCAGCAAGGTCGTTCACCAGCAGCAGATCGCCCGCCTCTGGCGCTCGCACAGCAGGGCGAGCGGAAGGGAAAGCTTGCAACAGAGAGGGAGGGAGCTTACATGTGAATGCAGGGCATTAGTAAGCGAGAGAGCGAGGCCGTTGGAGTGGTGTGAGACGGTGGTGAAGAACCAGCTCTCAGCAAGATCAAGATCGTCGTTCACCAGCAGCAGATCGCCCGCCTCTGACGCCTGCAGGAACTTGCCGCCCGCAAACACCGACCGGCACCCCAGCAGGTCCTTGTCGCACACGATCACAAACTGCACGCTTGGATGCTGGGTGGATATCCCCTCCACAGGGGCGAATCGCCATGAGGCGCCACCGTCGCGGCGCTTGGCTGCGAAGAGGGCCTTGGGGAAGGCTGCTGCGAAGGCTGCTGGGAGGGAGAGCGTGGAGGAGGAGGAGGTGGCGGAGGCGGAGGAGAGCGGCTGCAGCGCAACTAGCATGCCGTCCTGCAGGGGGCAGTCTGGGAGCAGCTGAAGGGGCGGGGGAAGCGAATTGGGGGGGAAGGGGGGACAGAGAAGGGCATTGGGGGGAAGTATTGGGCAGGAGTAGGGGGAGGGAAGGGGGAGAGTGGCTGCAGGGCCACCAGCATGCTGTCCTGCAGGGGGCAGTCTGGGAGGAGCTGGGGGAATGAGGACAGGGGGAAGCAAGAAGTAGGAAGTGGGAAGCAGGGGTGGGGGAAGAATTGGGTAGGTGGGGAAGGAGGAGAGGGGCTGCTGGGCCACTAGCATGCCGTCGTGCAAGGGGCAGTCTGGGAGCAGCTGAAATCGGAGCATGGTGGGGGGAAGGAAGAGGGGGGAGAGGGAAGAAAATGAGGATGAAGGGGAGAATGATGAAGGGGTTCGAACAGGGAAAGCAAGCATGTGGGAGGAGGCATCAGCGGAGAAGAGGAACGAAGGGAGGGGAGAGGGAGGGGAGAGAGGGAGGGGAGAGAGGGAGGGGAGAGAGGGAGGGGAGAGAGGGAGGGGAGAGAGGGTGGGGAGAGAGGGTGGGGTGAGAGGGTGGGGTGAGAGGGTGGGGTGAGAGGGTGGGGTGAGAGCAGAAGGGCTAGAAGAGCGACGAGAGAAGAGGGTAGGGCGGGAGGGTCCACCTTATCAGCAGCAGCTGCTAGCGCATCTGTCTGTGTTCCGCCTCCTCCTCCCCCCCCTCCCCTCGCCCCTCCAGACGCACTCTTGCCCCCATTGCCACTACTTCTCCTCGAGTCCTCACTCACTCGTCCTCCCCCGCCCGAAGTCCTTCCCCCTTTTTTAACCCCACTCCCACCACCGCCATCACCACCATTGGCAGCAGCACCAGCAGCACCAGCACCGGCACCAGCAGCAGCAGAAGCAGAAGGGAACAGTGCATGCAGCACTTGCCATTGTGCCTCCTCCTCCTCCTCCTCTTCCTCCCCCTCCACCCCCCCGAATGACTCATCCAGCACTAGCTCCTCCGGCACCTTTCCTGAGGTTAGGAACGCCCGAACCACCGCCACAGCCTTGGCTTGGAGTGCCTCCCAAACCTCCTGGCTGTAGTCGGCGCTGCGAGGCAAGATGAGGACGTTCGGGAACTCCCGAACCTGCGAGGTGGGGGTGGGATTGAGGAGCAGGGGGAAGGTGAAGGTGCAGTGGAGGGTTGACTGTCTCTGAAGATTCTTTTTAGAATGCTTAGAGTGTTGTTTAGCACGGTCAGCTGATCCACGCTCATCGCTGTTAGCCACACCCACACCCATCCCATTCACCTACCCAATCACCACCCGTCAACAGCCCCAGCCAGCAACCACTCGCCCATCATGCCTCCAGCCAAAGGTTCCCCACCACGCCATCCAGGCCACAGCGTCCCAGCCGCCCGGTGCTGAGAGCCTCCATATGAGCATCCATGAGTCACAGCCCGAGAGAACACCACTTGGTGGTGGTTTTAGCCCGAGAGACCTCATAGCCCTCTATCCTTCACTCTTGACCTCACAGCCCTCTCTTATCCTTCACTCTTGACCTCATAGCCCTCACTTATCCTTCACTCTTGACCTCATGGCCCTCACTGATTTGCTACTCACCCAGCACCTCTCCACACCTCTCCACACCTCTCAGTCATTCACCACTCACCCACGCCTCCAGCCACTGGTTGCCCTCCACGCCATCCAGCCCGCAGCTGCCCAGCCGCCCGCTGTTGAGTGCGCGCTTCACCGCACTGTCGCTCACCAGGTGGCAGCTGCTGGCGTTGATCAGCATGGCGCCTGGCGGGGAAGGGGGGGAAGGAGGTGTGGGAGACAGAGAGACAGAGAGGCGAGGGTGTGAGGTTGGTGCGCTCTTGGCGTTGGTGCCCGCTTCTCACTATGCTGTCGCTCTCTAGATGGCAGCTGCTGGCGTTGATCAGCATGGCGCCTGGTTGTGGAAGGTGGAGGGAACAGAGGGAGACAATGCTTGGGGTTATTGCTCTCTTCACCGCACTGTCGCTCACCAGGTGGCAGCTGCTGGCGTAGATCAGCATGGCGCCTGGTGGTGGGAGGGGGGGAGGGGGGAAAAGGGGGGGGGGGGGGGGCGCGAATATTTCACCCCAATCGTTACCACGCAAATCCAACTCTCCTCCCTCCCTCCTGTTCGCCTACTTCCCTCCTGCCGACCTTTCTTGAAGTGCTTGGCGGTGTCGTCATTGATGAGGTGCAGCGTCGAATCAGTGAGCGCCACGTGGAGCGACACCACGTCACTCGCCCCCAGCACGCCCTCCACCGTGCCCCTGTCCTCCCCCACCGCCCGCATCAGCGCCTCCGCCCTCGGCGACCGCTGCAGCTCCTGCGGAGGTGAGGGGGAAGTGAAGGGGAGTTAAGGGGAGTTAAGGGGAGTTAAGGGGAGTAAAGGGGAGTTAAGGGGAGTTAAGGGGAGTTAAGGGGAGTTAAGGGGAGTTAAGGGGAGTTAACGGGAGTTAAGGGGAGTTAAGGGGAGTTAAGGGGAGTTAACGGGAGGAAAAGGAATGCATGTGTTGATCTCCCAGCACGCCTTCCACCGTGCCTCTGTCCTCCCCCACCACCCTCATCAGCGCTTCTGCCCTCGGCGACCGCTGCAGCTCCTGCAGACGTGAGAGGGAGTAGGAAAACAGTGGTGTACATGCCTGCTTGGATTCCAACACCCCTGAGGGCATGGGGGCGGGGGGAGGGGGAAGGGGGGGAAGGTGAGGGCCCATGTTCCCCCCTCCCCCCCACCACCCTCCCCATCCTAGAATCAACTACCTAACTTACCCCCTCCGGGTCGCGGTATGCCTCCGTACCGACTTCATGTTAGAGGCTTGTCCCTTCTCATGCCCCTCCTTAACTCACCCCCTCCAGGTCGCAGTACACCACGCGCACGCCACATGCCAAGCACGGCGGCTCTTATTGTCAGGTCCTTAGTACCCATCTATCAGCTAACTCACCCCCTCTGGGTCGCAGTACACCACGCGCATGCCGAACACGGCGGCTCTCCGCGCAACGGCGCGCGCGGCGGCGTTGGCGCCGACGAGCCCCAGCACCATGCCGCGCAGCCGCCGCATGCCCTGCCACGCGCCCTTGAACCCCGCGAACCAGCTCGCGCTCGTGCAGCCCTGGGGGGAAGGAGCGCAGGGGGGAGGTGAGGGGGTGGGGGAGGCGGGAGGGGGGGTATATTGAATGAAAGAAGTCTTAAATATAGTCACAAGATCATACTAGGAGTAAGGACACATATGTGAGGGAGAAGCAAGAACAGAGTGCGCACGTCGTGCGTCGGCGCGCCTTACCTGCGCCGCGAGAACGTGCGTGCGGCGGAGCAGCCCGAGCATTAAGGCCATCACGCTGTCCGCGACCTCGTCCGTGCGCGGCACGTCCACGTGGACCAATCGCAGGCCGAGCTCCTCCGCCAGCGACGACTCCACGGGCCGCGTGTCAGCAGACGACCCTAGACATAAAATTAACTGCGACGCGGAGAGTTTCCGCTGGGCCGCGCGCGGGAGGTAATGCAGCGAATGGACGAGCACCACGTCAGCGCGCTCCAGCTTGTCGAGCATGCCCTCGCTGAGCCCGACATTCTCGAGGACGCACACGTCCGCGAGCGCCTCGGCTTGCGCGTGGCAGCCTTCCATGCAGTTTAAAGCCACCACGTACGGCAGGCTGGCGGGCGGCGACGTCAGGACCGCCATTGCGACGCGCGCGCGCGAAACGACGGCCTTTTTAGACGTTTTATGAAGCTACTGGCGCGCAGCTGCCCTGCGACGACCTGGGCGAGCGGTAATGGCAAATATCGATCGCCTAGGTAGAAGAAATGCGTTCCGCAGCGGTGCCCTAGCGGTGTAGAAAAAAACACCCTGCGGTATCGCCCGTCTAGCTAGAGATAAAAGCGTTCGGCAGTGTGCTTTTGAGTCGACTCGGAAGCCCACGACCCGCACGAGCGGTAATGGGAATGATCGGTCGTCTAATTAGAAGAAATGTGCACAGCGGTGGTGCCCTAGCGGTGCTCGCATAACGGTCGTGCCTCAGTGGTGCCTTCTTGCCGCGAAACGGAAATAACGGTCTCGAGTCTCAAGGCTCCACGCGAGGTCGCACAGAATGCGGCAGCGACAATATCAAATGCCACGGCTCCCTACACAAAACTCTCGCAGCTCACGTAGGACCTACGCCTACTGGCATTGGGGGATACTAGCGCTGGCTGTTTCAGTTCTAAGGCGAATAGTCTCCAAGAGTGGTTGTCGCAGGCCCTGAAAGCGCCGATGCTGGGCGACTGTACTCTGAAGTCGTAGCCTCGTGAAGGAGTGGCCGCGAGATGTTCGCAAATGCAGGGAAAAAACTCGCGTGCTGTCGTCACCAATAGGATGCGCGCTGGGTCATCCACGTCCCTGCATTCTGGAAGGCAAAATCCCTGATGCGACGCGATGCGAGTTCGCAACGACCACAGCTGTAACGGCTCTGAACCATATTTTCGCCTTCAATATCGGTGTTCCGCCCGCGTGACCCACTGAAAGGGATCGTGACATTTTCGTGTACTTCGTTCCCCCGAACTTCGCGAATCGGGAAATAGCCGGAACAAGGACAAATGGTAACCCTTTTTCGTTTCAAGCCAAATCTTTTGGTGCAATTTTGAAGAGGCACATTTTCGAAACGCCATGCCCCCCATGGCAAGCACTATTTCTCGAACGCCACACCAATCATTGGTGAACCACAGCCGAGCGCGCGCGGGTATGTGCATCTCATGAAGCTACGCGGGACTGCGCGTAGAAGGCTTCAGATTCGGACCTTCCGTTAGGTTTCGATCTCGGACTGTGGTATGGAAAGTGACCGCACCGTCTCAGCCGCAGCACAAGAACCACCCTCGTTACAGTCACCCGATGGAATGCTCGAGGTGATTGTTTTCCACCTTTCGTTCTTATCACCAGTTGTCCAGTCACGCTTTGTTAGCTGACGTTCTGACGCCGTCTACTGCTACTCTGGCGTCCAGTTACATGTTTTGAGGCGCCTAAGAAACCCTCTGGCGTCCAGTCGCGGCTCATTCTCTTGCGTGTCTGCGGGTCCGCCAGCAGGTGCTGAACGACGCGGAACGAAGCGCGCTTGGTGCGGCCGACGCTGTGAACTCACTCTTGGATGCGCTGAGAGCCCATCTTAAAGAGGTGCGAATGCCCTCATCCAAAAGAGGCGGCTCAAAGCATCTTTGTCAGGCCCCTTTCTGAGTCTCACTTTGCCAGCTCCATGGCTCCTGTTGTGTGTCATCGCACCACGTGGCACTGGCACCCCCGTGTAGGTCACGAGCAACACGGTGGCGCATGTGGAGCTGGAGAGAGATGCTTCCAAGCAACTCCAGGGCGCAGGTGGGTGGGCGGGTGGGTGGATCAATGCATGCGTCAACACATGGCATGAGATGTGGGTACGAGACGAGGCTTGGCGGTCTGTTAGTCGATGCTTGTTCTCCATGTTTCTTGATTCCTCCTGCATGCCAGCCCTGCCCCCTGCGCCGCAATTAAGTTCTCTATTCACTTGTGTGCGTCCCGTCTTGCCGCGTGTGGCAGCAATGGAGGCGGCCAACAGAGGAATGAGGTTCATCAACGCGTGCATGAGGTGAGCACATGCATGGGATGAGGATGCATGAGGTGAGCACATGCATGGGATGAGCATGCATGAGGTGATCACATGCATGGGATGAGGATGCTCGAGGTGAGCACATGCATGGGATGAGGATGCTTGAGGTGAGCACATGCATGGGATGAGGATGCTTGAGGTGAGCACATGCATGGGATGAGGATGCTTGAGGTGAGCACATGCATGAGGTGAGCACATGCATGAGGCGAGCATGCGACACAGAGGGTCACACCCACCCCAGCTGCATCTCGCCTTCCACGTGCGGGGGAACTCTCTCACGTCTCTGCATCAAGCTCTTTCAACGTTTGTGCTGTGTGGCATGCAGGATGAACGAGGAAATGCAACAACTGCCACAGCTCACTGCCCAAGTGTGAGTCCTCCTCCCCCCAACTCCCCTCTAGGGTCACCCCTTCTCTCCTAGTTACAATGGTCCTTACTGACTTTTTTCGTGGTATGCTTGGTTGTGCCTCACAGAAAGGAATTGGGCCGCAAAGTGGATGAGTTTGAGTCCCAGCTCAACCGGCTTGTTCCTCGCTAGACATGGATCATAACTCAATCCATAGCTTTTAGGGTGTACCATGTGGGATGCACGCTATCCATACTTGTACAAAATGTGCAGCGATTATGTGTATCTTGGACTGATTAAGAACGAAGGAGACTCCAGAGGGGCAAATTGTAGGCCTAAGAGCAAGTTGTTGCATGTGATGTGATGTGAGCAAGGACAGTCCGCATAAGGAGTTTTTAGCCTGTTGGATTGACAAACTGTTATGAATGGAACTGCTGAGTAGCGCGGAGGGCAATGGCGAAGCTGTGAACGAGTGAATGACAATAAAATGAAAGAACACAATATATAGAAAACCTAGGGTGATCCTGGACGTAGGATCGGAAGGTTCGGGAAAAGTGTCGAAGGGTCTCGATGTGTCGAAGTGAGGTCTGGAAAGGCCCAGGAGGCTCGAACTGAGAGGTCTGGAACCCTGGCGATGGTTCGGGACTGTTCGAGTCGTACGCCCTGTAGGAAGCCTCAGTAAGGAATTACTAATTCCTTACACAAACGAAACAAGTGTTGCGGTAACCAGCCGGAATGGATGAGGCGCTTGTGATTGGTGGCTGAGAGTTTTGCCACGTCGCCGCGACCTAGAAAGTGTCCCTTTTCTCCTTGCGCCAGAACTGCTGCGACAAGCAAGCAAGCAGCCCACACCAGCTAATCGGCTGTCTGTGAGACTGACCTGTCGCATTCAGGGGTGAGTGCCGCCATAGTTCTTACGTGCTTCCACTAAACCGGCCGCGACCTCACACCGCACGAGCCGCGATGGCGTGCGGGCTGCTGAGCCCGTGCATTCCGATCCCTCGGGAGCTCCTCGCGTCTCCCGCGGCCGCGTCGAGCCGAGGCCTGATCCGCCGATACGCGGGCTCCATGGCTCCCAGCGTGCCCTTCACCCCTCGCGCTCTCACCCGGCCTCGCAGCGCAGCCCTTTCCGTAGGAGATCGTTCCAACGGCGTGCCGAGAAGCGAGCCTAGGCCCCTTCGAGCGGCGAGCCGTTTCAACCAACCGTATGGATGCGTCTCGTTGTCCTCGCCTTTCTGGTCTAAATCGTCCTCCGTGTCGATCTCGTCCCTCCGATTGTCACCTCTACGGTCCACATTCACCCACGCGTCAAGAAGTCACACGTCGGGTGCTACCAGCCGGACCACCCGCATTTGCGCCGCCGCCGCAAGCAGCGCTACTAGCGACGGCAGCAGCAGCAGCAGCACGGCAGTGGAGATAGCAGTCGCCCCCGCAACAGCGCCGGCAGCCGGTGCTGACATGGCAGGGCAGACGAACGGAGCGTCAGCGCAGCCGCGTAGCCGGCAGTCGTCCGCCTACCCGTTCACGGAGATCGAGGGGAAATGGCAGGCGCACTGGGAGGAGAGGCAGACGTTCCGGACGCCGGATGACGTGGACACGAGCAAGCCGAAATACTACGTGCTCGACATGTTCCCGTACCCCAGGTTCGGCATGCTTACCCCAGGTTCGGCATGCTTACCCCAGGTTCGGAATGTAGGCTTGGAACCAAGAAAAGCTGGGATTGAGCAGGCTCGGAAATGGTGTATGCTGGGGGTGTAGTAGGCCTGGAGTAGAGCAGGTTCGGGAGGGAGCAGAGAGGACGCCATGGCAAAGCCCAGGTCGCTCTTCAATCTCCCCCTCCCCCCACCCGCCTCAGCCCCACTTCCCACACTCTCTACTTATCCCCTCGTCTTTCCCACCCATTCTCTCCTTCCCCTCTCTCGCTCCAGTGGCGCGGGGCTGCACGTGGGGCACCCTGAGGGGTACACGGCGACGGACATCATGGCGCGGTACAAGCGCATGCGCGGCTTCAACGTGCTGCACCCCATGGGGTGGGACGCCTTCGGGCTGCCGGCCGAGCAGTACGCCATAGAGGTGCGGGATGGTGGGGGGGTGGTAAGGGAGGGCGCGGCATAGAGGGAAAGAGACTGCAGTGTGGTACAGCATGCGGTCAGAGCGCGTGTGCGTTCCGCCAGCACTGAGGCGCCCTCTGAGCGTTCCTCAAAATCATGAACTTTCCGCCGGCCACCCTCTGGTTGTTCTTCCCCAAGCGTTTACCCAAGCTCCCCGTCCATCAATCTCCCCATGCGTTCTCTTTCTGGCTGCTGTGACCCTGCCGTAGCTGTATTTTGAGAGTTTTCAGGATACTTCCGGTCGTTTGCCCTCTTCTTCCCCTCTCGCCCTACTCCCTCTCCCTTTCTCCACCTCCCATGCTGGTGGTTCTCCGTCTCGGGCATCAGACGGGCACACACCCCCGAGTGACCACAGAGCGCAACATTGGACGGTTCAGATCGCAGGTGAGAGAGCAGCGGGACTGAGATCCCGGGTTGGTGGGTGTGGCGTGGTCGCAGGTGTGTGTGTTGTGGTTGCTTGCAGGTGAGTGGGTGTGGCTGGCAGTACGAGACGTTCTATTGCAAGCGCCAAGTGGCTCTTTATCATCGCCAAGTGGCTCTTTATTATCGCCAAGTGGCTCTTTATCATCGCCAAGTGGCTCTTTATCATCACCAAGTGGCTCTTTATCATCGCCAAGTGGCTCTTTATCATCACCAAGTGGCTCTTTATCATCGCCAAGTGGCTCTTTATTATCGCCAAGTGGCTCTTTATCATCGTCAAGTGGCTCTTTATCATCGCCAAGTGGCTCTTTATCATCGCCAAGTGGCACTTTATCATCGCCAAGTGGCTCTTGATCATCGCCAAGTGGCTCTTGATCATCGCCAACTCCCAAACTGCCCTTTTTCATCCTTTGTTTCGTCTTTCGCTTTTGCTTGCCCTCAACTCTCAACCCCCCAAGACCTGAGAGCAGGAGTTGTCCACCACAGACCCTCCCTTTTGCCCTACCATTCAGACCCCTGACTTACCAGTCAGAACCCTTTCTTCCTCATCCTCTTGCTTTTCGTTTCCTTCTCCCGTCACCCCCGCAGCTCAAGTCGCTGGGCTTCTCGTATGACTGGCAGCGCGAGGTGTCCACCACGGACCCCGACTACTACCGCTGGACACAGTGGATCTTCCTGCAGATCCTCAACCGCGGCCTCGCCTACCAGGTAGGTACTGTTGACCAGAGACTGCTCACATAGGCTTGCTCTCCTCCACCCAGGTCAAGTTGATGACCTAGGCAACCCTTGGCTTGCAAGCTCATGTGATCAAACCCTGGGACTGATGCAATGTGAAGAACCTCTTGCCACTTTTGATCATTTCATCTGTGCTGCCGCCAGTACTACCATACCATCCATCCATCACCGCCTGCTTTCACACCAAGCCCATCATTTGATCATTTCATTTTCACTTCTCCATTTTCCGTTTCTGGCTGCACTGCATTACTCCCCTGCAGGCTGACGTGGCAGTGAACTGGTGTCCAGCGCTCGGCACGGTGCTGGCCAATGAGGAGGTGGTGGACGGCGTCAGTGAGAGGGGCGGGCACCCCGTTATAAGGAAGGTGAGAGGGGGGGCACCCCGTTATAAAGAGGTATGCTATAGTAGAGACTTGTTGTAAGGAGAGTGTGGCGGGGAGGGGAGGGGGGGGCAGGAACCCCGTTATAAGGAAGGTGATTGTGGGAGGCCGACTGATCCCTTTCCGCGCTTCTCCCCCACCCCAAACCAAAACGCGTGCGGATGGGGTGATGGGCGCAGCACACCACATCACCACATCACAGCATTTTTTTGTGATGTGGTGCGGTGTGCGCAACTCATCACAACATCCCCTCATCAAACACATCGCCCGTCTTCTTCCTCACCTCTTGGCATCCCCCCCCTTCATCCCACATCACACCGAACTCCTCCCTCCCCGCTCCCTGACAGCCCATGCCGCCCTTAGTATTTCCCCTTTCCCCTCCCGTTACTCCCCTCTCCCCCCCCCCCTCTCCCCCCCTCTCCTCCTCTCTCTTCCCTCCCTCCCACACTTTCCACCGCTCCTCCCCCTCCCCACCCCAGAACATGCGCCAATGGATGAGCGGTGGAACGTGCGCCTATGGATGCTGCACATCGCAGCATATTCCACCAGCCACCTCACAGCTTACCCCTCCTTTGAACGGATCTTACCCACATGCCACTTTCCCTTCCCCCACTCCCCCCCCCCCCAGCCCATGTGCCATTGGATGCTGCACATCACAGCATGTGCCCACTGCCCCATAGCTCGCCCTTGATTTCACTCCCCTTCGCCCTACACCATTCCCCCATCCCCCCCCTCCGTCCCCCTTTCCTTCCCCCCATCTCCTCTTCCCTCCCACCAGCCCATGCGCCAGTGGATGCTGCGCATCACGGCATACGCCGATCGCCTGCTGGACGATTTGGACGGCCTGGATTGGCCCGAGAGCGTCAAGGAGATGCAGAGGAACTGGATCGGACGGTCGGAGGGTGCTGAGGTGGAGTTTGCCATTGCTGACGTGGCGGATGGTTCCGCCAGCGTACGCGTGTTCACCACCCGGCCGGACACCATCTGCGGCGCCACGTGGGTTGCTCTCATTAGTCGTACTCAGATATACGTATTTCATTCTTGAGGCGCCTCAAATCTAGACTCAAGGCACAAGTTTAAGTTGCTTGTTTGTGTGATTGACTCTTGAGTCAGACAGGTGGGCCAGGGAAGGGATGTGCTGGGGTTCCCCCATGTGCCTTGTTGCCGTCCTCTCCATTTCCCCCCCCCCCTTCCACCCCCGCCCTTAACCCCACCGCCCCCCTCCCTCCCCCCCCCTTCCTCTTGCTCGCCAGCTACCTGGTGTTGGCGCCAGAGCACCCACTAGTGGCGTCCGTCACAGCACCGGACCAAAAGGCAGCGGTAGAGGCGTACGTGGCAGCGGCGGCGCAGAAGAGCGACTTGGAGCGCACCGACCTTGCCAAGGAGAAGACGGGCGTGGCCACGGGGGCCGTGGCTGTCAACCCTGTCACTGGGGAGAGCATCCCCGTGTGGGTCGCAGACTACGTGCTCGCCAGGTGCGTGCTGCGCTGAGCTCTGTACTCACAAAGGTGGGTGCTGGTGCTGCTTTTGGGCTGTGCTGTGGTGTGCTGGATACGCCAGGTAAGTCCAGGCCAGATACGCCTGGCCAAGTAGAAGACGGGTCACGGGTGTGCCCACGGGTGGTGTGGCTGTGCAATGAATCTGGTCACTGGGGAGAGCATTCCCGTTGACCACGTGGGTGCTGTGCTGGCGAATGGATGTCAAGCAGCTGGTCAGTTTCCCAGTTCTCTCAATCCCTTATCCCTCTCACCTAACCTTCTCCCCGCTCTCCTCCCACTTCCACCCTTCCGGCTCCCCAATGCACCCCTTCGTGCCGGCGCACAGCTTTACCCCTTTCGTTCTGGATTGCCTCATTCTCTCCTGTCATCTCCCCGTAATCCCCCCACGATTCCCCCATGGCCCCCACCAGCTACGGCACGGGCGCCATCATGGCAGTGCCGGCGCACGACTCACGCGACCTGGAGTTCGCCCAGGCCTTCTCCCTGCCCGTGCGAGAGGTGGTTCGGGGCAGCGACGCACTGGGAGAGGCGGAGCCAAGGGAGGCGTATGCGGGGAGTGGCGTGATGGTGAACTCGGCGTACGCGGCCACGGGGGTGGATCTCAACGGCATGCAGAATGGAGCAGCGGGGGACGCCGTGGTGGCGTGGCTGGAAGCCAGAGGGCTGGGGAAGAAGCAGGTGCGCTGAATGAGAGGGGTGAGTGGTATTCAAGGACTTGAACAAGGACTTGAGAGGGGGAACAGAATGGGAGTGCGCTCGTTGTATTCTGGATACCTAAGTGTGAACACTGCCTTTCTTTTAATCCCCTCTGCCACACCCCCTCCCCCCCCCCCCCCCCCCCGTCATCCCCTTCAGATCAATTACAAGCTGCGGGACTGGCTGTTTGCTCGGCAGCGGTACTGGGGCGAGCCGTTCCCCGTGGTGCTGGTGCCGGGGGAGAACGGGCAGGAGCAAGTGGTTGGAGTGCCGGAGAGCCAGCTGCCGGTGGTGCTGCCTGAGATGGCCGACTTCAACCCCACTGGCACGGGCGAGCCTCCCCTGGCTAAAGCCACGGAGTGGGTGAGTTGGTGATGGGGTTCTATGAGCGGTGCTAGCTAAGAGGGGGGCGGGGGAGAGGGCAGGCACGAGCAGGTGGTGGGCGTGGGGTGGGGCAGCATGAGCTGCCAGAGATGGCTGACTTCAACCCCACTGGGACTGGAGAGCCGCCCCTGGCTAAAGCCACGGAGTGGGTAGGTCCACAACGAAGACCTGGGTGGTTGATTGGGGAGGGAGTGGGTGGGCGGTGGGCGGTGGGTGGTGGGTGGTGGGTGGTGGGCGGTGGGCGGTGGGCGGTGAGCGGTGGGTGGTGAGTGTTGGGTGGTGGGTGGGTGGTGGGTGGTGGGTGGTGGGCGGTGGATGGTGGGTGGTGGGTGGAGGGTGGTGGCTGGTGGCTGGTGGCTGGTAGCTGGTGGCTGGTGGCTGGTGGCTGGTGGCTGGTGGCTGGTGGCTGGTGGCTGGTGGCTGGTGGCTGGTGGCTGGTGGCTGGTGGCTGGTGGCTGGTGGCTGGTGGCTGGTGGCTGGTGGCTGGTGGCTGGTGGCTGGTGGCTGGTGGCTGGTGGCTGGTGGCTGGTGGCTGGTGGTGGGTGGTGGGTGGTGAGTGGTGGCTGGCACTCTAGAGTACTCTTTCAAGTGCCAGGACCTGGATGGGTGGGCGTGCTGAAGGCGAAGGTTGACTGCATGGTGGGTCTTTCTACCTTCCCGTCCTCACCCTCCCCTCCCCTCTTCTTCCTCCCCTCCCCTCTTCTTCCTCCCCTCCCCTCTTCTTCCTCCCCTCCCCTCTTCTTCCTCCCCTCCCCTCTTCTTCCTCCCCTCCCTCTTCTTCCTCCCCTCCCCTCTTCTTCCTCCCTTCCCCTCTTCTTCCTCCCCTCCCCTCTTCTTCCTCCCTTCCCCTCTTCTTCCTCCCCTCCCCTCTTCTTCCTCCCCTCCACTCCCCCCGCTCCCCGTTCCTTCAGATGAGCACAACAGATCCGGCCTCTGGGCTACCAGCTAGGAGGGAAACCAACACCATGCCCCAATGGGCCGGCTCCTGCTGGTAACGATGCATTGAGTTGTGGTGACATGCTTTACTCGCCTGGTAGATTTTTTTATTGCTGGTAATGACCCAACTAGTGTTTCTGTTCGTGCTGTGCTGCATACATGCCAAGTTCACCATGCCTGCTAGCCTGGTAGCCTGGCCTGGCCTGGCCTGCATGCTGTTCATTCTCCCATGCATGCTGTGCCTCCATGTGTGCTTGGGTTGCATTGCGTGCATGCATGCCTGGCTGGCAGGTACTACCTTCGCTTCATGGACCCTGCTAACTCCAACGCACTCGTGGATCCGCAAAAGGAGAAGTATGCACGCACAGGCATTGCACTGCACGCACGGAAATTGAGCGCACATCACAAACCTTCCAATCCAAGCACAAGGGAAGCACATGCACATGCACATCCACGTGCATGCATGCAGCTCCCTAGCTTTCCCCCCGGTGTTCTCACATCACCCCCCCAGATTGGCACAGATTACGTGCCAATCTGCGCCACCTCTCCTTGCTCGTGCCATAACCTACCATGCAGTCTCTGCCCCCAGCGACACTGCACCAGGTCCGTGGGGGGAGTGACAGTGATGTAGATCCTGTGCGCCTGTATGGCTGGCTTGCGATGTAGTCTTTAACTCCTCCCCCTCCCCAATCCCCCACCACCAGGTACTGGGGCCCTGTGGATCTGTACGTGGGGGGGGCAGAGCACTCGGTGCTGCACCTGCTGTATGCGCGCTTCTGGCACAAGGTGAGCGAGAGACACGACGGCTGATAAACATACGGGTTGAGAGACATACGGGTTGAGAGACATGAGGGTTGAGAGACCTCAAGCAGTTGAGCTTCACACCTGACTTAAAACAAACAGAATGAGCAACAATTGAACGCTCGAACTTCCCATCCCCCCCGTCCAACCACCTTCCCCTCCCCTTAAAACAGGTGCTGTACGACATCGGAGCGGTGTCCACCAAGGAGCCCTTCCAATGCCTCGTCAACCAGGGCATGATCCTCGGAGAGGTCGAGTTCACCGCCTTCCGGGACGCCTCCTCCGGTGCCTACGTGTCGCCCGACGCCGCTGCCAAGCGCCCAGGGGAGTGTGTCTCGGAGAGGGTGCCTGATGAGGCGGTGGAGAAGCAGGGGGACTGTTATGTGCTAAAGGCGGATCCGGGAGTGCGCGTGTCTGCCCGGGCGCACAAGATGAGCAAGTCGCGGGGGAATGTGGTGAACCCCGACGATGTGGTGTTTGACTTTGGGGCCGACTCGCTGCGCCTCTACGAGATGTTCATGGGGCCGCTCAGGTGAGCTCATGGGACGTCAGTCAGGCGATACGTCTAGGTGGTTTGGTCCATGCGTATTGGGCTTGTATGGTGAGGCCAGAGCAGAGTACGAGTGGCAGCGGATGGAGTGGAGTGCGCGTGTCGGCGCGAGCGCACAGGATGAGCAAGTCATGGGGGAATGTGGTGAATCTGGACGATGTGGTGTTTGATTTTGGGGCCGATTTTTTGCGCCTCTACGAGATGTTCATGGGCCCCCTCAGGTGAGCCCTCTGGTGGTTCTCAAGTGAGATTTCAGGTGGATTTATTGGCCCCCTTGGGCCCGCTCAGCTGAGTTCTCAGGTGATTTCTTGGGCCGCCAGGTGAAATTTCATGTCATCTGGCTGGTGCTCATCTCCCAACACACACCCCCCCATTCGCCCCGTTTCCGGTGCAATCCTCGACTCCTTGGAGACCCTGGTGTGGAGCACCAAGGGCGCGGAAGGCGTGCGTGCGCCGGTTCCTGACATGGTTGTGGCGGCTGCTGGTGGGGCAACTGAGAGAAATCCCCCCCCATCCTCCCCCCCCACCCGGCTTCCTCCCCCCCCCCCCACCCCGCTTCCTTCCCCCACCCCAGAGAAACCAAGGTGTGGAGCACCAAGGGCGTGGAGGGCGTGCACCGGTTCCTGGCACGGGTGTGGCGGCTGCTGGTGGGGCAGGCGGACCCCGCCACGGGGCAGTACCCGGCCACCGGGCTGGCTGCCAGCGTCGTGGATGATGCCCCCACAGAGGAACAGCTGAGGGCGCTGCATGCTTGCATACACAAGGTAAGGGCGTTCTACAGCATGCTTTGCTTGCTTTGGGTGGGTTCTACATGACTCAACTGATTTAGGGGCCTTCATGCATGCGTGCGGCGTGCACACACAAGGTGGGTTACACGCACACACAAGGTGGGTTTACACTCACACACAAGGTGGGTTGAGAGGGGAGGACTGCCCGTTGGGGGGTCCGCCTGCTCACACTCCTGCGCTGGTGGGGGGCAGGCGGACCGTGCCACAGGGCAGTCCTCCCCTCTCCATCTCCTGGGGACATCAATTCTCTACTCGTTTCGTCTTACCACAGGCAACACGTGGCAATGCTGCTTACCATCCTTTCTTACTGTCTCCGTACCACCCGCCAGGCATCGGGTGCGGTGGAGGCGGTGCGGTGCGGTTCAATTCAACTCTTGGGGACGTAGGCCACTGCCTGCACCCGTTTTCTCCTTATCACTCTCTCCTTCTTATTCTTTGCCCATCTTCCGCCAGGTGACGGAGGAGGTGGAGGCGATGCGGTTCAACACGGCCATAGCAGCCGTGATGGAGTTCACCAGCGCCATTCTTCCCTTGTTGCTATCAGCTCCCGTCTCCCGTGTTCCGATCCCCCGTTCACCTTCTCGCCCGCCAGGTAACAGAGGAGGTGGAGGCGATGCGCTTCAACACGGCCATAGCAGCCATGATGGAGCTCACCAACGCCGCCTACAAGTGGCCCTCCATGCCGAAAGACGCCGCCCGGCCGCTCGTGCTGCTGTTGTCGCCCTTCGCCCCGCACGTGGCGGAGGAGCTCTGGCAGCGCCTGGGGCACTCCTCCTCCCTCGCCTACGAGCCGTGGCCGCAGGTGGGGCATGCTTACTCTCTGCTGTCCTTGTCATGTCTACTTCAAGGCCTTACTAGCCGATGAACCACGCGGAGGAGCTCTGGCAGCGCCTGGGGCACAGGTTTGCAGGTGGGACACTCCACCTCCCTCGCCTGGGGCACTCCTCCTCCCTCGCCCACGAGACGTGGCCGCAGGTGGGACTATGAACAACACATGGTTTGCTAGGACCATGGTCTATGAAGCACTCGGCAGAGGAGCTCTGGCACCGCCTGGTTCTCTTCACCCCTGGGCTACAAGCCTGGTGGTGGCCGTGGCTGCACGTGTGTTCCAGCGCCAACACACCTGCACATTCCTCCCTCCTTCCTCCCTCCCTCCCTCCCTCCCTCCCTCCCTCCCTCCCTCCCTCCCTCCCTCCCTCCCTCCCTCCCTCCCTCCCTCCCCCCCTCCCTCCCTCCCTCCCTCCCTCCCTCCCTCCCTCCCTCCCTCCCTCCCTCCCTCCCTCCCTCCCTCTCTCCCTCCCTCCCTCCCTCCCTCCCTCCCTCCCTCCCTCCCTCCCTCCCTCCCTCCCTCCCTCCCTCCCTCCCTCCCTCCCTCCCATTCCCTCCCCCTGCCTTTCCTCCAGGCCCTACCGGAGAGCCTGGTGGCGGACACGGAATTCCTACCAGTGCAGGTGATTGGCAAGGTGCGCGCCACACTGCACCTGCCTTCTTGACTTGCGCCCTTTCTGCCCCTTCCCTTACCTTTCAGGCCCTGCCCCAACACCTGGTGGAAGACACAATCGCCCTGCCAATGCGGGTGAACGGCAAGGTGCTCTCCACGCTGCAGCTGTGTTAGTTGCACTATCTGTCCTACTTGTACCCTCTCTCCCCCTGACCCACAGGCCCTGCCCCAATACCTGGTGGAGGACACAATTGCCTTGCCAGTGCAGGTGAACGGCAAGGTGCGCGCCACGCTGCAGCTGCCAGCAGGGGTGGAGCAGGAGGCAGCCGTGGCAGCGGCCGTGGCGCACCCCAACGTCGCCCGGCTGCTGGACGGGAAGAGCCTGCGGAAAACCATCTTCGTGAAGGGGCGGATCCTCAACCTGGTGGTGGGATGAGGTGGAGAGAGGTGGGGGGACGGAGTGGGGGTTGCAGCCTTGCAGGTAAGTCAGAGGCTCTCAAGCATAGATGGAATGGGAGCAGCAGCAGCAAGAGAGTCATTGAAGGTTGCAGCAGGAGTATCACGAGTGGTTGGATTGGATGAGACATTCAGAAGCAGCAACCTGCTTTACGTAACAAGCTAAGTACGTAGGTGAAAGAAAGCATCTCTCTGTGGTGGTGATGCCTCTTGAAATTGTGTACCGTGACAAGCAAGCAGCAGCATTTGATGACATAGTCTTTGTCTCATGCCATCACATCAACCCATAAGCTGAGCAAGCATCGGCTCAGCAGCGTCGTCTTTTGGGCCCCGCAAATGTCTAAGCATACATCGCTAGCCTTGGCATGGTAAGCCTTCCTGTGGTCTCAGATTGTATGCTGTGCACTCCAGTAGGTCTTTGATCAAAGAGAAGTGTGACATTACCAGAAGCATCAATTTCTTTATCAAGTTGGTTCTTTATTTTGTTTGAAAGAAAGAATGTGTTGTCAACTTATACATATTATCTATGTAGAAGTTATAGGCTAGACTGAGGTATGCTTCTAGTGAGTACAACCAACTAGTATTTGTTCTAGGTTTCCACCTCTAGTAATCATTCGTTTCTACGTTAACATGGTATCACGCTTAGGTTAGGATCCCCCCGCCTACCGCTTCCGCCCGTCGCGCCTCCTAGGCCCCGTCGCGCCCCCTAGGCCCCGTCGCGCCCCCCCTGGGCCCCGTCGTGCCCACTGGGTCCCGTCGCGACCCCTAGGCCCTAACGCGCCCCCGCTGGGCCCCGTTGCGCCTCCTAGGCCCCGTCGCGCCCCCCCATGGGCCCCGTCGAGCCCGCTGAGCCCCGTCGTGCCTCCTAGGCATCGTCGCGCCTCCTAAGCCCCGTCGCGTCCCCCCCCTCTGGGCCCCGTCGCGCCCGTTCGGCCCCGTCGCGCCCCTCCTAGGCCCCGTCGCGCCCGCTGGGCCCCTTCGCGCTTCCTAGGCCCCGTCGCGCCTGCTAGGCCCCGTCGCGCCCCCCCTGGGCCCCGTCGCGCCCGTTAGGCCCCGTCGCGGCCCCCCTGGGCCCCGTCGTGCCCGCTGGTCCCCGTCGCGACTCCTCGGCCCCGTCGCGCCCCCCCTGGGCCCCGTCGTGCCCGCTGGGCCCCGTCGCGCCCCTTAGGCCCCGTCGCGCCCGCTGGCCCCTGTCGCGCCTGCTGTTAGCGCTCGCCCGCCTGGCCTCCTCCTAGTGCCGCTCGGCCTCCTCCTAGTGCCGCCCGGCCTCCTCCTAGTGCCGCCCGGCCTCCTCCTAGTGCCGCCCGGCCCCTTCCTAGCGCCGCCCGGCCTCTCCTCAGCGCTGCCCGGCCCCTCCTCGTGCCCGACCGGCCCCAGCAGCACCAGCCTGGCCCCTCCCAGCACCAGCCCGGCCCTAGAGCACCTGCCCGCCTCCCCTGCTCGGCCTGCCGTGTCCTCTCGGGCCCTGTGTCTTCTGCTTGCCTGCGCTGGGACGCCTAGCTGCTGCCCTACTGGAGAGTGCTGCCGCCGTGTCCCCGCGCCGCTGTGCTCCTGTGCCGCTGAGGAGCTGTGCTGCTGTGCCGCTGTGTCGCTGAGGAGCTGTGCCGCTGACCCTGCACGATGGCTGACTTTGTGCTCCGCCTGGACGCTGAGGGCCACGCGGTTGACTTCGCCGCCTGGCTCTCCGATCTTCGCCGCCAGCTTACAGGTCAGCGCCAGGATGGCCACTCTCTGGTTGTCCATGCTGATGGCTTGCTCCCCCGTCCCCCTGCACCTACTCCCCTCCCTGCTGACCCCTCCTCTGATGACCGTGAGGCTTTCTCTACTGCTGCGCTAGCCTGTGCGGTCTGGGACTCACGCGATGCAGTAGCTCAGGTTGCTATTAGTCACGCCCTCCCTGTGTCTGAGCGCTCGCGTTTTGCTACTGTTGAAACGGCCAAAGCTTATTTAGAAGCCGTTATTGCTCGCTATTCCACCCCTGCCTCCGCTTCTGCTGGCCGCTTGCTCTTTCCGATGCTGTTCCCAGACCTGGCTGCCTTCCCTACTGTCGCAGATTTTGCCACTCATTTGCGTGCCCTAGAGACTCGCTATCGCACTGCCAGCACTGCTGCCCAGCTCACTGCGCTCCCCCCTCCTTTCTGCATGACGCTCTATTTTATCGCTATGCGCCTGCCAGACCGCCTCGCTAGTGCTCGCGACCACTTTCTTAGCCAGCACCCGGGTGACCTCACCCTGACCGCCTTTGTCGACACCCTCACTGAGATCGAGACTCGCCAGCGCACTATCGCTCAGTCGAGCGGTGCGCCGGCAGTCTCTATCTTTCACGGTTGTGCCCCATCCCCGTGCACGTTCACTGACGTTTCGGCTGCGGTCGCCACGGCGACCCCTCTTACCGAGACGGCTGCTGCTGTCCACCCGCAGCAGCGCTCGCGTCGCGGTGGCCGTGGCCGCCAGGGAGGTAGGGGTGGTGACGCAGGTGGTAGTGGTCGTGGTGGTGGTGACGGTAGTCCGCCTGAGGGGACTACCACCGGTGGGCAGGAGCAGCAGTCCCAGCAGCAGCAGGACCAGCCCCAGCCGCAGCCGCCGTCCCAGCAGCACCCGCCGCAGCCGTGGGCTCGTCTCCCGCCTGGTTGGCCCGGCACCTCCGGAGGCGGTGGCCGTGGTGGCGGCCCGCGCAGCTTGGCGTCTACCAGCGGCTCCAGTGCTGTGACCTGCCAGTACCAGCTTCAGACCGGGCCTCTCCGCGGCACTCTGTGCCGCCGCCCGCACCCGACCGCCCACTGTTTCCGCCGCCTCGACGATCTTTTTCGTCGTCGCTTTGGCCCGGCCCCGGACCTCCCTGACTGGCACAGCCTGCTCCGCCAGGGCGTGCCGATCTTTGAGTTAGACATGGATCAGATAGGTGCTGCTTTGCATGCTTTGTATGCTGACGCTTCTAGTGTTGATGGATCTTACTACCATGTGTACTCTAGTTTAGGTGTTTCACCCTTGTGTAGCTTAGCTTCCCCTGCTGCGACAGGCGTAGGACTGCCTAGGTTGCCTAGTCTAGTCGCTGCACCGGCTCCGTCCGCGGCCTCCGCCACTGCGTCGCTGTCCTTCACTCTCGACTCTGGTGCTTCTGCCTGCTTCTTCCGCGACCGTTCCACGCTCACGCCGCTTGCTGCACCTGCTGTTGTCTCTCTCGCTGACCCCTCTGCGGGTCCGGTCGTCGCGCGCAGTTCTACGTCCCTTCCCTGTCCGGCAGTTCCCTCGGGCTCCCTTACTGGCCTCCACGTTCCCTCGTTCTCCAGGAACCTGGTTGGTGTCGGCTGTCTCCAGGACCTCGGCGTCACCACCACGTTCCCCGGGCACGAGCGGTTCGCTGTCTGTTCTGAGGCTGTCTCAGGTTCCCCCCTTGCGACGTTCCCCTGGGACCCGGTGTCCGGTCTGTTTACCCTACACACCGCTTCCCCCCCGGTTGGTGCGTCCTCCCAGGTCGCTGCAGCTTGCTCGTGTCGGTCCCTCACTCACCCCTCCCTTCTCTGGCACCACCGCTTAGGTCACCCTGCTCTCCCGCGTCTGCGTCACATGTCCCAGCACGGTCTTGTCTTAGGTCTCCCCGCGTCGCTCCCTGCCCTTCCTCCCTCGACTGCGCCACCGTGCACGCCTTGCGTCGAGGGTCGGCTCCGCCGTGCTCCTCACTCCTCCTCGCTGCGTCCTGCTACTGCCCCCCTTCAGACCCTGCACTTGGACGTTTGGGGCCCTGCCCCCGTCCCCGGACCGCGCGGTGAGCGCTACTTCCTTGTGCTCGTTGACGACTACACGCGCTACACCACGGTGTTTCCCCTGGAGCGGAAGGCCGACGTGCCCGACGTTCTTCTCCCGTGGGTTGTAGCTGCGCGTCTCCACCGCGGTCTCCCCGTGTTGTGTCTCCACTCCGACCGTGGCGGCGAGTTCGCCTCTGGTCGGCTTGGACAGTTCTGTCGTGCGGAGGGCATCACCCAGTCGTACACGTTGCCGGACTCGCCACAGCAGAATGGGGTTGCTGAGCGCCGCATCGGCTTGGTCATGGAGGTCGCCCGTACCTCCATGATCCATGCCGATGCCCCCCATTTTCTGTGGCCGTTCGCTGTTCGCTACGCGGCTCACCAGCTTAACCTGTGGCCACGCTCCCAGCGGCCGCAGGTTTCGCCGACCCTCCTTTGGACCGGGTCCCCCGGTGACGCGTCTGCGTTCCACGTCTGGGGCTGCCTTGCTCACGTTCGTGCCTCTGGCACGGACAAGCTCACTGCCCGCACTGTCCCCTGTGTCTTCCTCGGTTTCCCCCTGGACTCGTCTGACTGGCTTTTCTACCACCCGCCGTCTCACCGCTTCCTCCACTCTCGTGACGTCACCTTTGACGAGTCCGTCTCCTTCTACCGCCGCTTCCCTCACCGAGGTCTCCCAGTTGCCCCCCCCTTTTCCTTGCTCCCTCTCCCCCGGTAGCCCCTGCCCCTCTCCCGCCTCGTCCTGCCCCGTCTGGTGTCTCCCACGTCACTCCCCTCCCGTCGGTTGTCCCCGTTGAGGAGTCTGCTGACTCTGATGGTACCCCCGGTCCGTCCTTGCCGCGTCCCCCTTCCCCAGTGCCTCCGCCCCCACTGTCGCAGTCGCCGACCCCGCTGCCGCCGCCGTCGCCGTCGCCGCCGCAGCCGTCGCCGCTGTCGCCGCCACTGCCGCCGTTGCTCTCGGCCCCTGGGGGTGCTGGTGTGGAGGAGGGTGTTCGTCCTGCGGCTTCTGGGGGTGCCGCTGGTGTTGGAGGGGGTTCTCGCTCTTGGGGTGTTGGTTCTGGGGGTGCTGCTGTTGAGTGTTCTGCCGACGGTCGTTCTGCCTCTGCTGGTCCCAGAGTTCCGGCCCAGCCGTCGTCGCCGCCACAGCAGCCGTCGCCGCCGGTTTCCGCTCTCCGCCTGCTCGGCCTTCCCTCCCCGGACCGCGCGCCGGTGTCTCCCCCACCGCCTCCTGACCTCCCTGTCTACGGTCCTGTGTTCCCGCCGCCAGACTCGTCTCCGGCCCGTCTTCCTCCTCGTTCCCCTCCTGTGTCTCCTCCGCTGTCCCCTGACCCTACCCCTCCGTCTCACGTTTGGGCTCGCCGTCCCTCCCGTGCTCGTCCCGTCTCTCCTGTCCTGCCCACCCACCCTATGTTGCTCCGTTCCCACTCGTCTCGTCCTCCCCTCCTCCCGTCCCCTCCTCCCTCGTCCCTTGCTGTTGCACCTCCTCCGTTCTCTGACTACCTCCGTGCTGCTCGTCCCCTTGTCCCTCGGGTCCTTGCCTCTCTTGTTACCGACCCTGCTGTTCCTGTCTCGCGCCTTGACGCGCTTGTCGCTGCTGTCGCTGACTTCGCTTCTACCCGCCGCCTTGACTACGCTACCGCTCTGGTCTCTGACCCTGCCCGTCCTCTGTCCGTCGGGGGTGCTCCTGCCCTTGGCAGTGACGTCCTAGAGGACAGGCAGTACGAGCTGGCTTTCCTTTCCGAGGCTGCTCCCCATCTCTGCTCCATGCTGTTAGTCCCTGAGGGTGACCCAGACGCCTTCGACATCCCGACCCCTCGCACCTACGCTGAGGCCACCTCGGGACCTTGGGCCTCTCAGTGGATAGCTGCCATGGAGCAGGAGATGGCATCTTGGAGATCCACCGGCACTTACGTCGACGCAGTTCCCCCGCCTGGGGTGAACGTAGTCGATGGTCGGTGGCTCTTCAAGGTGAAGCGCCCCCCTGGAGAGCCGCCTGTCTTCAAGGCGCGCTACGTGGCCAGAGGTTTCAGTCAGCGCGAGGGAGTTGACTTCTTCCAGACCTTCGCCCCGACCCCGAAGATGACCACTCTTCGGGCGCTGCTACACGTAGCAGCACAGCGTGACTACGAGCTTCACTCTCTCGACTTCTCTACTGCCTTTCTTCAGGGCAGCCTACACGAGCAGGTCTACCTGCGCCGACCACAGGGCTTCACTGGTACCTTCCCTCCTGGGACCCAGTGGCTTCTCAGGCGCCCGGTCTACGGCCTGCGTCAGGCTCCCCGCGAGTGGCACGACACGCTACGTGCCACGTTAGCAGACCTGCAGTTCTTTCCGTCCTCTGCTGACCCTTCACTGTTTGTGCGTTCCGGCCAGACTCCGTTCTACATCCTTGTCTACGTAGACGACCTGGTCTTCGCTACTCCTGACAGGGACGCACTGGCCTCTGTGAAGGCTGAGCTGCTGAAGAGACACACCTGCACTGACCTTGGAGAGCTGCGTCGCTATCTTGGCCTGCAGATCTCTAGGGACAGAGCAGCACGCACCATCACTCTGACCCAGTCACACTTGGTGCGTCAGGTCCTTCAGAGGTTCGGTCTTCAGTTCTCCTCCGCACAGCCCACACCTCTACCCGTAGACCATGGGCTCTCTGCTCCCGTTCCTGAGGAGCCAGTAGAGCCCAGTGGCCCCTACGCAGAGCTGGTGGGTTGCCTCATGTACCTGATGACTTGCACTCGCCCAGATCTCGCATACCCTCTCAGCATCCTGGCTCGCTTTGTGGCTACAGGCAGACACCGACCTCAGCACTGGTCTGCCGCTAAGAGGGTTTTGCGTTATCTTGCTAGTACATCAGGCATGGGGTTAGTGCTAGGAGGACGCAGGCCAGTGGTCCTTACTGGGCACACAGACGCTTCTTGGGCAGACGACGCTGAGACGCTCAGGTCGTCGCAGGGCTACTGTTTTAGCCTTGGTTCGGGTGCTATCTCTTGGAGATCCACTCGCTCGTCGTCTGTGGCTCAGTCTAGCTGTGAGGCTGAGATCTACGCTGGTGCCATGGCGGCACAGGAGCTCCGCTGGCTGACCTTCTTGCTCACAGACTTAGGTGAGCGGCCTAGCTCTGCCCCGGTCCTGTACGCTGACAACAGGGCCATGATACTCCTGTGTCAGGAGCCTCGGCTTGAGGGCAGAGCGAAGCATATCCAGCTGCGGTACTTCCTCCTGCGCGAGCTACAGCAGCGCCGCCAGGCCCGCGTAGTTCACTTGGCCTCAGGTGCCAACACAGCTGATATCTTTACTAAGGCGCTTGCGCCTAAAGATCATCAGCGGCACTGTGTACAGCTTGGTCTTGTTCCTATAGCTGCTCCCCTGTTAGGATCCTGATTGTGTACTCTCTATTATATATGCTTGTCAGACTGGCCTTGTGGCCTTACCTCCAGTGGCTGGACTAGTAGTGCCACCCTGGCTTGCTTCAGTTTTGGTTGTATTCTTGCTGACTGGTCTCCAGACCCCTGCCTCAGTGGTTGGACTAGTAGTGCCGCCCTGAGCTGTTTGCTTCTTGTTTAGTTTCACCCCTTGTCTAGCCTAGGGGGTGTGTCAACTTATACATATTATCTATGTAGAAGTTATAGGCTAGACTGAGGTATGCTTCTAGTGAGTACAACCAACTAGTATTTGTTCTAGGTTTCCACCTCTAGTAATCATTCGTTTCTACGTTAACATGTGTAGCCCCCAACCCAAATGAATGACAAAGTGTCTTCCCCAGCCACTGCAAGCTGCGGGCCCCTCACTTGCCATCAAACAAGCACACCCGTTGTTACTTTCACGCCTCAATTGCCAGCAAAATTTGTTGGGCATTCACTTCCCACCCGCATGAGGAGTATCTTTTCGAGGCGGATGAGAAATTGTTGGGCATTCGCCTCCCACACCCGCCTCCACCCTCCAAGCCTACAACCCCGGCCCAGCCGTCTCACTCCGCCCTCCTCACACCTCCCCTCCTTCCCCCTCCCCATCCACCACCACCACCCCCACCTCCTCCTCTGCCGCCCGGTTCTCCTCCCACCAATGAGGCTGCAGCACCGCCCGCGCCTCCTCCAGCTGCTGCCGGATGCCCGCCAGCTGGCAGCCATCTGGCATCGACACGTCAGCAGGTACCACGTCAGCGCCAAAGAGCTTTGCCGCCCGTGCCACGTATTGTGATGCTGCTGCTTGCTGGTCTGGTGTGAGCGTGATAGATGAGGAAGAAGAGGAGGAATAAGGGAAAGAGGAGGTGGGGGAGGAAGCAGAAGAGGAACTGGTGACACGTGGCAGCATCTGGTTGGTGTGGAGCAGCATGAGCGGCGCCATCAGCGCATCCACACACGGCTGAGTGGGCGGCCAGTCCCAGACAGGTGCCGCCGCCCGCTCCCTCCTCTCTATCACCTGCAGCAGGGCGGCGCAGTGCGGCATGTCACGCCACCCGCTGTGCACATCCAGTATCAAATCCTCATAAATAGCCAGCGACACCAGCAGCAGCAGGGGGAGGCGCTTCGGCTTCGTTCCCACGAACCCCTCAAATGACGGTAAGTCAAAGTGGCTGGCACCCCACTGCACCACTCTGAACACCACATCCACCTTCACCTGCATGGGCAGCGCTGCCAGCACGCCCATCACCGAAGCTCCGTACTCCGAGCCTTCCCCGCCCAGGGGAATCAGCCTCGGGACCCTGCCGAGGCTGTTTCCGAGCCTGCCTGACTGGCTTGGGCTCGGATCTGTTTGTTCCTGCACAAACAGTTGCTGCTGCTGCGGCTGCTGCGGCAGCTGCTGCTGCTGGTGCAGCTGCTGCTGCAGGAACTGTTGTTGCTGCCCCTGATGCCCCTGCTGCTGCTGCTGCTGCCCCTGCTGGTGCTGGTGGTGGTGGTGCCAGGGCTGGGAGGAGGCTCTAGAGTTGTCGGTGTAGGTGCGACGCACGGTGGATGGATGGGTGGAGGGGGTGGACTGACCGCCGGGGTTGAATGCCTGGAGGAGAGACCCAGGCAGGCTCATGGACATCATCTTCTGCATGTCAGCAGCACTGCTCATCTGTGCGTTACTGTTCATGTGCAAGTCACTGTTCATGTGCATGTTACTGTTCATGTGCATGTCACTGTTCATGCTGCTAACATGCTGCCCAGACCCTTCTCCCTCACCTGCTCCCCTCTCCCCATCCCCCCAAGCGTGCCCCTCCCCACTGTCTCCCCCTCCATCCCCTCTGCTCCCCCCTGTCCGCCCCATCCAAGCGCGCCTGTTGCCGTGCCTCTTGCCCCGGGACAGCAGCGGGCCACTCAACACCTTCTTGCCCTTGGATGGGCCCCTTGCCTGCCCTCTTCTTGCTCTACCGCCACCACCACCAACAGCACCACCACCTGCAGCAGCAGCAGCAGCAGCAGCAGCAGCAGAAGGACCACCATCGTAACCCCTATCATCATCAACGCTACCACCACCTAGCACCTCGTTGCGATACCCTGTGCTGCTGCTGCTGCTGCCATACTGTTGATTCTTGTGGTAACCAGTACTGCCAGGGGGGGCCTGCTGATGGACGTTCAGATAGTTCGTGCCGCCATGTGCATTCCGGCCGTCACCCGCCCCCCCATCGCTGCCCCAGAAGCTCTCCCCGCTGCTGCCCCCCGAACCAGCGAACCCAAGCTCGGCAGCCGGGGTACGGAAGTGGTGTGGGAGAGAGTGGGTGGTGCGTAGCTGCTGCTGCCCGGCCGAACCATCTGAGTCACTGAAGCTACCTGCTACCCAGACAGAGGATGGCACCTGTTGCTGCACCTGCTGCATCTGCTGCTGCATCTGCTGCTGCTGCTGGTGCTGCTGGTGCTGCTGGTGCTGCTGGTGGAGCAGTGCTGGTTCTTGCTGCCAGGGGTGGGAGTGCGTATCGTGAAACACTGGGCCTGACGCACAGGAGCCATCAGATGACAGCCTGGGGGGAGCAACAGAGTGGGGGCCGAGGGGCAGAGACTGCTGGAAGGCTGTTTGCTGCTGCTGCAACGGTAACTGTTGCCAAGGCTGAGTGGGTGGGAGGGGGAGGTTTATTGAGGGCCGAGGGGAGAGTGGGGGTAGGCCCGGCTGCTGCTTCGGCTGCTTCCGTTGCTGCTGAGGTAGTAGTTGTTGCTGCTGCTGAATTCCTAGCTGCTGCTGCTGCTGCATCTGCTGCTGCTGCAGCTGCCACGGCTGCTCCTGCTCCGTCCACTGCCCCTCTTCGCGCTGCCGTCCCAGCCGCCTCAGATCGCCCTTCCCCAGCCGCAGCCTGTCCGACACATCAGTCAACGCCTTCCTGGACAGCATCCCCCCAGCCATGCCCTCACCTGCCGCCGCTGCCATCCCGCCCCTCTGGCTCCTCGGCATGTCAGACCAAGACTTGGGCACATTCACGCTAGAATCAGCAGCTTTCGTGTTACCACTCGGATTCCCTCTCGCCCCTCCGCCTAGTGCCTTTATCCCTTCCCAGCCCCCCCCACTCGCCTTCCCCTTTGCAGGCCCAAAGGGGAGGGAGTAGAAGAGCCGGTTACCATGTTTTCCTGGAGTCCCTCCCTGACCCTGAGCAAGCCCCAAACCAGGTCCCTGCTCCAACCCTAAACCCTGCCCTTGCCCCAGCCCCTGGCCCTGAATCCACGCACGGTAGCAGTTGGGAGGGATGGCAACACCCCTGGGACTGCTCAGCGCCACACCAACAGACCCCCCCCCTCCCCCTGCTGCTGCTCCTGCTGATGCTCCTGCGGATGCTGTAGGTGATGCCATACCGCCATAGCTAAAAGCCTCCGCCCCCCCCACTTCACTCCCCTCCGCTTCCCCATCCCTGGAATATCCCCCGACCCTCCCTCGCACGCCCCCCCCAAGCCTCCCTCCAGACCTCTCCCGAACCAGGCTGAGTTCCGGAGGTTCGGATGATGTGGAGAAGCGGGGAGGTCGGGAGAGGCTGGGGGGGGAGGAGGAGGGAAAGGAGGGGAGGGAGTGGGTGGCGGTGGGTTGGCAGGTAGTGGTCGGCAGGGGGGCGGCGAGAGTATCGGAAGTGGATGGCAGAGTGACGTCAGCAGCGGGGGGGAGGGCGTGAAGGCGGAAGAGTGAGGGGAGGTGGCCTCGAAAGACTCTCACTCGAGCCACGCTGCCCCCTCCCTCGTGCTGCTCCTTCTGATCCTTCTCCTGCTGCTTCCTCTGCTGCTTCGTCTGCTGCTTCTTCTGCTGCTGCGTCAGCTGCTGCCGCGGCTGCTGCTCCTGCAGAAGTTGCACCTCCACAAAGTGACGATATTCAGGAAACTCGCCGCGCAAATCATCCTGGCCCGGATGAGAGGTGGGGAGGTGGGGCGGGGGTAGGGAGACGGGGGAAGGGTCTATTTTTGAGGTTCCTCAAAAATAGACTCTTCCGTATAAGAGGTGGGGAGGTGGGGCGGGGGTAGGGAGACGGGGGAAGGGGACGAGAGAGTGAGCAAGCCTTCACTGGTATGTGTTGCAGTACCTTTGAAAGCCAAAGGGGAAAGAGGAAATATAAGAAACAGAAGGACAAGGGGGAGGAGAAGGAGGCAGAGGAGGAGGAGCAGGAGGAGGAGGAGGAGGAGGAGGAGGAGGAGGAGGAGCAGGAGCAGGAGCAGGATGAAGAGGAGGAGGAGGAGCAGGAGGAAGAGGAGGAGGAGGAGCACGCGGCTTACCCTGAGCTTCTGTGCTTGTGCAGTGGCAACCAGGGCCGCACCACTGCCACCGGTGCCGCTCCCAGTCCCACCTCTTGGGCTCCTCTGACCAAACGGCAGGAAGCACGACATCACCCCACCAGCAGAAGCCACTCCTCCACCACCTGGGGTCAACTCCTTCAGGTGCTGCTTCAGGTGCCTCAGGTGCTTCAAGTTTTTTACGCTCAGGTTAAGCGGCACCTCCAGGGTCCTGACCGTCTGCGCCAGCTCCAGCATATGCCGGGATAACTGCCCCGCAGTCACGCCCCCTATAAGCACACCCACGGTCTCGGCCCCATATACACCTCCCCTGGTTGCCACCATCTGCGGTAGCACACGGAGGAGGAGGGGGGGCAGCTTGGAGGCGGGGGGCGCGTGTGGGAGCACCACAAGCGCGTGGCGGGAGAGCCATCCTGGAGGCTCGTCTCTGCTGCTCTGTGGTGATCTGGGCTTGGGTGATCGAGGGTTGGGCGACTTGGGGTCCCCGGCAGGTGCTGATGGTGATGATGCTCCGGGCGGTGTGGTGGCGTCTGGTGCCAGCAGCCCCTTCTGCAGGCGGATGTCCCACACTGCATGGTGCAACCTGGGTGGGGGGTTGGGGAGGGAGGGAGTGTGGGTGGGAAAGATTAAGCGAGGATTGAGGGTTCGAGGAACCCCCAAGGACAAGTACAGATGAACGTGACTGTTGGACCACCACCACACCACCACACCACACCACACCACACCACACCACACCACCACACCACCACACCACCACCACACCACCACCCAGCATGACGCCTGCAATCGAGTCATCCCACACACTTTGCTTGCCCGCCCCTTCCCCCACTTGTCCCCCCTCCGCTCACCCCAGCAGGCAGCAGATCAAGCGCCATGCAGCATATTGACTGTGCGTGAGTGAGCCGCTCGCCTGTCAGCAGCACCACAGCACCTCCCAACCCTCTCCCTCACCCCTCCCACCCCACCCAAGACACTCACCCCAGGAGGCACCAGATCGACCGCCATGCGGCATATTGGCTGTGCGTGAGCCGCTCGTCCGTCAGGAGCAGCACCTCGGCCCACTGCCCCTCGCCCCCCCCCTGCTGCTGCTGGCGGGCGCCCAGCGCCCACTGCCCCGTGCCGCTGTCCTGGGCTGCCATGCAGGGCGCATAGCCCGGCACCAGACGCACCTGCTTGCGCCTGGGAGGGACGGCAGCAGCGGGAAGGAAAGAGCGGGCGAGGATAGGCATTGGAGATGAGGCGAGGAGAGGGGAGGAGAGGAGAGGAGAGGAAAGGAGAGGGGATGAGAGGAGAGGAGAGGAGAGGAGAGGAGAGGACCCTGCTCACCGCTTGTGGGTGCACCGTGCACTGCCGCTCCACAACAAGTTCAGGAGAGACTGAGGCGAGCGAGAAGGGAGCCATGGAAATTAGACCTTTCTCCCCTCTCCTCCCCCCCCCCCCCCACACCCCCGCCCTCTCTCCCCCTGCTCACCGCTTGTGGGTGCGCTGCCCCTCCACAACAAGCTCAGCAGACACCGACGCGAGGGAGAAGGGAGCCACGGACGAATCATCGATCGCCAGCTGGACGTCGATGGTGACACTCTCGTGGGGCGCGAGGGGCGGCAGGAACTCCCGCTTCTCCCTCCTCTGCCGCCTCCCTCCTCTATCGCCCCCTCGCTTGATCGATGCCGGGGTGAAAGCTCCCCTCCCACTGTCGCCCTCTCTGTCGCTCTCACCCGCCCACTCCACTGCTGCCACCACCTCCACCTCTCCATCCATGCTGGGGTGGATGGGAAGAGAGGCATGCAGTGAGGAGGAGGAGGGAAGGGGGCGAGGGAGGAACTATGTTGGAAAATACGCGTACTGCGTTTTATACGCTAGCGTATATACGCTTGCGTATATACGCTATACGCTTGGATTTGGGGTCCAATACGGCAGGAATACGCATGCCCGGGCAGGAAAAAAGGTTTGCCCGGGCAGGGTAACAAAACCAGGGGGCAGCAAGGAAGCCATGATGGTAGCGGCTAGGCTAGGGTTTCTGAAAACGTGACTCTCAAATGAGAGGCATTTTCTGAGGGGTCGAATTTTGACCTGCCAATTCCCTCCCTTTCACCGCACTCAACCCCCCCGTCTACAAAGTCAAATTGGCTTCCAGCCAACCAACTCCCTCCCTTTCACCGCACTGAACTCCCACCCATCTACAAACTCCAACCTTTCCTCACAAATGCTCGACTCTCCCCCCCATCATCTCCCCCATCACTTTGGTAGAAGACTAACAAGCACCGTAACTCGCGCAATCGCCGCCACCTAGCTAAGCACACCACCGTTTCGCTTCAGAGCTGAGATTTGGACGGAAATGGGGAACGGCAAACACGGGATGGCTTTCAATCACGTACAGAGCAGGCTGGGCTATGGGCAAAAAAGAATGGGCGAAAAAACCGCGACGTCGCGAAGTCGCGGAAAAAAAAAATATAAGTTTTTTTTTTCGCCGGGCAGCCCGGGTATCGCGTATCGCGTATTCCAAGCGTATCAGCGTATTGCGTATATTCGCAAGCGTATATACGCAATACGCAAAGCCTTCTGTGCGTATATTCCAACATAGGGGAGGAAGAAAGAGTGGAAGAGACGATAGAGGGGAGTGAGAGAGGTGAGGGAAATAACAGGAGAGTGTGACCACCCAAAGGGAGGTGAGGGAGGTGGGGGAGGTGGGGGAGGTGAGGGAGGTGAGGGAGGTGAGGGAGGCGAGGGAGGTGACATGGTGCCTCCCAATGCATGTGCTGCTGTGAATCATGTGCAAATGCTGGGAGTGAGCGGAGTGGGCCATGCATGCAAATGCCGCGTCGCGTCACGTCTCATCGCAGCGAGTACAACAACCCACCAAGGACATAGACCATAGCGAGCGAGGCAACGTGGTGCTGACATAAGTCACAATGGGGATGCGACACTGTGAGGAAGCACCGTCACATGCTGGGAACAGAGTGATGACGTGGCATATGCTGGGAACAGTGTGATGACGTGGCGTGGTGTGCGTACGGGTGGGGCGAGTTGTTGGAGAGGGAGAATCGGATCGCCAGCTCGTCCCCAATGCGCATCTCGTTGGGAATCAGCACCGAGTTGCACGCCACATCGGGTGGCAAACACAACCCATCGGGCGGCAAGCTCGACCCACTGGGCGGCTCGTGCGGCACCTCAGCGGCTCCACGAGTCACCTGCTCGTATTCCCGACTGGACTCCTCCTCACGCTGCACCTCTCGAATCCCCTCATTCCCTCTTTGCCAAAAGATCCCTGTTTGGATCCCTGGCCGGTCTGTTCGTTGCTCGGCCCCTTGTACTCCCCCGCCCTGCTCCCCCTGGCCCTCAGCCTCCAGCACCATCCTTTGCCCATGCGCCCTTGGCTCCTCCTGTGCATCTCCCATCATCTCAAGTGGACGACCATGCTGCTGCTGCTGCTGCTGCTGCTGCTGCTGTTGGGGCGACCACCCAGGCCCTCTCTTGAGCGGCAGGTATTCATCTTCCAGATTCGCACCCTGAAGCATCTCTGCTTCCCCCTCCATACAACCCGCCCCACTCCTTCCCCCAACCGCCCTCTCCCTCTCTCCTCCCTCTTTGCTATACCGCTGTGCCCCGCCCCTCCTATCCACACCATATTGCTCCACGCTACTCGCCCAAGTCTGCGTCAACCGCGCCCTGCTCTGGCCCTCTCGTGGCAACACCTCCGCCTCTCCTGCAGACACCTCCCCATCCCGGTCAGCTCTCTCCAGTTCCCGTGCGGAGCAGGAGCGTCTGGCCGGAACCTGCGCCCCTTCCCCTTCCGACCAGTCGGACAGGGACCCTTCGGACCGCCCTGAGAGCACCCCCTCGGACCGCCCTGACTGGGTCGAAACCCCCTCGGACCGGCCTGAGAGCGTTCCTTCGGATCGACCTGAGAGGGTGGAGACCTCGGAGCGCTGCGCCTGAAAGTGCTCCTCCTGGAAGCGGTCGAAGCTGCGCCTCTCGCTGCCCATCGACTCACCGGTGCGCGGCCGATTCAAGAGTATATGCTGCTGCAGCTGCTGCTGCTGCTGAAAGGGGCTTTGGCGCACCCCTGTGCCTTTCTGCCTGCTGCCGCCTGCACAACCCTGCTGCTTCCCCTTCCCCGCATCTTCCCTTCCCTCCCCCTCCCCTTGCGCCTCCTCCTCCTCCCCCTCAGCGACCTCCTCCAGCACCATCCCCAGGAATCGCCCAGAGAGAGAGCGGGGGGACAGGGGGTACTCTATCTCCTCCACACTGCCACCGCCGCCCATGCTTCCCCCCATGCTTCCCCCCATGTTTCCGCCAATGCTTCCCCCCATGCTCCCCCGAAAGCTTCCTCCCGCGCTGCTTCCCCCCATACTGCCCCCCATCTTTTCTACCACGCTCCCGCTGATGCTCCCCCCCATGCTTCCGCCCATGCTCCCCCCCGTGCTTCCCCCCATGCTTCCCCCCATGCTCCCGCTCATGCCTTTCTCAAACCCGCTGCCGCTGCTCCTGCTCACACTCTCCCCTCTGGCACTCCCGCTCCTGCGCCTCCTCCCACGTCTCTTCCCCTGTCTACTCTCCCCACCATGGGCAGCAGCATTCCCATGCCCATAGTCACCATCCCCATGCCCATGCCCATAGCCACCATGCCCATGCCCATAGCCACCATGCCCATCCCCATGCCCATGCCCATAGCCACCATCCCCATCATCACGCTCATCACCATCAGCGCTGCCATCCCCATCCCCATGCCCATAGCCACCATCCCCATCCCCATGCCCATAGCCACCATCCCCATCACCATCCCCATGCCCATCATCACGCCCATCAGCATCAGCGCTGCCGTCCGTGTCATTAAAGAACACCACTCGTTGCCCCTCCGCCCCTTCGCTATCCTCCTCCTCCTCCGCTGAACACTCCCCCCGCTCCTCTTCCTCCTCCACTTCCTCCTCTTCCGCCTCCTCCCCCTGCTCTTCCCTCCCCCTCCGCGCCCCTCCCTCTTCGCTTTCCGCTCCTCTTCCCCTCCCTTCCGCTCCTCTTCCCCTCCCTTCCGCTCCTCTTCCCCTCCCTTCCGCTCCTCTTCCCCTCCCTTCCGCTCCCCTTGCACTCTCCCTCCCCCCCTCCTCCACACCCCCTCCATCCCACCATCCAAACTCCCCTCCCTCCCCGTCCCCTCACGACCCCCCCTCCCGCTTCCCCCATGCCCTTCCCAACCGCCCTCCCTCCCCCATCGCCCTTCCCCAGCACCCGCCTCCCCCAGGTTTTGCTTTCCATACCCTCCCTCGAAACGTCCGTCCTCAGATCCCGCCTCCACCAGGCTTCCACTGCTTCGGGACTTGTGCATCCGCGCGAACGAGCCTCGCGCGGACGACGAGCCCCCCGCACCCTCGCCAAAACCGTTCCCGTTATAAGCATCTTCGCCTTGGCGCAACCCGTTATAATCAGCCTTTTCTCCACCCGAGAACCGAACCTGACCCGGTAACCGGTCGTGCTTCTGCTGCTGCTGCTGCTGCCGGCGCCGCCGCCCCTGGTGCTGCTGCTGCTGCTGCTGCTGCTGCTGTCCCCAGTTTCGCCCTTCCCCGCTCCACCCGCCCTGCCTGCTCGCAACCTGCACCGAGCTGCTTTTTGAAACCCCACAACGGCTGGTTACCCTATTCGTCCGTTCGCTCCGGCTCCTAAAAAGCTCTTCCGGCTGTCCCGTCCCATCCACCACTCCGCCCCCCTCTCCCTGCTCCTCCTCTTCCTCCTCCTCTCTCCCCTCCCCTTCCCCCTCCTCCCCTTCCCCCTCCGCGCTGTCCCACTCTCCGCCCATCTCCCCGCTCTCGTCTATCTTCTCGAACCACCGCGACGGCAGCGACTGCATCCGAGATGGCGGCTGTAGCTGCGGCTGAGACGGCGGCTGTAGCTGCGGCGACTGTAGCGATTGCCTCCGTGACGACGGCTGTAGCTGCGGCTGAGACGGCAGCAGGGACTGCTGCTGCTGTAGCGGCTGTAGCCCAGGCTGCTGCTGCTGCTGTGGCTGCTGACGGGACAGCGACTGTAATCTCGACAGCGACTGTAGCCGCGACAGAGATTGTAGCTCGAAGGCATTTGCACCAGCGGTCCTCTCGCTGTTGTAACTCTGCGAGTGTCGCAACCGCCGCACGCCGCCACCGCTGCTGCTGCTGTTGGTGGCAACGCCGCCGCCCCTAGAGACGGCAGTACCGCCCGTGGCACTGCCGCTAATGGCTCCGCGCCAGCTGCCTCCCTCCCCGCTTCCGCTGCCACTGCCGCTGCTTCCCGCGCAGTTTTCCCCCTTACTCTCCCCGCTCCGCGCCTTTTGCGCGCAGTAGTCTTCCTCCAGTGGCGGCGCAGGGGCGGCTCCCGCCGCCAGCGGAGCCTCCAGCGCCCACCCAACTGGTTCCGGCGGCGCTCCCCGCGCCCAGCCGCGCTGAATTTGCGCGGATTGCGGGTTGCGCGCGCCGATACCGGCAGGAGAGCCGGTTACTACTTTGGGCATGCAACCGGTTACACCGTAACTAGGAGTGCTGGTTACAGTGCTGGTAACAGCGCTGCTGGTTAGGGCGCTGCTAGGACTAGTACTACTGGTAGCGAAGCTTTGCCATCGAAGCGCGGAGGAATCGGAGGTCGTGTCGCTGGGGGTCCATAAGGGGCCGGCAGGGTAAACGCCGGCGCCACTCTCATACCCGATAAGCGCAGCCCCGCTATCAGCACCGCTGCGGTGCGGCAGCGCGGGGAGAGCCATAATAACGCTGCCGTTAGAAGACGCTACGGGTGAAAATATCATCTCTCCGTCAAATCCGGCGGTTTGAGGAGAGTCAAATCCGCCGACACCGCCATATCCGGCGGCGCCGCTGTCGCCTGGCAGTGCCACGTCAGCCTCCGTCATCGGCGGCAACCACCTCGCCGGTGAGTTGCCGGCGGCGGCGGCGGCGGCTTTCGTATCGACGGCGCCGCGCAGTAGGGAACCGAACGAGCCAATCGAGCTGCTGCTAGTAGCAGCAGGTCCCGCCATGCTACTAGAGTTAGCACTACTACTACGCACGGCATTGGTGCGATTAGTCCAAGTAGTAGGAATGAGATTAGGATCTTGTGACGGATCGTAATCGCTCGATACTTCGCCGCGCGTGCCGCCGTCGGGGGCCAGCGGTCTGGTGAGAGGAGTGCTCTCGCGCGACGACCAGTCGACGGACGGAACGACGTCGCTTGCGATTCGCGGCGACCCGCGTGGCCCGAGGTTCATCCCTTGGGCCCGTCGCACGAGACCGTCGCCGCCCGAGGTTTGTCGCACGAGCCCGTCGCGCGATGGTCGCATGCTTGCATGCGACGTCAATTCGTTTGTACTACTACGGCGCGACACTTCCATAGGCGCAGCGCCAAGGCCTGGCGCGTTGTGCGCGTTAGTAACTACAAGTTAAAGTTGCCTTTTGCTGCCATTTCGGGCGTGCCAGCAGAAGGCTCCCCAACAGGAGTGCCTTACTCTTAGCAGATACAGAACTGTGCTGTTTCGGCCCACGAAATGGCTCACGGTAGTCTCAGATGTGAAATGCCGTCATGGATCACACCCTCGCTCGTGATCCCGCTTCCACCTCTCGTTTCTTGTCGAGGATGCGCGATGCAGAAGTCCTGAGTGCGAGTTGCAATTGTCGGTTCGTGTTTGGAGTTGGGGAGGGAGGAGAGGAGGGGGAAGTGTGAGGAGAACGGGGAGGGAAATGAGAGAACTTGTGCAGTAGTCCTACAATTTGTCAGTGTGCTGTACAAGAACGACCGCAATCATAACTAGTTCATCACTGTACACCTCATTTTGCTTTGGGTCGCGAGTGTTACAAGATCCCTCCGAATTTCACGAAAATACAATAGAACATGTCAACATTCTCTACTTATGTCGCATGGATTAGTAAAACCTTCGAAGCGCGACATGAGGGAATCAGTATCGAATGGTTGCCCGATTTCGAATAGCGATACACTCAGACCCCCCGGAGTGGCAATGCTTGTTTCGATTGTGTGTTGCGTTGCGTTTCATTATGCAAATAGGTAATAACAATAGCTTCACTGTAATATGAGATTGTTAATTACTGAGGTGGATTTGCCATAGGTCAGGTGATCCCAACTAGCAAACACGCCTCAGCTACTACTTATAAAGGCATGTCCAGCGCGTACGTTTAGCGTTCCCGGTTGAATATAGTTTGCATGAAACACTGTGAACATTGAAGTTCGACCCCCATACGGACATGCACATTTCGTGATACGAAACACGTGGTGTATCCCACTTGTACCCTTACATGAAAAAGGGTGAACTGGCGAAAATGTACAGAGGCACTTTTAAAAGGCACATACAAGAACTGGATACCACAAATCCTATTCGCCATATGCGAAAACCTCGTGTACATAAAATCCTGGACACTTTCTTCGTCAAGAACTACGCTTACTAGCTGGGCGGTTCTTTTTTCCCCGGCGACAATTTCTGTGCTGGTTGTAATATGCACGGCTTTGCCACTTACCGTACCTGCTCGTGTGCACACCCTTCGGCAACACGTGTCCACCCGGAGTCATTCGCGCGGTAGGTTACACAAGTTATCTCATTTACACTAAATGGTACATATTTGTGGCGTTTTTTTTTTAGTACGTACCAAACTCCACTGAAGCGAAAAAACGTACACGTTAAACACTTCCTGAACGTTTTTCACGTTAGAGACGGTTTTGCCCCAGGTTTTGACCTTTCGGGAAACTAGAGCGCGTCGCTTTTTCATTTAATGTTTTCAAAGCTAGATAAGGTGTACTACTGCCATGAGTACAGTGCAGTGTCTAGTTTAAACAGTGCGAAGGGTGGTCCGCGTTGCCCGAAGCAAAAAACCATCCACCAATCCAATCGACTCAATTCCCCCTCGCATTGCGTACAGGAATGCATGAAACCAGTTACGGATTTGATCGCAAGAGGGATGTCTGATCCCAGCCACCGACCCCTTTACCCCACCCGCCCCCCACAACCGTATCCCCCTCAAACCCATCCGAGTCCAAAACCCCACTTAGTCCTTGACAGAGTGGGGTGGAGGAATGCCCCCCCGAACCGCGAGGAGAAACGTCATCTCTCGCCAGGACAGCAGGGAGCGACAGACACCCAAACAGAATAGATCACGTCAGCGCAGCCAACCTGGGCGGAAGGCGGCCCGCGTGGTCACAAAATGCTGCACCATGTCGCAGAAAACGCCGAAGTCTCAACAGAAGTGCATCCGATGACGCGGCTAAGCGCTGGAACCAACACATTACCTCGAGACAATGAAACTCTCTACTACTTCGTTGCAAAATATCTTTGGCAAATAGATCACAAACACTAAGCCCCATTTACATTCCTCCACTGTGATAACTAGGTAAAACTATGTAGCCACAAGCACTTACAAGATCCATGCTTGATCTACTTCTCATATTCATGCAAATCATGCGCCTCGTCAGCTAGTAGGCTGGTGTCCGCCTCCCATTCATCCGCAGACACCGGCGGCATGCCCCTCACCTTGCGCCTCATGTTGTGCTTATGCCAATCCGACTTCATGTGCTCACGGAACAACCGCGGGTCATCAAAGGTCGCTCCATCTCCACATGTACTGCATCGCTGCGGCCGCCCGCTCGCCTTACCTCCCCCCCTAGTTGCCGCAGCTGCTGTTCCACCACCTCCTGCTGTTGCTGCTCCATCTACCACCGACACTTGTCTTAATGCTCTAGCAGCTGCCTCTGCCTGTAACTCAGCATCCCTTGCAACCCCACCAGCCCCTCCTGCCCCTCCACCTCTCCGTCCCCCAGCCTCTACCCCACGCTCAGCCTGATCCCTTCCAGCCTGGCCTCCCCTATCCTCTGCTGTGCCCGCTGCTGCCCCCCCCCCATGAGCAGTCATGGCAGTGCCAGCAACCGTCGCTTCTGATTCGTCGAGGGAGTCAAAGGACAGGTCCCCCTCCTGCTGCACTGCTGCTGCCCGCACCTCCAGCCGCCCCCTCACTCTCTGCATAAGGGAATCCACTTCTCGGAACCGACCCGGCTCGATCTGACACACCTGGTAGCACGCAGCACAGGGAAAAAGAGGTGCATGTGCTTAGAACCCACTCAGAATTCACCTGCTAGAAGGCAGCATATGGATGGCGAACGGAGTGGCTCGGACTCAATTTAACAAGACTGTGCGGACGGTTGCGACAAAAAGCAAGGGGCAAGCTGGAAAGACCCCCTGGGAAAGGAGATGCATGCCATGCAGAGAATGTGAGGCTGTGAGGCTGTTTTGAGATGGCTCATGACTCTGAGACACGACATATCAAGGAGACCTGCGTGGGTGTGTTGTCCACTGGCTGGGCCTGCGAGCGCATGAGTGCACCCATCTGCTGCAACTCGGCCTGTATTGAAGGCAGCGCTGCGGACGGCAGCACGGCAGCACAGCCGCACGAGGCAAAGAAACTTACCAAGGAGACCTGAGCGGGTGTGTTGTCCACTGGCTGCGCCTGTGAGCGCATGAGCGCGCCCATCTGCTGCAGCTCCGCCTGCACCGAGGGCAGCGCAGCGGACGGCAGCACGAGGCGCAGCTCCATGCGTGCACGGGCGATGGGGAAGCGCTGCGCCAGCTGGCGGATCAGATCCAGGGCCTGGCAGTGCATTGCATGCCGTGTGGTGAAGAGAATGGGCATTAGGACACGCAACTAATGGCAATGAACTAGAAAAATAGCCCCAATGACTCAATACAGATGCACCTGCGACATTGAGTTTGCCTGATCCGCCGCTTGCCCACTTGACTGCTGCTTGGAGGATCGCTTGCGTACCCCATTCAATCGACTTGCCTGTTGCTTGGAGGATCGGTTGGGGTCGACGGAGAAGTGGATGTCGCGGATGAACTTCTCCACAATGCCCACAGGATACGGCCGGTGCGTCTCAGGGTTAACTGTCCGCTCCGTTACAAGGCACGTGATGTCCCTCAGTAACGAGGATGCCTGCATCTCCCGCTCCTTGTCCGACACCTGATACTCCCCCTTCTCCAGAATCTGCATGGCATACAGAAATTGCAGGAAGGAGGGGTCCTAATAAGTACACAATACCACCAATGGAGGTCCCTGGACCGGCTGGCTTTCATGGCTTCAGGTTCAGGGTTCCAGGTTCAAGGGTTTCCAATTCAGGGTTCCAGGTTCAAGGGTTTCCAATTCAGGGTTTCTGGTTCAAGGTTTTTTGGTTCAGGCTTTCCGGTTGAAGGTTGTTTTGAGACGACAGAGGTTGAGTCATGGAGGCTCCTGAATGTCGGCGAGACATGCAAAATATTGAAAAAATGAATTTATGCTGATAGGATTGGAAACAATATATATCCGCACATGGACCTCGTACGGCCGTCAGGGGGCTCACCTCGAGGCACACCTTCTCCTGGTCGTCCGTGCCAAACGCTGCGACGAGGTCCTTGGACTTTGCGAGGGTGCCCTTCCCCACGTTGGAGAACACCGTCTGGCTCTGAAGCACCTCGTCCAGATCCTTCTCGCTGGAAATCAGACCAAAATTCAACGATCAAAACAACGCACAGGGGACAGAGACCACCGTTTGGAACACACCGTCCGTCTCTGGAGTACCTCGTCTGAAGCCTTCTCGCTGAAAATCAGACCAATCATGAACGAGTAAAAGAAAGCAGCGGGTACGGAAAGCCCGACGGCGAAATAGGGACCTCAAGGTTTGGGAAAGTGTCGCCGAGCAAGCGGAATCACATCGGCATGCCACGCCTTCAAAAAAACGAAACAGCGCGGCGCAGAGGGAAGATAGTCGCATGGAAGCTTACACGCGTGTCCTCCATGAGACCACTTTGTTCTTGTAGCACGCGATTTCGAACCTCATCCCGCACTTCTTCAGCCTCACGACCGCGATATTCGTCAGGCGCTTCTGCCCTATGGGTTGCTTGTAAGTCGACATGGCGGCTGGCGTTTCGCGAAACAGGCCATTCCAGTATGGATTCGGGAATCTTTGTTCTAGCTTCCTTGCTCGCCATTGGAGGTAGTCGTACGCGGTAGTAGTCCACAGCCCTGCAGGTGCAGGTCACCCTAAATGCTTGTACAGTTGTGCGAATGCTATTTCAGTTGTTTCGGACATGAGACGGTTGTTTTGGTTTTGGTGTGTGAATGCTGACATGCATCCGTGAGCTGAATTGAAGCACCAGTGCCGTGACGTGGCGTGATCGTGACGTGACCCCCAAGCCAAGGACAATTGTCCGCGCCCTTGCCGTGACCTGGTGGCCTGGCAGCTCTCGCCGAACTGGCAGGTTTGGCGAAAGCTCTGCTGAGTCCTTCCAGCCGAACCGGATTGGCTACGGCAGGGCGGACCTGGCATCGCGCTCCCGCCAACACCCAGTACGATTGAAGAATCTTGTCCGTTTATATGTTGCAGCAAACTCATTCTCCACCGTTCGATATGTTAAGGCCAGATAGTTCTCAGGGCGCGGGAAAACATTTTTCAGAGTTAATCCCATGAGCGAACACACACACATCCATCCTTGCCCTCCTGCTCTGCTGCTCCATCCATCCATTCATCCTTGCCAGCCATCATCCATTCCCAAGGATTTTACAATAGCTCTCTATCTGTCCGTAGTCACTTACGGTCAGTTCTGCTGCTATCTCATCACTTCCTTCGCACATCCCTCTTGCTTATATTTTCAATCAGTCGGCGATTCCCCAGCTTCGTGGTCATCCTTCGCCACGCTTATCTCTGCTCTAGGCGCGACCGTAAGTGACTCCTTCCGGCGGCAACATTTCGCTGCACCACTCCGAACTCGACAAAAGTTCCTCGCACAAACGACCATCACTGGACCGGCCTGCGCGTTACATCATGAAAGGGCTTTCTGACGCTTCCGCCGGTCGCGGCGACTCGCCGATCGCTGAATCGGATTCATCTGCGGAATGCTCGTCTCCCACCTCCCTGCTGGACGACGGCACTCTCTCCCTCGTCCTCTCCTTCCTCCCCTCGCGCTTCGCTGTCGCCTCCGCCGCCTTCGTCTGCCGCCGCTGGTGCCGCCTCGCGCTGCGCGTGTGCGTGCGATCGCTCCGTCCGTCGCCCTTCGTGCTCGAGAGCTTAGCTCCGAATCTTGAGAGCGTCCTCGGTAGTTTCGACTCCGAAGCGCAGATGCTCGAGTTGACGACGCGGTTCGCGGCTTCACTCCGTTCTTTGGAGATCCGTCCCGGCGCGAGGAACTTAATCTCCTCTGAAAAGGATAAGCTGACTCCCGATGGCATTGTGGGAATCCTTCGCAACGCGTCGCGGATCGAGTCCCTATCGCTGGTCAGTTGCGTCGAGCAGAATTGCCCGAGAAGAGGGTCGCTTCCCATGACCCAATCAGAGTTCGCCACGGTGGTGTTACCGGCCCTGCCACGTCAGCTCAAGTCCCTCAATCTCCGCTCGGAGCATTTTCTCTGCCCTGCAGCGTGCGCAGATCCGCTCGTGTTTGCTCCAAGCGTGTGTTTCATTCATCGCGAGAAGGGGGATGAAGAGGTGCTGAGCACGAGGACCGATCGCGTGTGGGGTGAAGGGGATGGCCTTCAATACGCGGGCTCGACCAGGTTCCCCCCTCCGCCACCTCCGCCTCCTCCTCGTGCCCCTCCGCCACCTCCGCCTCCGCCTCGTGCCCCTCCGCCACCTCCGCCTCCTCCTCGTGCCCCTCCGCCACCTCCGCCACCTCCGCCACCTCCGCCACCTCCGCCACCTCCGCCAACGCCTCGTAACCCTCCGCCACCCGCGCCTCCTCCTCCTCCTCCTCTTCCTCCTCCTCCTGCTGTTCCACCTTCCTCACCTCCTTCCCTCCCCCCTCCTCCGCCTCCTCCTCCTTCTCTTCCTTTTGCTCCCCCTCACAGTCCCCCTGTCCCTCCACCACCCGCCCCACCACTCCCCCCTATCCCCTTCCGCCCGCCACAACCCATCTTCCTAACAGACCCCCTCCTCCAATCAGTCGCCTCCCTCCTTCCCAATCTCCACTCCTTAAACCTCGACACACCAGCGGACTTTAAACCCGAGTCCATAGAACAGCTCGCGGCATCTCTCCCCCACCTGGCAGCCCTCTCCCTCTGGTCCGACGGCATCACCTGGGAGACGGTCGCGCTCCTCCTCGCGCTCCTCCCCTCCCTGCAGCACCTCTCGCTCGTGTCATTCGCCTTGGATCCGCGCTCCTCGCGTCAGGCGGGACGCGAGTCCGATCTCTTCTCATGCCCCTCGGGCTCGTCCCTCGCTCCGTCCCTCTCCTCCATCCGTCTGTACACCGCCCCCCACCGCTCCGTCTCCTGGCACCTGCCTCGCGCCTCCTCGCTCCTGCACGCCTTGGGTGCTGGCTGCTCGGCCACTGATGCGGAAAAGAGCACCATTAGCAGCAGCAGCGGCGGTGGCGGTAGCAGCAGCAGCAGCAGCAGCATTGACAGCAACAGCAGCCACCGCGGTAGTGGCGTCAGCCTGCCTCTCCCCCGTCCGTCTTCCTTCCCTCTGCGCTCCTTACACGCCCAAAATGCACCCCTATCCACGTGGCCGCTCGTTGGCCACCTGTTCCGCCACCTCACCACTCTGGATCTGTCCCAATCGAAAGCTCTGAGCCCCTCATCCCAGCCCCACGGCAGCTCGGCTGAGTGGGAGCAAAGCGAGGAGGCGCTCTGCCAAGCCATCCGGTCGCTCCCCCTCCTAGAACGCCTCGCCCTTCCCTTGGCGTCAGACGCCATTCTGACGGAAATCTCGCAGTCCTGCCCGAAGCTCATCGCCCTGCACGCCCAGCCGCTGGCGCAGTTTGTGGCTGTTTTTGACAATAGGCCTCCTCACTTCAGTATGCATGCCCGCGACAATCCCTCCCGTCAATACTGCCTGTCCTCCCAAGCTAGGACCTGCCTGCGAGTGGCCCTCCCCCCTATCCAATCACGGGTGACCGATGCCGGGGTGGTAGCGATTGCTAACGGATGCACGCGATTGGAGCAGCTGAGCCTGGGCGGCTGCGTGAACGTGGGGCCAGTGGGGCTGCGACAGCTGGCGAGGAGGTGCGGGCGGCTGGAGATGCTGAGGCTGGCGCGGACAGCGGTGAATGATGCTGCTGTTGTGGCGGCACTGTTTGGCGACACCTGGCCAGGAGCTGCTGCTGTGGGTGCTGCCGCTGTTGGCAGGAGTGCTGGCGCTGCTGCTACTGTTGGGGGTGCTCCTGAAGTTTCACCTGCTCCTGGCCCCACTGCTGGTGCAGGCAGCGCGTCCGCTGCTACACTCCAGCTGCACCTGCCACGGCTCCTTCTGCTGGACCTGTATGGCTGCCCTGGGGTTTCGCCCTCCCTCCTGCTAGCGTTCTTGGAAGCAGCCAAGGAGCTCGCTGGAGATAGTGGGGAGTGCAGGGATGGGGTAGCTGAAGTGGAGAAAGAGGAGGATGGGGACTATGAGGAGAAGAGAGTCGTGGACGAGGGGAAGGGGCATTATCAGGGGAGGGTGGAACTGGGAAGGAATTTTGGATTGCAGGATTTTAGGCTGCGGCGGCTGCTGGTGTCTCCTGAAGTCATTGTTGGGGATGATTGGAGGGTGAGAAAGAGGGGTGGAAGCAAGAGTGGGATGGGGGATTGTGGAGGAAGTGAACGTGGTTCTGTCAGTGTGGATTTAAGGCTAGCTGCAAGGGAGGTGGGGATGCTGTTGCCACGATTGGTGGTGACGGCTAGAAGGACGGCGGAGCATGTTCTGCCATGGGATGGTTTCTTTGGAGAGAGGAAGCTGGAGGTTGCTGGATATGATGGGGAGGAGCGTGAGTTCTAATGCGATGTGTGATGGACGAGATTGATAGAATATACTGCATGATTTCAAGCATGGAAGAGATTGATACTACCATATTTCTAGTTTGATCAATTGATGAAGCCATTTCTGTAAGATTTTCCCTACTTGCACATCTGTACGTTGCAGTGCGGTTCTCGACCCCGCATGTTCTGCACGCACCCTGTCAAGATCGCCCCCCCCTTGCTTTTGCGCCCGCTCCGCGGATGACTCCCCTTGACTAGGGGGGTGAGGTTCCAACCTGCAGTGATCGGCGCGGCCAACCCTGTGGTCGGTCAGCTGGTCGCCTCTTTTCGTTCGCCATTCTCGAGGGCCTACCAGCAAGCCAGCCAGCCAGCCTGACTCCTGCTCTCTGCCGTGTTCACGGAAAAACATCAGTGTACTAGTAGCTTGTCGGCTCTTCAGGACAGCTTGTGCTCGCTCAGCCTGTCTCTTACGACGAGAGCTTACGACGCCCTAATTTGACGGACACACGGCGTAGTTTGGTTCCTCAGTTACAAACGCGCGACGCATTTCAGAAACAGTGTTTGGATTTGCTGGCTGGAGCTCTTACATTCCGTAGACCTCGTCTGTATGATGCGTGTTCCTCACAGCCGTCACTATTCCTCTCCCACCTCGAGTATTTATAGCAGTAGCACGGAGCGTTAGCTTGGTGACTTTTGAGTCGACTCAAAAGTCACCTTTTAACACGGAGCGTTATCTCGAAGGGCATCGTTTCGCCGGATTATTCCGAGTTGAGTTCTAGGGTACGAAAATGATTGCACTACCCCAGTGACGAATAAGCTTCACGCCATAGCCCAATCTCGTTAGAGCTGTACCATGAAGCATGTCGTCGCCGTTCCGTCCCTCCGCGTGCAGCCTTCCGCTGCCATAGCTCCAAGCGCCTGCGTTAGAGGAACCTCTCTGTCCTAGCCACCTGCTCTGGACAGTAATTTTCCCAACCTGACAATGCGGCTTGATTACATTTGAAGACTCGACCCAACTTAACACGGCTGTCACGATCCGCGATCGAGCGATTGCATTTTCCACGGAGTCTCCCAGACAGACCTCTCTTCAGCTAGATTCTTAAACACTCGCCATGCGGTTACTTACGTTCGATCGGATACATGCTGCGGGTAGCCCCAGTAGATAGTGCTGGTTTCCGTGCTGTGTGGATGCGAAGCGAGAGGACAAAGAGGAAGAAGAGAGAAGGAGAGAGAGAACGAGGAGTAAGTGTGGCGTGATAAGTGGGAAGAGAGCCGGCGCATGGCCCAAGGTGACTCGTGAGTCGACTCGACGACGGTCACGGGTGGTGGCGCATGGCCCTGTCAGCGTCGCACGCGCTGACGTCGCGGAACAGTTTTTTCCGCCCGCGCTACCTCAATGAGGCGCCGGTAAGCCTGACGGAGTGAGTTTTTTTCACAAGCAGAGCTGTGGTTTGGTCAACGAAGTCGAGAAGAGGAGGTGAGTCTTAAGCCCGCTCACATAGATCCGCTTATTCTGGAAGTTAGTCTGCGTGGCTCAAGCTCTACTTTTTACCCATACGTTTCCACTGATGCTCAACGCTCCCCTCCTCCACCAGGTGTTGAGCGAGGCGGAGGACCTGCCGCACCTGCGGGAGTTGGAGCTGTGCGTGAACGCGGACCTGGTGCACTGCACGTGGAGAACAAGTACGGCGCCTTCCCTGCTCCTGATCATCACCCTTCCCCTGCTCCTGATCCTAACCATCACCCCTAGCCCCATCTTCCCATCCCAGGTGCTGAGCGAGGCGGAGGACTTGCCGCACCTGCGGGAGTTGGAGCTGTGCGTGAACGCGGACCTGGTGCACGTGGAAAACAAGTACGGCGCCTTCCTCGGCCAGCCGCACCCCGCCTTCCGCCCGCAGCTCTTCTCCGCGCCCCTCTCCGACCGCTCCGCCGCGGGGCCTGGGCGGCCCAATGGGGGGCGCGATGGGGAGGATGACGACGCGGACGTGGAGCAGTATCTGGAGAACAGGGACCCGGACGATGAGGTGAGAGGCCAGGCCATGGGGGGATAAGGGGGGGGGAAGAATGCGCGTGTATTAAGGCGGCTCACAACGCGGACGTGGAGCAGTATCTGGAGAACAGGGACCCGGACGATGAGGTGAGAGGCCAGGCCATGGGGGGATAAGGGGGGGGAAGAATGCGCGTGTATTGAGGCGGCTCACAACGCGGACGTGGAGCAGTATCTGGAGAACAGGGACCCGGACGATGAGGTGAGAGGCCAGGCCATGGGGGGATAAGGGGGGGGAAGAATGCGCGTGTATTGAGGCGGTTCACAACGCGGACGTGGAGCAGTATCTGGAGAACAGGGACCCGGACGATGAGGTGAGAGGCCGTTGGGGAGGGCTAGGGGGGGGGGGGGGGATGTGTGTGTATTGAGGCGGCGCACAACGCGGACGTGGAGCAGTATCTGGAGAACAGGGACCCGGACGATGAGGTGAGAGGCCAGGCCATGGGGGGATAAGGGGGGGGAAGAATGCGCGTGTATTGAGGCGGTTCACAACGCGGACGTGGAGCAGTATCTGGAGAACAGGGACCCCGACGATGAGGTGAGAGGCCGTTGGGGAGGGGGGGGGGGGGGGGGGGGGATGTGTGTGTATTGAGGCGGCGCACAACGCGGACGTGGAGCAGTATCTGGAGGCGAGGGGAACTTGTCCAGACGTGTTTTGAGTGAACTCAAAATACACCCTACTCAGAACACAGGCGGCCCAATGGGGGGCGCGATGGGGAGGACGACGGCGCAGATGTCGAGCAGTATCTGAAGAACAAGGACCCGGACGATGAGGCGAGAGGCCATGGTGGGAGAGGAAAGCGGCGAGGGGGAGCTTCATATTGGGAAAACAGGGGGAAGGGAGGGAGCACGGCATTGGGAGAAGAAACGCGGGAGGGGGGCAAAAAGTTGGGACATGAAACTGGAGAGCGAGCGAGAAGAGACATGCCATTGGGGAGAAGAAGGGATGAGGGGGAAGGAAAGGGCATGGCGTTGGGTCCATGATAGGAGGAGGGGAGAAGGGCGTGACAGTGGGTGGGTAGATGAGAGGAGGACGAGAAAAGAAACCGAGGAGAGGTGCGGAGCTTGGCCTGTCACAGGTGTCATCACACAGTTGCTGCCACGTATTGACACAATGGCACCTATTTGGTGTTCTATAGGGCGTGACAGTGGGTGGGTAGATGAGAGGAGGACGAGAAAAGGAACGGGGGAGAGGTGCGGAGCTTGGCCTTGGAGAAAGGGAAGGGAAAGGGGGTAGGGTAGGAGCATGGCATTGAATCGGACGGAAGCAAAAAAAAGACTCAGACGAAAACGCTCCCTGGTTTCCTTTCCTGTTGTCTCTTGCATGCCATCCCTCAGCACTACGGAGGGCCGCCCATCATGGCGTATAACCCCCTGTTCACCTGGGAAACGGAGAGAGCGGCTGTGATTGGCCAACGGTTGCCCATCAAGCCCATCGTCAGCAGCACAGTGTACGTGGGGCTTCCCTCCTTCCGTCACATGCCTCTGCCGATTGCCTTCTCTCCCTCGTCTCCTCACATGGGCGCTTCTGAGAATCCGAAGCATTGGCATCTCCACCTGCGTCTGTTTCTTGCCTTTCCCTGTGGTGAGCTTACGGTCTCGTCAAGAATCTTACTTGCCGCATCCTCTCTTCCCCTCCCACGTGCTTTCCCTGCCCTCGTTCTCCCCCCCCCCAGAGGTACTCGCTTCTCTGTGCGGATACTGTCGTTCAACGTACAGGCGGGCCTTGTGGAGCCCTTTTATGGCACCATCTGTTTGTATCACACGGAGAAGAAGGAGAAGGTCTCAGAGGACTTCCACTTCCAGTACCTGCCGCTCTCCTGGGATGGGGTGAGTACCAAAGGTCCGTGTGTAATCGACTCATTACACATGGGGTGAGTACCAAAGGTCTGCCTTGGAACGGGGTGAGTACCAAAGGTCTGCCCTGGAACGGGGTGAGGAAGGCACAGCTGGTTTCGAGGCGCCTCAAAACCGCTCTCCTGGGATGGGGTGAGTACCAAAGGTCCGTGTGTAATCGACTCATTACACATGGGGTGAGTACCAAAGGTCTGCCTTGGAACGGGGTGAGTACCAAAGGTCTGCCCTGGAACGGGGTGAGGAAGGCACAGCTGGTTTCGAGGCGCCTCAAAACCGCTCTCCTGGGATGGGGTGAGTACCAAAGGTCCGTGTGTAATGAGTCGATTTTTGAGTCGACTCAAAAATCGACTCGTTACACATGGGGTGAGTACCAAAGGTCTGCCTTGGAACGGGGTGAGTACTGAAGGCACAGCTGTGCGAGCCCCATAGTAGGACGGCGAATCGTGTCTAGTCATATGCTCAACTCGCCCCCTCTTCCCTCTCCTACTTCCTCCTTCCCCGCCTCCTCTTCAAACCCACACCTGTGAGTGCCAGGAGAGCCCGCTCCCTGATCCCGACGTGCATTATTCACAGTGGTGGGGCACGAACGAGTCAGCAGCGCTGTGCCTGCTGGTGCAGGCGGAGCGATAGCCGTTCTCGCACTCCTTGTAATGCCTCTTTTCCTGTCAACCCACCTCCTCCCCACAACGCACCAAGTGGTTTCTGCCAGGAGAGCTCGTTTCCGGAGCTGCGGGGGATATTCACGGTGGAGAGGGAGGCGTCGGCGCTGTGTCTGCTAATGCAGGTGGAGCGATAGTCATGCTCACAAGCGCCTTGTTAATGTTTTACCACTTTTCCCGCCCCTTCCCCCCCCCCCCCCGGCACCTTCCCCCCCAAAAAAACCATGTGTACGTATATGCATCAGGCGAGCACGCCCCCGGAGCTGCGAGCGATATTCACGGTGGAGAGAGAGGCGTCGGCGCTGTGCCTGCTGGTGCAGGTGGAGCGGGCTGTCACCGAGGAAAGTCTCAATGGCGTCAAGGGGTCCGTGTACACCAGAAAGGACCCTGTGAGTGCGCTCTTCACGCTGTTAATCTAGGGTAAATAAAAATGTAGGGCAGCCGGTGAGGAGGAGAGCCTAAACGGCGTCAAGGGGTCCGTCCGTGTACACCCGCTGCCACACCTGTTCCTGTACATCGCTGTGATCTCTTCTCTTTGGTGGTAGTGTCCTGTTTTACTCATCACCATTCACCTCCTTCCCTCCCGTTTTGCTGGGTTCCCGTTCTCCGTGCAGCCTGTTTTGACAGACAGGGAGGCATCTCACCTCTCCGAATGGGCACAGGTCAGCCATTCCTCCCTTACCACACCTCTCCTTCATCCCCTCTTCTCTCTCAATCTATCCTAAGACCATGTTCCCCAACATTGAGCCGACTCAGAAGTCACCTGCCTACCCCACCCCACCCCCCGCTTTCCCCCCCATACTCGCAACATCTCACTCGTCATGCCAATTCGTGAAACCTTTGCCGTGTCAGCCCATTCAATCATCACCCATCCGTCCCCTTGTTCCTCTATTGCGTCACCCATCCCATCCCATCCCCATACACCCCTTCACAGGGCATGCCATTCCACGAGGCCTTTGCCATCCCAATCAGCCCAATCTTCAGGCATCGATTCCCCTCGTTTCCCCATACGTCACCCATCCCATCCCATCCCCATACACACCGCCACAGGGCATGTATTCTGCGAGGCCTTTGCCTTCGCCTCCTTTCTTAAACCACTCACCTCCTCATCCCCTCATCCCTCAAACCCTAAAAACCCCACGTTTCCCTCCCCCGCACAGGGCATGCCATTCCGTGAGGCCTTTGCGTTCGCCACCATCCCTCTCTTCGACTCTGCAGCCACAGGAGGGGCGACCGCCTTTGGAGGCAGCAGCACAGGGGTTGGCACACCAGGGGTGCTGGGAGGGGCGGCAGGCGGAGGCGGGGGGGAGGGGTAGGGGGGCCGGGAACGCCGGGGACTAACAGTGGGCCACTGGGGGAGGGGGGCGCTGCTCCGCGGTATGAGCTGGGGGGTCCGCTGCAGGTGGACATCCCCTGTCTGCAGCGGGTGAAGGAGTGCTACACTGAAGACCAGCTCTTTGTACGTGCTGTGCGGCGTTTGGATGTACCGTGGTTTCAAATGGTTTTTGTTGCCCGGTCATCTGTTGCTGTGCCCCCTTGCTTCGCTTATTTCTCTACTTTCCCAGCTATCATATCCTCTGTCTATCCTCCCTTTATCCCTCATTACTCCCACCTTCCTCCCTCAAGCCCCCCCACCAGGACCCCAAGCACAAGGTGCACAAGCCCGTGCGCATGTCCATGGAGGTGGAGGTGGAACGCCTGCCAGGCAGCACAGTCCTGCTCCTTCCCTCACCCCCCACTATCACCCCCTACAACCCCACCCCCCCCCTTCCCCCCCTCCCCAACCAGGATCCCAAGCGCAAGGTGCACAAGCCGGTGCGCATGTCCATGCAAGTGGAGGTGGAGCGCCTGCCAGGCAGCACAGCCCTCTCGCAGGGCGCCCAGGCAGGGGTGGGGGGGTCCGGCACCCCGCACAGCCACGCCATGATGGGCCACACGCGGTCAATGGAGTCAATTGGGTCTGATGTGGAGGAAATGGGTGCGCTAAGTCGCACCTTCTCCATCTCACGGCTGCTGAATGGGGTGAGCTCGCATGCCAACAATAATGCAGCGATTTTCCGTTTTGAAAAAGTTTCCGTGGTGAGTTTTCGTGGGCTAGCCATGATGACGCAGTGTATCCAGCCCCGCCACACATCAAAATCAAAGCAGTGTATCCAGGCTGCAAAATGAAATCGGTTCCCAACATGGCGCAGGCAAGTTCCCCATCACAAAACCCCCACCCGGCCCCACTCTTCTCCCCACCCCCTCCGGGCCACTCCCATGAGTTCCAGGCCCCGGATTTCACAGGCATGACCCGCGCGGAGCCGTTCATTCACCTGCCTTTTCCCTGTCCTCCCAATCCACTCTTCCCTTCTCCCCCCCCTCCCCCCCTCCCAAACCCCCCTCCCACCTTCTGTCGCCCCTCCCACCAGTTCCACGCACTGGACTTCACGGATATGACCCGTGCGGAGCCGTTCACGCATCTGGAGCACCTGGTGTTCGTGTACCCGCACAGCGTGGCGCTGCCCAAGAAGCTCAACCTCTTCGTGCGCGTGGAGCTGAGGGATGACGACGCCGACCTCCAGTCCTCTCGCCCGCAGCTCGAGGTAAGACTAGTTTTGAGGCGCCTCAAAACCCGCAGCTCGAGGTAAGATAATTCCTTTCTTGCCCTGTGGAGGTGGGTAGAGGCTGCCTTCGTCAGTTGTAGGATCCAGAGGGGGGCCAGCTTGAGAGGGGGGCCAGCTTGAGAGGGGGGCCAGCTTGAGAGGACGGCCAGCTTTAAGGGGCGGCCAGCATGAGGGGGCGGCCACCAGGAGAGGGCGGCCAGCTTGAGAGGGTGACCAGCTCCAGGGGGCGGCCTGGATAGGGTGGCCAACTCCAGGGGGCGACCAACATGAGAGGGCAGTCAGTCAGACGCTGTGCTTTTCTTTGGACGCAGTGTGCTCTGTCGTCCGCTTCATGGTCTTGACAGGCACCTCGGGCAGGATGGGCTCACTTCTGCTCTTGTGTGCCCTCTTTTCCCCCTCTCCTTCCTTCCTTCCTTCCTTCCTTCTCGTCTTTCACTGCTGCCCTCCTTCTATCCTGCTTTCTCCCCCCACTTCCCCACCCGAACTCCCCTCCACCAGCATCAGGCCTTTTTGCCATGGGAGTGGGACCAATCCATAGCTAGGGTATCCCTCGGGGGTCTGATACGGTGATACATCTACTCTAACCCCTTTCCCCATCAGGCCATCTTCCCATGGGAGCGGGACCACGCCATGCAGCGCGTGGCGTCATCGCAGGTGGCCATGGGCATGCGCCCGTCGCTCTTCCACGACGAATTCAAGATCCAGCTGCCTGCCGTGCTGCAGCCCTCCCACCACCTCCTCTTCTCCTTCTTCCACATTGACCTTGCCGTCAAATCCGACCGCCCCAAACCGGTGAGCTTGTAAGGGGGACAGGGTGTGCTTGTGAGGGTGCAGCGGCCGTGCTGCTCCCCTCCCACACCACCTCCTCTTCTCCTTCTTCCACATTGACCTTGACGTCGAACCTGACCGCCCCAAACCTGTGAGTCCATAAGGGGGACAGGGCGAGCTTATAGGGGTGCAGGGCGAGCTTATTAGGGGGACAGGGAGAGCTTGTGATAGGTAGATGCTGCCGTGCTGGACCCCTCCCACCGCCTCCTCTTCTCCTTCTTCCACATCGACCTTGCCGTCTATTCCGACCGCCCCAAACCGGTACGCTTATAAGGGGGACAGGGCGAGCTAATGAAGGGGGGAGCTTATGAGGGTGAGCTTATACCGGGGTGCAATGTGAGCTTGTAAAAGGAACATGCCACCGTGCTGCTCACCTGCCACCCTTTCCTCTTCTCCTCCGTCCACATCGACCGTGCCCTCAAGTCCGACCGACCCCAAACCTGTAAGCGGTGTCTGGAATTCCTCGCTCTCGGACTTGACAACCCTTTGATCTGGCACAGTTTGATCCAAGCCTGTGGCATCAAAGGTGCATGTTGACTTTTGAGTCGACTCAAAAGGCATCAAAGGGGCATGTTGACTTTTGAGTCGACTCAAAAGGCATCAAAGGGGCATGTTGTTGATTTGAGAATGGGCTTATGGGGGATGCTGATTTGCGTTGACATGTTGTGCGTTGCTGATGTGGCAGGTTGTGGTTGGATACTCTGTCATGCCTCTGTCGGCTGTCACGCAGTGAGTCGGTGAACCCACTAGGCGTCTTGGTCCGCATGCATGGACGTGGTGTCTTGGTCCGCATGCATGGACGTGGTGTCTTGGTCCGCATGCATGGACGTGGTGTCTTGGTCCGCATGCATGGACGTGGTGTCTTGGTCCGCATGCATGGACGTGGTGTCTTGGTCCGCATGCATGGACGTGGTGTCTTGGTCCGCATGCATGGATGTGGTGTCTTGGTCCGCATGCATGGACGTGGTGTCTTGGTCCGCATGCATGGACGTGGTGTCTTGGTCCGCATGCATGGACGTGGTGTCTTGGTCCGCATGCATGGACGTGGTGGAACTCCCTCATCAACAACACCTCCCTTCCCTTCCAAATGCATGGGGCACACACTCGTGTGCTTTCCTCTGATTCCCATGTTAGGTGTGCGTGCATTCATGTGCTCATCCATGCTTTTGAGTTGACTCAAAAGTACACTTGTGTGCTTTCCTCTGATTCCCATGTTTAGGTTTGCATTCATTCACGCTCTCATCATCCATGTGCCATCCAATTACGTGCACTCACCCCTCCTCCCTTCACTCCACCCGCCGCAACCCCCACCACCAGGTCGTTCAAGGGCGAGATGAACCTTCCCATGTCCAAGGACCTGCTCCCAAGGTACCTGCACGAGAGCACCAAGGCGAAGCTCACCTTCTGGGAGGAAGGCAAGCCCGTGTTCCGCATGCGCACACGCCTCTTCTCTTCCCTCCTCCCCCTCTCCGACCGCCTGCGGGACTTCTTCAAGCAGTACGACCGCCACGTGCTGGAGGCGCCGCTGCCCCGGGAGGATCTGCTGGAGTCGATTAATGGGCTCAAGGGGGTGGACACGGTGGTGCTGCTGCAGTTCCTCTACCCGCTGTTGAACATGCTGCTCTGCATGATTGGCAACGGGGTCGAGACGCTGCAGGTGGCGGCTTTCCGTGCCATGGTCAATATTGTGTCGAGGTGAGAGCGTTGCGTTGCGTCGTGTCGAGGTGATAGCTTCTGGGAAGAGGTTTTGGGGGCGACGCAGATACCAGATGTATGCTACTGCAGTTCATGTACCGCTGCTCAGCATGCTGCTCTGCATGATTGACAATGGGGTCGAGACGCTGCAGGTGACGGCGTTTCGTGCCATGGTGAACATAGTGTCGAGGTGAGTGCTTTGGGAAGCGGTTTGGGGCCACCCACGGCTAGCTTGCTTGCTTGCTTGTGTGCTGCATTCCGTGTGTGCAAATGTTCTGCATGGCGGGGTAAGCGTGCAGTGCAGCTACTTTTCTTGTGCCATGTGAAACTGTTTGCGCTACAGGGTTGAGAGTGCGTGACCCATGGCTGTGTGCGCCACATGTGAATTCGTGTCTGAGTGCATTGTGGCGAGGACAGTGTTGGGAAAACTGGGAGGCAGTCATGTGTGAAGTAATTGTGTCTGATTGCATCAAGGCTCCTTCACCAGCAGTCCTCTCCCTCCCTCCTCTCCTCCCCTCCCTTCCCCTTACCCCCCCTCCCATATTGAACAACAGAGTTCAGGCGGAGCTGTCCTTTTGAGTCGACTCAAGGTCTCCCTCCCTCCTCCCCTCCCTTCCCCTTCCCCCCCCCCCATATTGAACACCAGAGTGCAGGCGGAGCTGTCCCCCAAGCACCCGCGCAACCGCTTCCTGGTGCACTTTGTGGACTTCGTCTTTGACGACCTCGGCCGGCAGCAGCCGCCCGTCTACCCCGGGCTCAGCAACGTCTGGCGCAGCCTCGCCCGCAGCAAGGTGCGCAGGAATGGGCTCTCAGGGATTGGGGTTGAGGTGCAGTTTGTGTGCTCCCAGCAATGTACTCAGCTTAGGGGTCAGGGTTGGGGTAGTGATTAGGTGCTGTCTGCTCTGCATGCTGTCAGCAAGGTTCTTACGGCTTTGGGTAAACTTTTGACCGTTCAACCAATCCCTGACAACTTGTCCCTTCACTTCTCTACCGCCCCCTGCTGTCATTCCGCCTTTTCCCGAGCCTGCAGTCCCGGGGCTTCCGAGTAGGTCCGGTGTACAGCGAGGCGCTGTCCATGGCGTGGTTTGTGCTGGAGCTCGTGGTCAAGTCCATGGACCTGGAGCTCGCCCAGGTGCCGCAAGGTGAGTGCTGCCCAGGTGCCGCAAGGTGAGTGCTGCCCAGGTGTCGCGAGGTGAGTGCTGCCCAGGTGTCGCGAGGTGAGTGCCGCCCAGGTGCTGCAAGGTGAGAAAAGACTCCCTTCCTGTGTGCTGCAAGTTGTGATGCTGTAGCGGTGGTTGTTAGTGTGAGAAACTGAAGGCATGATTGGTAGACATGAGCAATGAGGCGAGGATTTCCTCGCCTCGGAAATCCTCGCCTCGAAATTCCGGGGGTCGAGGCAGGTTTTCTGGGGAAATTCCTCGCGAGGATTCCTCGCCCCGCCCCGGCGAGGATTCGAGGCCTCGATTTTTCCTCGAGGCAAATGGGCGAGGATGTTCCCATTACCCCCCCCCCCCTAACCCCCCAGCCGCCCAGGTCAAGGAATCCTCGCCCCGGGTCAAGGAATTAATCCTCGAGGCGAGGATTTCAATCCTCGACCCCAAAACCCGGGGGTCGAGGGGGGATTTTCATGAAAAATCCTCGGCGAGGATTCCTCGACCCGCCCCGGCTAGGGCGCGAGGATGAGATCCTCGGGTCAAGGAATCCTCGCCTCGCCCCGTGCTCATGTCTAATGATTGGATTAGGAAAGGAGCGGGTATACATAGGTGAGGAGCAGGAGGGGGGGTTTGGTTGGGAGGTGACCACGATTATTGGTGACCCCAATAAGTTGAGTTGGCCAACTTATTGGGAGTCCAATCATCCTAGCCAAGATTATTTGGTGGGTCGAATAATCCTGGTTGGGATTATTGGGGGTTCCAACCAATAATTGGGAGCCCAACCAATTTGGGAACCCAACCCCCAACTTGGGTGTATATACCCTAGTGGGGTGCTTATAAGTACCTAAGACAATGAAACGATGTAGGCTAATAGAATGAAGGGAGAATATTCTAACAGTTAGTTGTAAGTTGGGCTGGTCCGACCCCAAGTCCATGGACCTGGAGCTCTCCCAGGTGCCGCAAGGTGAGCCGGCTAGGTTGGGGCTTTCCTCCTTGCTGCATGGAGAGACGTTAGCGTGGGGAGCATGGGACGCTGAAGTGACGTGGAGCTCCCCCAGGTGCTTCCAGGTGAGTCGTCTAGTCTAGGGAGCACTGTTGGTTGAAATTCCCCACCCACCTCAGATGCTTGATGCATAAATCCCCCCACCCCCCACATCTTCCCCCCTCCCCACCTGCCCCCCCTTCTCTGAGCATTTCACCAGGCGATGAGATCGCGCGGCTGAGGCTGGAGGACGAGGTGTTTCTGTGCATCCGGCAGCTGTTTGAGTGCCTGCTGGTGGAGGTGCAGGAGAAGGCCGACGCCGACTACCCGCTCGCGCGCCGCCTCACCAACTCCCTTGCCTTCTTCTGCTACGACCTCATCACTGTCGTCGACCCGCCTCAAGTGTTTGAACTCGTGAGTTCATTTCTTCTTAAGTACTTATTGTAGCACCGCAGATGAAATGAGTAAGCGCCCTGCCTGCCTTTTTCTGTGGGCTATAAGTGCCTTTAGAGTGCATCCGTTTACGTGTTTTTCTTCTCAACCGAGCAACCCTGATTTGCCTACGGCTATTCCAAACACGTACGCAGTCCTTTTCTCTCTCTTTTCTCGTGCATAGAGGTGACTTCTGAGTTGACGCCGAGTTCACCTTGATCACGTGCATAGGCATACAGGCTGTCTCTTGAGACGTGTCAGAGTGTCTTTTTGGAAAGAAAACCTTTGAGACTTGTCGAAGCCCACGACACTTGTGTCACGCTTCTGACCATCCTTTCTCTACCCAACCCTTCTCCCCCCCCCCCCCCCCCAATTCCCCCCCAGGTGGGTCTGTTTTTGAGGCGCCTCAAAAGCAGACTCCCCACGACACTTGTGTCATGCTTTTGACCATCCTTTCTCTACACAACCCTTCTTCTCCCCCCCCCCCCCCCCCCTTTTCCCCCCAGGTGGGTCTGTTCCTGTCGCAGCTAGCAGGCATGTGTGCGGCCAACCAGCACTCCCTGAAGCTGCACTTTCTGCGCATCCTCTGCGACCACAACTGCTCTCTCTCCCTCTTGTCCCCTGTCCCCTGCCCCCTGTCCCCTGTCCCTGTCCCTGTCCCCTGTCCCCTGTCCCCTGTCCCCTGTCCATCTCCCTCTTGGCCCCCCTCTCATTCCCCCCCAGGTGGGTCTGTTCCTGTCACAGCTAGCGGGCATGTGTGCGGCCAACCAGCACTCCCTGAAGCTGCACTTCCTGCGCATCCTCTGTGACCACGACCTCTTTGTCGAGACGCCAGGCCGAGGGCCCACTGAAAAGTAAGTCCCCAAAAGTGCATCTTTTTCTGTCAGACTGTATTTGAGGCTCCGCAAAATGCGTTTTTGTGAGGACGCGGGCAGAGGGCCCACCAGAAAGCTAGTCTTGAAATGCGTCTGCGTCAGTCAGTCAGACCGTACGGTTTCGAGGCGTTTAAAGAGTAGACCACCCATTGTGTCGTGGCGGTTTCCGGTACCTCGGATGGTTCCTTGCATTTTGCGGTGCCTAGCATAACATCAGAGCCATAGTTTCTTTCTTGTGGATGGTTCTGTTCCGTGTATTTCTTTCGTCGCACGGAAAGAAATAGAACTGTTGTCCCTCGTTCAAATCAATTCTAAGAATTTAAAGGAGCTCTCACTTCTAACGGACAACCACTCACTCTCCAGAATGGATTGTGCTTTTACTATGGCCATTAGCCACTCTTTCCTTCCCCATCCCCTCTCCTCTCCCCACATCCCTTTCCCCCTGTTTCCCTCCTGCTTCTTTTGAGTCGACTCAAAAGTCACCTGTTTCCCTCCTCCTTCTCATGCTAACCGAAACTTTCCGTTAACGAAAAATTTGCACCCCTTCCCCCCCCCTCCCCCCCCCCTTCCCCCCCCTTCTTCATTCAGGAACTTTTTGACTCAACTCAAAAATCACCTTCCCCCCCCCTTCCCCCCCCCCTCTTCATTCAGGAACTACCTGTCCACGGTTCTGATGAAGGACCTGTTCACAGGCTTGGACCATGAGGACCCCAACCAGCGAGCCACGGTATGCCATGCCATGCCATTCCTTGTTCTTTGCCCCGCAATGGGATAAGCATGGTGTAAAAGCACCATGCCCATTACATGCCCATTAAAAGCACCATGCCCATTACATGCCCATTAAAAGCACCATGCCCATTACATGCCCATTAAAAGTACCATGCCCATTACATGCCCATTAATAGCACCATGCCCATTACATGCCCTTTAATAGCACCATGCCCATTACATGCCCTTTAATAGCACCATGCCCATTACATGCCCTCCCTTACAGATGCGGCTCGCATTCCCCCTCTCACGCCCCCACTCATTCCCTCTCCTCCCCTCCCAGGCGTCGTGCATGCTGACGTTCCAGCGTTCCTCCCCCTCTTCCCCCCCCTCCCCTGCTCCACCCCTCTCAGGCATCGCGCATGCTGACGTTCCTGCTGACCAAGCACGAGTACGACTCGCGCTATCAGCAGACCGAGCTCAAGCTCTACATCTCGCAGCTCTACTTCCCCGTAGTCAGCCAGGTGCGCCCATAGCCAACCAGGTGCGCCCATAGCCAACCAGGTGCGGTCTCTATCGCCCCCCATGGTCAATCAGGTCAATGCTCAGGCCAATGCACATGGTCAATCAGGTCAATGCTCAGGCCAATGCACATGGTCAATCAGGTCAATGCTCAGGCCAATGCACATGGTCAATCTGCCTTCTCACCCCATACCTCCGGCTCACTCCCCCCGAGCCCACTCTCTCCTCCCTGCCCCCACCTCCTCTCCTCTGCTACTCCTCCCCGGCCTATTGGACGACCCTCAGGTGTTCACGCGCCTGGGCGTGCTGCATTCCCGCTCCCTGTGCAGTGCATCTCTCTCTTGCTCCTCCCTGCCCCCTAACCCTCTCCTCTGCTGCTTCTCCCCCAGCTATTGGACGACCCGCAGGTGTTTACGCGCCTGGGCGTGCTGCAGAAGCGGCAGGTGGTGGTGGGGGTGCTGGCAGTTCTGCGTCACGTGGACAGCGAGACGCTGCTCAAGGCGTGGAAGCACAGCCCGGCGCGCACTCAGCTCTTCTTCTCGCTGCTGCAGGAGTCGCTATTCCTCTTCCAGGTGACTATTCCCACCCCCCCACGCCTTGTGCTTTTGACTCAACTCAGAAGAGTCAAGGCGTGGAAGCACAGTGCCGCGCGCTGCGCGCACGCAGCTCTTTTTCTCGCACCTGCAGGAGTCGCTCTTCCTTTTCCACGTGACTGCAGCTGCCTGCACGGCAGTGCTTTGCGCCAGTGGGGGTGTGTTTTGAGTCAAGAGAGATCATGCTCGTAGCTGAAAGTAGCGAGTTGCGGCAGCTGATGAAGATGTGCATCCTTGCCCATCCCCTTCCCCTGCTTGCCCATCCCCTTCCCCCCACCTCTCGCCGATCTCCCATTTCTACTCCCTTCCCACTGGCCCCCATTTTTCTCCGCTCTCCCTCCCCAGTACACGGGCCGCACTGGAGTGAGCTCGGGGGAATTAGGCTCCGTGGTGCGCAACCTGCACAGCCTGGACGGCAAGGGGCGCAAGGGCGGCAGCGAGGGGGAGCTGCCGACCTTCCCGCTCTACTCCGACCGCGTCTCATTGGCCACCAACGACTCGCTCGATGACATGGCGCTCTCGGATTCGAAGGTGGGGATGGTGGAGGGGGAAGAGGGGAAGAGGTCCAGGGGGCAGGGGGGCGATGTGGGTATCTGAATCTATCTTGTGCGTCCTCAGTCCCCTCTCTTCCAATTGTCTTCACTTTTGCGTTCTCCACACCAAAACCTCGCCCATTCTCTCCTCATATTCCCACGGCCCTCCCCCTCCCCTCCCTCCTCCTTCCCCCCCACCCCCCCCCCCCCACTCACCCACCCCCCAACCCCTTTCCCCAGGGGAGTGGTGAGAGGGAGCAGCTAGCGCGCAAGTACAGCGGCATGTCAGCCACCAGCGCGCCAGGACAGTCTGCCGCCCGCCCACCCGTGCCTCTGAGGGAGGAGCTCAGGCGCGCCCGGGTGGCGCCACTGGAAGCCATGACCATTCTCAGACAAAGCCTGCCACCCACTGCTTCTGAGAAGCTGGTGGGTGAGCAAATATGATTCTTAATAATGTAGGTTTGTGTAGAAAGTGGAGCAGCTCAGCGTTTCCACCTGAGGGTCTTTCCCTGCCTTTCCCTTCCCCACCTCATCATACTCTACCCTCCCTTTCTCTCATCATACCCTACCCTCCCTTTCTCTCATCATACTCTACCCTCCCTTTCTCTCATCATACTCTACCCTCCCTTTCTCTCATCATACTCTACCCTCCCTTTCTCTCATCATACTCTACCCTCCCTTTCTCTCATCATACTCTACCCTCCGTTTCTCTCATCATACTCTACCCTCCCTTTCTCTCATCATACTCTACCCTCCCTTTCTCTCATCATACTCTACCCTCCCTTTCTCTCATCATACCCTACCCTCCCTTTCTCTCATCATACCCTACCCTCCCTTTCTCTCATCATACTCTACCCTCCCTTTCTCTCATCATACTCTACCCTCCCTTTCTCTCATCATACTCTACCCTCCCTTTCTCTCATCATACTCTACCCTCCCTTTCTCTCATCATACTCTACCCTCCCTTTCTCTCATCATACTCTACCCTCCCTTTCTCTCATCATACTCTACCCTCCCTTTCTCTCATCATACTCTACCCTCCCTTTCTCTCATCATACCCTACCCTCCCTTTCTCTCATCATACCCTACCCTCCCTTTCTCTCATCATACTCTACCCTCCCTTTCTCTCATCATACTCTACCCTCCCTTGCTCTCATCATACTCTACCCTCCCTTGCTCTCATCATACTCTACCCTCCCTTTCTCTCATCATACCCTACCCTCCCTTTCTCTCATCATACTCTACCCTCCCTTTCTCTCATCATACTCTACCCTCCCTTTCTCTCATCATACTCTACCCTCCCTTGCTCTCATCATACTCTACCCTCCCTTTCTCTCATCATACTCTACCCTCCCTTGCTCTCATCATACTCTACCCTCCCTTGCTCTCATCATACGCTACCCTCCCTTGCTCTCATCATACTCTCCCTTCCCGTTTCTATTCCCCAGTTGATATGGAAGGCCACCGTGTCAGCGTGGGTATCCCTTCAAGTGCCGGAGATGTTGGAGCTGTTCAAACAGGATCTCTTCTCTTCCCCTTAACTCTCTCACCTCGCCCCCTACCCCCTCCTCCCCTGGTCCACAACACCCCCCCACCCCTCTCTTCCCCTAGTTTTGAGGCGCCTCAAAACTAGACTCCCCCGGTCCACAACCCCCCCCCCCCCCCCCCCCCCTCTTCCCCTGATTCCAGTCCGTCTGGGAGGCCACCGTGTCAGCATGGGTGTCACTGCAGGTGCTGGAGGTGCTGGGGCAGTTAAGGAGGGACCTCTCCCTCTTTCCTCCCTCATCTCAGCCCCCTCCCCCCCCCTTCCCCCCCCACTCGTCTTTTTCACAGTCCGTCTGGGAGGCCACCATGTCAGCGTGGGTGTCACTGCAGGTGCTGGAGGTGCTGGAGCAGTTCAGTGACCTAGCAGCGGAGGGGGCGGTGGTGACAGACTATGACACCATGGACTGCCTTACCGGGCCCATCTCCGCACTCCTCAGCATGCCCCAGGTAACACCTGCTCTCAGCCCGCCCCAGGTAACACCTGCTCTCAGCATGCCCCAGGTAACACCTACTATCAGCATTCCTCAGGCAGTGTGTTTTGTGTTGAAAACTCCTGCTTTCCACTTCTAGAGGAGGAGACCTTCAACTCTTTTTTTAATTTCCAGTTTTTGCTTTCCTGTGCCCTTACAACTCCATCACCACTGTAATTGTCCCCTCTTCTTTTTCCCCCAGCCCGTGTCGTTCTGGGAGGTGTTTGTGCCGGCCTTTGCGGAGATGCTGCGGCTGCACGGCCGGGCGATGCTGGCAAGCAGCAAGGCCAACGACGCGCGCCTCAAGGACATGTTTGGCAACCTGCTCAAGCGCCTCATAGTCAGGCCCGAGTTTGTGCGCAAGAGAGCGCTGCTCTGCCTGTTGCTACTGCTGCGGGTGAGTTGTTTTTGGAGGAGTGCAGCATGGAACAACCAGGGCTTGGAGAATGTGCCTCAAGGACATGTTAGGGCGCGCTACATAGCGTCCGTTTCGGAGGATCGCGTGAAAAAATCCGATTGTCTGTTTTTTAAGGATATCGATTCTGTCTCAGTAAAAACGATCTGCAATATCGACCACGTACGCGACATAGCCATGTCCCAGATGTGCAACTTCCGATCTCGAGTATCGATTTGCAGCTGGACAGCATGTAGACATGATCAAAATGCGATTGCGATTTAAATCGCATCGCACAGGGGCGCGAAATAAAAAAATAAAAAAATAAAAAAATAAATAAAAAAGCAAAAAAACTGATGCGATATTAAATCGGCGATTTCCAAAACCGATGGTTATTTAAACCGATGCGATTTCAAAAAAATAAATTTCACATCGCATTTTCTGCGCGCTGGTTATTTAAACCGCATGCGATGTTTATTTAAATCGCACGATGGGATACCACCTCAGAATTCCGGAAAAGAACAACACCGATGGAATTTTGGTCACGAGCAGATCGCGTGCGATTAAAAAAAAAAAAAAAAATCGCCACTGCAAAAACGCGATTGAACGCGATGCGATGCGATTTAATCTGCCCATGTCTGACAGCATGGCATTTCGCATAACACTTCGTGAAACCCAGCAACCCTCCCAGGACGTTCGCCATTTCCAACACACACTACACCACGATTCGAGTCGTCCACCCAACATTTTCGCAATGGCGAGTTGACGAAGCACGTTTGATTTCGTGTAATTTGGGACGAAGCGATCGGGGACTTTGTCGAGAAGGACCATTTCGAGGCTTCTGTAGCTGTCGGGTTACCAGCTTTCTACAGTACCAAGATCGGAAAATGATAGGAGAGCCGGACGCAATGTAGCGCGTCCTTGGGCAACCTTTTCAAGCAGCTCATAGAGAAACCCGGGTGAGAGCACAAGGGATCACTTCTCTGGATGAGCTGGATCGAGCAGACTCAAATACACACCGCTTAAAGCCCGACCGGCAGGTTGCATATTGTTACTGTTGAGGTAGGTGGGACGGCAAAATTTGATTGGCTGACGAAAGGTTGGAGGTGCGAAATATTTTTGTCGAAACGGAGCCCTCGCCAAAGATTCTGCTTGTGCGCAAGGGTCGAGAGGGCCTCGAAACTTGGCAAGAGTGCCAAGTTTCGTGCCTCCCTTTCTGCTGGGGGCCACCTTGGCAGCTCCGCCAAGTTTCCTTCCCTGCATGGTTTTTTTTTCGACAAGCAAACACCCATGTATATATTTCGAACTGTTTTCCCGCAAGAATTTTCCGAAACACGCTGAAGCCTTCATCATTTTCGCCACTCCTTCGTCAGTCACGAAGGGTCACTACCCTCCACCAAAAAAATGGGTTTTTCCCCTCGAGACTTTGGAACGCTATCGCTCTGCCAAGCTTGTCAAGGCAACATCTTGCATAGGTGCACCACAGTGCAGCAGCAGCCTGGCGAGAGCTTCCCTGTAACAAGGGCCTCCAGATGATGCACCTCGAGAACTACAGAGTTGCAACCTGCCGGTCGGGCTTTAAGAGCTTCATTCTCCTCTCTCCCTTCACCAAACTCCTTCCTTGCCACCATTTTTCCTCTTCATTTCTACGGTGCTTTTCCTTCTCACTCACTCCCTTCCATTCCTCCCTTCCATTCCTCCCATCCCATACATCGCTCCCATCCATTCCTCCCATCCCATACATCGCTCCCATCCATTCCTCCCATCCGACTCTCCCTGCCTGACGGCCCTCCTGCACATGGGCAACGTGCACCACCTGCAAGTGATCCTCTCCGTTGCTCTGTCCGAAGTGATGATACCTCAGAACTCAGAAGTTGCCTCCCTCCTACTCCCTCCCCCCCTCCCCCCCTCCCCCCTTCCCCCCACAGACGGTCCTCCTGCACATGGGCAACGTGCACCACCTGCGGGTGATTCTCACCGTTGCTCTGTCCACAGACACTTCAAGGCGCCTCACAGGTTTCCTTCTTTTCACTCCCTTGCACTCCCAAACCCCCTAAACCCCCTTCCATCACCGCCCCTTCCAGACGGCGCTGCTGCACATGGGCAACGTGCACCACCTGCGAGTGATCCTCACTGTTGCTTTGTCTGAGGTGATGATGCAGCTGCGCCTGCTGCAGCGCGGCTCCAGGCCCGGCGAGATCACCGAGTCTCTCGAGGTGGAGCGGCTGCGCTTCTCACTGGAGGAGCTAGGCTCGGAAGACACGTGGTTCGGGCTGCTGGCTGAGTGCGGGCTGCCAGACATGTGCCTGGAGATCATGGTCGGGGATGAAGAGGCGGATATGGAGGAGGAGGAGGAAGAGGAGGAGGAGGAGGATGAGGACGAAGAGGAGGACGAGGAGGAGGATTATGATAATGATGAGGAGGAGGAAGATTTAGAGGACTTGGATGGGTTTGAAGCGGAGAATGGGATGGGGAGGGCGAGAAGGCGGAGGAGAAGGCGAAGGGGGCGGAGGAGGGAGAGGCGGATTCGGGACCGCTGGTCGCGGAAGAACGTGGAGGAGCTGCAGGACATGCTGCTCACCGTGGTGGACGCCGCCTCGCAGCACGAGCAGCTGGTGAGTTAGCGTAGCAGCATAAGCAACTGATGAGTGAGCAGCAGGTTTGAGTTGGCTCACGAGCTGCAGGAAGGACATGCTGCTTACTGTCGTGGACGCGCCCTCACAGCACGAACAGCTGGTGAGAATAGCCGCCTCGCAGCACCAGCAGCTGGTGAGAATAGCCGCGTCGCACCACAAGCAGCTGGTGAGAATAGCCGCCTTGCAGCACAAGCAGGTGGTGAGATAGCCGCCAGCAGCTGGTGAGAATAGCCGCCTCGCAGCACAAGCAGCTGGTGAGATAGCCACCTCGCAGCACAAGCAGGTGGTGAGATAGCCGCCTCGCAGCACAAGCAGGTGGTGAGAATAGGCGCCTCGCAGCACAAGTAGGTGGTGAGAATAGCCGCCTCGCAGCACAAGCAGCTGGTGAGAATAGCCGCCTCGCAGCACAAGCAGGTGGTGAGAATAGCCGCCTCGCAGCACAAGCAGCTGGTGAGAATAGCCGCCTCGCAGCACAAGCAGGTGGTGAGAATAGCCGCCTCGCAGCACAAGCAGCTGGTAAGAATAGCCGCCTCGCAGCACAAGCAGCTGGTGAGAATAGCCACCTCACAGCACAAGCAGGTGGTGAGAATAGCCACCTCGCAGCACAAGCAGGTGTTGAGAATAGCCACCTCGCAGCACAAGCAGGTGGTGAGAATAGCCACCTCGCAGCACAAGCAGGTGGTGAGAATAGCCACCTTGCAGCACAAGCAGCACTCCACCCATCCAGATGGAGGGCCTGATGACGTCCAATGACCGGTACGCCCTAGTGGAGAGCTACTTCTTCCTGGCGAAGGCATGCCGCCTTGTATCCTCAAACTGTCTTCCTTCCACCCTTCCCCACACTTGCACCCAGATGGAGGGCCTAAAGACCTCGAACGACCGGTATGCCATAGTGGAGAGCTACTACATCCTGGCACAGGCGTACGGGCATGTGCCCGACCTTTACATCATGTGGATGCTGCACCTCTGCGAGGCGCACCAGGAGATGAGCCAGTGGGCCGAGGCAGCCCAGTGCGCTGTGTCCGTTGCCGGGGTGGTCATCCGGGTAAGTGTTGCTGCTTGTGCCGCTGGTAAGTAGTGCAGCTTGGTTCTGCACAAGTATTAAACACACGCTGCCATCTCCTTCCGAGCTTCATCATCCACTGAATCACAGGGCCTCCATGCATCCACCACAGGGCCTCCATGCATCCACCACAGGGCCTCCATGCATCCACCACAGGGCCTCCATGCATCCACCACAGGGCCTCCATGCATCCACCACAGGGCCTCCATGCATCCACCACAGGAAAGAGTGCATGCGAGGCAGAGCACATATAACACAAGTCGTCCTTCCGCCCCTCACCCCAGGGCTGGCACACCTCCACCACTTGGAAGTGCGAGTGGTAAGCAGAGCACCCGGAGCTCCTTTTGCGGGTCTGTGGTAGTGCAGTGCAGCCCACTCTTATGACTCACACGCAGACTTCCCTTCTCCTCTCATCCCTCCCCTCCCCTCACCCCAGGGCCTGCACGCCTCCACCACTCGCGAGTGCGCGTGGGAGGCGGAGCACCTGGAGCTGCTCTGGCGGGTCTGCCCCTTGGCGCGGCACCAGTGGCGTGCCCGCCCCTCCCGCCCCTCCTCCAGCGCCCGCCCCATCAGCAACCGCAGCGGGGCTGCTGGTAGCGGCTCTGGAGGTGCTGCAGGTGGTGCGGCAGGGGGAGGGGAGAGTGACTTCGGAGCCACCTGTCTGAACACTGACAGCGCGGTGAAGTACCTGCAGATGGCGTCCAGCTTCTTCGCCAAGGCGGAGCTCTTCCACTTCTGCGCTGAGATGCTCTCCCTCACCATTCCCGTCTTCCGCTTCCGCCGCGACTTCTTCCAGGTGGGCGCTCCTCTAGGGACCTGTTCTTCGTGTGTGCCCTTTCAGGCTTCTTTCAGGTGGGTGTCCCTCTAGGGATCTGTTCTGCGTGTGTGCCCTGTCAGGCTTCTTCGGGTGGGTGTCCCTCTCTGCACAGTTGGATTGGATGCTCTCACTTGTGCTTACCGAAGCTGTGTGTTTCCCACCACGTGCATCCTTGGACTCTTGCACAGTTTTTGAGGCACCTAAGAAATCGTCTCGTATAACGACGCGAATTGTGTGGCGCCTCAAAAAGCCCACCGCTGGAACTCTCCTGACCCCCCTGCAGCTGTCCAAGTGCCACACGTCTCTCTCAGGCATCTACGACAACGTGTTGGCGCAAGAGCGCAACCCAATCCCCTTCAAGGACGCCACCTACTATCGAGTCGGCTTCTACGGGGAGCGGTTCGGATACATCGATGGCAGGTGCGCCCATTGAAGCCTTTTTTTTGTTGTTGGTTGGATAACTTTGAAGTTCGTCTGGATAGCTTCCCCATTTAGCCTAACCCCTCGTCTCGTCTTCCCCATATTGTCTTCCAATTCGCAAGCATCTGCCTTCCATCCCCACGCTCATAGCCATGCCGCTCTCTTTGAACTCCCATGCCACCTGCAGCAACTTCATCTACCGTAAGCCTCGGGATGTACGGGTGGGCGCCATAATGGAGGAGGTAAAGTCGATGTACGGTGCCCATTCCTGGAACTATCCCCCTTACCATCTCCATGCCTGTCCCCTTGCCAAAACAGAGAGTTCATCTACCGGGAGCCTCGGGAGGTACGGCTAGGCGACATAATGGAAAAGCTCAAGTCGCTGTATGACGCGCGCGAGCCTGACGAGGAGCCCCTCCATGTCATCCAGGACTCGCGCCAGGTGGACCCCGCCGCCCTCAAGCCCGGCTTCGTCTACATGCAGATCACCGCCGTCGAGCCTGTCGTCGGGATCGGCGAGGACCGCTGGCTCGGCCGAACCATCGACCCTGCTGTGGCGGGAGCTCCGGTGTTCAACTGCTTCTTTTTCGACACGCCGTTTACACCGAACGGGAAGCAGCAGGGTCGGATGGAGGACCAGTGGAAGAGGCGCACCCTGGTGTACACCCAGAGCACGCTGCCGAGCCTGATCAGCCGGCAGCCGGTAGTTCGCTCGGAGGTTCGGGAGTACTCGCCACTGCAATGCGCTGTGGAGATTATTGAGAACAGGTCGCATGCGCTCGAGATGGAAATGGCCAGCCAACTGGGAGCGATGGGAGGAGTGGGAGGAGGGGGGGGAGGAGGGGGGGGGGGAGGACGTGTGCCGCAGGACCCAGCAGCGGTGACAGCACTGATTGCAGCAGCTGCAGCTGCTAGTGGGACGCTACGGCTGCCGCGGATACAGACGCTGCAGCGGTTGCTACAAGGGAGTGTTGCGCTACAGGTTAACAGTGGGGTGCTGGGTGTATGCATGGCCTTTTATGAGGCCAATCCCCATGGCCATGAGCCGAGGTCCAAGGACCCGTCGAAGCTTCAGTCACCGTCGGATGTAGAGACATTGACGGATGCGATCGTGCGGTTTGTGGTGGTGTGCAAGAGAGCGGTGGCAGTGCATGGGCGGGCGGTCACAGAGGTTGATAGGGATTTCCAGGAGCAGCTTGAGAGGAGCATGGAGGAGCTCGAGAGGGAAATTTCACCCTTCATTCCAGTGCTTAGAAAATGAGAGCCTTGGCATTAGCCAGCCAAGTAGCAGCCTCTTCGTAGAAAGGGCTAGGATAAATGTTTAGGCATATGGTTCTCTCACTAGCTCGACGGGAGCTCTCATACTTGTCGAAGGGTGAAGTCCTTGCGAACCTTGGAGGCACAAGAGGCTGCATTGCACCAGCAACTTCGAAGTCTCCACGTCAAGGCGCAGTTGGAGGAGTAAAGCCGCTGTGCAACCAGCTATATGAAAGGATGTATGTTGAATGGTAGTAGATTGTGGTTATCGTACTTGTAAATTTGTGGATGAAGGTATGTCTATCTTTAGCATGAGATACTTAGAGAAAGTAGGGGTTGTAGTGCAGAATGCCTTTGCACTGGTCTTAACGCGTATTTTGACCTCTTGGTTAATGATACATTGGAGAGCCGTAAGCCCCTGGCCAATCAGAACCCTCGTGGCGTCCATAAGGCCAACCCCATTCGAGAGATTGTCCACGTCGGAAGGCATAGCACCCTGCTGCCATTGGGCCTTGCTTGTCGAATCTCGGTCCGCGGTTTTCTTTTCATTCTGCTTGCCAGCCAATAGATGGCGCGAAAGAGAACGGACAGGGCCGGGGAAATATGGAACAGCCAATTCGGCTGGCATGTTCTTGCGGGAAACAAGGAATTTTCTGCTGGCAGAGCTTATCCCCTCGGACCCGCCCTTCTCCCACAATTCCACCCAAGTTACCTAGATATCATCCCTGCTGTTCTTTGCCTCCCTGCTTCTGCTCTTTCTGATGCCATTGCACACTCGGCTTGCTTGGCTGCTTGACAAGATTCCCCTCGGCCGTTGTGCTGTGCTCTCAGTGCCCGACTAGGCGTGTTCCATACATTGCGTACAAATCTTCTCTACGTTCTCCTCTTTACCATAGGAGCGCTGTCCTCCCGATCGACCCGCAATCGCTGGTTATGGCCGCCAGCATGACTCTGGATGTGGGAGCCGTGCGGTGCCGCGATGTCAAGCTGCTAGGGAATTCGTCTTTCACCGCGAGCGTGGAGTTCCGGAACGCCGTTAAGATGCCGGTGAACCCGGCGAGCAGCCGGAGATCCAACGGCTGTCGGCTATCGCTGCGTGCGGCGATGATGGAGTCGCCGCCTGTGCCGATGAAGAGCCACGAGGAGCGAAACCTGTACGCCTCGCGTCGCGTCTAATCCCTCGTGCATTCTTTTCGAAACTCTGTTTAGCCATCCACCGTTCAGCCATCCACCGTTTGGTCCGTCTTTTCGTTCTGTGAGTTGTGAGTCACGACTTTTTGGTCGCATGACATTGAATGAACGAACGGCTAGCCATCCTGGTTGATCTGTATTTTGTGAATTCTCAGAAATACCCTGGTTGATCCGTCATGAGGAGGCCATTGAGAAGCTCCTTCTGGTTTTATCTGTGATTCGGATTAACATGGAGCAACGAGCACATGTAGGAACATTGATTTGAGTGAATGGATAGCATTACCAGGTTCCGTAAGTATCAACGAGCAAGCAGATGAACAGAGGAACTTTCGAAGTCCTCCCAGATGCCTCTTTCCGGAAAGTTCCTCTCTATCTCGCTCTCCTTATCTTGCTTTGTTCTCCCAAAAATATTACCCGCCAAAATCATCCTCCCCTCCCCGACCTCTCCTTCCTCATCACCCCTCTCTATCCCTCTCAATCCAGACATCGAACAGATCAAGGCCCTCTTCCCGAACCTCACCTCACCCTCACCCCTCCCCTCCTCCCTACCCCGCTCCTTCCCTCCGTCCTTTCTCCCTTTCAACCCCTCTCAGTCCGCACATCGAGCAGATCAAGGCGCTCTCCCTCATCACAGCGATCAAGACTCCCTACCTGCCGGACGGCCGCTTCGACCTGGACGCATACGACGAGCTGGTGCACCACCAGATGGAGTGCGGTGCAGAGGGGTTGATCGTGGGCGGGACGACGGGCGAGGGGCACCTGATGAGCTGGGACGAGCACGTGATGCTGATCGCGCACTCCGTGTACTGCTTCGGGAACAAGCTCAAGATCGTGGGGAATACCGGGAGTAACAGCACAAGGGAGGCCATGCACGCGACGGAGCAGGGCTTCGCGGTGGGCATGCACGCAGCGCTGCAGATTAATCCGTACTACGGCAAGACGTCGCTTGACGGGCTCATGAGCCACTTCGAGTGAGTTTTTACACCGCAACAGTGGTCCCAACCACTGCAACAGTGGTTCACCGCAATAATCACTTGTTATGCGGCAACACGTCGCTTGACGGGCTCATGAGCCACTTTGAGTGAGTGCATTGGCCAGTCATTTCGCAGCACCAGGTGATCTACCACAATAGTCCGGTCACAAGCAGGCACTTTATCGGGCATTCGAGTCGACTCAATAGTCGTCCGCAGCACCAGTCGGTAATACCGCACCAGTCTGGTCACAAGCAGGCAATTTATCAGGCACGGTTGTTCCAGCCAACTCAGCCCCTTAACCCTCTCACCGTGCCCAAGCTTCCAAATCATGCACGGAATTCTCACCCTCCACCAAAGCTTCAGCGTGGAGCCGCCATAGAGGCCACCTGGCGAATTGAACTCCTTGCTTTTCACCTCCCCATCCTCCATCTTCGTCCTCTCCCCACTGGCACCCACAATCCCTACCTCTACTCTCCCAGCCGACCATTTTTCCCCCTCCAGACCTCACCATACCATCCCCCCTCCCATCTTCCCAACGTGCCTGCAAGGGCGGGAGAAAAACATCCCTCCTACTTCTGCCACCGCCATCATTGCCAAACATCCCCTCTCACCTCCCAATGCTCGGCGTCCCGTCTTCCTTCCGGTGTGGTGCCCCTTGTGGAGCACCACCAGAAGGCCACAACGCCCCTTTCTCTGTTACCAATAGCTTCCGTCCTTCCTACCTCTTCCTGTACCCACCGCCCACCCCCTCGTCTCCCCACACACACACACCCAATCCCTTTTCCTGCAGCGCGGTGCTGCCCATGGGTCCGGCCATCGTGTACAACGTGCCGGGCAGAACGGGGCAGGACATCCCTCCGTCGGTGATTGAGGCCATCGCTACTCACGAGAACTTTGCGGGGGTGAAGGAGTGTGCGGGCAACGAGCGCATTCACGGGTACGCACAGAAGGGAATCGTGGCGTGGAGCGGCAACGACGACCAGTTCCACGACGCCAAGTGGAACCACGGTGGTCAAGGCGTCATCTCCGTCGTCAGCAACCTCGTTCCAGGCACGCTCTTCCCGCTCCCCTTTCCCCTCCTCTCGAAACTACCTGTGTTGTCCTGTCATCGGCTCATTTTAACTATCACAACAGCTGCTTCTGTTTTCCAATCTCAGGCATCTCCTTTCCCTGCGACGTTGTGTGGTTTTCAACAGGAATTGTGAGCCAGCTTGTCAAGGGAGGACCGAATCCTGAGCTGAATGCAAAGATTGCTCCTCTTGTGAAGTGGCTGTTTGTCGAGCCTAACCCCATCGGCCTCAACACTGCACTGTGCCAGCTGGGGCTTGTCCGGCCTGTCTTCCGCCTGCCATATGTTCCGCTCAATAAGGAGAGCCGGCAGAAATTTGTGGACATTGTGCACGAGATTGGCTTGGAGCACTTCCCAGGGGCGAAGGATGTGCGGGTGATGGAGGACGACGAGTTCCACATCATCACACGGTTTTACTAGGGGAATGTTTGGCTTCTTGAAGCCGATGGTTGGGTGCTTGGTTCCAAGGATGTTGGGTAGATAAGGGATGTTGTAATTTGGGCCGCAGGTTTTAGGGGTTGCACATGAGGACCATTTGATGTGGTTTTTTGCAAGGAGCATTTTGCATGTCTTGGTCCTCAAATGCTGATATGTTTGTCACAGTTCATCACGAACGCGCTGATTCTCGTGTTGAACCACTGATTCACCTGATACAGTAAACAGAGCAGTCAAGACACGTTGCAGTTACACGCGGAACGTCGTCAATAAATACAATTGGTTCGTCTGCTCAATTCAATCCTTCGTCTGTCCTGTCGTCTGTCCTCTCGTTTGCCCGTCCGTTTGTTCGTTACACTCGTCCGGTCGTTATTTGCTCGCTCATTCGTTGAGTCACGTCTTGGTTTCTTTGCTCGTTGCACTTTTCCGCCAAAACCTGCGACAATATCGAGGGCCGACCAACCATCCCCCCATCCACACGTACACGTACCTTCTGTTTGCTTGGCATGATACAATTTACAAATTACAGTACAACCCTCATCACATCACCACCACCAGCAGGCAAGGCCTGGCATTTTATTGCCTTCCTCCTCCCCCTCACCACCCCCCCCCCCACTCTTCCTCACACCACTGGCCCCATGGCCAATGAAAAGCGTGCAGCCACTGCTGACTTGTCTTTTGGGTCTGTTGGTTCTCACTGCCGTCTTTGCCTCCTCAGCCCCAGCAGCATCCTTCGCGGCAAATAGTTATGTGAAGGGATAGGATGCTCGTCGATGCTGACTTAGGCATAGTATTTCTGATGCGACGCGGAGCTAGGAACCCGTAGGTGCAGGGTCGTTCCTCGTTAGGGCGGACGAGTTTTTTGTAAAGTTGGCGGTGGAGCATCCATCATGTGGGCGATCTGGGGAAAGCAACGAGAGCGCTTCTCGCTCGAAGAGTTGAAGTAAGCCGCGTCGTGTCTAGGGTTAGCGTCGGAAGGAGCTGAGACTGGCTGATGTTTGGCGTGACGAATCGACGAAAGTTAGTTGCCGCGTTACAGTTTCCTTTTTCGTACGCTTAGCCCTGCTAAGACATGCGTACTTACACTTTGCTGCCTAGTCAACTAACCACCAGACCGCTCCTCGTTTCGTCGCAGGCATCTCAACGACGTGCTGCAGAAGCACACGATCATCAGCGATGCTAACAAGGTTCGTTCGAGATTGTAACGAGGTGACGTTTGAGTCAACGCAAAAGACGTGTCGTGTGTCATTGTAACGAGGTGACTTTTGAGTCGACTCTAAAGAAGCACACAGTCATCAGCGATGCTAACAAGGTTCGTTCGACATCAGGCCGGAATCCCAGCTTCACGACGCGGATGTTTACGCCTTTTTACTGAAATTATGTCACCAGACATTTTTTGGGAAACATTATATTCTCGTTGACCTTATGAAGGAAGGCTTGTAAAGAGTAATATTCTGACAGCTGGAACCATCGCTTCTGTGTCGGTCGGTTTTTTCTTTTCCCCTTCTCGCTGACCGTCCTCGCTAGAGCTGTTTCTGATTGCACTTCCGTCTTACAGGACACTGTAGTGGAGACATTGCGGTCTATAGCGGAGCTGATGATATGGGGGGACCAACACGAGCCTGCATTTTTTGAGTAAGCACGGCAGGTTGAAGGCTCTGAGCTCGCCTTTCCTCTTCTCCATTCTATGAGCATTTATTTCTTGACCGATAATTAGGAACTCTTAGACCATTGACGGATTTTGAGCTGGCCGCACTTCTTCCATTATCCCGTGGCTTCTTGTAAGCACAGTTAACACAGATTATCACCTAGGCTCTTTCATGTTCGGAGCACGTGTTTGATGCTGCCGTGCCCGTATGCTGCAGCTGCACTCCCGGGTCCATGCGGGTCATTGGTGTTGTTCCTCAAGCTTGGCGTGCATCCTTTTCCAAGCGCGCCAAGCACTTGAGCAACGCAATCTCGTCTCGCCCTTATACCCACCACCCTTCTTCCCTCAGGTTCTTTGTGGAGCAGGGCGTGTTCGCGCAGTTCATCCGCATCATGGCTTTGGCCAACCAGTTGCCGCCACTTTTCCTCTTGACGTCTCGCCTTCGTGCTTCCTGTTCCCTCCCCTTCACCTGCTATCCGCAGGTTCTTTGTAGAGCAGGGCGTATTCGCGCAGTTCATCCGCATCATGGCTTTGGCGAACCAGCCGTCGCCGCAGTGCGAGGGCGTCATGGTGCAGCTGCTGCAGACGCTCAACCTCATGATCCAGAACCTCAAGAGCGAAAAGGCCATCTGTGAGTGACAAGTCAAGGGGATCTGTGGGTGTCAAGAGGGCGTGTGTTAGGGTAAAGAGTCCTCACATGGACGCACTGCGAGGGGGTGACGGTGCAGCTGCTGCAGACGCTCAACCTCATGATTCAGAACTTCAAGAGCGAAGAGGCCACCTGTGATGTGAGTGTCAAGAGGGCATCTGTGAGTGTAAAGAATCGGCCTATGGACGCTCAACCTCATGATTCAGAACTTCAAGAGCGAAAAGGCCATCTGTGAGTGTCAAGAGGGCATCTGTGAGTGTAAAGAATCGGCCTATGGACGCTCAACCTCATGATTCAGAACTTCAAGAGCGAAAAGGCCATCTGTGAGTGTCAAGAGGGCATCTGTGAGTGTAAAGAATCGGCCTATGGACGCTCAACCTCATGATTCAGAACTGCAAGAGCGATAAGGCCATCTGTGAGTGTCAAGAGGGCATCTGTGAGTGTAAAGAATCGGCCTATGGACGCTCAACCTCATGATCCAGAACTTCAAGAGCGAAAAGGCCATCTGTGAGTGTCAACAGGGCGCCTGTGAGTGTGTTGAGGGCATCTGTCTGTGTGTGTAAGGGTAGCATCTGTATGTGTAAAGAGGGCATCTGTGAGTGTAAAGAGGGCGTCTGTGAGTGTTAAGAGGGCTTTCCTGAGGCGAGTGTAAACAAGCCGAGCTAAACGAAGCCATATGTGCGTCTGAAGAGGGCACAGCACCACCTGTGAGTTTAGGTCATTTGTGTGTGTGAGTGCAAAGGGTTGTGCCTGATTGGGAGGGATGAGGCTGTTGTCTGGTAATCGCTTAATGCGCCGTCAGCAACCCACCCACGACAAAGATCAAGTGCTGTCCAATCAGAATACGCGGTGCTCTTTGAATTGAAGCCTCTAGTGACCTCCCTCCGCCCCACCACCTCTGGCCGGCTCTTGCCAGCATTCCGCCATCTCGTGCACCTTCTAGCCCTCCCTCCCTCCGCCCATCACAGCCTACCTGTTCAGCCACCACCGCCGCATCAGCCATGCCATCTCCCTAACAAACACCCACCGCCCCCTTCCCCCCCCCCACCCCCAACCCACTGCTATCCGGCAAAATACATGCTCAGCAGGGATCACATCAACAATGTCATCTCTTTCCTCTTTGAGGCGCTCAAATCGCACAACTCCTACAACCCCCCTCTCCCCACCCCTCCCGCACTCTTCCCCCCCCCCCCCCCCCCATCTGGCAGACTACATGTTCAGCAAGGAGCATGTCAACAACGTCATCTCCTTCCCCTTTGACTTCTCTGACGAGGAGCTCCTCGCGTACTACATCTCCTTCCTCAAGTAAGCTGCACCTCTCGGCATGCCTGCCTGCTAGCCATGTCTCCCTTATGACTCTTGAATCGACTCAGAAGGCATCTGACGAGGAGAGGAGCTCATCGCATACCACATCTCCTTCCTCTAGTACGCAGCAGCACTCGAATGCCATGTCTCCTTGCTTGCTCGAGTCAGTGCCTCGTGTACACCACATACTTTTCACCAGGTAAGATGCTCTTGCCTAGTGTGCTGTGCTTCCTTGTTTGGTCTAGCCCAGCCCAGGACATCGTTTTCTGCATTTTGGCTCTCACTTTTCGAATTCCGGCCCTCAACTCGCCCTGCATTTTGTTTGCCGCAGAACGCTGAGCATGAAGCTGGACAAGTCAACCATTGGCTACTTCATCGTGCAAAAGGAGGTGCGTGATATATGATATGATATGACGTGTGACGTGTTGTGCGTACCGAGTGCACTGTGCAGTGACTGACTGCACCACCAGACCGGACTGGACTAGATAAGAAACGTGCGAGTCTGCTGCTGCTGCAGTGGCCGTCATGCATGCACTCTTCCATCCTGGCCCCTTCCTGCTTGGCCCTTTCCTGCTTGGCCCTTTCCTGCTTGGCCCCTTCCTGCTTGTCCCCCCTTCGCCAGTCTTCACCCGATTTTTGAGGCGCCTCAAAATTCATCCGTTCAGCACTTTGGTTCCTCCTCCCCTCTGCAAGTCGCTGCATTCTATTTTTGAGGCGCCTCACAACTTGTGAGGCTTGAGCAACGGGTCGGGTCGGGTCGGGTAACCCGACCCGAACCCGACTTTTTGACGGGTCGGGTCGACATTTGCGGAGGGTCGACCCGACCCTCGGGTACCCGACCCGACCCGACCCGACCCGACTGACAAAACCCGACCCGTCGGGTTGGCTTATTACCCGTCCCTGCCCCTATGCCAACCCGACCCGACCCGACCCGAAATCGGGTTCGTTAGTACCCGACCTATAAAACCCGGGTCGGGTTGACATTTCCTGAACTCCGACCCGACTCGACCCGACCCGACCCGACCCGAACCCGACATCGGGTAGGGCAAAGTCGGGTCGGGTCGGGTCGGGTCGGGTTCATGCTCAAGCCTAACAAGTCGCTGACTCGCTGCATATTCGATCCCATTTTGTTCCTGAGGCATCATGATACTGCTGATGTTTTGAGGCGCCTCAAAACTAGACTCCTGATGCATCATGATACTGCTGATGTTTTGAGGCGCCTCAAAACTAGACTCCTGATGCATCATGATACTGCTGATGTCTTGAGGCGCCTCAAAACTAGACTCCTGACGCATCATGATACTGCTGATGTTTTGAGGCGCCTCAAAACTAGACTCCTGACACATCATGATACTGCTGATGTTTTGAGGCGCCTCAAAACTAGACTCCTGACGCATCATGATACTGCTGATGTTTTGAGGCGCCTCAAAACTAGACTCCTGATGCATCATGATACTGCTGATGTTTTGAGGCGCCTCAAAACTAGACTCCTGAGGCATCATGATACTGCTGATGTTTTGAGGCGCCTCAAAACTAGACTCCTGACGCATCATGATACTGCTGATGTTTTGAGGCGCCTCAAAACTAGACTCTTGACGCATCATGATACTGCTGATGTTTTGAGGCCCCTCAAAACTAGACTCCTGATGCATCATGATACTGCTGATGTTTTGAGGCGCCTCAAAACTAGACTCCTGAGGCATCATGATACTGCTGATGTTTTGAGACGCCTCAAAACTAGACTCCTGAGGCATCGTGATACTGCTGCTGATGTCATCTGGCTGCACGACGACACGACTTGTGGGATGCGTGGCTCGCGTGGAATGCTTGCATGATCGTGTGCTGGAATGAAATGCGCGCATTGCGACATGGAATAATTGCATGGTGACATGGAATGTTGCATAGTGGCATGGTGGCATGGGGGCATGGTGGCATGGGGGCATGGTGGCATGGGGGCATGGGGGCATTGTGGCATGGTGGCATGGTGGCATGGTGGCATGGTGGCAGGATGGCAGCAGCGCCTTCCCACTGTATGTGGAGGCCATCCGCTTCTTCCACCATGAGGAGAGCATGGTCCGCATCGCCGTGCGCACACTCACCCTCACCATCTATAATGGTATGCACGCAGCCCACTCCCTCTCCCTTTCCCTCTCTCACTCCCTCTCCCTTTCCCTCTCTCACTCCCTCTCCTTCTCCCTCTCTCACTCCCTCTCCCTCTCCCTCTCTCACTCCCTCTCCCTCTCCCTCTCTCACTCCCTCTCCCTCTCGCCTTCTCGTTCCAGAGACTCGCCTTTCACTTCCCCTGGCTCCCCGTGTTACCATATTACCATTTTACGATGTTACCGCTGGTGCCATTCACCCTGCCATCCACCCCTGCCATCCACCATGCCACCTCACCCCCCCCTCCCCCCTGCCAGTGCACGACGAGCGTGCCAACCGCTTTGTGCTGAGCCCGTCGGCCATCCGGTACTTTGAGGACCTCGCCATCTTCGTGCGCCAGCAGAGCTTCACGCTCGCACGCCTGGTGGCCAATGCTGTGAGGTGGGTGGGTTAATGGGGGGTTGATTGCATTGCATGGATGAATGGGCATCGACTGCCATCTTCGTGCGCCAGCAGAGCTTCACGCTCGCACGCCTGGTGGCCAATGCTGTGAGGTGGGTGGGTTAATGGGGGGTTGATTGCATTGCATGGATGAATGGACATCGACTGCCATCTTCGTGCGCCAGCAGAGCTTCACGCTCGCACGCCTGGTGGCCAATGCTGTGAGGTGGGTGGGTTAATGGGGGGTTGATTGCATTGCATGGATGAATGGACATCGACTGCTATCTTCGTGCGCCAGCAGAGCTTCACGCTCGCACGCCTGGTGGCCAATGCTGTGAGGTGGGTGGGTTAATGGGGGGTTGATTGCATTGCATGGATGAATGGGCACCGACTGCCATCTTCGTGCGCCAGCAGAGCTTCACACTCGCATGCTGATGGATGGGCATGGATGGATGGGCATGGATGGATGGGCATGGATGGATGGGCATGGATGGGTGGGCATGGATGGGTGGGCATGGATGGATGGGCATGGATGGATGGGCATGGATGGGTGGGCATGGATGGGTGGGCATGGATGGATGGGCATGGATGGATGGCCATCTTTGTGCGCCAGTGGAGCTTTGTGGCCAATGCTGTCAGGTGGGTGCATGGGATGGGTGCATCGGCATGGGTGGATGGATGGATGGATGGATGGATGGATGGGTGGGTGGGTGGGTGATGAATGGAGGGGCATGTCTGGATGCGCATGGTTTGGTCGTCATTTCACTCTCGTACTCCCGCTTACCCTCCTCTCCCCCTCCCTCCCGCTTTTGAGTCTATTTTTGAGGCGCCTCAAAAATAGACTCCTCACGCACGGATTTTTTTAGTCGACTCAAGAGCAGACTCCCACTCACCCGCCACTCCCCCTCCCTCCCGCCCCCCCCCCCCAATTTGCACCTGCTCTCACACATCCCTTTGTGCTTCCCCACTCCCCTGAAATCAGGAACTTTGGGTTGATGGTGGATGTGGGGTGGGTTGAAACGTCCACAGGGGAAAGCAGCGGTCTGCTCTACTACCGCAACGACGTCATGAGTGCCGGGATCCCACAGCTCTCATGCACTTTCCGTGTGTAATGAGTCGATTTTTTAGTCGACTCAAAAATCGACTCATTACGCACTTTCCACTCACTCGCTCCCTTGCACCTCCCATCGCTCATGCCTGTGTGTGTGTGTGCCTCCCCCCCCCCCCCCTTGCCGAAAGCAGGAACTTTGGGTCGACTTTTGAAAGCAGGGATCCAGGCGCCTCAAAGGTCCTCCCTCCCCACCCCCCCTGCGTAAAGCAGGAACTTTGGGTCGATTGTCGACGTGGGGCGCGTGGAAGCATCGATAGCGGAGATCGGCGACCTGCTCTACTACTGCAACGACGTCATGAGCGCCGGCATCCCGCAGCTCTCAGAGGTGGTGTCGGAGCATCTGCTCAGCATCTGGGTCTTCCCCGTGCTCCTCGCCTCGCTCTCCCCCGAGTCTGGCTCGCCCAATGTGAGTGTGGGGCACGTACGCGTGCTCACAACTCAAACTCAAATCTATTGCACACACACTCATGCGTCGCCTTATCCCTCCTCTCTTTCTGCGTATCCCTGCCCTCCCCTCAGGCGATTCGCGTCTCCCTGCAGTGCACCATGTACCTACCTACCTGCGTCCATCATTGCCCCTCTAGCTCCTCCTCCCTTATCTCGTATCCCTTCCCTCTTCATGTCTCCCCCCAGGCGAAGCGCATTTCCCCACTGTGCGCCATGTACCTGCTCTCGCGTGTGCTGCACGTGGTGACCTACCGCCCCTTCCTGGACGCCGCTACCCGCTCCATCGCCGCAGATCTCAACGCGTCCCTCACTTCTGCTAGCCCCGCCGGCTCCGACGGGGTTCTGCCCCAGCTGTACGAATTCCAGCAGCAGCAGCAGCAGCAGCAGCAGCAGCAGCAGCAGCAGGAGAAACCCCAGCAGAATCAGCAGGAGCAGCAGGAGAAACAGCAGAAGCAGCAGCAGCATGTGAGGAGGAGCAGGAGTGCATCGTCCTCTGCGGATTTAGGGATTCAGGAGGATGAGTTTGGTGCAGGAAGAGGGAGGAAGGGGCTTTCTGGTGGCGGGGCAGCAGCAGCTGGGCACAGGCCGTCTGACAGTCACCACCTTTCTGCCAGGCCTCCCGTCCCACCCCCTGTGTATGCCGGCTCCTCTGCTGCTGCTGCACCGTCTGTGACCTCACCCCCCCCTGCTACCACTGCAGCTGCATCTGTGGCTGCAGCAGCAGCGGGGAGGGGGGACGGATGGGCGAATTCAGAAGCTGTAGCAGATGCAACAGCAGCAGCAGCAGCATCAGAGGCAAGCACAGCAGAGGGTGCGCAGAGAAGGGGGGAGAAGTGGCCTCTGTCAGTGAGACGTTCTTTCTCGCACTCTCCTAGGGGCTCCCTGGTGGAGAGAGGGGAGGGAAGAGAGGGTTCAGGGGAGGAAGAAGGGAGAGCGGGTGGGGGAGCAGGGGAGGGGGGGGAAGAGGTGGCATTACGAGCGGGGCAGAATGGGTATGCTGCGGGAAGGGAGGAAGGCGAAGGCGAGCAAGGGGTGGAGGGAAGCCGTGGGGGGGAAGGGGGCCGTGGCAGGAACAGTGGTGTTGTGCGATCGGCGTCGGCACGAGACAGACCGAGTCTTTCGGCGCGCAGGCACCTGAGGACACAGAGCAGCGGCGGCGGCGGCGGCGGCAGCAGCAGAAGCGCTGACTCACCGCAGCTGAACAGTAGAACCTTTGGCTCCCCTCAGCTCAACCAGGGCACGGATTCCAACCAGGGCACGGATTCCCCCCAGAGGAGCTTCAGCTCGCCCCACAGGAGCTCCCCTTACAGGAAGATGCGCCACGCCTCAGATACCATCATTCTGGACCTCGACCCCACCGCCAGCGCTTGGTATGTTTGCAAATTTGTGGCTGGAAGGTGCTATCTGGCATGGCTCTGTCTGTACCCCCTGTAAAGGCTGCATCTCCCCGTAGAGAAAGCAGTGCCACTCGTCAGATACCATTATTCTGGACCTCGACCCCACCGCCAGCGCTTGGTAGGTTTCTCCCCACCCGACCACTTCTCCCCACCCCACCACTTCTCCCCACCCCACCACTGCCAGCCCTGGGTTTGTGACGTAAAACCCACTCCAGTTCTGCTGTCTCACTCCCCCCATTTGCCCCTCCTCACTCTCAGGGACACGATCGTGTCATACCTGCTGTGCAACAACGAGCGGTGGGTGCTGGCGTCGCTGTGCGTGCTCTGCGGTCTGCTGCAGAACACAGGTGGGAGGGATGCAGGCACAGGTGGGTGGGTGGGCGGATGGATGGGTGGGTGGGCGGATGGGTGGTGCAGGGAGGGAGGGAGAGACAAAGGGAGAGGTAGCTCCCTTTCTCCCGTCTGCCGTGCGTGAGAGGCAGGCGGCACCACTCGCTTTGCGTTTCTCTTTCGTCACATCTTCCCTGTCCTCGTGTTTGCCCCCCTCACCTCACCTCAGCGGTGCACGATTCGCTCTTGGAGGAACTTGGCATGCTGCCCTGCAACCGCCGCCACCGCCGACTCCTCGTGGTCAGTTGCCCTTCCTCTCGTCATGTCTTGCTCAATGCTCACACAGGTGGTGGCCTTCCCCACTGTGAACTAAAAAAAAGCACCCATTGTTTTTTAGTCGACTTAACAATTGCCACTGCCGGCTCCTCGTGGTCAGTTGCCCTTCCTCTCTCATCATGTCTTGCTCAATGCTCACACAGGTGGTGGCCTTCCCCAATTTCTTAGCATCAGGTTCCCTTGCCGTCGTTACACTGTTGCCTTCCCCCGGCCGGGGGTGGCTTCGGGCTCTGTGTTTTGGCAAAAGAACAGCTGAAGAAACTGCTGTGCATCAGGTGACCTCACGTCATCCCATCTTTTGCCCTACGACTCATCCCTTCCCTCTTCCCCTCCCCCCCCCCCCCTCCTGTTTCTCCCCTCCTCACACTGCAGGAGGCGCTAGTAGGCAGCCAATCGGAAGAGCAGCTGAAGCGGCTGCTGAGGCGGGGAGACAGTGATGCAATGGAGGGTGGGGAGGAGATGGGGACTGGGCGAGAGAGCAGAGAGGGAGCGGGGAGGAGCAGAGAAGTTGAGAGACTATCACATGGGGCGGCAGAGGCCCCGCTAGGAGCAGCAGAAGCAGCAGCAGCAGCAGCGCCACCACCAGCAGCAGGTTCTGAAGCCGACTCAGCATCCGAAGCAGCTGTAGCATCTGTAGCAGATAGGGCGGGCTTGAGAGGTGACAGTAGCGGGGGTGAGTGCAGCGAGTGTGGCAGCAGCAGAGGGTCTGGCAGTGGGCGGTGGGCAGTGGGGGCAGGAGCAGGACCCGTGCTAGGGAGTAGGTTCATGGCGGTGGGGGGGGGAGGGGAGGGGGATGATGGAGGGGGGCGTGATTGTCAAGCGAGGGGGGATGAGAGGGGGGGAGGAGGTGCGATGTTGGATGAACAGAGGGATCGAGCAGACGGGAAGGTGAGTTAAGGGTGCTTGTTGTTCTGCCTATAGTTCCTGCTTCTGTTGTTGTGCCCATCTATACCCCAATGCTACCCCCCCAACCTCACTCCCAACCAACCCGTCCCCCTGATAATCTCCTCATAATCCCCTGATTCCCCACCCGATGCTTCCCCTCATAATCTCCCAGCCGCCAGCACCATTCAGGCGTGCGGTGTGTGGGTGCAGCGGGCCAAAAACCACGACGCCTTAGTATCCCCTCCTCCCCCCCCGCCTTCCCAACCCCAATGAACCCCTCTTAACCCCTCAGCCGGCACCATTCCGGTGTGCGGTGTGTGGGTGCAGCGGGGCAGACACCCCCTCGTCCTCAAAGCAGCACTCCAGAAAGAGACGTCAGGTGTGTCATGCTGTGTCATGCTGTGTTATGCTGTGCTGTGCTGCCGTGATGGGTTCCTCGTGTGCTGCCGTGATGGGTTCCTCGTGTGCTGGCATGATGGGTTGGTTGATGGTGTGCGTGCCGGCGTGTTTGGTTGATTGAAGTGTATGGTCCCATGATAGCATGGTCACAAGATAAGGGCATGATGAGATGATCACATAGTGTCATGACTGCATGATGAGATGATCACATAGTGTCATGACTGCATGATGAGATGATCACATAGTGTCATGACTGCATGATGAGATGATCACATAGTGTCATGACTGCATGATGAGATGATCACATAGTGTCATGACTGCATGATGAGATGATCACATAGTGTCATGACTGCATGAGAAAATCGGGTTTGTCTTTTTCATGCCTCCCTCTCCAGGTGGTGGACACGGTGTTTGTCCTTTTGTGCAAGAGACCGCCGCCCTCACCGGAAGCGCTGTGGCATGCGGGATGGCTGCTGCGGCAGCTGCTGCCACCTAGCCACCGCCTGCAGTCAGCGCATAAGAAGCTGCTCATGGTATGTCTGCAGGGTGCCAATTGCTCGCTGTATGTATGCAGGGTGGCACGAGTTTCCTTAGTGTTTGCCAGTCGTGGAGAGTGCCAAATTCATCAACTGGTTGCCGTCGCATTCCCGAGTCATTTAGGATTCCACAAGGCATTCAGTGTTCCGTTTACTGCATGTGTGGACTGGACTGATAATGGTTGTAATGGTAACTTTGGTCGTAATGGCAAGGTTCTATTTATGTGTTGATTGCTTGTTACTATTTTTGAGTCCTACTCAAAAGCAGATTTTGGTGGTGATAGCATGGTTCAATCTGTGTGTTGATTGCTTGCTGCTATTGAGTACAGGGGTCTTCCATGCCACCATGTGTGTTATCATTTTGAGTGAAAACATCCCACTGGATTCTCTCCTTCCCACCGCCCGCCCGCCAGCATGCATATGAGTTGGCCCGCAGTGACCTGGTAGGGGAACTACTTGACTGCTGGTGCGACATGCTGCCTGCTGCTATGGTGGAGGAGTGGAAGGCATGCCGGAAAGGTGAGGTGCGGTTTAGTAGGGCATGCTAACATGCTGACTTGTTAGCTGACTCAGAGGGCACTGCGGGTTTGACTGACATGCTGCCTGTTGCTATGGCGGAGGAGTGGAATGGATGCCAGAACGGTAAGCTAACATGCACATGTGCATTTCCATGGCTTCTAGTTAACTCATGCCATGGCTATAAAGCTAACTCATCTGATGGCTGTAAAGCTATGGTTTAACCTCGCCCATATTCAATCCATCGTACTGCCTGTCACTCTCCCGCTTCCCTTTTTCCCTGCCAACCATGGACCCACTGTCTAGGTGTATTTTGAGTCGTTTCAAAATGCACCCACTGTCTACTTTCCCCTCCTCTCATCCTCCCTCAACCCTTCCCCATGTCACCCACAACAGCACTGGAGTCTGCCACACTGGCCAATGACTCGTCTCTCGTTCTCATGCCCAGCCTCCCTCCCCTGCTCACGGACGGTACGCCCACATCGCCTTTGTTCTGTCCCTGCACTATCGCTGCTTTTCCGGGCACATGAGGAAGCCGCCTCACTGAGGAAGCCGCCTCACTGAGTTGTTCCCATAATATCCTGACATTCTCCCTGATGTTCGTTCTTCTGCTGGACTTGCTCTGGTTTGCACTGGTGAGATCACATAGTGCAGGTTGGTAGGTTGGCATATCCTTTCTCTGGTGCTGCAGAAGTCACCTCACCTCAGGGTGTCATTTTATGTTTTTGTGACTGCATCGCAGGTGACTCCTCTTCTGCAGCTTATGGCGAACGCATGAGGACAGTGGTCAAGGTGGGTCGGTAGTCTAATATCTGCAGGTAAAGGTCAGTAGATATTATTTGCGGGTACAGACACGTGCTCATTCGCAAGCTGAAAGATTCTATTGACGTTGTTCTGCGCCCTATGGAGAGAATGCACCACCCCCGGCCCTCTCCTCCTCACTCTCACACTCACTCACACACTCTCCCTCAGGGCCTCAGGTGTGTTTTGCATTGCATCACATGCATGCAGGCTAGTCAACTCGTTTCTTAGTCGACTTGAGAACAGCTTCCCGTCGCCCTCTCACGCTCTCTTGTTCTCTCTCTCCCAGGTGTACGTGGCGCTGCATCAGATGCGCGCCACTCTCCTCGGCCTGCCGCTCTCAGACGCCCCTCCTCTCGCCACAGCAGACCCTCCCCTCCTCGACGCCCGCTTTGGCCGCAAGGGGCTCAGCCTCGAACAGGCGCAGGAAGGCACCGAGGTGCCTCTAGGTCAGTCCTTCCTTTCCTCAGTTGCTCCCTGCCTCAGTTACGCCTTCCCTCAGTTGCTCCATGCCTCAGTTACGCCTTCCCTCAGTTGCTCCATGCCTCAGTTACGCCTTCCCTCAGTTGCTCACTCTCTTTACCTAAGCATCTGTCGCACGTTGTCTCCTTCCCCTCCTCCCTTCCCCCCAGAGCCGGGTGATGCCATCCCGTGCCGTGTGGCGTTTGAGCGAGGCAAGGAGAAGCACGTGGTGCTGCTCGTCGCCTCCTCTGCTGCCAGCGGCTGGGTGCTGCTGGCAGAGCCGCCAGCTGGCATGACCGCCAAGGCCGCTGTGGCTGAGGAGGCCACAGGGGTCGTCCGCGTTGTCGCTCCCCTCGCAGGCTGCCAGGTTGGTCGATCTGCTGACCTAGGGCTCTATTCTAGAGGTGCCTCAAACATGTTTTGCCAGTGGCTGGGTGCTGCTGGCAGAGCCACCTGCCGGCATGACTGCCAAGGGTGCTGTGGAGGAGGGGGCCTGAGGGCTCGTCCGTGTCGTTGCTCCCCTCGCAGGCTGCCAGGTTGGTGAATCTCCTCTTGCAAGGGCTTCAAATTTCTGCAATCGCCTTCTGTTGAAGTTACCGCATGAGCCAGCCATAGCAGACCGCCTCCCACCCACGTGCTCCCCTCCCCACATCTCTGGTGGACCTCTTGCTTTAATTTTCTATCAAGCTCTTCCCCCTTTCCCCCCCCTCAAGAGCCTCAGTTCCCCATTCAGGCGACACTAAACTTGTTCGTGGCATCCGCTGCACAGTGCGTCACAGTTCCCAATTCACTCCCTCTGTATGCCTCTCTTCTGCCCCTTACGCCAGCCGTCGCTGGACCCGAAGCACAAGCGCTGGCTGCACCTGCGCATCCGCTCGCCCCAGGCCCCAGCCTCCGATGCCGGTACTCTCGCCTCACGCTCCCCCATGGGCTCGCGAGCCCGCACCAAGCGCTTGGCGGATGGGCGGTGGACCTTGGCGTTTTCGGATGAGGCTGCTTGCAGGTTTGCACATTTAGCACTACAGGAGGAATCGTATGTGCAGGGGAACGCAGTGCGAAGCATGCTGATGCCCCTGCTTGGAAATGTTGAGCCATTTCAGCTGCAGAGGGAACAGTCAAGTTGAGGCAATGACATATAACATTCCATTTGTTAGCGGAACATTATACAAGATGTCTCTGTATTGTCCCTTACTACTGGTATGGTTGAGCTGTGTTGTTGGTGCATTTCTTGAGTGCAACGAGTTAAGATTTTTCCATTTGGTGGCGAAGTCAACAGCAAGCAGTAACATTTCAATAACGTCTTCGCTCAGGGAAGCTGGGTAGTCTTATCATAGGCACGTGTTGCTGGCATTGCAGTTGCGAAATCCGGAAACCAAGAATCGTTAGCTGATTGGCGATGTGAAAATCCAAAGGCATGGGCTCCGTGCTAAGAGCGCCACGAGTTTCCATCCTTGCGGGCGAACCAATCGCAACACAGGCCTTTCACCCGGAGCACTGCCTACATGGCAGCATGACGAGCACAACCTTGCTACGGGCGCCTGTGATTTCGTTACAGTAGTCCGCACCTCGCACAGCTCATGCCCGCCTCTTGTTTTAGGAACAGGTGGACGTATCCGTGATCGTTGGATCTCTCATGCCAGCCTTCGCCCGATCTTCGCGTCTCATTTCGTCCGCACGATCCTTCTTCTTCCGATTTTCAACACTGCCACTGAAGTCTGCAAGGAGTTCCTCCTCATCCTGCTTTTGGTCTATCATCTGTTGTAAAACTGTCAGTAGCTCCTGAAACTCTAGCTTCAGAAGTCGGATTTTCAGAGCACATATCCGGTGTTCTCAGAAGTCCCTAGTAGCTTGAGCACTTAACGAGAGATCAACAGACTATCAATGGCTACCGTCCGTGCTCTCTCTCAGTGCCAAGTTGTGGCCGGAGCAGCCACTGCTCTTGGCTTTGCGGACTCTTCATCCGTGAAGGGTCTCAAGCCCCTCAATGGCGCACGATGCCAGTCACGCGTCGTCGCCATGGCCACCAAGAAGAAGGTGAGTCTTAGGATATTAATAAGAACTTTCAAGAATGCGACTTTAAGAGAAGTTTTGAAACGTGAGGTTCACCCTCACAGTTTTTACTAGTCCGGCCACTAGGATGGCTACTGGTTATCAGGCAGCAATTGCCAACTGTTAAAGGAATTCTTATTTCATTACGCGTATCACTTACCATGATTCACCTTCCCCCACGCAGGTGAATACATACCTTGACGACTGGAAGAAGGAGTTCATCGGGTACGGTATCTTCGTCGAAGATTCCGAGTCCACTCCGGTCAACATCGTGCAGCAGCTCGAGAAGAAGAAGCTCCTATCGCAGGTCGAGAAGGCCGGTCTGCTCTCCAAGCTCGAGTCCTCCGGCCTAACTCTCTCCAAGATCGAGGAGCTCGGCCTTCTATCCAAGGCCGAGTCCCTCGGTCTGCTCACCCTCGCCGAGAAATTCGCCACCACTCCCGCCGGTACCTTCGCCTCTGCGGCGCTCCCGCTCCTCGTCGCCGCCATTGCTGTGCCGGTATTGGTGCCTGACGACAGCGCTGCTCTTGTGATTGGCCAGCTCACAGTCGCGTCTCTCCTGGCTCTCGCTAGCGTCACATCTTTCACATTGTCCCTCATCCTCGGTATCCTGCAAGAGTAGGTCGCTTTTCTGTCTAAACTATCACATGTAATTTACGACCTTCAACCTAATATAGCCCAATACCCTACTTGACCTGTAGCTGTCACAGTCGCCAGCGGGTGAATCAGAGCAGCAATTGGCTGCAGGTGGGCTGCTATCTTGGTGGAGTGTCCTGCTGGTGGTGCACCCCACAGACAAATTTCCGCCGCTTCACTGAGACATTCACCCCATGGCTGAATGTCCACACAACACAAACAAGTCAGAAGCTTACCGGATTGTGCCCCGCGGATTGTTTCCTACCGCCTGCTCATGTTTTGGGGTGGTACACCTCAGTACATCGCTGCTGTACGTCTACTTGCTCTTCAAGCCAGTTAGGTTGCTAGCATCACAATTGATCCTCCGTCCCTAGCAGTGGTTCATGAGGGCGTGTCACTAAAAATCGTTTTGGTAAAATACCACACTGAATCGTCCGACATATTTATTTGAACGTTCTACAACGCAAAAGATAAATGGTCAAATACCACGCTAAACGTGCATTGCATTACTGCCAGAGCACTCAGTACGGCAGCATCATCACCAGCAGGAACAGTAATCGCCTCGTGAGTGACCATTCACACATGACTCTGGCGGCTACTGAGGTAACATCATGTATCAGCAGCTACATTACTGCCGTAACCAAGGACAACCTGAGGGAAAGGAGACAATCAATCTTGCTGGGACAATCCTTTCTACAGTCAAGGTTAGAGGTGTGTTGTGCAATCCCTCAGTCACAGGAGTTGGCCATTCGCAACTCGACTCTCTGGGTTGTTGAGAAGATATGAACCCCAAGAATCGAACATCCTACTGAAATGTGGGGCTCGTACCCTGGCACTGACTTCCAGCATTCTCATTTCCACACCAGGCTTCAAGAATCGAGACCTCTTCCAGCATTTCGCATTCCCCAGCTCCAGCTGCTGCCAGCGCCATACCCTGCCTGCCTGATCCTTGCTCCACACCTTCCCTGAAATGCTGTCCGCGAATACAGGCCACGCCAGGACCCCAGCAAACAAGCCGCTACCCTAGGCATTTAAATCCATTCAGGTTGTACCAACTACTCGCCGCTGCTAAACAAGCAGCTACGTGGCTGTTGTGGATGGCAGCTGCTTCCTGGCTGCTGTGGTCCGGTCAGCTACTTGGTGCTGCTGTGCTGAGAAGCCTCTTACTTGGCGCTGCTGTGCAGGCGGAAGCCAAAGACGCGCGGCACGTAGCTCTGGGTGGGCTTGGCGGGCTTCACGTACGGGTACGTCATGAGGAACAGGTGCGGGAAGGTCGTGCCAAAATACGCCCCGTCGATGTCTGTGTTGAGCCGCGGCAGGTGTTTCAGAAATATCGTTTTTCGAGATGGGAATGGGGGAGAGAGAGGAGAGGAGGAATGGGAGTGCGGGGACAGGGGGGAAGTAGAGAGGAAGACAGCAAGGGTGGAATAGAGTGGTGGAAAGGAGGGGATGTCAAGCGCACAAGGTGGAGAAAAGGTCGGGAGACGAGGTAGGAAAAGGAGTGGGGGAGAAGAGGAGCCGGCGTGGGTTAAGGAAACCAGTCATAAGCAAATCGAGGGCGTCGGTGGGAACAAAGATTTGTGGAGAAGGAAAAAGAGCAGCACTGAAAAGCAACGGCGAGAGTGCGATAGAGTGGTGGTCCTATAAAAAAAGAAAAGAAAAAGCGACGAGAGGATGGACATGGGACAACACAGCAACAAAAGGATCGGCGCCATGCAAGGTGGGCAAGAGGACACTGATACGAGGACGGAGGGACAGGGTTGATAAGGGAGTGAAAAGGCTTTGGAGGTGCCTCAACAGGGTTGATAAGGGAGTGAAAAGGCTTCGGAGGCGCCTCAACAGGGTTGATAAGGGAGTGAAAGGCTTTTGAGGCGCCTCAACAGGGTTCAGAAGGGAGTGAAAAGGCTTCGGAGGCGAGAGAGAGAACTGGAAACAAGGACAGAGAATACAGAGAAGGCGAGTATACAGAGAGAGGGGACAGGGATTAAAAAAGGGAGCAGAAGAATAGGAGAAGGAAGAGGGAATTAAGAATGGGAGCTTGGTAGAGCCTCAGATCAAGAGGCACGTTGAGGAGGATACTGCCTTGGTACTTGGAGCGCGGGTAGTAGATGTCCTCGCACTTCGGGCAGTAGATCTTCACTGTGCTCGTTCGGGGGATGTCTGATTGGCCCATGGGCAGGCAGGGCTGCCCGGAACAAAAGACTCTGGGACACCGACCGAAATCCACGTTTTTGAATTTATCCAACTGGTGAGAGAAGGGGGTGGGTGGGACACGAAATTTCGGAAGAATGGGAGGGCAAGGCGAAAGAATACAGTGTTATGCGTGTGATAAGCAATGGTACTGAGCAATGGGATTGCCTACACACACACACACCATTGCTTGGTACCATATGGGATTTCGTGTATACACACAATAACGGAAGCAAGATGGTGTGTGTGTGTAGCGTACATGAGGACTTAGCGGGCTTACCACGGTGCTGAGTCCGCGTATGGTGAGGATGTAAGAAGCTTACCATGGTACTGAGGCCGCGTGTAGTGAGGATGTAAGAAGCTTACCATGGTACTGAGGCCGCGTGTAGTGAGGATGTAGCGGACGTGGATGAGCCCGTAGAGCATCTCTGCTGCTGACTCCACCATCTCATGCTGCTCCTCCGTCAGTATGTCGTCTGGACCGGGAAAAAAAAGAGCAAAAGGTGTTGGTTTTCTTCGCCCGCCTCACAAGTCGTTTGTAACACATGGTCTCCTCGGCCGACATGTACATAACACATCATCCGGAAAAACACCACTGAAGAATCTTGACACTCAACAAGCACTTGCAAGCATACCCGTCCTGTATGCAAACCCAACCCACCCCTGCAACCCCCCCTGCAACCCCCCCCCCTCCGCCCCCCCGCCACCCCCCCGTCCTCTTTACGCCACCTGTGTGTGGTCCCACTCCCCTCCCGCCACCTGTGGCCCACACCCTATGTGACCAGTACGGTACTCCACCATTCAGGGTCAGGTCCAGCGCGCCTACGGCACACAGAGGGTGCTCTTCTCAGCAGCCTCGTGCCGTAGGGAACCTCGCCATCCAGGATCAGGCCTGCTGTAGGGGGCCTAGAACAACACAACAGCGGCACCAGGCTGCTGCTGGGACCCATCGCCGACCCCCACCCCCCTCCCTCCGTCCTTCGCCTCACGCACTCTCTCTCTCTCACCAGGCATTCTCCTCTGACTTGTGGCCGTTCGAGGGCCAAAATGAGGCTCAGCACATAGCCATTGTACAGCGATTAGCGTCCCTTCACCCCCTCTCTCACCCGGCGCGCGTCCCTTCACCCCCTCTCTCCCCCGGCGTGCGTCCCTTCACCCCCTCTCTCACCCGGCGTGCATCCCTTCACCCCCTCTCGCACCCAGCGCGCGTCCCTTCACCCCCTCCCTCACCCGGCGCGCGTCCCTTCACCCCCTCTCTACCCCACGAACACCTCCCACCCTCTCTCTGTCCCGTGGCCGACTCGACGTCCAAAATGAGGTCGAGCGCGTGGTCGTAGCACGGCACTTGGCTGCTGAGCCCCCTGTGGGACTCCCTCCACCCACTCCCTCCCTGCTTCCCCACGGCCAAACCCTCTCTCACCTGTGGGCGACTCCACGTCCAGAATGAGGCCCAGCGCGTAGTCGTAGTTCGGCACTTGGCTGCTGAGCCCGGAGAGGTTAAAGTCGTCCTCGATGTACTCGTCGTCCACCTCGCAGAAGAACCCGTTGCCCTTGCTCCACACGCCCTCCTATCACTCACGCCCCTCACCTTCACCGGCGTTCACTTCCTTTTGAGTCGACTCAAAAGTGACTTCCTTTCCCTTTGCGCTGACATTCCCCCCTGCCACGCCCCTCTCACACGGCTTTCCGCAAACGGCCCCTCTCTCACCCGTCGGGGATTCCACATCCAGGATCAAATCCAGCGCGTAGTCGTAGTAGGGCACTTGGCTGCTGAGCCCGGAGAGATTAAAGTCGTCCTGGATGTACTCGTCGTCCACCTCGCAGAAGAACTCGTTGCCCTTGAGCGAGCAGAACCATGTGATCCACGACGTGTCGTCCTCCGAGTCGCTCACGTCCGACTCCTCGCTGTCTGAGTCTGGGTGCAATACGGTGGAAAGAGGTGTGCAATCAGGCGGAAGGCGGGGGGGGGGAGAGAGAGGGGGGAGGGGATGGGAGGGGGAGGAGGGTCAAACACTCGTTGCCCTTGAGCGAGCAGAACCATGTGATCCACGACGTCATCTTCCGAGTCGCTCACGACCGACTCCTGGCTGTCCAAGTCTGGTTAGGGGGAGGGGGGGAAGGGAGGGGGGGAGGAAGGAGGGGAGGGAGAGGGGGGGGGGGGATGTGGTGTGCAGCGACCAAGGAGAGTGAGAAAGCAAGCTTCAGAACCTTCTGATCCACGACATGTCGTCCTCCGAGACGCTCACATCCGACTCCTCGCTCCCGGGCGTTACAGTGGGGCGAGGTGCGCAATCAGGCGGGACCTGGGGGCGGGGGGCGTGGAGGCGGCGGGAATGGGAACGGGAGGAGGGGGAGTGGGAGGGGGAGGAGGGGCAAACACTCGTTGGCCTTGAGCGAGCAGAACCACGTGATCCACGACGCGTCGTCCTCCGAGTCGCTCACGTTTGATTCCTCGCTGTCCGAGTGTTTGAAGTCTGTTTTTTAGTCAACTCAAAAACAGGCTCGTAACACAAGAGTCTGGGAGGGGTGGATTGTGATGTGAAACGACAAGGGAATGAGGGATAACAAGCTCCAGAGCCGGTTGTAATGAGTCGATTTTTGACTCATTAATCGACTCAAAAATCGACTCATTACAACGACAGAGGAATGTGGGATAACAAGCTCTAGAGCCGGTTGTTCGACAAACAACGTTTTAGTCACAGCGACGAGCGCGATTTCTTTCCGAGCGCGTGCTTCCCAGTAACTTCGAGCACAAATAACTCGCATTGTTCTTGATCTGACGCGGACCCGGGATATCACGACAGCCCAGGTGGTATGGACGGAAGCGCAAATATGAATTTTGCATCTAGGCGCATGGGATGGCGAAAGGCGAAAATAAAGAGCAATGCGTACGAGTCGGCCTTTGAGGAGCCTCAGAACCGAGAACGCAACGAATACGGATCGTGCGGTCAGACGTTATGATGTACCTTAGAACAAGATGACTTTTGAGTCGACTCAAAAGTCATTTTCAGTCGACTCAATAGAACAAGCCATGAGACATCGCAGCAGGAGTTTAGACGGCTCCACCACAATTAACAGCCGGACGGACCAATATACCCTTACCGTCTCACAGACCGAAAATAAACAGCACCAGGGCGCATACCCTTTCCCAATAAAAGGCAACCCGAACACACATACCCTTTCCCAATAAAAGGCAACCCGAACACACATACCCTTTCCCTGACCCGCCTGGGCTTGTTGCGAGGACGGGGGGACGCCGGAGAGCCGCTCCTTATCGCGCGGGTTGATGGACCCTTTGCTGCTCTGCCCTTGCGCCATCGTCATCTCGTCCCCGCGCTTCTTCCCCGTGTGCGCATCCATCCCCGCCCCGCCCCCCACAGCCCCCCCTGCCACGTCTCTTTCCCGGTACCCCCTCGCGTCCTTCGATCCCCCGCCTCTGCTCGAGTCAGGCTGCGCCATGCTCCGATCTCCCCTAAACATGGTGTGAGAAGATTACGAATCTAAAGAATGGACGCGAAAAAAACGAAAAAAAAAAAGTGTCGAAGCGGGATAAGTTCGACGCGGGAAGCTTCTAGAAATAAACGCGGCCGGTTGAAACGGGGAGCGAGAAGCAGCCACTCGGGCCGCAGCTAGCAACCCCGCGCGTGCAACTGCTGGTGCATCAGACTTCACAATGCTATAATCCCTAGATAAGAAAAAACGGCAGGCCAAGAGATCGTTTGCTCAGAGCCAATACCAAGGAGCAATAATCGACAAACTAAAGCCGTCGTCTGAATCGTGGCGAGAGCTCAAGGTTATTCGAAGATCTCTTAACGGACGGCGGTATGTGTCTACGCTACACCGACTAGGAGTGGGCGGAATGAAGACCAGCGAAACCCTAACACGGGGGAGGATGGACGGAGGGTAGGATACCGACGAGAGGATCGAGGGGAGTGTACGGCGGAAAGCTGTGCTTGTTGAGTGGCTTGGCTTTCCTCCTCGCTGGCGGCTGGAGGGTGATGTTATGGTGGGACAATGTGATACACTTTGTAGGGGTGTTACTTAGTTTCTGTGTGCATTTTAGGGTGACTTTTGGCCATAAGAACTCAACCATTAAATTATTCTTCAGGCCTTGATATTGCTGTGATAAAAAAGGTCTAATAGGATATTCGGATGTCTTCTATCATATTAATTACCTCGTTGTTCCGTCATAATGGTCAGATGTGCTAACAACCGAGTATGCTTATTTGAAATAGTGAAAACCAGTAAACCTTATCCATGAGCAAAGTATGTATGTTGTATGCACTCCAAGTTACCTAAAATGCAAGGTAATTTCACCGTAACTAAGTGCTGCTCACGCATTCCAGCTCTTCATCAATATGCTCTATAACAAAAAAAAACATTTCTTAAGGAAGGTTGAGGTTCGAGTAGCTCGGCTCACAATACGAAACTGCTCACTTTTTGGGCTTCCAAACTCACTTGCCAAACCTTCAAACGAGTTCTTGGGAATTTCCAGGGCGGGAACAAAGCTGATTGGTGCGTGCATTCATTTCCCTTTCCCTGCTTCTCATCACCACACCACACAAATCGATCCCACTGTGAAGCCGTCCCCGAAATTGTCGACTCGGGTCAATCAGATGAGCCAACCACAGGTCACACAAAGCAGCATCTCCGACTCGCATTTCGCGTTTCTGATTCAGGTCACTGAAACCCTAATCGCGTGCTCCCCGCTTTCTCTTTCCTAAAGCGTTCGTAGTGGGTAACTGGTACCTCAGAGTCTAACCGGTTAGAGCGCGAAGATGGCGTGTGCTTCGCTATAGTCTCTGCAGGCTGTATCTCGAAACGCGTAGTTTTCGCTGACGATGGTGCTGCACAGAGCAAGCAAGCGGAGAAAGGTGCACGGGGCCTTTCCTTTCGCGCTCTTTGGCTCGAACGAGTGTCCCGCAGATTTTCCCCGCGGCCCGGTTCCTTTTCGCCAACTAGTTCAGAATCTAATTCGCGATTTCGCAGAGCCCGATTCGTGTAACATCGAGGGCGTCGCTTCGTGGACGATTCGCCTGCAAGACGACAAGGGCCACCGCATCGGCTTGCGTGTCCTCGAGGAGAACGTGCGAGCGTCGGGCCGCGCACACTGCGACAACTGCCGCGTGGCAGGTGCGCCAGAAACGCTAGGCCTGGTAGACGATATGCTTGGTAGCGAAAGCGCAATAGCCTGTGAGACAATCTTCCCTAGAGCCGAAAGCACCGTCATTTGTGTGTGGTATTTAGAGCGCAACGAGAAAATGTGTCGACCAAGCATGCCTTGCATGGTGAAGGCGCTTTTGCTTTCGAACTCTTGCCTTACGGACTTGAGCAGAGGCGTGTGCGTCAAATGGTGGCGCGTATGTGCGTCCTGGGTGTGCACTCTATGCAGAGTCGTGATACCCCCCTGTGTGTGTGCATGTATGCTTGCGCAGGGTGGAGCCACCACCCGTGCACCACTACCACTTCATAATTCGGCTCGTGGCGGACGTGGACGAGAACAACGGCCAGGGCATCGGCGAGGGCCGCAAGCTTTGTCTCACTGTGTGTGCATGTATGTATGTATGTCCGTTACGTACATGTGCAGGGTGGAGCCACCACCCAGTGTCCGTGCACCGCTACCACTTCATAATACCGCTGGTGGCGGACGTGGACGAGAACAACAGCCAGGGCATTGGCAAGGGCCGCAAGCTCTGCCCCAACTGCAGCGCCGTCATCGCCTCTAATGCCAAACGGTCAGTTGTGATGCCAGACGGTCAGTTCCAACGCCAAACGGTCACTTCTAACGCCAGACGGTCAGTTCCAACGCCAAACGGTCAAGTCTAATGCCAGACGGTCAGTTCCAACGCCTAACGGTCACTTCTAACGCCAGACGGTCAGTTCCAACGCCAAACGGTCACTTCTAACGCCAGACGGTCAGTTCCAACGCCAAATGGTCAGTTCTAACGCCAGATGGTCAGTTCCAACGCCAGACGGTCACTTCTAACGCCAGACGGTCAGTTCCAACGCCAGACGGTCACTTCTAACGCCAGACGGTCAGTTCCAACGCCAAACGGTCAGCTGTAATGTTAGCGGTTCAGTTCCGGTCCGGCATGAATGCAATGAACCTATTCTTGCTGGCGGACGTATTGTGCCGGGCATATGCCTTCATACCTGTAGTTGTTAATCCCATTGCATGTTTCATTGTCCCTGCTACTGTGCGTCTAATTGCCAATGGGCCATGTCCAGGTGCACTGCATGTGGGCACGACGCAGTGCGTGGCACCCTGCTGGAGTCTCAGACGCATCTGCTGCACGGAGTGGTCCACACCAACGGATTCGGCCACCTTCTCCGAATCAACGGCCGGGAACGCGGCTCACGCCTCGTCACTGGGCGGCAGCTGATGAGCCTGTGGGACCGCATGTGCACCATGCTTAATGCCAGGGAGGTGACATGCATGGATATGTCCAAGAAGCTTGGCCTGGACTTGCGTCTGCTGCATGGGCTGGCGTACGGGCACCCGTGGTACGGCCGGTGGGGTTACCGCTTCGGCAAGGGGTGCTACGGCGTGACTGAAGACGTCTACAGTCACGCCCTCGCAGCAGCGGCCGCGACTCCACTTGCGGCGATCCAAGAGCATTTCAGGGGATTGGACCCGGTGAGTATGTTTGAGGATTTCATCACTCTGTTGTTGTAAGGCTGAAGAGGCAGCTCCTTCTGAGTGGGCTCTGGCCTAAAGTCTCGTTTCCTGTGGACGTGGAGGGATGATTTCCGATTCTCGTCTACCTTTCCCCCCTCCTCTGTGTTTCAGGACTTAGTCGCTATTATAGAGCATTATCGGTCGTGGGCCAGCAAGAACAACACTAGCGCGTCGATAGATGCCGTGCCAGTACCTCGTGCTATAGCACCACCTCAACCAGCTGCAGCGCTTGCTCAAGACCCACGGTCTACTGTAAAACATTCACTACCAGCAGGAGCAGTTTCAGGAGCGGCAGCAGCAGCAGCAGCAGCGACAGGAGCAGCAGCAGCACCTGGAATGCAAGTAGAGCTGCGTGCAGCATCAGGCCCTGGAGTCGTGACCTCCCAAGCAACGGATTCTGCCATCGTAGGAGGGACCACTCCTATTATCCCCTGCCATCAGCCGCTCCATCCCACGCTGCCCCTTCCACCTTCTCCCCTCTCACCAGCTTTCCTTGATACTTCTTCCCATGCTACAGCCCCCCATGCTGCAGCCCCCCTTGCTAATGCCCCCCATGCTACTGCCCCCCATGCTACTGACCCCCATGCTACTGCCCCCCATGCTACGGCTCCCCATTCGGGTCTCCCCCAACCGGCCCAAGCCGAAGGCTTGAGAACACTGGGCCAACTCATAAGGCTGATGCTCGAACTGCTGTCGTCATGTCCTGCTGCCGCCCCCGCTGCTACCGGTGCTGCTGCTGCTGCTGCTGCTGTTGATCCTGAAGTCCCTGTTGCCCCTTCTGCTGCTGTTGCTGCTGCTGCTGCAGCTCCTGCTGCTGCTGCGGCTCCTGCCGGTGCAGCTAGTCATATAGCTAGTACTAGTAGCATGGGCAGTAAGAAAGTTAGGACTGGTGTACATTCTGCCTCCCTCCCTTCATCTCCTGACATAACCCCGAGACTGAATTTTCTCGCATTGACCTCTCCTCCTCTGACTTCCCCTCTACTAAGCTCCCCCCTACTGACCTCCCCTTCACTTACTCCCTCCCCACTCACGCTCCCCTCCTCGCCCCTCGCCCCTAGTCCCTCTAACCCTGTCACAGCCCAAAGGCCTCTCTCTTCTCCTAAACCTCTTCCTCGTTCACCATCCAATTCACGAGGCATCAAGAGCCCACCTCCCATCACGCCCCGAACCCGCTGCAAGGAGCACGCTCAAGTGCAGGATCCGTCCCCCCTTTCTCCCCGGACCAGGCTCGGCGGCACGGCTTCGGCACCCAGGCTGACTGCCGAGCCTAGCTTCAAGGTCTGGGTGAATTCTGAAAGAGATGTGCAGGACAGAATCGGGGCATGTGCAGGTATGGAGGGAGGCACTACTCTCGATAGAAAAATCCCCAAGGTAATGCTTAGAGATAGAATGATTCCTAACGTAACTGTTACAGATGGTTTGGGCCCTGCATTAGAACATCCTAACAGCATGCCTAGAGCTCCAGGCGGCAGCAGTTGCAGGGTTTCAAAGGGTACTGAGGTTACCAAGTCGCGTGGTAACTTGTGTGAGCTCGTGTCCCCACGAAGCAGACAAGCAAGAGGCGTTGTTAGGTCTTCTTCTGCTAGTGTGCCCCCTGCTGAACGGGGAAGGGTAGGCAGAGGAGCAGAGGGGGACGTAAATGGGCGGAGGAGAGGAGAAGAGGGTGGGGCGGATGTGTGGACGAGAGGAGACAGGGGTGGGGCGGATGGGGTAGCGCAGGGGGAAGCAGGGGGGTTAGGGAGCCGAGGAGAAGTAGTGAGAACAAGGGGAAAAGAGGAATCAGTGGGAGCAGTGGGAGGAGGTGGGAGGGGTGGGGGGAGACCGAGAGGCCCGGCACATTCCACCGTTTTGACGAGTGATGAGGAGTCTTCCAGCTCATCAGAGGGGAGTGATGACGTGGGCGAGGCCAGTGATGACGTGGACTGGGAGAAGGTGGAGTGGAGAGGGGGAGCAGGGAAGAGAGGGGGGAGAGGGGGGAGGGCGGGAAGGGGCAGAGGCAGTTTTGGTATCAAGGGAATACGAGTAGGGAGAGGGAGAGGGGGGGTAGGGAGAGGAGGGGGAGGGAGGGGCAGGGGCAGGGGACGAGGTAGTGCGGGTAGTGAACCATTAGCTGGGAAGGCGTTGATGAGAAAAGCAGCAGCAGGGGCAGCAGGAGCAAGAGAAACAGCAGTAGGAGCAGCAGGAGCAGGAGTAACAGCAGCAGAAGCAGCAGTAGCAGGAGTAGTGGGGCCGGCAAGAGCAGGTGGAGGGGCAGGAAGGGGAGGAGGCAGAGGAAGAGCGGCGCGTGGGGGAGGAGGGCGAGGGAGGAACGGCGAGCTCAAGGCGCTGGTAGCAGCAGATGCTCATGCCCCAGGGGATGATGTTGACAGCCCAGTTGACAGTCCAGTGGACAGTCCAGTGGGAGATGAGGCAGCAAGGGCCGCTATGGGGAGACTGGGGAGAGGATGGAGGGGAGAGCTCGTAAGCAGGGAGGGGGAGGGTTGTGTGGGTCACGGGGCTTTGGAACCAGCGCAAGAGTTAGAGGCTCGGAACGGAACGATTCGGAATGGGCATGCTCGCTCTGGGAAGGAGCGTGAGAAGAAGTGTGAGAAGGAGTGTGGGGAAGAGTGTGGGGAGTATGATTACAGGGGCTTGGATGCGCATGGGGATTGTGAGGAGCTTGGCTGGTATGCGGAGCATGCTGGTGGTGATGGTGATGGGTGGTGGGGGCTGGACGCATGGGAGGAGGAGCTAAGGGCCGATGTGATGGGGTGCGGTGCGCAGATGTCAAAGGACCATGTGATGGGGTGTGGGGGCGAGAACGGATGCGGATTAGTGGAGGGAGAGGAGAGGGGGGATGAGGGGTCGGAAGGAAAGGAGGAGAAGGGGATGGGGAATGTGAAAGAGGAGAAGGAGGCGGGAGAGGGTAGCGAAGAAGAAGAAATGGAGGAAGGAGGCGGGGCAGACGAGAAGTTGGAGGATGAAGAGGAGTTAGTGTTGCAGGAGCTGGGCGAAACGACGGGAGTGCTGGAATCGGGCGAGGAGAAGGAGGAGGAGAAGGAGAAAGAGAAGGAAGAGGAGGAGAAGGAGGAGGAGCAGCAGGAGAAGGAGAAGGAAGAGGAGGAGAAGGAGAAGGAGCAGCAGGAGAAGGAGAAGGAAGAGGAGGAGAAGGAGAAGGAAGAGGAGTGGGGCTGGGAGGAAGGGATGGTGGATAGGGGTGGAGTGGGGGAGGGGGGCAATGGAAGGAAAGGGAGGCGGTGGGTTTTGCGGGGGGATGCCGACGGTGGAAGAGGGGGGGCAAGCATTCGAAGGACGGGAATACGAGAGGGGCATTTAGAAGTGGATGTGAATACGAGACAGGCGTTAGTCGAGAGCAACGAAGGTGGGGAAGCAGGCGAGCCAAGGTCATCAAGGGTTGACAGTTGTTCTGTGGGGAGACCGCTGAATGGAAAAAAAGTCGCTGCCAGTTTGGATAACAGGCAGCCTGTATATAGAGGAGCTCGTCTGGTTGAAAAGGAGGGCATTGAAAAGAAGGGCGTTGGTAAGAAGGATCTCCACGAAAATGTTTCCAATGTACAGACGCAGGGGAAACGGCCAGGGAAGACAGGATGTGTGAAGAGTGCCGTGGAGAATGGAAAGGGTGGCAGAGAGCGAAGCTGTGGGGAAGTAGGGAAGCCGAGTTGTGGTGCGAAGCGGAAAGAGGCAGTGCTGAATGAGAGGCGGGAGAATGGGTGGAGTGATGTGAGAGAGTATGCTGGGGGTGAGCAGAGGGGCAATGATGGGAGAGATAGGAGGAGCAGAGAAGCAGTTTTTGAGACTTCTGGAGAAGCAGCTGCGAGTGCAAACGGAAGGTGCCTTTCCAGGGAAGGGAGGCACCAACCATCTGTTGGCCTGACGAAGAGGCACAGGCTGGAGGAGAGGAAGCTGCTGCAGCAGCAGCAGCAGCAGCCACTGCAGCAGCAGCAGCAGCAGCAGGAAGAGCAGAAGAAGCAAAAGAAACAGGCAACGCTGCAATACCCGGTTAAGAGAGCGGAAAGTGTAAAGCGGAGTGGGCCGCTCAACGGGACTCGGTATCTGACAATGGCGGGGGAGGGGTTGGCAGGGAGGAGGGGGGCAGAAGTGCGGAGAGAGGAGCAAGAGCAGGGGAGGAAGAAGATTAAGACAGAGCCGGAGCATGGTGAGATGCCAGAGGAGAGGAGAGGGAAGGGGGACGCGATGACAGAGGGAGCATGGGAGGGGTGGGAGGAGAGGGAGGGAAGGGAGAGGAAGGAAGGGAGGGATGAGAGGGCAGGAAAGGGGAGGAAGGAAGGGGCATGTGGTAAGGAGCGGAGGGAAGCGGGGGAGGGTTGTGAGGAGAGGGAGAGCAAGAGAGTAAAGCATGGGGAGTGTGGCAGAGGGGCGAAGGTGGTTTGTGAGTCAGCTAAAGCGGCAGCACGGGCTGGGATGGAGGGTTGTGCCATGGAGAGAAGGGGCCTACTTGTGGATCACAGAGGTGCTGATACTGATGAGGACAAGTGCTTGTTGCAGTGTGGGATGCAGGATGGTGAGGAGGCACAGCAAACGGTGCATAGTGCTCAGCCAACAGGGCGAAATGCCCCAGCAATCGAAGTCCATTCCTCCGTACCTTTGTCTCCCCCGAATGCAGCATTAGCCCAACTTCCAGGACCCCCTTCTCCCCCACTTCTCCCCAAGCTGACTGCCCATCTCCCTAAAGCCTCTGAAGCGCCTCAAGAGCACTCTCCCATGATCTCAATCCCGTTGGAGACGACTCTAAGACTGTTTGCTCCGCTCCCAACCCCCTGGGGACCTCAACTCACTGGATTCGGGGCACAGGACGGGCTGGGGGCTGAGGCGGGTAAGTTAGGGGGAGGTGGTGGGGGGGGAGGAGGGGGAGGAAAAGAGGGTATGATTCTGGATCACAGCAAAAGCACAGGACCCAGGGCGCTGGCACTTAGTAAAGCAGCCTCGTTTAGCAAAGAGCGGGGTTTGAAGACTCCTAGCAATGTAGGAGCGGCTTGTGCTTCTCCTGTGAGTGGCGGCTTTGAAAAGGCAATCCACCAGCAGTATCTGCAGCAGCAGCAGCAAGGTGCGGCAGTGGCGCTGCTGCCCGCTACTAGTAACCCCGTGGAGCCTCATATGCGCTATCTCTACCGCAACCTGCTAGAAGGCGCAGCCCGGCCCTTGTACTCCAGGTCCCTCTATCCCAGGCCTTTCTACCCCGGCCTGGTTGCCTCACCACTCCACCCCACCCTTGCCAGCAGGGCCTTCGCACCAACCCTTCCTGCCAGGCCGATTCCCCCCACCCAGCATCTGCAACGGCCCTTCAAACCCTCCCATGCTAGCCCACCCACGCTTGCTGGCACCAGCGGCGGCAGCAGCGGCAGCATTGGCAGCAGCAGGATTGGTGCTGCTGATGCTGATGGGCTCCTGGCGCTGGTTCGCGTGATTCTGGACACAAAGCACCTGGTGAAGGGGTACTGGGGTGGGGAGCGGTGCGGAGCGGCAGTGAGAGAGGCGGATGGGTGGATGTGTGTGGCGTTTAGGGTGGCGGTGGAGGGAAGTGGGGAGGAGGAGGAGGAGGGGAAACCTTCGGCTATAGTGGAAGGTGAAGGGGAGGCAGGTGGAGAATCAAGTACTGGGGTAGCAGCAGGATTAGGAGCAGGAGCGGAGGCAGGTGCACGGCAAGCAGCAGTAATAGCAGCAGTTAAAGATGAAGCAGCAACGGCAGTAACGTCAGAAGCTGCAGCAGGAGCAGCAGCGGCAGTAAGAGGAGTGGAGCCTGTGCCACGGCAGAGGAAGCTCGGGCCGGTACCAGTGGAGTATGTGGTGGTGCCGACAGACGCCTCAGTGGAGCAGCTGAGAGTGGCGATAGAGAGGAGCATGAGGTGAGACGATGAGGGGTGTGGGGTACCATGCGGCAAGGATTATGAGGCAAGGTCGGGAAATATTTAGTTTTGAGGCGCCTCAAAACTAGACCTCAAAACTAGTTTTGAGGTGCCTCAAAACCATGCGGCAAGGATTATGAGGCAAGGTGGGGAAATATTTTTTAGGCGCCTCAAAAATAGACTCCTCATGTGGGGTACCATGCGACAAGGATTATGAGGCAAGGTCGGGAAATCCCAAGAAGTAGTTGAGCCTACCTGCTCCGCTGAGCCTCTATCTATGGCTCCGCAATCAACCCCTCCCTCACTTTAACCTCCCCTCCCCCTCCCCCCCTGTTCCTTCGCTCTTCCATCCCCTTCTCTCCCTGCAGAGACACATATTGCGCCATGTCCAGATTCAGCGTTTCTCAGGTGATTTTTGAGTCGACTCAAAAATCTCCCCCTCCCCCCCTGTTACTTCGCTCTTCCATCCCCTTCTCTCCCTGCAGAGACACATATTGCGCCATGTCCAGATTCAGCGTTTCTCAGGTGATTTTTGAGTCGACTCAAAAATCTCCCCCTCCCCCCCTGTTACTTCGCTCTTCCATCCCCTTCTCTCCCTGCAGAGACACATATTGCGCCATGTCCAGATTCAGCGTTTCTCAGGTGATTTTTGAGTCGACTCAAAAATCTCCCCCTCCCCCCCTGTTACTTCGCTCTTCCATCCCCTTCTCTCCCTGCAGAGACACATATTGCGCCATGTCCAGATTCAGCGTTTCTCAGGTGATTTTTGAGTCGACTCAAAAATCTCCCCCTCCCCCCCTGTTCCTTCGCTCTTCCATCCCCTTCTCTCCCTGCAGAGACACATATTGCGCCATGTCCAGATTCAGCGTTTCTCAGGTGATTTTTGAGTCGACTCAAAAATCTCCCCCTCCCCCCCTGTTCCTTCGCTCTTCCATCCCCTTCTCTCCCTGCAGAGACACATATTGCGCCATGTCCAGATTCAGCGTTTCTCAGCTCCCCCTCCTCGCTCATCTGCCACCCTCAGCCTTGGTTCGGCCGAACCTGAGCCCTCGCTGCGTGTTGCTGGTTCGGGGCTCAGGCATGGACGGAGGCTCGGACCTGTGCTGGGAGGGAGGTTCGGAGGGGTGGGTGGTGGAATGTAGCTGTGGCACGAGGGACGACGACGGCGAACAGATGGTGGCGTGTGATAGGTCAGTGGGACAGATGGTGGCGTGTGATTGGTCAATGAGACAGATGGTGGCTTGTGATTGGTCAATGGGACTCTTGATGGCTCTGGTGGGTGACTGGGACTGACAGTGAGGCATAATTGGCAGCGGGGCATGACTCGCAGGGGCTTGTGGCTTGCGTCTGGCGTTTTGTAGCTTGTGGCTTGTGGCTTGCGTCTCTGTCCTCCTCTCGTTCCGCATGGATCAAACTTATTGCCTTTCCTCTCCCTTATTGCCTTTCCTCTCCCTTATTGCCTTTCCTTTCAGAAACCTTTTGCCTTTTTCCAGTTCCCGTCTTCCCTTTCCCCTCCCTACTGCTCCTCTCTCTCTGCTTATATTTTTTACCGAAACCCTTGTTCTCCGGACCCTCATGCCTCCAGGTGTGAGGTGTGGCAGCACACTCGCTGTGCGGGATTCTCTGAGCCCCCCTCCAGCTTCCTCTGCGACCTCTGCTCGCTGCTGCTCTAGCCTCTCTGCTGTTCAAGCTGTGATCCCTGCTGCTGTAGCCTGTAGGTTCGCACTGGCTCCTGCTGCCTGTAGCATATGCTCCATACATACGTACCCAACTCGACACTGTCCACGATGAAGCACCTCTTGCTTGCTGTAATAACCTACCTTCCAACTAACCTGTGGCCCTCTCACAGCAAGGCTGTCGATTTTCTGGTAAGTGTCGCTACTTTTAGTACCTACCTACCTTTGTGGATTTGGCAGACTGAGAAGGAGAGTACCGGAAAGGAAGCAGTCATCTCAGTGAAGGAAATCTGGTGCTTCACTAAAGGCGGGGAAAAATGTCGGTGCTGGGATTCGAGCCCAGGTCTCCACGGCCACAACGTGGGATTCTAACCACTAAACTACACCGACGTGTCATTAGTGTCTTTATTTGACTATCGCGCACTTTCAAGCTTTTGGATCTGATCATAATTCCATTCAGTTGCAGCTTCTCCACGCGCACGATGCTGCTCAGACGCGTCACATGCGTGCTCTTGCCGTCGCTTCGCCGTCCTTCACTATGCTCCGACCGTTGTTTCTGCAGAGCAGCCAGTGACAGCGGCGGCAGCAGTAGAGTGGGCAGCAGCAGCAGCAGCAGCACCAGCAATGGCAATGGCGGCGGGAAAAGAGAATTCTGGGACTCCAACGCGGAGGGCTGGAGACGAAGGCCCTCCGATCTGAACGGCGATGAATCATCCGACGGCGGTGCTGTGTCGCGGCAATCCCAAGATTGGGGTGGCGAGAGAGGGAGAGGGTTTTTGCCGGAGACGGGGAATGGCGCAGGGATGAGAGCAGGCGGGGGGGGATTTGCGGAGCGGGGGATGGGGCGGAACGCCGGGGGGGAAGTCGCGGAAAGAGCCGCGGAACGCCAAGATTACGGATATTCGCCGTTGGATACGGTGCCACGTGGCTATGGCGAGCACGATTATGGTTATGATTATGAATATGATGAGCGTGATCGTAACGCGTATGGCCGTTCCAGTGGCCAGTCAGGTGATCCGAGGATTCGAGGTGGAAGGCAGATGGCAGATCGAGGCGTGGAGAACGGTGCAGCGGAGTGGAGTAGCAGGTTGGATGGGCGCAGTGACGGACTGTTTGGAAGGGCGCCGGAGGGAGAAACGGGAGGAGGAGGAGGAGCAGGAGCAGGGAGAGGAGGACGAGCGGAGAGCAGCGAGGGCATTCCAGAACCATTGAAAGAGGCAAGTGCTTAAGGTTTCCACCGGGTTCACGATGAAAAACACTCGGTTTTGCTGCTCTGCCTTTTCCCGTCCCTCCTCTCTCTCCCTCTCTTCTCTCCCCCCCCCCCCCACACCTCCTCGCTCCCCCGCTCTCTCGCACTCACTCCCCTCACCCACTCACTCTGTCCTCCGCTGTTCTCTCTCCCTTTCTCCTTCAGTTGCTGGCGTCCATCCCCTGGGGAGTGCCTCTCGTGCTGGTTCTCCTGCCGCTGCTCTTCGACCGCCCTCTGCTCTTCCTCTCTCTCGCTGCTCTTGTGGCCCTCACACCCACCCTCCGAAACACGCTCGGCCCACCGTTCCTGGAGCTAGGCTCGGCACTGCTGGAGCTTTCGCTTCGGCCGATCGTCAACGAGAAGGAGACGCAGGGTCGGAAAGAGAGACAGCAGGGTTGGAAACAAGAGCAGCAGCAGCAGCGGCAACAGCAGCAACAATCGCAACAGTGGTCTCAGTTTCAAAGCAGCAGCTCTCAGAGGAGGAAGGAGCCACAGGTTTGGGATGACACTTTGGGCCCAGGCTTGGGTCTGGGGACTGGCTCGGCGATAGGTACGGGTGTGGCTTCCGAGGCTTGGGAGTGGGTTCGGTACCAGCTGGATGTGATCCGAGGGGAGATAGACCCTGCGAGAGAGGGGATGGAGAGCAGGGGAGGCGGTGGGGGGGAGAAGAGGAGGGCATTCAGTAGCATTGATGAGAATGGCAGAGACAGGGAGCAATGGTTGTTGCAGCAGCAGCAGCAGTTGCAGCAGCAGCAGCAGCAGCAATGGCAGGAATGGAAAGGGCAGCAGGGAGCAGCATCTGGAGGATACAGAAGCAGTGAGAGCTGGCAAGGACCAGCTGATGGGGAAGAGAGGAGATGGCAGGATGAGGGGAGATGGCAGGAGGGAGATGCCAGGCAGTGGGCTGGTGGCTCTGTGGTGGGGAGTGAGGATCAGTTTAGGCAGATGGAGGAGAAGCAAGGGTGGGAGGGTGAGGTGAGAAGAGGTGATGGAAAGGAGGGGGAGAAACGGTGGGAGGAGGGTTGGAGTGGTAATGACAAGGCACTTGGGAATGGGTCAAGTGTGGAAGGGAGAGGCAGTAACGGCGTTACAAGCGTGGATGGGAGGGGAGGTTGGGACTGGAATGGGTGGGGCGAGAACAAGGACAAGCCACGATACTGAGGGTCACTATGAATACCTAATGGTGTGATGTGATGTGTTCCTTGTGCTGATGGGTTTTGTTTTACCTCAGTGAGCCAACTTTTGAATGTACGGTATGTACTTTGATTCTGTTACTTCGCTAAGACCCATAGCCTCATTGAAACTTCTTCCTAGCGAGGGTGTAGTTCTCGAGTGGTTTTTAGCTTTGACAGGAGCTTGTTCATTTAATCTTGGAATGGGAGTTCGGTGATTTTCGGGGAATGTTTCAGCACATATTGAAACCGCTTAAAACGCGGATGGAAGGACGGCGTTCACTTCTGTTGGCTTTGCCCTGGCTCTTGGAATTCACTAGAGAATCTAGGATCCACCTTGGGATCCACGGTTCCCGCCTTGTTCCTGGTTGACGTTCTCACGAATCTTGAGAGTTCTTGAGAGTCCGAGCTGAATCACCTCGGGATTGTCGCTCCATCTCCCGTTTGCCCCTTTGGGTTGGAATCTGCAGAAGTCTCAGAGAGGAAGCCGGCCTGCATCTCTCTCTCGCTTACGTCTATACGAGCCTGCGACCTGCGATTCGCACCGCCATGGTTTCCGTTTTGCGACTTCCTGTCACGTCCGTCGCGTCTTCAGCCGTTGGTTCGTCGAACCCCGGCCTCCGATCCGCGTCCTCTCGCACCGTCGCCTCGCCAGCATCCTTCGTACCTTTCCGCGTGCCTCTCGGCGCTCCTCTCCCCGTTTCTCGCTCCCCTTCACGATCTCACCGCGCGGCTGACCGTCAGTCCGTGCGATCGATGGCGACAGACGCAGCAGCGACCCTCCCCGCGAAGAGCGGCGAAATCCTGCCTGGCGAGCCGTTACCAGAGGGCTACGAAAAGATGGATCCGTATTCGCTGATCCCGGCGAGGCGGTGCGGCGTTCTGGTGCATCCCACGTCGCTGCCCGGCCCGCACGGCATTGGCGACTTCGGGCCCGGCGCGTTCAAGTTTCTGGATTGGCTGGAGTCCACGGGATGCACGATCTGGCAGGTGGGCGCGTGGGTGCGTGGGGGGTTGCGTGCGTGGGTGCGTGGGTGGGGTGGCTGTAGAATCCTGTGAGGCGCCTCAACAGTCAATTGGCTGGAGTCCACGGGATGCACGATCTGGCAGGTGGGCGCGTGGGTGCGTGGGTGCGTGGGTGCGTGGGTGGGGTGGCTGTAGAATCCTGTGAGGCGCCTCAACAGTCAATTGGCTGGAGTCCACGGGATGCACGATCTGGCAGGCGGGTGCGTGGGGGTCTCGAGACCCCACAGAGCGTGCGAATTTTGACGATTTCAGTGCACTCCGGTGGATCTCGGCGATGCCTTGTGCATTACGGTGCAATCCTGCGTGCTTGCTGTTCATTCCTATTCCTGTGCGTTTTTCTGCTCTTCTGTGCACTCCTGTGCGTTTCTTGCTCGTCCCTGTGCGTTTCTGTGCTTTCTCCTGCACAGGTGCTGCCTCTGGTGCCGCCAGGCAGGAAGTCAGGTGAAGACGGCAGTCCCTATGCTGGCCAGGTAGGTACGGGATTCCTAATGCTGGCCAGGTACGGCATTTTCAATGCTGGCCAGGTTCGGCAGTCCCTATGCTGGTCAGGTACGGCAGTCCCTATGCTCGCCAGGTACGGCAGTCCCTATTCTGGCCAGATACGGCAGCCCACATGCTGGTCAGGCCCCTATACCGAAGCATCTAATGTCGGATTGGCCTGTCAATCTCGGGCCTATTAGACGCAGACATGCACGTATTCTCTCTTCAAAACTTCACTTTTCTCGTGTCCTCTGCCTCCCTTGCCACTCAGAACTTCCTCTTTCCTCTCCCATCCCATCTTCCTCTCACCTCTCTACTCCCCTCCCTTGCACTGGGACGTCAACTGCAGTAACACGCTGCTGCTCTCCCAAACTTCCATTCCTCGCACTCCCTCCACCTCCCGTCTCTCCATCTCCCTCTTCTCTACCCTCCCCCCCATCAGGACGCCAACTGCGGCAACACGCTGCTGCTGTCGCTCGACCTGCTCGTGCAAGACGGCCTCCTAGAGCCGTCTGACCTCCCTCCTACTCGGTATGCGCCCTCCCACTCAGCACACACACATCACACCCTCCCCTCTCCCTTGCCACTCCCAAGACTCTTTCGCTCGTCCTGCTCGTGCAAGACGGCCTCCTAGAGCCCTCCGACCTCCCCCCCTCTCGGTATACTGCATCCCTCTGACCCACAGAATCCCCTGACTCACGCCCTTCTTTTGTTTTTGAGGCGCCTCAAAAATAGACCCCTCTGACCACACAGAATCCCCTGAGTCACGCCCTTCTTTTGTAAGAAACCTGCACGAGTGGTGGTGTTGTCTCATTTCCACTACCTCATACCCCTTCTCCTCCTCCCCCCCCCCCCCCCCCAAACAGTCCCGTGCAGCGGGTGGACTACAAGCAGGTCATCAGGGACAAGGATCCCGCCGTTGCCAAGGTGTGTCGCTACCCCGGGCTTTTTTTTTATATCTGTGGGGAAGGGGGTGGTGGGTGGGTGGACGGGTGGCGGGGTGGGTGGGGTTGAGAGCGGGCTGGATAGGTGGATGGTGGTGGTGTCTCACAGTCTCACATGGGTGAGCGTTGCGCATCTCACTGTCCCACCTACGCCTCCGTGTCTTGGTCATACCCCGTGTCTTGGTCATACCCCGTGTCTTGATCATACCCCGTGTCTTGATCATACCCCGTGTCTTGGTCATACCCCGTGTCTTGATCATACCCCGTGTCTTGATCATACCCCGTGTCTTGATCATACCCCGTGTCTTGATCATACCCCGTGTCTTGATCATACCCCGTGTCTTGGTCATACCCCGTGTCTTGATCATACCCCGTGTCTTGGTCATACCCCGTGTCTTGATCATACCCCGTGTCTTGGACATACCCCGTGTCTTGGTCATACCCCGTGTCTTGGTCATACCCCGTGTCTTGGTCATACCCCGTGTCTTGGTCATACCCCGTGTCTTGGTCATACCCCGTGTCTTGATCATACCCCGTGTCTTGGTCATACCCCGTGTCTTGATCATACCCCGTGTCTTGGTCATACCCCGTGTCTTGATCATACCCCGTGTCTTGGTCCTTCAACCCATCCCCGGGTGTGCAACCAGGCGGCGAGGGCACTGGTGAGGAGCAAGGGCAAGCTCAAGGAGGACTTTGACGCCTTCAGACAAGCGCCCACCATTTCTGGTCAGCTCCCTCCCCTCTCTCTCTCTCTCTCGTGAGCTCCTCCCTCTCTCTCTCTTTCTCGTGAGCTCCTCCCCCTCTCTCTCTTTCTCGTGAGCTCCTCCCCCTCTCTCTCTCCTGGTGAGCTCCTCCCCCTCTCTCTCTTTCTCGTGAGCTCCCTCCCCTCTCTCTCTTTCTCGTGAGCTCCCTCCCCTTCTCTCTCTTTTCTTCCTTCCACTCATCTCCCTTGCAGCCCTTGACTTCTCCTGACTGCGTGCTCTCTCCCTCCCTCCCTCCCTCCATGCCCAACCGCCCAGTATCACATGCGTCTTAGTATGTGTGGATATGCCCAGCCGCCCTTTTCTGCTCTCGTAGCATCCATGTCCATCTCACTTCATTGCCCCCAACCATTCCCAACCGCTGGTCACCGCGTCCAGCCCATCTCCATCACTCTCTTTCTCTCTATCTCCCTGCCTATATGGCGTGTGTCGACTCAAAGCCCGTCAGCCTCTGCACAGCATGGCTGGAGGAGGCATGCGGTGCAGTGCAGAGGCTTAGGGTGGACGTTTTTGCCATGCTGAACAGGCATGGAAATGCCATGCACATGCTAAACAGGCATGCACGCCTGTTCAGCGCCATCGATGGCGACCAGAGGATGGACTTTTGGCTTGACTGTAAGGTCTTGCACGCGCCTCTCCCCTCCTCCCCCTCCCCCTTCTCCGTCCCGCCTCTTCTGTCTACTCCTTCCCCCTTGTTCCTCTTTCCTTAAACAGCGTGGCTGGAGGAGGCCGCCCTCTTCAGCGCCATCGACGGCGAGCAGGGGGTGGAGTTCTGGCGTGACTCAGAAGCCCTACACGGTCGCCCCCTCCTTACTTCTCCCCCCTCTCTTCCCCCCTCCTCCCACCGCAGCGTGGCTGGAGGAGGCCGCCCTCTTCAGCGCCATAGACGGCGAGCAGGGGGTGGAGTTCTCGTGTGTTTCAAATGTCCTGCACGCCCCCCACCTTCCCCTCTCTCCTCCCCCTCCTCCCACCGCAGCATGGCTGGAGGAGGCCGCCCTCTTCAGCGCCATCGACGGCGAGCAGGGGGTGGAGTTCTGGTGGCTGTGGCCCAAGGAGCTGCGGGACAGAGAGCCGCAGGCCATCGCTGCTGCTAAAGAGAGGCACAGAGAATACGTGAGTGGAGGGGTGGGAGAGGGGAGGGCTGTGCTGAAATGGGGGGTCGATTGTGAAAGGGGTTGGAAACAGGTGGAGCTGAGGGATAGAGAGCCGCAGGCCATCGCTGCTGCTAAGGAGAAGCACAGAGAATACGTGAGTGAAGGGGTGGAAGGGGCAGGAGGATGTGGGGCATGTATGACAGAGGTTGGAGGGGCTGGGAAAGGGTGGAGAAGAGAGACAGAGAGCTGCAGGCCATGGCTGCTGCGAAAGAAAGGCAGAGAGAATACGTGAGTGGTGGTTTTTGAGTGGACTCAAAAATCGACTCATTACACGTGGCTGCCAGGAACCGGCATGTGGGGTAGGTTATGTGTGTGATGCCAGACGCCAGATTTGCAGTGATCCCTTCGAATGTCATACTTTGGGTTTGCCGGATTATATCTCCCACCACCTCCTGCAGATTGACCAGTTCGCCGCCCAGCACTTTCTGTTCCAGCGGCAGTGGCCTGGGCTCAAAGCGCCTCAAAGGCGCACTGAACCCCCCTTCCCCCCTCCTCCCCCTCCCCCACTTCCCCTCTTCCCCGTGTGGCAGATTGACGAGTTTGCCGCCCAGCAGTTTCTGTTCCAGCGGCAGTGGCAGGCGCTGCATCGCCATGCGAACAGCAAGGGCATCCGGATCATGGGCGACATGCCCATCTACGTGGGCGGCCACAGCGCCGACGTGTGGGCCAACCCGGAGCAATTCATGCTGGTAGGCTGTTCATGCTGCTGGTACAGGTTGGTATGCACTATCATTAGGGAGTGATGGTACGTGGTATCCCCATGCAGCAAGGGCATCCGCGTCATGGGCGACATGCCCATCTACGTGGGCGGACACAGCGCCGACGTGTGGGCCAACCCCGAACAGTTCATGCTGGTGTGTCCATTTAGGCACTATGTATGCTGGTATGCCACTTGGAATCACTCCGTAGGTATGCTGGTATGCTGGTATGCCACTTGGAATCACTCCGTCGGTATGCTGGTATGCTGGTATGCTGGTATGCTGGTATGGGGGTACACCACTTGGAATCACGCCACGGAGCAAAGGCATGCGCATCATGGGTGACATCTACATGGGCGGGGGCAAAGTGCCAACGTGTGTGCCAACGTGTGTGCCAACGTGTGTGCGAACGCGTGTGCCAACGCGTGTGCCAACGCGTGTGCCAACGCGTGTGCCAACGTGTGTGCCAACGTGTGTGCCAACGTGTGTGCCAACGCGTGTGCCAACGTGTGTGCCAACGTGTGTGCCAACGCGGAACAGTCCATGCTGCCATGCCATTCTGGTAGTACTAGTCCATGCGGTATCATCCCCCCCTGCCCCCCCCCCCCCCCCCCAAGTCCCCACTATCCAGCTGCCTGCTCTCCAGCATTCCTCATCCCAACTCACGATCCTTACCCCCCCCACCCACCGTCGTAGTAATTTCGTTTTGAGACGTCTCAAAAGGAGATTACGATCGCATCCTCATCCCAACTCACGATCCTACCCCTCCCCCCCCCCAACCCCCGGTTCCCATGAGGATCGGGAGACCCGCCAGCCCTCACCCGTCACCATCCAGCACACCCCACTCCGTACCTTCCTCCCCTCCCCCACACTCCACTCCGTACCTTCCTCCCCTCCCACACACCCCACTCCGTACCTTCCTCCCCTCCCCCACACCCCCCTATCCCCGCCAGGACCCTGAAACCCGCAAGCCCACGCTTGTGAGTGGCGTGCCGCCCGACGCCTTCAGCGCCACGGGGCAGCTGTGGGGCAGGTGAGAGGGGGAGTGGTTGAGTGGGGGGAGGGGGAAGTGTGAGGAGACCTAAGCTCGGGCAAGTGAGACGGGGAGTGGGGGAGTGTGGGGAGGGAGAAGTGTGGGGAGACCTAAGCTGGGGCCGGTGAGAGGGAGTGTGGGGGTCTGTCGGGATGCCATTGGGAATGCAGGGAGGATGGAGCTGGTACAGGTGCTATCCGATGCCTTGCCACGGGGAAGCTGTGGGCAGGTGAGGGGGGAGGTGGGGGTGCGGGGGGTGAGGTGTTGGGGGGGGGGGGGGGAGAAGGGTTTAGGAGAGTTCATGTGGCGGCAGGTGTAAGCTGTGGCGAGGTGAGGCGAAATGGCTTCAGCGCCACGGGCAGCTCTGGGGAATGTGAGCGGGAGGGGGGGAGAGAGTCAGGGCGCAGATAGTGAGGCCCGATGCCTTCACTGCCATGGGGCAGCTGTGGGGCAGCTGTGAGCCAGGGAAGGGTTGGTGTGGGGGCGGCGAAGGGGGTAGGGGAGGAGAGGGAGATGAGGGTTGGGCGAGCCACTGCTTTCACTAATGTGGCTGGGTGAAACTGGGGCCCGGCGCCAATGGTGCCAAGTGGCATACCAGCATACATAGTGACTAATGTGCCGCCCACTGCTTTCAGTGCCACAGGGCAGCTGTGGGGCAGGTGTGTGTGGGGAGGGAGTTGGGAAAGGGGGTGGGGAAGGGAGGGAAGTGGAACCAGGCCTGGGTTTCTCACGACGTCTCAAGAGCCGTGGGGCAAGAAGTGGCAAATGGTGAGAGAGACAGAAGGGGTGGGGTGGGAGCAGAAGGGGTGGGGTGGGAGCAGAGGACGATGCACTGTTTCATGCCGGAAGGGCGTTCGTTCCGGGCAGTCTGCCTATCTCCCTTCCTCCCTCCCTTCCCCCCTGTACGGCGAATTCAAGCTGCGCGCCTTTCTATCGTTCTCCCTGCTGCCCTCCTCCCAGCCCTCTGTACAACTGGCCCGCCATGGCCAAGGACGGGTACTCGTGGTGGGCCAAGCGCATGCGGAGGGCGTTCGACCTGTACGATGAGTTCCGCATCGACCACTTCCGTGGGCTGGCAGGGTACTGGAGCATCCCGGCGGACTCAGAGACCGCCATGAACGGAACCTGGACGGTGAGGGATGGGGGATGGATGTAGGGCCAGGTAGGCATGTAGGGGCGTTCGACCTGTATGATGAGTTCCGCATCGACCACTTCCGTGGGCTGGCGGGGTACTGGAGCATCCCGGCGGACTCAGAGACCGCCATGAACGGAACCTGGACGGTGAGGGATGGGGGATGGATGTAGGGCCAGGTAGGCATGTAGGGGCGTTCGACCTGTACGATGAGTTCCGCATCGACCACTTCCGTGGGCTGGCGGGGTACTCGGAGTCCGCCATGAATGGAACCTGGACGGTGAGGGATGGGGAGTGGATGTAGGCCACGCAGGCATGTAGAGGCGTTCGACCTGTACGATCAGTTCCGCATCGACCACGTTCGGGGGCTCTGGGTTTGGAGTTCAGGGCACCCTGATTGGGGGCTCTGGTTTGGAGTTCAGGGCACCCTGATTGGGGGCCAAGCCCTAAACCCTAAGCCCTAAGCCCTGAACCACTTCCATCGACCCTTAAGTTTAACCCTGTTGTGAATCATTTTTCAGAATAATAAAAAACCTGAAGCCCGAAACCACTTCCATGGACCCTTCACTGTGTTGTGAGTCCACAGACGGGGCCGCGGAGCGCAGGACGTTTTTTGAGGCGATTCAGAAGACTTTTGAGTCGATTCAAAAGCCACTCCCATGGACCCTTAAATGTGTTGTGAATGCACAGATGGGGCCGCGCAAGGCGTTCTTTGAGGCGATTCAGAAGGCAGTGGACAAACCCATCGACATTGTGGCAGAGGATTTGGTGAGAGGGAGGGGTGGGTGGGGGGAAGGAGGGGGGGGGGGGGGGGGGGGGGGGGGGGGGGGGGAAGAGACTATACTGGAGCGGACAATAATGAAGGGATTTTAAGAGGCGTTTTTGAGTTGTTGAAGCGATTCCGGAGGCGGTGGACAAATCCATCGACATTGTGGCCTAGGACTTGGTGAGAGAAAAGGGGGGGGGGGACCTGGGGAAGGGGGGAGTACGTGGCCTTGCTAGGGAACGGAGGGGTGGGGGGGGAGAGGGAGAATAGGACGGTAAGAGTTTGGGGAGCGGAAGGGGGAATATTGCAGGTGATTCAGAGGTTTTTTCAGAGGTTATGTTTCTTTGAGGCTCGCTGATGCAATCTGTGATTACTTGGCCTGTATCATCTAGTAGCTTCGGTCACTCGTTGGTTAGCAAGCAAGACGGGTAAGCCTGTATGCTGCGCGCTGCCTGTAAACGCTTTGTGTGTGTGTGTGTGTGTGTTGTGCATTTGTGACTGTAACGGGATGCGTTTCCATTAGTTTCATCGTGTGCTTGTGTGCTTGTAACAAGGTGCAAATCTACCATTCCCCATCTTGAGATGTGCTTGTAACAGGGTGTGATCACAGTGGATGTGGTTGATCTGCGTCGCGAGATTGGCGCTCCCGGAATGGCAGTCCTGCAGTTCGGTGAGTCAGTGGCAGTTCGGTGAGTCAGTGGCAGTTCCGTGAGTCAATGGCAGTTCGGTGAGTCAATGGCAGTTCGGTGAGTCAATGGCAGTCCGGTGAGTCAATGGCAGTTCGGTGAGTCAGTGGCAGTTCGGTGAGTCAGTGGCAGTCCGGTGAGTCAATGGCATGAGATCAGGTAATGGACCTAGTTGGTTTGTTTTTTGAGAAATTTCTGAAAGCAACTCAACTCATTTGCTCTCCCTTGTCACCGATCACGACGGCATTTGTTCCCTTTGCAACCCGTCGTGCGCTTAACTTGAATTTGGAGAATTCTATGAGCTCCGTCTTGTGAGTTGACTGGTAAGCGGCCTGGCAAAACACTCTGAAATCCCTCTTGTTCCTCCACTGGTCCGTCTTCAGCCTTTGGCAGTGACGCCAAGAACCCCCATCTGCCACACAACCATGAGCAGAACCAAGTGGTCTATCCTGGGACTCATGACAATGACACGGTGAGTGGGTGGGGGTTTAAGGCACTCATGACACTGAGGTAAGCTGGCTTTAGAGACTTCTCAATAACCAACTCACCACACGCTTCTGATGCAGTGAGTGGGTGGGGTTTTAAGGTGGAGGCACTTGGTAATGACACGGTGAGTCGTGGGGGGGGTCGTAGACCCTGCATTACATGTCTTGCTTTTTAGTCGACTCGCATGTAGTCATTTGCAAAACTGTAGACCCTGCATTGCACATCTTTGCATCCCTACATCCGATCCTCCCCTACATCCGATCCTCCCCTACATCCGATCCTCCCCTACATCCGATCCTCCCCTACATCCGATCCTCCCCTACATCCGATCCTCCCCTACATCCGATCCTCCCCTACATCCGATCCTCCCCTCCTCCCCCCTACATCCGATCCTCCCCTACATCCGATCCTCCCCTACATCCGATCCTCCCCTACATCCGATCCTCCCCTACATCCGATCCTCCCCTACATCCGATCCTCCCCCTACATCCGATCCTCCCCTACATCCGATCCTCCCCTACATCCGATCCTCCCCTACATCCGATCCTCCCCTACATCCGATCCTCCCCTACATCCGATCCTCCCCTACATCCGATCCTCCCCTACATCCGATCCTCCCCTACATCCGATCCTCCCCTACATCCGATCCTCCCCTACATCCGATCCTCCCCTACATCCGATCCTCCCCTACATCCGATCCTCCCCTACATCCGATCCTCCCCTACATCCGATCCTCCCCTCCCCCCCTACATCCGATCCTCCATCCGATCCTCCCTACATCCGATCCTCCCCTACATCCGATCCTCCCCTACATCCGATCCTCCCCTACATCCGATCCTCCCCTACATCCGATCCTCCCCTACATCCGATCCTCCCCTACATCCGATCCTCCCCTACATCCGATCCTCCCCTACATCCGATCCTCCCCTACATCCGATCCTCCCCTACATCCGATCCTCCCCTACATCCGATCCTCCCCTACATCCGATCCTCCCCTACATCCGATCCTCCCCTACATCCGATCCTCCCCTACATCCGATCCTCCCCTACATCCGATCCTCCCCTACATCCGATCCTCCCCTACATCCGATCCTCCCCTACATCCGATCCTCCCCTACATCCGATCCTCCCCTACATCCGATCCTCCCCTACATCCGATCCTCCCCTACATCCGATCCTCCCCTACATCCGATCCTCCCCTACATCCGATCCTCCCCTACATCCGATCCTCCCCTACATCCGATCCTCCCCTACATCCGATCCTCCCCTACATCCGATCCTCCCCTACATCCGATCCTCCCCTACATCCGATCCTCCCCTACATCCGATCCTCCCCTACATCCGATCCTCCCCTACATCCGATCCTCCCCTACATCCGATCCTCCCCTACATCCGATCCTCCCCTACATCCGATCCTCCCCTACATCCGATCCTCCCCTACATCCGATCCTCCCCTACATCCGATCCTCCCCTACATCCGATCCTCCCCCTCCCCACATCCGATCCTCCCCTACATCCGATCCTCCCCTACATCCGATCCTCCCCTACATCCGATCCTCCCCTACATCCGATCCTCCCCTACATCCGATCCTCCCCTACATCCGATCCTCCCCTACATCCGATCCTCCCCTACATCCGATCCTCCCCTACATCCGATCCTCCCCTACATCCGATCCTCCCCTACATCCGATCCTCCCCTACATCCGATCCTCCCCTACATCCGATCCTCCCCTACATCCGATCCTCCCCTACATCCGATCCTCCCCTACATCCGATCCTCCCCTACATCCGATCCTCCCCTACATCCGATCCTCCCCTACATCCGATCCTCAGTGCTTTCTCAATCTCCCCTTGTTACCCAATCTCCCCTTGTTCGCGCTTTCTCTCAACGCGCTTTCTCTCAACGCGCTTTCTCTCAACGCGCTTTCTCTCAACGCGCTTTCTCTCAACGCGCTTTCTCTCAACGCGCTTTCTCTCAACACATGCTTGCAGGTCGTTGGCTGGTGGGAGGGGATTCCCGAGTGGGAAAAGAACAATGTGAGTCTTTGGGAATTCTCGCATTTTTCACGGGTAATCCGTGAGTTTCCCCACTGACAAGCACCTCCTCCACCCATTACCTCGTATCCCTTCCCTCGTCGTGTTTCCTCGTCCTCCCGACCTTGCCACACGCACCATCCAGCAACCCTCCCTGCTTGTCTGCCACCCCCCACGTTACCCTCCCCTCTCTCTCTGGACGGCTATTCCTTCCCTTGAACCCCCTTGTGCTCCCCCCCAAACCCCCCACCCACCCCTCTTCCGCTTGTCAATGCCAGGTGCGCGTGCTGCTGGGCTGTCACCCGAGCAGGAGAACGAGATCCAGTGGGCCATCACCCCATCCCTTGAACCCCCTCCTGCCCCCCCACCCTGCCAAACCCCCCCCCCCACCCCTCGTCCACCCACCCACCCCAGGTGCGCGTGCTGCTGGGGCTGACGCCCGAGCAGGAGAAGGAGATCCAGTGGGCGATCATCCGGGCGGCAGTGTCGTCTGTAGCGCGCACCACGGTGATTGCGCTGCAGGACGTGATGGGGTTGGATAACAGTGCCCGCATGAACGTGCCTGCTGTGCAGGTAGGTCGCTGTGGGGTAGGGGGTTGAGGGTTGAGGGTTGAGGGTTGAGGGTTGAGGGTTCAAGGTGTAAGGCAGAGTCTAGTGTGCGAAGTTCAGGTGGCGTCTGTAGCGCCCGCCACCTTGATTGTGCTGCAGGACGAGATGGGGCTCGGAAACAGTGCTCGAATGAACATACCCGCTGTGCAGGTAGGTGTAGGGGTTGGAATGCTTATGGTTCAGGTAGGTGTGGGGGTTAAGAAGGTGCTGTCTGCAGCGCGCTTCATGGGGTAATGAGTCGATTTTTGAGTCGACTCAAAAATCGACTCATTACACACGGATTAAGAAGGTGCTGTCTGCAGCGCGCTTCATGGGGACTGCGCTGCCGGATGTGATGGGATGTGGGGGGTCCCCACAACGCTGCACACGCACCTAGTCATGTCCATCAATCTCCCCTCCTCCTCCCCTTTGCAGGCGGGCCAGTGGGGCTGGAGGGCGGGCGAGTCAGGCCTATTTGACTCCCTCGATGCAGAAGCGGCGCGGCTGCGGATGCTGCTGGTGGCGTTCAACCGAGCGGCGCCCCTGCCGGGTAACTGGACGGCCTTCTGGCGCTTCCTGCAGCGCCGAGAGGCCGCGCTCTTCGCCCCACCTCTCTCTGAAACCCCCCCTGCTGCTCCCTCCGTGAAGACAAGTGACAAGTGACAAGTGGCGCTGTCTACATCTGCACGGACTCATTCGGCTCGGCATTCACCAGCTCTTCGTCGTCTCTTGGCATCAAGCGGTCCCAACCCAACCCACGGCTCGGGCAGCCTTGAAAATTTCCAGTGCTTTTTCTCATCCCCCGCCCTCCAATGTTCCAGGCGGGCCAGTGGGGGTGGAGGGCGGGGGAGGAGGGGCTGTTTGCAGGGCTCGGGGAGGAGGCGAGCAGGCTGAGAGCCATGCTGGGGGCTTTCAATAGAGGGGCACCTGTGGTGGCGGTGGAAGACGAGGCAGGTGGGGTGGAGGAAGGTCCAGGTGGGGAGGAAGGGGAAGGGGTAGTGGTAGGTTTGAAGGGTGATGCAGCTACTGTGGTGGTGGGGGAATAGGAGCAGCGAACTTGGGCAGCTGTGAATGGTGAGAGGGTAGGACACTGGGTAGTAGAATGAAGGAGCCCCCTGTGAAATCTCTATCACACAGAGCACCAATGAGTTTTGTGGTTAGCAAGTAGTAGTGTTTTTGGCTGGTACTTCAGCTAAGCAATAAAAACATCCTACCATTACACTGGATAATTTGGTGTCCATTGGATAGCAAGGCTCAAGAGTTACTACATATAGAACAGAAAGTGTACCGGTGCGCTGCAGACTACCTAACCATGCGATGGCGTCCAGTCCTAGCCACCAACTACAAGCCCCACCACCACTACGCATGTCGTTCTTGACTCTTGACTCTCGGCAGCTCTGCCTTGTTGCACTGAGACCCTCCACCATGACATGACATCCAAATCTACAACCACTGCCTTTCAAGGCTGGAGCCATAAAAACGAAGGTATGCTATTGGGCTGAGAAATGCCCTTAGGATCTTTCCAGAGACTGAGTCCCAGTTGTAAAAGGGGACTTTGAGTAGTGCAGCGGAAGTTGAGTAGTTGAACCCTTGTACTAGTATGTGAGAACAAGTGATTGATTAAAAGAACAAGCATACATCAATATATAGAAAGTAGGAAAACAAGCAGTTTGTAGAATACAGTTGAAGGAGCGGTTTATCGAGTCGCACAGCGGCTCGATTGTCGTTTCGGTTACCATCATTGCAGTTGTAACGGTCAGTCGCAACCTCCGATTGCGGCCCTTCGAGTATTTCCGTGTTCTTTGTCCATCCCCTCGTGTAACCTCCGTTGACTCGCGTACCCGTTACGATCTTCCTCGAGTGTGGTGCTACACTTCAGAAATGCTTAAGTCCTTGAGGTATTTCCAACATATGCCCACCACCGAACATGAGCTCATACAGTCGAAAGACGAGAAGCTGACCTTTGAGTCGACTCAAAAGTCGCCTCAGGTCATACTAACGAGCAGGGCTGACGTTTCAAAAAAAGGCACTCTGAGCTAACCCCCAAAAAAGAAAAAGAAAAAAAAGTTTGTAAGGTCTTCAGCCAAAATCTAGGGACTCTGAAATGTCAGATTCAGGAAATGGGCAAGTCTGAAATCCTCAGGATCGCGCAAGTACATTCAGGGTTACAACTTACATGTTATTGAGAAGGCTTCTTGTATCTTACATTTTCCTACACTGGATAGGAGCCTACAATAACTACCGTACTAGTACTAGCACCAAGCAATCACTAACTAACAAGCTCCTAGAACTCCGGCGCATCTTCCTCATCATCACCCCCATCGTCTTCAGCCCGCCCCTCCCCCATGTACTCTGGCACCTCCCCCTGTCCATCACCCGTTGCGTCTCCCGCCACCTCACCCTCCAGGGCCTTTCCCTAGCGCTTACGTTCTGCAGATGCGAAGACAAGAGATCATGCTGGGCGTCTCAGCTTCTCTCGCCAGGTCGCCAGGGCTTCGGTCCAATTGATGTCGTACTGCAGCAGCGAGATGGCCATCAACTCAGAGAGGCGCGCGTTGCAGAGTGAGCCACGGACCCAGGACTTAATCACGTTCTGTCGAGAGAAGCCCCTCTCGCATTCGACTGTTGACAGAGGCAGCACGGCGCAGGCCTGCCACAGGCGCATCAGATTGGGCCAGCGCCTGACACGAGACACAAAAACAAAGGCGGAAGAAAGGCAGTAGGAAATGCATAGAGTGAAGGCGGATAACAAAGGGGGTTTAAAGGCGGTCGGCAAGGGCGGCAATGTTGTGCACACATGACAAGTAGAATGGGAGGTGGTGATTCAGAAACAAGAATACCGTTGGACTTGCCTGCTTGAGTCCGTCTTCGTGAGGTAGTTTGCCAGGCCTTGGTGGAAGCTCTCCACCTCGTGATGATTCTGCATGATCGGCGCCCACGTTGCGAGCTCCGTCTCCGCTGCCTTCACGTCGAAGCCGGGCAGCTTGTGCTCGAAGATGCCGCTGCATCCGAGTAGATACGCAGATCCCGCATCCGCTCTCGTACGTTGATCATGGTATCTTTGGCGTGCTTCTGGCACATCAGCACGCAGTCCGCATAGCTGCTCCCATACTAGTGCTTGTCGAGGTGCCGCTCGTGCATCTTGTACGTGTGGGTGACGGGGTTCCCCTCCAAGTCGATACCGCGCACCTTCACCCGCTTCGACCCGCCACGCTCGTACACCGTGAGGAACGCCGAGAGCCAGATGTTTTCGGCGCCGACACCGAAAACCTCCCCGCACTCGACATAGCGATGCCGCAGATCCCCCAGTGTCTCGTCGATGTCCGTTGCCACCTCTGTGACATCGACCTGCGGTGTGGGGGGGAGGACACAGAGGAGAGGGAAGGACATGAGTAGTTGCACCAGATGAGAACACCACGCTTGCAGACATCATCTCACCTCTTGCTTATGGAACTTGAGGTTGAGGTCGTTCATGAGTGCCAATATGTCGGCCAGGTAGAAGAGGCAAAACTGAAACTTATACGAAATCACAACCTCATACAGGGGATGCTCATACTCATACAGCAGAATAATCGCAGCACCCAACACTTTACACATGCGTCGGATTGCCTTCCCCTTAGACAACCATCGAACTTGATGGATGCCTTGAACCTCAAGGTTTGTGCTATGAATCACCCGCTGCAGATGCTGGAAACGACTGCTCCATACGCTCGACCAGCCGAGAAGGTCCGCAAGGGTGCGAGTGACCTTGTCGACCATGTCGAGGTCTGGACATGAAGCGGCATCGTCATTCACAGCAAGTGCTTCTCTGCATGTACCCACACGGGTAGTAGTTAGCACACGGAGTCATAAGAAACATAAACAAACAGCAAGGAATACTTTAACAAACCTGTGGACGATGCAGTGGGAGGAAAAGAGGTGCGGGATGATGTATCGCAGGCGCGCCACAAGCCCGTTGTCTCGCCCGACCATCACCGACGCGCCGTCTGTGCTGATGGCGACGATGCGTTGAAGGTCAATGCCGGACGACTCCAGGTGGACTACGAGAGTGGCCATGAGAGAAGCGGCGTCGCACTTGCCAACTTGTAGCAGGGCTAGGAATTCGGTGACGACTCGACGCGGCCGCATGAAAGTGATGTAGACGATCAGGTGCCTTTCCCGCGTGCGGTCGGTGCTCTCGTCGCATGAGATGACGAGGTAAGGTGAGCTCTTGATGTGCTCCATCTGAGTAGCCAGCAGATGAGTTGACAGACAGTTCACCATCTGCTGGAACCCGTACCTGCAGTGGCATAATCAAAAGTGAAACAGTCGTTAATTAGCATTGCAAATGCATTGAAATTTACATGGCTGATACCAAAATCCAACCATCGATCGGCGAAAACAAGGCAGCCTTACCTGGTGAGATACACACCGTACGACGGGAGAGGCATGTCTGGTGTGCCTTGCTCCGCCATGAAACGAAGCAGCCTGGGAAACATGGCGATAGGAGCATCGTTCTTGCAAAGAAACTCCACGCACTGCTAAAGACGGATGACGCGGCGGCCTTCGACATCGACGGTGGCGAAGCTTGTCATCTTCTGCTGCTTGCCTTCAATTTCATTCCGAATCTCGAGCTGCCGGCGAACCGCCTCTTCGTGGACTGTCGATTGTTCATGGATGCGCATCGTCTGTGTCTGGAGATCTCGCCCGCCATCGCCTGACCTTGAATACTTCGTTGTTTCTTTGCCGAAGGCTCGGCAAACGCTGCACTTAAGGGCGGGGTAGCCTTCCTTAGTACGGGTAAGCACAAGCCATGGGAAATAACGCAACCAATCATTCTTGTACTTAGCCTCAGCGACTAGGTACTTCTGCCCAATCAACTCCTTTGTACTTAGCTTCAATGGCGGCGGTTCATCAGGGCGGGTGACGGGGGGAGGTGAGCGCGGTGGTGAGGTAGGGCGAATCTGGCCACCAAGGTTGATACGCTGCTACGTATACTTCGTCGTGCGTTGTTTTTTCGCCGAAGAGACAGTAGATGCGCATGGCACACTATAACGAACGGTAGAGGCGGTGGCGCACTGAATAGGATCCACTGGCCCTCTGCTGGAAGATGCTATGGCTGGTGGGAGAATGAAGGGAGCGGGGGCAGGTCTACTAGGCAACGATGGCTCGTCGCACGGTGTCTCGTCAACAGCGGTTGTGGCAACAAAAGGCGGAGGAGCCGATGCGGCAACGAGCCGCAAGATGTCTAGGGTGCTCCTTGGCGCTACGGCAGGATCCTTACTGCTGCGCGGCTCATCACCGTCAGCAGGAGCATCATCGGCGCCATCATTTTCAGGCATGGCGAGAGGAGAAACGACAAGTAGAAACTAAAGAAAGCGACTACAACTACGCCTGTGTCTCAGACAAATGAACAAATGGAACGATTCCCCCTGTAAAACTTGAAGCAATGCGTTCAAAGCTGATGGGTAAGGAACGATTGGAGAAGAAGGGGTCCATCAAACCTGTGTCGCACCTTTCTTGAAAGGTCTGCAAGAATGGCACAGAGGGCACGGGCCCGAGGTTCGCGCATGCACAGAGAGCAACAGAGTGTCAGAAACCCAGTCACTAACCACTGGGTTATAAGGGCTTGTTGAATAGCGGGTAAGTGCGCCCATAGCCCCCCAGGCTCTGCACCTGTGGCCCTTCCCCGAGGATCTCAAGGGCAACCCCAGCGGGTCACTCAACACAGAGCAGAATCTGCGGTCCTTATTGGCTCAGCATGGCAGCATTTTAGCCGCACTGGATAGCAAAGTGCCCACTGTGGGCAGAGTATACATTGGACTTGGTGGAATTTTATGCGAAGTGTGGATTCTGCACGTGACGCGGGCCGGAAGCACTGATGGCAGGCGAAATTTCTGGGGATCTTGCGCGCCCCATGGAAATCTGTTTCAGGGTTCATACCCGATGTACTCTGAAAACTCAGTACTGGGTTAGCGTGAACTCTGATTTTTTCAGGATCCCCAAAGTCTGTCTGAATCGATCAGGATTGAGAAAATGCCGTATCTGGAAATTCAGGTTTGGCAAAAAAACCGGTCTGAGATTTCAGACTAATCAGAGTAAGTAGTCTGATAAAATCAGCCCTGCTAACGAGGGTACCATGCCAAGCGAACCACCAAGCAAAAGCTCATACTGTCGGAAAGGTGAGAAGCTTTTGCTGCTGCTGCTGCTGCTGCTGTGATGATGATGATGGTGATAATAAGGAGGGTGACAATGATGGTGATAGTGATGGTGATAACGACGCCGATGACACAACACCTTTCCTACCAGGCAGCTGCAGCAGTGGCGGCCCCTGCTGCTGCTGCTGCTGCTGCTGCTTCTGTAGCTGCTTCTGCTGCTGCTGCTGCGCCCAGGGCTCCGACTCACTCCGCACGCTCCTAGACGGAAGAAACGCGGCCTCCGTGCTGCGCGCCACTGCTACGGTTCCCACATCCGCGCTCCTCACCGGGCCCAGGTGGTTCAAGATGCTCACCGACTGTGGGCTGCTGCCGCTGACGCCCATGCCCATGCGGCCATTGAGCTTCGTCATCACCTTGCTCACAAACGCCCTGCTGCGCGCTTTCAAGCCCCGTAGCCCCACCTGACCCCCCCCCTGCTGCTGCTGCTGCTGGTGATGCTGGTGGGGCTGGCGCTGGTGGTGGTGCTGCTGTGCCCCGCCCCATACCTCGTTGTCGTACTCGTCTCGCCCGGCCCTGCTGCCCTGCTCTGACTTTGGCCGAGCCTGCTGCGGCGACTGAGGCTTCAGCTGCTGCTGCTGCTGTTGCCGTGGCGACTGCTGCGGGGACAACATGTCTTGGTGCTGGACCTGATCAAGAGATTGGTTGTCTTCCCACTGCTGCTGCGCTGCTGCTCCTGGGCTTGCCTGAAGGCAGCAACAGACAACAGCATACACGGGCGAAGGTCAGGTTGGGGAGCATGGGCAGGGGGGGAGCAAGGGAAGCAACAGGGAAGAGCATTACACAAGAGTGAGTCTGCTTTTGAGTCGACTCAAAAGCAACAGGGAAGAGCATGACACAAGAGTGAGCAGTACTCAACGGCATGACAAGGGAGAAAGGCGGACGTGGCAAACCCCCTTCCCCCTTCAGTCCAAGTTCCTAGTTCAGGATCCAGTTTTCGACGACTCTTTTAATCGGCCACCAACAGTCATTGCTGTACAACAAGCCTTATCTCACCTGGCCCGCATCAGCGACATCTCCCCCCCAGAAGTCTATTTTTGAGGCGCCTAAAAAATAGACCCATCAGCGTCAACACCCCCCAGAAGTCTATTTTTGAGGCGCCTCAAAAATAGACTCATCAGCGTCATCACCCCCCAGAGGCCCGCTGTCCGGCACGTTCTGCAGGATGGCGTCGAACGCCTCGTCTAAGGAGCACATGGGAGTTGAATGTCAGGAGTTCTAAGCCCACCAGCTCAACCAATCGTTCTCTCACCTGTGCTGCGTCTCTCTCGTCACCCGCCAGAGGCCCGCTGTCCGGCACGTTCTGCAGGATGGCGTCGAACGCCTCGTCCAGTGAGCACGTGGGGTTGGACATGTAGCGCCGCCGCGGGTCAGCGTACGCGGGGTCCAGACACGCGTGCAGCACGTCCTCATCAACCACCTCCCCTCCTACCCCTGCCGTTTGATACCCCTCATAGGCCGTCAACTCATACGGCTGCGACGCGTCATGAGGCGTCTCCTCCAGCCTGCCGCCTCCTCCCCGCTCTGCCCCTGCTCCATCTGTCGCACATCCCGCAGCATTCCCACCGTCACCAGTGAACGTGCGGATTCTCTCCCCGAATTTCGCCGTCGCCGCGTCCTCCCCTGCGCGCCCGTCCTGCTGTTTCGACCAGAAAACCAGCGACACGTTCTCCCCCGCCGGCCCTGCTGCCGCGGCCAGCGAGCTAGACGGCCAGAAGTCGACGGCCGGCTGGAAGGATTCGCGAGAGGGGGATAAGCGGTCGGGACGGTTGGGACTCGCGAGCGCGTGTACAGGCGAGGCGGGAAACGCGGGGGACGCCATACCTGCATTTTCTGCCGCCGGCCCTACCCCCTCCGCAACTAGCCCTTCGGCTTCTGCTCCTACTAATTCTGCTGCTTTTAACCCTTGTGCTCCTGAGCTCGCTTGCACCCGCGCGTCAGCTTCGGCCTTCAATTCCTGCTCTTGCCGCGCCTTGTGCCGCATGTCCCGGAAAACCAGGGATATGATCGACGCGTCCGAGTCCACGTCAGACGGACCGCCGTGGAGCTGATGAGGACGCCACGTAGGACCTTCCGCCGGAGTTTCCGGGTGCACGGCGTTGCAGTTTCCCGACCATGGGTTTCGCTGTGGGGACCTGTGGGTCCACTCAATGGGCGACCGCTTGGGAGAAGCTTGAGCAGCCGGCGAAGCAGCAGCAGCAGCAGCAGCAGCAGGACTGGCAGGAGCGGCGACAGTTGGGTCGTCCCGCGCAGGGGAGAGGGCGGAACACTTTTGCTGCTGCTTCTCCTGTAAGATTTTATTCTTCTTGTCGCGAAACACGGCCGATATCGTCGACGCGTCGCCTGCAGCGTAGCTGTCGCTGAGACTGATAAGGGAGAGCGACTCGGCATCCGGTACGGCCCGCTGGGCCGATGGCTCGGTTCCACTGGCAAAAGCACCTGACGAACCACCTGAAGAATCGTGAGAGGAAGGGTCTTCGCGAGTGGGGAAGAGGAGGAGCCCTTTCTGCTGCTGCTTCTCCTGCAGCGTCTTCTTTTTCTTGTCGCGAAACACGGCCGATATCGTCGACGCGTCGCTGGTAGCGTAGCTGTCGCTCAGGCTGATGAGATTAACCTTTCCCACAACCGACGCGACTGCCGTTTTAATCGAAAAGGCCGGAGAATACGACGAGCGCTGCGGAGAGCGCGCCGGCTCGAACGCCGAGGTCTTAGGTGCTTCGAGATGCGGGTGAGTCGATGCAAGAGTCTGGCGAGGCGAAAGGCTCGGGCTTGAATCGGAGGGATGGACCTGAGAAGTCGGCGAGTGGGTGCCGGTCTTAGACCCTGCTTGGAGGGGTACTGACAGAACGAACGAGTTGGCTGCTGCGGACGGATAAGGCGCAGCGGAAGGGTGGGATGCTATGGCGGGGTGGGAGGCAGAGGAGAAATGGGAATCAGAGGAAGGGTGGGTAGCAGCAGAGGAAGGGTGGGTAGCAGCAGAGGAAGGGTGGGTAGCAGCAGAGGACGAAGAGGAGGAGGAGGAGGGGGTGGTTCCGTTGATACCAGTGCTCACGCTTTCCTCATGTGATTCCAGCGCCAGCTGCTGCTGCTGCTGCTTCGCCTGCAGTGCCTTCTGGCCCGCCTCGCGAAACACCTGGGAGATTGAGGACGCGTCTGTAGGGCCCTCGCTGCCGGCTGTCCGCCATAGACCGAACGCCGGCACTATCGGCCGGCCCTTAGTGCTGAATCCCGACATAGCGGTGGTGGAATATCTAGAGCTGGCGGAATAGCTGAAGGAATAGGACCAAGCCGGAGAAGGAAAGCGCTAAGACTTAGTTCGACTTAGTTCGCTAAGCAAGTCCACGCTCGAAGAGTCGACTCGACAACCAAGACTCCTCAAGAATGGCTGAACACGGCGCACAAAACGACAAGCGGCACGAAGCCAATGAAGTGCGCGCGTGAATGAAATATTTTTGCTGCTCCTACTGCTGCTTCTGCTCAGCTAAAATTTTGAGATGAGCATTTGCGGAACGAACCAGAAGTGGCGAGAGAGAGACACGAGCGACGGGGCGGGAGATGCGCGATGCTCCCGAGGAGGCAGACGAGGGGAGCAGGTTAGCGGCCTGTGGGGGGGGAACGAAAGCGGATGGGTGGAAGGGTCGGAGTGTGGGGGGGTGTTGGAAGGGCTGGGGGGGACGCGGGGGGGATTGTGGGGGGGGGGAATACAAAAAGTTGTTTGCGCAGTCGAGGGCCCAGTCTGGTGTTAGGGGGAGGATACTTTGGGGGGGGGAAGGGTAGGGGAGGAAGGGGTGGACTGGCCTGGCCACCGCGGAACAGCTGGTGGGCGGAGGCTGCCGTGTGGGATGGGGGAAACTATTTCGGCTTGTCGGTGGGTGAGGTGATGGGGGGCAGCAAGTTGGCGAAGACCCGTTGCACACTGCGCGACTGCTGCGCTATGCGGAGTTTGACCAGAGACCCGAGCAAGCGAAAGGGTTCCACGGTTTTGTTCAGTCACCTGGTTACACTAGATGCAGCTGGCGAGCTCATTGTCTCGCTTCCATAAAGCTCGCGCTGGACACAGCTGGCGAGGTTTCGGCCGTGGCAGAAACATGTTTTCGTGCAAACATCATCGCAATGTGTTGCACATCGCAAGAGGGGATTTGTCTGATTACACTTTTGTAAGACAGGAATTTCTCCTAAACTGGATTGGTTTAGATCTTATGACGCGTATCAGGAGCTCCACGTCATGTCCAGCTGGTCCACTGTTTTCGTCCCTTTGACCACTAAACATAATCCTTGCTGGTCAGGAACCAGTTGCCGTGATTCACGCTAATCCACACGCGGTCTTGCATCTCTCATCGCTCATCTCTCGTCCATCCTCGGACTGCACACCCCTCTAAAACGTCCTCAGTATAAATGGAGTCGCGATCAACGGACGGGGTAACACAGCAGCATCAACTCCCCCCTTTCGTTCACAATGTCCGGAGCGCTGTCCAGAGCAGTCTCCAGAGGGCCACGTCTCTCGCGGCGCCTTTGGCGGGCTGGGTTCGCGACAGGAAGGTCGACGCTGATAGGTTCCGGGAATTCTGCGCCGCGGAGATCGAGAAGCACAAGGAGGGCGCGCTTCGTCAGGCTTTAGCGGGGATGGAGGGGTTCACGTGGGCTGCGTTAAAAAATGACGCGTCTAGGATGCAGAGGCAGGAGATGCGATCTCCGTGCTTCGCGTCCATTTCATCGTCACTACACGGATTCGACGCTGCGTCTGCGACTGCTGATACTAACGCGTACGACGGGCGGGCGAGGCACCTGTTCGATATCGCCATGTCCGCGCCGCAGGTGGCGAAGCGGCTGGAGGGCCTGGCGGTGTACACTGTGAGCAACGCGGCTAACGAGTTCGTCCTTATCGCGGATGCGGAGGGCAGCAAGTCGATCGGGCTGTTCTGCTTCCGAAAGGAAGACGCGGAAACGCTCCTCGCGCAGGTGGGACGGCTCTTGCACGGCTCTTGCACGGCTCGGCTCTTGCACAGCTGTCTCGGGGATGGCTCTGGGGGGAGAGGGATGAAGAAATACGGGTTGGGGGAAGGAGAGAGGGAAATGGGAGGAGGCCGCGGAAACCCTCCTGGCGCAGGTGGGATAGCCATGGCTGTTGAAGGGTGATGGGGATGATGGGGGTGATGGGGGTGATGGGGATGATGGGGGTGATGGGGGTGATGGGGGTGATGGGGGTGATGGGGGTGATGGAGTAAGGGGTTGGTTGAAGCCAAACAACAGAGGGGCGGGAGGGGTTGGGGGGGAGAGGGAGTGGGGAGGAAGGGTGGGGGGAAGAGGAAAGGGGGGAAGGATTTGTGGGGTGTGATGAGTTTGGAACAGCTCCGAACCCGTTCATTGTCTTGACTTAATATTCTTGATTTGGGGGAGAATGGGCGCATGCTGATAGGTGGTGTGTGTCAGAGTGCCCCTGATTGCAAAAACCCTCAACCCTGCCACCTCATGCCACATCACTGCGTTGCAGGTGAAGGATCGCGACGCCTCGTTGGGTAAAGGAGCTCGAGTGGTGCCAGTGGCCATGGATAAGGTCAGTATTTTTAAAACTAGGCTCTTATCACGTGGTGCCAGTGGCCATGGATAAGGTCAGTTTAAAAAAAAACTAGGCTCTTATCACGTGGTGCCAGTGGCCATGGATAAGGTCAGTTTTGTTCGAAAGGGGTGTCTTGAGGAAAAGATAATTTGATCTGAACATAGGCATATTTCACTTCACGCACCCATTTTCACCCCAACTGCTGCTGCAGCCACACCTGTAACCGCATTTTCAACACCCATGCACTGCCCTCTACTATAAACTCCTCTCACCCATGGCGCACACTCTCTCCAGCTCTCTCCATAACCGTAGACCAAATCAAGCCACTTCTCTTCTCCCCCTCCGTGGCCCCCATGGAGAGTCTAAGCTTGAGGCGCCTCAAAAATAGTGGCCCAAGCTCTCCATAACCGTAGACCAAATCCAAATCAATCCACTTCTCTTCTCCCCCTCCGTGGCCCCCATGCACTGGCAGGTGTACGCGCTGTCAGCGGAGGGCATTGCCTTCCGCTTCCTGCCGGACCCCCTGCAAGTCAAGAACGCCGTCCAGGTGTGTGCTGCTGTGAGAGTCAATACAGGTCAATGCAAGTCAAAGCAAGTTGAACATGCCTGCCTTGCAGGTGCTGTGCCATTCCAGCTTCTTGCCTCCCTTTTTCTCTCTTGCTTCTTCCCTCTACGTAATCACAGTTTTTGTCACATCTCTACCCTTTCCATATGCACCATCAGATCCAATTGTTCCCATCCCATCCCATCCCATCCCATTTGTTCCCATCCCATCCCATCCCATCCCATCCCATCCCATCCCATCCCATCCCATCCCATCCCATCCCACTCATTGCATGCTGTGGCCCGCGCCCCCCTCCTCCTCCCCTCCCCTTGCATTCCGCCTTCACACCGCCAGCTGCGGTCGCAGGCAGGCGACAACAGCAAGGGCTTTGACGGGGTGCCTGTCTTTCAGGTGCACATCCGCTAGTGTCACTCTCTCTGTGACGCTCTCTGTGACTTCTGGGCGTAGTTACCGTGTTACCACGTTGCTGTGTTACAGCGTGCCTCTGTGTCTTTCAGGTGCAACGTGTGCCTCTCAGTGTCTCTATCTACCAGATGTGGTTACCATGCCACCATGTTACCGAGTTACCATGTTACGGTTGTCTCTGTGTCTTGATATGGTACTGAATCTGTACTGTGAGCCTCTGTAGCACAGAGGCTCTGTATCCTATAAAGCAGTAGGATTGTAGTGTTCTTGTGTGCCTCTTCTTCCATCCTGTGCTTCTGGTTGCAGCTCATGCGATGCCGTGCCTGCTTTCTATGTATGCCGATTCCTTGATTCGTTGCTCTTGAGTCGGCTCAAAAGTTGATTGTTGGTTGGCATCTCAGTGCTGATCCAAAATAGATCGCTGTGCGGCATGGCAATTGCTGCCAATGCATCATTCACTTGCCACTCTCCTCATCCCCTACTGCTGCTCCCAACTCAATCCTTACCACTCTCTATCCAACCCCTTGCTTTGCTGCTCCCACTGACCAGTCGGAGAGCCTGATCCTTCGGTCCAAGAATCGCCGCTTCTGCCCGATATTCTTCACCAAGGCATGCTCTCTGATTTTTTCAGGCATACATGCCGTCCTGCTGCTCCCGTGAGTAGGGTCCTCGTGTCTCATCTTATGTCCCACTCTTGCACTCATCTGGAGGCATGCAGACATATCTGACGTATGTAGACTGCATACCCACTCCGTGCATGCATCTGTACACCCATATGCCTATGGCGTGTGTGTGTGTGCAGGAGGACCTAGAAGCGGCAGTGAGAAAAGCAATGGGTGGGAAGCAGAAGAGCTCAGGGAAAGGGCCTGTCAGCATCAACGTGCAGGTGAGAGTCAAGAGGAGTCAACGAGGGTCAAAGGGAGTCAACGAGAGTCAAGGGGAGTCAACGAGAGTCAAAGTTAGTCAACAAGAGTCACTGGAAATCAGCTTTATCTAGAGGCCGATGCTGCTGCATTGTGATTCGTCTCTCATTGTCTCGGTCACACCCTGTGGCCTTCTTTGAGGCGTACTCTCCTGTTCCCCTTGAGGCGTACTCTCCTGTTCCCCTTGAGGCGTACTCTCCTGTTCCCCTTGAGGCGTACTCTCCTGTTCCCCTTGAGGCGTACTCTCCTGTTCCCCTTGAGGCGTACTCTCCTGTTCCCCTTGAGGCGTACTCTCCTGTTCCCCTTGAGGCGTACTACTCTCCTGTTCCCCTTGAGGCGTACTCTCCTGTTCCCCTTGAGGCGTACTCTCCTGTTCCCCTTGAGGCGTACTCTCCTGTTCCCCTTGAGGCGTACTCTCCTGTTCCCCTTGAGGCGTACTCTCCTGTTCCCCTTGAGGCGTACTCTCCTGTTCCCCTTGAGGCGTACTCTCCTGTTCCCCTTGAGGCGTACTCTCCTGTTCCCCTTGAGGGTCCTGTTTACTCTCCTGTTCCCCTTGAGGCGTACTCTCCTGTTCCCCTTGAGGCGTACTCTCCTGTTCCCCTTGAGGCGTACTCTCCTGTTCCCCTTGAGGCGTACTCTCCTGTTCCCCTTGAGGCGTACTCTCCTGTTCCCCTTGAGGCGTACTCTCCTGTTCCCCTTGAGGCGTACTCTCCTGTTCCCCTTGAGGCGTACTCTCCTGTTCCCCTTGAGGCGTACTCTCCTGTTCCCCTTGAGGCGTACTCTCCTGTTCCCCTTGAGGCGTACTCTCCTGTTCCCCTTGAGGCGTACTCTCCTGTTCCCCTTGAGGCGTACTCTCCTGTTCCCCTTGAGGCGTACTCTCCTGTTCCCCTTGAGGCGTACTCTCCTGTTCCCCTTGAGGCGTACTCTCCTGTTCCCCTTGAGGCGTACTCTCCTGTTCCCCTTGAGGCGTACTCTCCTGTTCCCCTTGAGGCGTACTCTCCTGTTCCCCTTGAGGCGTACTCTCCTGTTCCCCTTGAGGCGTACTCTCCTGTTCCCCTTGAGGCGTACTCTCCTGTTCCCCTTGAGGCGTACTCTCCTGTTCCCCTTGAGGCGTACTCTCCTGTTCCCCTTGAGGCGTACTCTCCTGTTCCCCTTGAGGCGTACTCTCCTGTTCCCCTTGAGGCGTACTCTCCTGTTCCCCTTGAGGCGTACTCTCCTGTTCCCCTTGAGGCGTACTCTCCTGTTCCCCTTGAGGCGTACTCTCCTGTTCCCCTTGAGGCGTACTCTCCTGTTCCCCTTGAGGCGTACTCTCCTGTTCCCCTTGAGGCGTACTCTCCTGTTCCCCTTGAGGCGTACTCTCCTGTTCCCCTTGAGGCGTACTCTCCTGTTCCCCTTGAGGCGTACTCTCCTGTTCCCCTTGAGGCGTACTCTCCTGTTCCCCTTGAGGCGTACTCTCCTGTTCCCCTTGAGGCGTACTCTCCTGTTCCCCTTGAGGCGTACTCTCCTGTTCCCCTTGAGGCGTACTCTCCTGTTCCCCTTGAGGCGTACTCTCCTGTTCCCCTTGAGGCGTACTCTCCTGTTCCCCTTGAGGCGTACTCTCCTGTTCCCCTTGAGGCGTACTCTCCTGTTCCCCTTGAGGCGTACTCTCCTGTTCCCCTTGAGGCGTACTCTCCTGTTCCCCTTGAGGCGTACTCTCCTGTTCCCCTTGAGGCGTACTCTCCTGTTCCCCTTGAGGCGTACTCTCCTGTTCCCCTTGAGGCGTACTCTCCTGTTCCCCTTGAGGCGTACTCTCCTGTTCCCCTTGAGGCGTACTCTCCTGTTCCCCTTGAGGCGTACTCTCCTGTTCCCCTTGAGGCGTACTCTCCTGTTCCCCTTGAGGCGTACTCTCCTGTTCCCCTTGAGGCGTACTCTCCTGTTCCCCTTGAGGCGTACTCTCCTGTTCCCCTTGAGGCGTACTCTCCTGTTCCCCTTGAGGCGTACTCTCCTGTTCCCCTTGAGGCGTACTCTCCTGTTCCCCTTGAGGCGTACTCTCCTGTTCCCCTTGAGGCGTACTCTCCTGTTCCCCTTGAGGCGTACTCTCCTGTTCCCCTTGAGGCGTACTCTCCTGTTCCCCTTGAGGCGTACTCTCCTGTTCCCCTTGAGGCGTACTCTCCTGTTCCCCTTGAGGCGTACTCTCCTGTTCCCCTTGAGGCGTACTCTCCTGTTCCCCTTGAGGCGTACTCTCCTGTTCCCCTTGAGGCGTACTCTCCTGTTCCCCTTGAGGCGTACTCTCCTGTTCCCCTTGAGGCGTACTCTCCTGTTCCCCTTGAGGCGTACTCTCCTGTTCCCCTTGAGGCGTACTCTCCTGTTCCCCTTGAGGCGTACTCTCCTGTTCCCCCATGAATAAGTGTGTATTTTGAGTCGACTAAAAAATACCCCCCATGACATGAGCCATGCCTCTCACTCAATCACGCTCGTTCTTAAGCGAGAGTCAAGGTTCATTCCTCAAGTCACCTTCTCCCGTGCTGTCCCGTGCCCCATCAGGTTGGGAGCTTCGAAGACGTGCTAAAAAAGATGGAGGTATGTACCACACTTGATTCGACCGAGATGCTGTCCATTGCATGGAAGAAGATCTCCTAAACCCTTATTCACCGAGAATTCTCAAGCACCTCTCGGGAAAGGGTCAGGTACCCATCGTGCAATCCCCTGTCTCTCGATTCGACCCCCATTCCCATTCTCTCCCTTCCCTTCCGCTTCCCCCCGCTCTCCGTCGCCCATGGGGACCCCTTCGTCTCCCTTCCCTTCCCCTGCCCACCGCTCTCCGTCGCCCATGGGAAACCCCTTCGTCTCCCTTCCCTTCCCCTGCCCACCGCTCTCCGCCGCCCATGGGAAACCCCTTCGTCTCCCTTCCCTTCCCCTGCCCCCCATTCCCATGGTCTTCATCTCTCCGTGCAGAAGAACGAGGAGGACTCGCCATGGGGCGACCTGCTCTTTGTGCCGCCCGGCCGGGATGTGGATGGGGTGGTGGGCAAACAGACAGCCCATGCTGCTGGCTCTAGCGAATCCGTGCTCTGCTGAGCTGTCAAACACAGGGATATCTGGACTGGTGCATCTGACGTTTCGGGACGTGGATTGGGTGTGGGCAAACAGACGGCCCATGCTGCTGCTGGTCTGGCGAGTCTGATCTGCCGACCTCGCCTTTCCTGGGCTCTCACAGCTAAAGCAACCTTGTCTGTGAGCTGCGCTGGGCGCTTAGAGACGTGCAGGGAGATCGGGTGGTGGTGGGCAGACAGGCAGATGGCTCATGCTGCAGATGACTCTCGGTTCAGCTGATGGACTCTGGACTCTGGTCTGGAGACACCCGCTGAGCCCGCCCTCTGCTGCAAACCTTGCATTGGTTGATCCGGCTTTGACCACTGGACTGGACATGCCCTGCATTGCGTTGCAACATTTGTGTATGGTTCTAGAGATTAGATTAGATCTGATCTGACTACACCACTTGAATGAATCAGGTTCTCGATTACATCCACAGAGAGTCCTGCCCGACACATCACACCCGGCCAACCAACCAATCCTCTTCCCCCTTCACTGCCTGCTCCGCTTCTCTTTCCACCTCCCCCCCCTCCCTCCCATGAGCTGAGACGATTTTTGAGCGGCCTCAAAAATCCAGAGTCCTGCCCGACACAGCACACCCGGCCAACCAACCAATCCTCTTCCCCCTTCACACCCCCTTCACTGCCTGCTCCGCTTCTCTTTCCACCTCCCCCCCCCCCCCCAACACGCACACACCCTCTCCTCCACCAAAGGCAACTCCCCCCCCCTGCTCCCTATACCGTATCCAGATCAGTTTAGACACATCTACCTCCAGCCCCGGCTTCCCCACCCACAGCCTTCAGATGCCTATCCAGCACCTTGAGGTCGGCGCAGATCACATGCTGCCCCTTGCGCTACTGAATGAGGTGCAGCGACTGCAGCGACGAGATGACAGCAACCTGCGATCACGCTCCCATCTCAATCCCCCTTCCAGGCGCCACCTCCCAACCCCTTTTCCTGGTTCCTCACCCCCCCTGCTCTCTATACGGCGTCCAGATGAGCTTCGACACATCCACCTCCAATCCTGGCTTCCCCACCGCCTTGCGGAGCCTATCCAGCACCTTGGGGTCCGCACAGATGACGTGCTGCCCCTTGCGGTACTGGATAAGGTGCAGCGACTGCAGCGACGAGATCACGCCAAACCCCAACCGACCTCCCACCCCAACCCCCCCACCTCAACCCCCTTCCAAGGCCCCCTCCCAAACCCTGGTACCTCAACCCCCCTGCTCTCTATAAGGAGTCCAGATGAGCTTCGACACATCCACCTCCAGCCCCGGCTTGCCCACGGCTTTAAGATGCCGGTCCAGCACCTTGGGGTCGGCGCAGATGACGTGCTGCCCCTTGCGGTACTGGATGAGGTGCAGCGACTGCAGCGACGAGATCACGTCCTCCGTCTTGATGGCAGTCATGTCGCTCAGCTCCTTGATGGACAGGTTCCCGCGGTGCTTCTTGATTATTTGGAGGAGGACCCGGATCCAGTACCCGCGGTAGCTCAGCAGACCCAAGTCGGACAGCGGGCGCTCGGGGGTGCCCACCTTGTTCTCCTTCTTGGAAAGTTCGTATGCTTGGGGGGGGGAGGGGGGGATGGGGAAAGGGATGGGGGGAATCCATTAGGCCCTTCTGAAGATGTGATGCAGACTTGCTGTTAACAAGGGGACACAATTCTCCCAACCAAGGACAGGGATATGTGCATCGCTTACTAACGTTGTAGGTGATTTTTGAGAATTCTAAAAAATTGGCAACTAGCAGCCATAAGCAATTTCTCTTACAGGAGGAGTCTGTTTTTGAGGCGCCTAAAAAGTGGACGCAAGGACAGGGACAAGTGAATCGGTAACTAACGGCTATCAGGAGATTCTCTTACAGAAGGCGATGAGGAATTTGCCGTATCCCTTGCGCTGGTATGGTGGGAGGGTGAGAATGCAGGCGAGATTGTAGCCCTCCTCTGACTGCTTCTCCTGGTATGGAGCAAACAGTGGTAGGTCAAGGGGAAAGGGCAGGGTGGAAGAGAGGCTGAGGCAGGGCAGGGCGCAGAGGCGAGAGGGAGGGGTGGGAAGCAAGAGCAAAGGGGAGGACGGGAAGACGGGAGATGCTCGATCGTCCTCCCAGCACACGTCGTTCGTAACCACGACGTGGCAACACCTTTCATCAGGCTTGCACCCTTTGAGTACCTTGGAGAAGTGGCGCACCATGATGTCGTGGCAATGCTCGTTGCACTCGTGTTGCACCTTGGCGTGTTGCACCTTGGCGTGTTGCACCTTGGCGTGTTGCACCTTGGCGTGTTGCACCTTGGCGTATTGCACCTTGGCGTGTTGCACCTTGGCGTGTTGCACCTTGGCGTGTTGCACCTTGGTCGACTTAGGCGTGTTGCACCTTGGTCGACTAAGGCGTGTTGCACCTTGGTCGACTAAGGCGAGTTGCACCTTGGTCGACTTAGGCGTGTTGCACCTTGGTCGACTTAGGCGTGTTGCACCTTGGTCGACTTAGGCGTGTTGCACCTTGGTCGACTTAGTCAACAGAAGTGTACTGTGGGGTGAGTGCAGTACCTTGGAGGGGGGGCAGTACCTTGGAGAAGTATCCCACGATGTGGCAGCCGCGCTCGTCGCACTCGCAGAGGATGTAGAAGAGGAAGAGGTCCACGTCGTAGTAGAGCGTCTTGTGGTCCAGGAAGAGCTTCGCCAGGTAGCACAGGTTCTGGCAGTACACCTTGTTACGCTTGCCGTCCACCTGAGGGGAGGGGGGGGTGAGGTGGGATGCATGACAGACACATACAGACACATGGACAACATACAGACACATGGACAACATACAGACACATGGACAACATACAGACACATGGACAACATACAGACACATGGACAACATACAGACACATGGACAACATACAGACACATGGACAACATACAGACACATGGACAACATACAGACACATGGACAACATACAGACACATGGACAACATACAGACACATGGACAACATACAGACACATGGACAACATACAGACACATGGACAACATACAGACACATGGACAACATACAGACACATGGACAACATACAGACACATGGACAACATACAGACACATGGACAACATACAGACACATGGACAACATACAGACACATGGACAACATACAGACACATGGACAACATACAGACACATGGACAACATACAGACACATGGACAACATACAGACACATGGACAACATACAGACACATGGACAACATACAGACACATGGACAACATACAGACACATGGACAACATACAGACACATGGACAACATACAGACACATGGACAACATACAGACACATGGACAACATACAGACACATGGACAACATACAGACACATGGACAACATACAGACACATGGACAACATACAGACACATGGACAACATACAGACACATGGACAACATACAGACACATGGACAACATACAGACACATGGACAACATACAGACACATGGACAACATACAGACACATGGACAACATACAGACACATGGACACGTAGTACACCTTGTTGCGCTTGCCGTCCACCTGGCGAGACAGTGATGCAGGCGGTTGAGGATGCCGGCACGCGGGCATGAATGCAATGCATGCGCGAATGCATGGCGCGTGATACCTAGATCGGCACCTAGGACAATAAGACAAAGATGCGAGCACCACAAAAGTACCTCGATTCCCCACACCAGAAAGTACCTAGTACCTGAACCAGGCGGTACCTGCACAAGGTGATACCTGCACCAGGTGGTACCTGCACCAGGTGGTACCTACCTCGAACATGGAGAGGGAGCCATTGCGGTATATCTCATCTCCCGGCGGGTGCTTCAAGTCACACTTGCGCTGCAGAGACAAGCATGCATGCACGCATACACACACACATGCACACATACACACACACATGCACACATACACACACACATGCACACATTCACACACACATGCACACATTCACACACACATGCACACATTCACACACACATGCACACATTCACACACACATGCACACATTCACACACACATGCACACATTCACACACACATGCACACATTCACAAACATGCACACATTCACACACACATGCACACATTCACACACACATGCACACATTCACACACACATGCACACATTCACACACACATGCACACATTCACACACACACACACACACACACACATGCACACAGGCACGAGCAAGAGAACACAGAACTTGCAGAAGATCGTTGAAGCATTATCAGTAGGTCTCACCACACCACCACACTCCACTGAATCGCATCACACCACGCCACCCCTTCCTAAAACCCACCCTTCCTCCTTCCACCCCTTCCCAGTTCACTCGCACCAGCAGACCATGCACCCCCCTCCAACCCACCATGTGGCGATCTGGCTGTTACGGCCTCTTCAGTAACGTGAGGGGGGTGCAGAAGTAGAGAATGCCGGAGAATGCTAGAGAATGTTACGGAAAGCCAACTCGCAGAAGTAAAGCTTGGAGGAGCAGTGGGCGTACTTTAGAAGGGGACCCCACGACAACATCCTACAAACGTGCCACAAGCGTCCCCTTCCCCCTTCCCCCTTCCCCCTTCCCCCATCGCACCATGTGTCTCTCGAGCTGTGACGGCCTCTTGAGGAAGGCGAGGCAGAACTCGCAGAAGTAGAGCTTGGAGCAGTGCGCGTACTCGGGGGGGAAGGGCGAGAAGTACCACGTGTCCATCTCGTAGCGGCCAAGCTCGATAGTGGACACGTTCTTGACCTTGGTGAACTCCTCGTGCTCCCTTAGGCTCGCAGCGTCGAAATCCTCGTGGCCCTGTGTGTGGATATGGGTGGGGGGGGGGAGAAAAAGGGGGAGGGGGGCACTGAGTCAACACGTTCTTGACCTTGGTGAACTCCTCGTGCTCCCTCAGGCTCCCAGCATCAAAGTCCTCGTGGCCCTGCAAGAGTGTGGAGTGGAGGGGCGCACTGATTCAAAATGTTCTTCACATTGGTGCGCTCCTCGTGCTCCCTCAGGGACACTGCGTCAGGAGATATAAGGTTGGTTTTGAGACGTCTCAAAACCAACCTTATATCTCGTGCTCCCTCAGGGACCCTGCGTCAGAGTCTTAATGGCCCTGTGTGTGGGTGTTGGGGGGGGAGGGGGGGATTGGGGGGGGGGAGAAAAAGGGGGAGGGGGGCACTGAGTCGACACGTTCTTCACCAGTGGGGGTTACAATGTGCAGGTTCTTATGTAGGATACTGATCGAAGCCACCCTGCAATAATGAAGGTGTTCATAAAAGTGGTACCTCTTCGATGTGGAGCTCATCTATCTTCCTCTTCTGATGACGTGTCATCTTCACTCCGCTGCCATGCTGACGTGGCATAGGGAGAGGCAGGCAGGCGCGGGAGCAAGTGGGAGAGGGAGAGAGAGGGGCGGGGCAGGGCAGGGGAGGGCAGGGCGGGGCAGGGCAGGGGAGGGCCGGGCAGTTTAGTATGTCAAGGCAGGGGCAGGGCAGGGGAGGGGACCGCTTGAGAGAGAGGGGCGGGGCAGCAGCACACGGGAAGGCGAGACAGGAGGGGGGGGGAGTGAATGGGTACGGAAAGGTGGGAGGGAGGGAGAGGGCAATGGAACAAGCGGAGACAAAAGAAAGTCAGTCATGCCATGCCATGCCATGTCATGCCATGGTGTGGTGTGGTGTTCGGTTTGCTATTCTCTCCCATGCCATGCCCGCTTCATAACCATTGCCCTTTGACACATGGCCCAACAGCCACAAAGTGTGACCCATGGACAAATGCAACGACTTAAAGTAGCAGTCGTACCCAGCCGTGCACCGTGATCCGGAACAGCTAACAGACAACAGACACAGAGCTGGTCAGGATAGCCTCCTCCTCCCCTCACGGCCGTGCACATGCTGCATGGCCCAGGTTGGTCAGGAGACGGTAGTCAAGGCCCTCAGAGGCCCTCAGAGGTTAGTGACACGCCGCCTTCTCCTCACACGCCGCCTCTGAGGTCAAGGCCCTCAGAGGCCCTCAGAGGGTCAGACAACTACCTTCTCCTCCGCCTTCTCCTCACACGCCGTGTTGACAGACGATTGGTCGATGCTGCTGACCGGAATCCACTCGTCCAACCGCCGGTTGACTGCACGGCCGCCGTCAGCCAATCAGCATCAAGAACAGAAGAGTGGGGGGGGGGGAAACAAGAAACGATGGGGGAACGGGGAGGAGGGATGGGGGATGTGTGGGAGATGGAAGAAGAAGAGACAAGGAGAGGTACAGAGCGAAATGACACAGTATTCCGCATCTCAGGGCAAGGGCTCGATAAATCCAAGATAGAATCACACCCGGTATGAGCACACTTCATCAGTCAAACAGCGACCCATCACTCACACTCGGTATAGTGCACGTAGTACTCGTATTCGTCCGCGCTTCCCGCCGCTTTCCGCCGCTCGATGATCTTAGCGGGGTGCATCTTCCCGTCCCGCCACCGCGCGCTCACCCGCGCGCCCACCTCAAGCGGGCCCGCCAAGACTCCCCCTTCCCCCGCCACCGCTCCCCCCGCGCCCGTCCGCTCCGCGACCGGCGCTGCCCCCGATGCTGCGCCTCCGCCAGCGGCAGGAGCCGCGGGTCCATTTTCGCTTTTTACGGCGGGGGTCGCAGAAGCTGGAAGCGGAGATGCGGCGGAAGTGATCCGGGCGGGGTCTACATGCTGCGCGGCGTGCGCATACAGAGCTTTCTGCGGAGTTTCCGCCAACTGCTGTTGCTGGTGCTGCTGCGCCTGGTGCTCCCGCTTCGCCTGACTCGAGGGCTGCTTGCTTGCCGATTGCCGGCCGCTGCGCTTACCCCCCTTGCCGCCCTTTCCCCCTTTCCCTCCCTTGCCGCCTTTGCCACCCTTGGCGCTAGTTGCTGGTGACTGCATTGTTCACGTAGCCCTAAATTAGCCGAATCATACGAGCATGTTTTCATGTAAAATTATAGATAGATAAAATTTGCACTAAGAAATGTCATCCAAACGAGTGCCAGTGGTCTAGTGGTAGAATAGCACCCTGCCATACCAGCTCGGTGCAGACCCGGGTTCGATTCCCGGCTGGCACAGCGCCTTTTGCTGCATGGATCATGGTGGTCCCCAAATGACGTGTTGCATGCAACCTAAGCATTTCTGCCCGAAGTTCCTTGCTGTGGGAGCAGGGCTTCAGATTGCAGGCTTTTTACCCTGATTCAGTGTAAAATCAGGGCTTTTTTGGGGGGTGACCCTGAAGAGACAGGATTTTTGAAAGGCAGAGGCCAGAAATTTCAAGGTTTTTTTAAGAGTGAACTCTGATCGACCAGCATGCCTAGTGTAGTGTGGCCTGTTTTTCCCGCGTCGTATCGGAGCCGGACCCTGATTCTTCTAATAGCGGATTCCCAGCCCCAACCCCCCCACCCCGTGATTTCCGTGAATCCCCCCCCACCCTCCCCGTCAATCACGCCGACTTCAGTGTGACCGACCAGATTTCAGCCCCGTTGGAGAATATGCTGCCATTCTTCATCCAGCACATAGTGCCTGGCAGGTTCTCATTGGCTGTTCGAAAGTAAGTAGCCAGCCACTGCTGTCTCCAGCACAGCGTAGCTGCAAGGTTTGGATTGGCTCATCGCCAAATTACAGCCACAGCAGCCAATAGACTAGGTCTAATGTTAGACAGTTGGCCCATCAGCACGGCAGTAGACCACTACCCACCCGCTTCGTGAACCACATCCATGCATGCAGAACTCTGTTGCGAGCCGCGTGCCCTCCACAAACCTCAAGAGACCCCATCATTTTCATCTATCTCTTCAATCAATGCTGTGCTTCCACACCTGCTGCTTTGTTCAAGTCGAGTGCTTCCACCCCCCGTCACGGTCGGTTCTTACCGTTGCCATCGCGCGATGGCAACACCTAGCGGCGGTGATCCAAAAGGCGATGATGGTAGCATTCCTGGTGCAGACATGTGCACGGGGCTCGACTAGCTCCTCTCGACACTGTCTAGCCTCACCCCCATCCCGATTAGACCCGATGCTGCGCCTAGAGAACAGGAACCTGCAAGAAAGGAAGTAGCCGACTCAGTTTCCGATGTAGTCGTTCTTCCTGAGCAGAGTCTTAGGCCTGGTCCGTCGGCACCAGCCGCCGTCGAGCGCCCTGCTACCGCGACGACTATTCCCAAGCGCCTTGGTCGCTACCGCCAGGCCAAGTTACCATTCGCGAAGCCGAATCCGGGAACTGTCGAGCCGCCGGCATCGATACATGCTGATGACGATGGAGATCCGTCTGAAGACGAGACACCTTCAACCTCCAGGAAGTCTCTGAGTCCTTCCGAGCTTTACGCTGAGGCTCATTCCCGTTACAAGTCGAGGTGGTAGGAGCCGTTTCCCTGGCTCGTTTTGTATAAAACTAACGATGGGCGCCCTGCCTTTAAGTGTACCATCTGTCTGGAGCATGCAGGGCTCTCTGGAAGGATTGGTCATTGTGGGCCAGGAATCACAGACGCACAAACACAAGCGTTCAACAGGCACGCTGGTACCGGAAAGCACCGCCTCGCGTTCGGGAAGCAAAACGTTATTGCTACAGGACGCTACTACCCAACCGCGAATCGATCAGAACCCGCAAGCCACGGATTTGGAGAGGGAGCGAGTGACCGCGCTTCTCGACCTGCTGTACACCTGCTGCAAGACCAACGACCCATGGACACATGGGTCCCGATCACCCCGGTTCAAGAACTTCCCCGAGGGCGGATACGGGACGTACACGAACTCGTAAGACCTATATCCCTTTAGATTCCTAAGCTTCTTATTCTTACCTTCGATCCTTACAAACCACTAACGACGAGATTTATTCTGTTAACGCAGGTTTTGGGGAGTTCACGCAATCCAGCGCGACCTGGCTGCACACCACCCAACTGGAGCACCTCTTGCGAAGCCCGTTCATCGGAATTAGCCTCGACGAGAGCACGGACCGTTGCAGAGGAAAGCACATGATAGTATTATGCACTTTCATCCGGGACCTCCGCGTCGTCACCGAGTACCTGGCGCTGCTCAGCGTTGACAAGGCGGACGCCTCTTCTCTGCTCGCTCTACTGCTCTCCCACCTGCAGGCAATCGGTGTCGATCTTTGCCGCATCTCGGGCATCAGCACAGACGGGGCAGCGGTGATGATGGGCTCGAAAGCCGGCCTGGTGACTCGACTCCGTATGCGTATCCCTCACCTGGTCTCCTGTCACTGCATCGCTCACCAATAAGTTTCCATTTTTGCATTATTGAGTGTCCAACACTTTGCACAGATGCTGATTCGGGACAATACTAGCTGTCACTCATGCTGGTTTGTTCGGTTTCTCCCCGTGTTCTCTTCCATATGCAGAGAGGCACTGGCAGCTAAGGCGGCGGCGGAGGACATGCCGTTCTTCAAGATCATCGATGATGTAATCAAGGAGCTGGCCGAGTTCCTTGGTCGCTCTGGACTGTGGCACCAGCGCTTCCTCGACCTCCAGGACGTCTTCCTCTCGACGTGCTTGGAGCTGCAGGGTATACACCAAGTCAGATGGCTCTCACGCGGTGAGGCCATCCGACGGCTGGTGAAGGTCTTGCCAGCCATCGTCGTCATGCTGTCTGAGTTCGCCGACGACCGTCTTTACAAGATTGTCACGAGCTACAGGTTCTGGTTTGTGCTCATGTTTCTTGCTGATGTTCTTGAGCAGATGAATGTTCTCATCAAGACTTTCCAGACCCGCGAGATAAGTTTCGTCACATGGTGCTCCTAAACCGCTACTGACGCACCATTGTTGTCTTACTTGTATTCTCAAACCCCTTCCCGCAACTGGACATGTCAACGATCCACGCGTCGGTCTCCCTCCTCGAAAGCCGCTACGTCGACTGCGGCGACGACTTCAACGGGGACCCGAAATACCTTCTCACGGCCTTCCACACCCGTCACGGTCCGGGCGGTACGCGCAACGTCACTGTTGAGGGCGTCGACTCCGATGGGCGCCCGGGTCGATTCAGCTTTGACCTGCATGAGGAGCCATTGGATGGCTACCCGGGTGAGGGCAAGCACGACGATTGTGTCGTGGCGTGCATGGCGCTGGCCGAAGACATGGTGCAGAACCTGGACGAGCGGCTGGGGGACTTGAAGCAGCTGGATGGTTCGATGCTGTTCTGTGCGGACCAGTGGCCAAAGGGGTGGGAACGTGCTCCACAGAGGGCCCAATGTCTGGAGTGGTTCGGGATGATGGTCGACCTCTACCATGCAGGGGAAGCTGAAGAGATTCTTCCAGGTATCTCACCTGTCCTTGACCCCGAGGCTTGCACGATTTGTTGATGTGGTTCCGCTCTACCCTATTTTACTAGTACTCCCCTCGTTCTCCCTCCTACCCTTCCCCTACTGGCAGGCGTCAACAAGCGAGCGGCTGTGCTGGAGATCCCCCATTTATGCCCTGTCCTTGCCGCCCTGCCAAAGAGTGACAAGGGCTTCTACACCGGCTTGACGACCATGCTGAAGTCTCCAGACTGGGAGGATAGCTTCCCCAATCTCGTCAAGCTGTGGTGCGCTACGACAGTTCTTCCCCTGAGCACAGTGGAATGTGAACGCGGGTTTTCCCGTCATAAATGTGATTAAGAGTTGGCTGCGGGGCAGCATGAAGGACCCACGCCTTGGAGATTTGATGTGTATGAGCCTGCTAGACTACGACCCGGACTGGGATGCCGTCATTGACATCTGGAGAGCCTACAAGAAGAGGAAGTCCTACAGCACTGCCCCACAGAGCAGAGCCCAGAAGTGCAAGAAGGGGAAAGAGAAGGAGGACGATTCCCCTGTAGACCATGACAGCGTGCAGGCAGAGGAGGATGCTTAAGTAGGTCCTAGTATGCCCATGTTAGATTGTAAACCCTGTGATAATGGGCATGTAGTTGAACAGTGTGTTTTCTTGTAGGTAACTCTGTTTATTCAGCGCAAAATCTTTACAACACCCTGATTGATCAGCGTAAGTTTCTTAGCGAGGCCTGAAAAAACAGTGAGGTAAGAAGGGGGGTCCCTGAGCGATCAGCGTGCCCCAAAACGAATCTGAGGCCCTGTGTGGGAGTAAGCCCTAGTGACTCACGATGAAGCCCTATAGCAGACCGGATGTTTCCTTGCACCCTAAGTCTGTAGAAAAAGCACCACAATTTCTTGTACTAAGAGCACACTCAAACCGTATAAGGTGTTACAACCCGAATAGTTTTGTACAATGTACAACCATCATCTAAACCAATACAAAATGGGCAGGGGATTTGGGATGGCACAGCGACGCAATAAGCACTTCCAGCGAATTGAGGTAACTACCTCTCCTCACCTCACCCTCCTCCGTGTGCCTATCCGCAATGAAGCCTGGTGCCCTTAGGGCCTACACAGAGCACAGCCAAGGCAAAACTCCGCTGGGGCTTTGGGGTGCCACGCCACGCGCAGCGGGCACCCGTCTCCTCCCATGCAGGAATTGGCGGGTGTATTGCCGCCGTTGTGGCACGGGGTGCAGTAGTGCGTGGAGCCACCGCAGATGAAGGTGGCGATAGAGCAGCAGAAGCGGCACTTGAACTGCACGCTCTCCTGCCCGTGATTGCTCGTGCACGGCTTACCTGCTTCCCACAGCTGCTCCTTGCTCCTCTCTCTCTCCCCTGCTGCTGCTGCTGCTGCTGCCTCCCTTTGCCTTTCAGCGGCTTCAGCAGCCAAGCACTCACCACACACTAGCTCGTTGCCTCCCTGATTCCCCCCACCTCCTTCCTCCGCCCGTCCCTCCTCCCCCTCCCCTCCCTCCCTCTCCTCCTCAACCTCATCCTCAGGCTCGGCAGCAGCAGGTCCAGCACCGCACCTCCGGTCCCCACCAAAGTACGGGCGGTGGCAGCGCGAGCAGAGAAAGAACAGGAACCGCCGCAATGCCCCTGCCAGCACACCGTTCCCCATACGGCCATCCCCACCCCCATTCTCCCCCTCCTCATTACCATTCACAGCCCCATCAACACCCCGAATCCCCTCAGCACCCCCACCCCCCTCCCCTGCCTTCACCCTCTCCACTGCCAAATCCTTCACTTGCTTTTTCAGGGCCAGAGGGGCGGCAAGCTCTGTCTGTAGTGCAGGATGGTCCATGGTGGTAGCGGGGCAGAGGGGGCAGGAGAGGAATCCGAAGGAGAGTTCAGGCCCGGGGTATGATTGGCGGATCTTCTCCCTTGCGCATGCCGCATGCACCACATGCCTGCAGGAGGATAGACGGATGGCCGGGGCGGCAGCTATCGGCTCCACCCAGCAGATGGGACAAAAGTCGCTGGCGGATGCGAGATGCGGCAGGGGAAGAGGGATGGCAGAGGGCGCACCACTGCTGTCAGCTGCCTCAGCAGCAGCAGCACCAGAGGCATCAGCAGCAGCAGCACCAGAGGCATCAGCAGCAGCACCACCAGAGGCATCAGCAGCAGCAGCAGCAGCAGCAGAGGGAGCTGTTGCAGCGGCTGCTGCTGCATTGAGCTTTTCAAAGCAAAGGTCATGGAGGCACGGCAGGCACTGCAGCTCTCCACTCACCCCCCCACACGCATGCCCACAGGGACCGACCCGCGTGCACGCGCCTCTCAGCCGCTCCCGGCACTGATCCTCACCACACACACACACTGCCAGCCCTGCCACCGCTGCTAAATCTGCCTTGCTCACGCACCAAGCCGTGTCTGCTCCCACTGCCGCAAGGAGACCCCTCATCTCTCCCTCGCCCCATGCCCAAGTGTGGGCGTTACCACTGCTGCCACTGCTGCTGCTGCCACGTGGGATTGTGTTGCCAGGGTGTGCGACCAGCTCTGCAAGCTGCCTGACCGCTTCCTCTCTCTTCCTCCTCCCTTCATCATCATTATCGTCGCCCTCTTCCTCTCCAGCTTCCTCAATCCTTTCCCAGTCGATCCGCTCCCCACAGAAGCGGCACTTGGGTGCAGCGAGGCGGACAGAGTATGCAGCACAGGAGAGGCCGAGGTGGTAAGGGTGCTCGCGGCACGAACCACAGAAGACCACCCCGCACTGGCCACACCGGAGTATCATTTCCGGGGTTAGCAGCTGGCCTTCCTCGTCTCTTTCTTCAGTGCTCGCTGCTGCTGCTGCTGCTTCCGCTGCTGCTTTTGCTGCTGCTTCTGCTGTTGCTGCTTTCGCTGCTAAATCTGCTGCTGCTGATTTTGCTGCCTCCGCCTCTGCTTCTGCTGCTGCTGCCTCCGCTGCTTCTGCTGCGGCTGCAGCTGCTGCTGCTTCTGCTGCTGCCTTTGCTGCTGCAACTGCTTCCACTGACTCTGCTGCCTCTGCAGCGTCTGCAGCGTCTGCTGCTGCTTCTGCTGCTTCTGCTGCTGCCGTCTCTGCTGCTGCTACCGCTGCTGCCACAGCTGCTGCTGCTTCTGCCGCTGCTGCATCTGCTGCTTCTACTGCTGCTGCTGCGTCGGCTGCTGCTGCTGTTGCTGCTGCTGCTACAGTCTCTGGGTCAGCTGGTGCCTCAGCGGGCAGTTTTTCCACGAGAACGTGGCATCCTGGGCAGAGGACAATTTCATCTGCCCGGGAGAAACTGGCGAGGGCAACCGAAGTCGCCGCTTCCTCCCACTGCCAGAATTCTTCGGGCAGGAGGGTCTGCACGTGGAGCGCTGGAACTGGGCGCACGCAGCACGGGCAGGCCATGGAATCTTTGACAGGAGCATTTCCAGGAGAATTTCCAGGAGAATTTTCAGGAGAATGATGGGCGGAGAGCGGGTGCTCTCCGCGTACCAGCTGTGCCCTTAGACGCTCCAGGCTCCAGCTGGGGGCGGAAGGAGCCGCGCGCGCAGGGGAGGCAGAGGAGGCAGGCGCAGTTGGGGAGGTCGAGGGAGAGAGCGACGGGCGTGAGCGCGGTGCAGAAACCGCAATTCACGCGCACAGCACTCGAGTGTGGGTGTGGATGGGTCTGCTCCGCTTCCACACTCGATCGACTCCTCTTTCCGGTTCCCGTCGACGAAGACGGAGCCACCGACGGAGCAACCTGCGCAGCCTCCAGCTGCCGCGCGGCAGCGGCAGCACCGTCGGCACCATGGTCATCGCTGCCTTCCGTCGACGCAATCGCGTCGGATCGCACTCTCGCTGGGCTAGTGCATCGCGCCGTGTTCCCTCCCATGCGTGCGGTTTAGCGTTCTTCCCTCTGATAGCCACTAGTACCTCCCGTATTGCCCTCAGATCGCCGCTCTTGCAGAATTAACTGCTCGACTACTATCATTTCCGACGCCGGTGGGTGTGGGAGTGCCAGTTCCACTGTCGCCCCGCCAGAATGCGGGCTCGAGCATGGGTGGCCTGGTCTGGTCCTGGAGCGCGGCTGCTCGAGCATGCGCATTCGCGACGGATCTGGTGGCCTCGTCGCGAGTGAGGAATCCGCCATCAGCTCGTCGCATGCTACCGGTGTGCGATGAGGCTGCGACGACATCGCGGGAGGGGCAGACAGTCAGCCGTTGCACATGTCGGCAGAGGGCCTGACCGTCAAAGGAATCGACATAGGAGGCAGTGATAGAACCAACGTCGACGATTCAGCCGACATTGGAGGCTGCATGCAACAGCCATGAGCATACTGTACTCGTGCATGGCGGAGTGGCTGCGCGCCAAGCCCAGCCCCAGTTTGAAAGCCCGAGGGGTTTTCAACTTGGAAGTCCCAACCCCGCCAAAATGAAAGCCGAACCTCGGGAGTTCGAACTACAGTACCTTGGGGACTGTAACGGCAACCGACGTGAAAACGCGCCCCACGTGACCCCAATTCCGGTTTACCCCCACCAATTTGTCCTGTTCACTCTACCGAATGGTTTCTCAAATTTCTCCGCCTGCCTCACGCGCGCAAATTTCCCCCGTAGGTTCGCAGGCGGCAGCCGCAATGAGCCAGCCACGCGCTCGTTCCGCCGCCATCTCCCCGCACGCCCCTTCCGCCACCTCCTCTCACACCCCTTCCGCCACCCCCCTCGAACTCCGCCGCGAATTTCTCCGCCGAGCCGCCGAGTCGCTCGCCGTCAGCTCGCCGCCCGTTGCCGCCCACCTCGGGCGGTGCCTGCAGCTGCTGACGCCCGCGACGCAAGGCCAGACGGAAGGGGGAGGAGGAGGGAGAGGTGGAGGTGGTGGCTGCGGCGAAGGGGGCGGTCCGTCTGTTTCCAAGGCGATGGCTGTTGATGGGAGCGTGCTGTGCGCGGGGTGAGTGGTGCACCCCGTGGTGTGCCCCGTCGTGCGCCATCGTACCAACTATCACCTGGTCGACCCCCCACTTGATCGACAACACCCCCCCCTCCTCCCCCCTCCCCCCCCCCCCTCTTGAAAACTCCTCTTTCTCTCTCCCCTTGTTCCCACCTCTCCTCTTCCCCTTTTGACCAAACCCCTGCCTCTTCGCTCTCTCTTTCTCCTCAAACCCTCCCCCTGCCCCCACTCCCCCCCTCCCCGCCTTCCTTCCCTGACGCCCACCTGCCCACCCCCCCACCGCCCCCCCCCACCCCCCCACCCCCCACCCCCCCACATCGCGGACCAACTTGTCTCAGGTGCGGCCTCCCTCAGATCCTCCCTTCCACCTGCAGCGTCACCATCGCCTCGTATCCTCGCGCGGGGAAATCAAAGAGGAGAAGATCAGCAGCCCGAGGAGCAAAGAGTGGCATCTCGTGCAGAGCGAGAGGTGCTGCCATGGATGATGCCGCCACCAGCGCACACGCTGCACGAGCCGCCACACCTGTTGAGGGGCGACAAAAGAGTAGCTCCAGCAATGAAGCTGCCGGAACTGCAGCTGTTGCTCCTGCTCCTTCCTCTGCTGCTGCTGCTGCTGCTGCTGCTGCTGCTGCTGGTACTGCTGCTGCTGCTTTGGATGGTTTGGCGAAAGAGCAAACGGGAGAGAGGAGGAAGGGGAGCCGGAAGAGGCAGAGGAAGGCGAGGGGCGGAGGGCAGGCGAGGAGGGGAGGGGAGGAGCATGAGAAGAGGAGGAGGGTGGGGCGTGAGGGAGTGCAGGGGGGGGAGGGGAAGGCAGGGGCAGAGGGGAAGGAAGAGGCGGCAGTGGGGAATGGTCTGCACAGAAACAGAGTGATCAGTATGTGTCGGTTCTGTTCGAGGGAGAGGCGGTGCAAGGGCAGCAGACAGGGGTATGTGAAGGGCAAGGCTGCACAGGTCAAGATGGCCACTTGATTATGCAGGCCTTTGTGTCGTCTGCTGCTGATGTGCACACCTCGGTGCGTAGTTGTGATGTTGCCTTGCCACCTGGTGTTGCTTTATCCAGGGAGCTTTGGAGATGTTCTGAAGTTTGAAGTCTAGTTTTGAGGCGCCTCAAAACGAGCTTTGTAGATGTTCTGAAGTTAGAATCCATGTGTGATGAGTCGATTTTTGAGTCGACTCATTACACACGCTTTGGAGATATTCTGGAAGTTACAAGTCTAGTTTTGAGGCGCCTCAAAACGAGCTTTGGAGTTTGAGGCGCCTCAAAACGAGCTTTGGAGATATTTTGAAGTTCCATGCAAAGTTTGGAACTGCCGCTGTAGAAGCAGCCTCTTTCCTGAGTATGTAGAAGAGTGGCTTCTATTGCCTCCACCTGCAGTACATGTGAAGTTATTAGTACAGTATAGGCACCATGCCAAAATGAGGATACAAGACGGGCGGTGCTTTCAGGTGCTCAGACAGATGTGCATTTGTGTGCATGGTGTCGTGCCCAACAACTCGTATTTCAGTAGCTAGAACGCCCCGAAATCCTCAACAGGGCTATCCTTCTGCGGCAAAGGAGTCTCAGTGGCTTGCAAGGAGCGATAAATACACCAGCGATGGCAATGCAGTGCTTCGCGCGTCACCTGTTGCACAGCCGCATAGCCGCACAGCCGCATAGCTGCACAGCCGCACAGCCGCATAGCCGCATAGCCGCACAGCCGCACAGCCGCATAGCCGCACAGCCGCACAGCCACACAGCCGCACAGCCGCATAGCCGCATAGCCGCACAGCCGAGGCTTGTTGTCACCTGGACGGGTCAAAGTGTAGCCCTCAGAGCAGCTCTTGAGCAGCGGAATCGACTCAAAGAGAGCCCGTTGCGGCTGCCAGCCTACCACTGCGACTCGGGTCACCTGGGCGGGCCAAAGTGCAGCCCTTTGAGCAGCGACGAGGCCATCTGCCTGACCAGCACCTGCTGCCCCCCGGCGATGCGGCGCTCCTCCGTCAGGCGCTGCAGCTTCAGGGGCAACTCGTCTGGGACCGACAGCCCCTTGGGGTACGGGTGCTGCTCGTACACCGCCTGGGGGGAGGGAGGCGAGATTGAGGGGTGGAAGGCGGAGATGACTTTATGGCATTACTCAGAAAGCACCGACAGCCCCTTGGGGTACGGGTGCTGCTCGTACACCGCCTGGGGGAAGGAGGGGGACAGGGGAAGGCAAGGCCCAGAAGGCGTTTTGAGTGACTCCTCACCTCACCTGCATCACATGCCCCACGCACACATCACCTGCATCACATGCCCCACGCACACATCACCTGCATCACATGCCCCACGCACACATCACCTGCATCACATGCCCCACGCACACATCACCTGCATCACATGCCCCACGCACACATCACCTGCATCACATGCCCCACGCACACATCACCTGCATCACATGCCCCACGCACACATCACCTGCATCACATGCCCCACGCACACATCACCTGCATCACATGCCCCACGCACACATCACCTGCATCACATGCCCCACGCACACATCACCTGCATCACATGCCCCACGCACACATCAGTTTCTGAGTCGACTCGCAAACGACATCCCCCACAATTCACCTGCATGAGCCTTATGCGCGTGTCATCCTCACACCCTGAGCCTTCCACCCCTCAATCTCGCCTCCCTCCCCGCCTCAATCTCAATCTCAGCCACAGAGGTAGGCTGGCAGCCGCAGTCCTCACACCCTGAGCCGCTTGAGAGGAGTTAGTCACATGGCTGGTCCCAGCAGATGGTGGTATGGTCCCAGCAGATGGTGGTATGGTCCCAGCAGATGGTGGTATGGTCCCAGCAGATGGTGGTATGGTCCTTCCCTTCACTGGCTACGAGCCTACGACGCCGCTTTCCCAGGCGTCACCTACCCTACCCTACCCTACCCTACCCTACCCTACCCTGCATCATCGACTCACCGTAAGCAATTGCAAGCAGGTTGAGGCGCATGGCTGGCTCCAGCAGAGGGTTGTTCTGGCCCTCTTCGCACGAGCTGCGGCCTATGATCTCCCGCATCTACAGTCAGTGCAAGCACCGTGCTTCTCACCTTGAGCAGCTTGAGCAGGTTGAGGCGCATGGCTGGCTCCAGCTGCGGGTCGTCCAGGCGAGCCACCAGCAGGTCGCCCAGCCCGCCCACTGACAGCGCTGCATTCAGCGCCGGGGACTTGCTGTGAGGAGGAAGAGGAGGGAAGACGAGGAAGGGCGGGGAGGGGGGGGGGGGGAGGATGTCGTTTGAGTTGACACATGAATCTGCTTTTGAGTCGACTCAAGTTTGAATCGACACATGAAACAGTCAAGCTACCAGCAGGTCAGCCAGCCATCCCACGGAGAGTGCTGCGTTGAGTGCAAGGGACTTGCTGTTGCATCCTAAGGAAGAGGAGGAAGCAGATCAGGCAGAGGAGGGAGGCGTGACTTGTGAGTGGAGTGGAGAGGCGGCAACGGAGAAGCGAGCCGTTAGAAAGAATGGAGAATGAAGTCAGGGCGAAAACCAGGACGGGAGAACCAGAAGCCAAAATGTGATGTAGAGAGGGAGACTCACCGGACGAGGTGCAGCAGCGGTTCAAAGAGGGCTGTAAAAAACGGGCGCTCCTGGCAGCCCCTCTGACAATCCACACCGACGAGTCCAGAGAGTCTTGAAAGCCGCCAGAGAGAGTAACCCAGTCAGTGACCATCTCTACAAGGTCATTGACCATGGATCGCAGCCATGGTAGACTCACCCGACGAGGCGCAGCAGCGGTTCAAAGAGCGCCGTGAACGAGCTGTTCCTCGCTGCCCCTCTGACGAACCACACTACCGAGTCCAGCGAGTCCCGCCTCAGCAGCGTCTGCTCCACATGCCGCCCCTCCCCGTCGTTCACCAAGCATGCAACCACTGCCTCAAACGCCGCCGCTCCCCACAACCTGTCCGCCCCTTCCCCACCCGCCCCTCCCCCTGCTCCCCCTCCGCCTCCGCCTCCTCCCTTCCCCCCCCCGCCGCCCTCCCTGCTGCGCCTGTCGGCCATCCTGGCAGCGATGGCCCCATGTGCGCTGAGCGGCGCAGAGAGCAGCGAGAGCAGGAGGGGCAGCGCGTTCTGGTGCAGCAGAGCGTCGCAGGCGGCGCGGGATGCGCTGGCGAGGTCGCAGAGGAGGGGGATGGCGAAGGGCAGCAGGGGCGAGCGGGAGGCGATGAGGGCCATGAGGGGCGGCACGATGGAGGACTCCGCTGCTAGCTCCTGCCTGCGCTTGCTGGACTTGCAGAGGTTGTAGAGAGCCATGAGCGCCTGGAGTATAGAGAAGGGGGAGGCGAGGGCCGTGCGGGAACACAGAGGTGGTAATGCGAGGGCGGGTGATCCTTAAAATCATGCTTATAAGGAGGTCACTTGCTGGACTTGCAGCGGGTGTACAGAGCCTAACATCAAGTGATTGATTTCCTGAGGCGCCTCAGAAACACCACAGCGCTCACCTCTGCCTGAATGTCGCAAAACAGCGAAGCTGGGTACCCCTTGGAAGTCACCACTCCCCCACCAGAGTCCCTCCGGTTTCCCTCACCACCCCCCGGCTCAAACCGCTCCTTAAAAGCCGAGTCGATATAAGGCACGAGCGCCCGGACAGCGTCCGCCCTCTGGAGCGAGTCGTGCGAGGCGGAGTCGGAGGACAGCTGGCGGAGCACCCGCAGCAGCAGCAGCAGCACGGGCGGGGGGAGGGACTCGCGCACGTCGAGCAGGCGCTTGAGGAAGGAGGGCGCGAACATGTGCGCACGCACCGCCTCGTCCGACTGGGAGAGCTGCAGCAGGAGCAGGGCCGCACGTGTGAGGTAGAGCGTGTCCTGTGCTGCTAGCGCTGCTGGGTCCAGCTGCTGCTGCTTAGCTGCTGCTGCTGATGATGATAATGATGACAAAGATGCGTCGCTTTCCATGGGATATCCGCTGCCAGTAGCACCAGCAGCAGCCGCACCTGTTCCGTACCCCCCTGGCCCTGCACCCGCCCCGCTTCCTGCACCAGAAGCGGCGTTCCCACCAGCTGCCGCCCCTCCTGCTCCCCCCCCTCCCCCGCCTGCTGTTGCTCCCCCCTGTGCCTGCGTGTCTGCCCCGCTCTGCCCGCTCTTGGCTGCCTTGCTGCGAAACTGTGCGAGGCCAAAGATGCGGCGCTGAGAGCGACGCGCAGGAGTGGCAGCAGCAGGGGCGGCCGAGGAGGAAGAGGAGGAGGAGGATGCGGTGGCAGGGGAGGCAGCAGCTGCGGCTGCTCCTCCTCCTCCTCCTCCTCCTCCTGCTCCTCCTGCTCCGCCTGCATTGCCAGAAGCAGGAGCATCTCCTGACCCATAGGCCGAACCACCAGCCCCAGAAGCACCGTACCTACCAGCGCCACTGCCATCCCAGCTACTCCGCCCCGTGCCCTCACCCCCACCACCGGCACCGGGAGCAGAGGCAGGGTTGTTGTGGGAGGCAGAGAGGGCGGAGGAGATGGAGTGCAGGAGGGAGAGCAGGCGGTGCAGCAGCCCCATTCTCGCCAGCTGCCTTGCAATGTCGTTGCGCGGGGTAGGAGGGCCCGCTGCGAACACTGCTAGCAGGCAGTCCAGGCCTATGTGCACAAAGTCACTGAGCGGAGGGAAGGGCAGGCGGGAGGGCAAGAATGGGGGAGAGATGGGGGGGGGGAGAGGCCCAGAATGTCAAGAGCAATCCAACCGTGTGCACAGTGTTAGCTGGTTTGAGAACACTGGTCAGAGCCCCCATTCAGGCGGTCAGAGTCCGTCAGAGCCCCCATTCTGGCGGTCAGAGTCCGTCAGAGCCCCCATTCAGGCAGTCAGAGTCCGTCAGAGCCCCCACTCTGGCAGTCAGAGTCCGTTAGGGCCCCCATTCTGGCGGTCCGAGTCTGTTAGAGCCCCCTTCTGGAGGTTAGAGTCCATCAGAGCCCCCATTCTGGCGGTCAGAGCCCCACACTGGCGGTCAGAGCCCCCATTCTGGCGATCAGAGCCCCATTCTAGCGGTGGCAGCGGCGGCAGCGGCGACAGCGGAGGAACTTTCACAGCAGAGCAGAACCCACCGGCGCTTGTTGCAGTAGTCCGACTCTAGGAACGCCATGAGTGCGGGCAGGCCTCGACAGACCAGGAGAGCTCGCACCATGTCCGGGCCGGGCTAGTTGGTGAGCACCCACCAACTCAAAAAAGGCAACAGACAGAACCCACCGGTTGTTGCAGTAGTCCGACTCTAGGAACGCCATGAGTGTGGGCAGGCCCCGGCAGGCCAGGAGAACCCGCACCGCCTCCGGACTGAAAGGGGGGTTGGGGGGGGGGGAATGAAGAGGGAGGGCGAGGTGGGGAGGGGAGAGGGAGAATGTAGGGTAGAAGTGGGAAGTGGCGAGAATGCCTGGACGGGGCGGATGGGCGAAACTGGGGCGGAGAACGAGAGGAGGGACAACAATGCAGAGAGAGAGGGGGGGGGATATCAGTGGATTTTCAGGGAGACAGACGAAGTGTGGGGCGCACCAGCCGTTCACATCTACCTGACTCTGGGAAGGGCTGGTCTCACCTGGCGTGGCAGAGGTGGAGCAGCACTAGGCCCGCCTGCAGGCGGCCAAGAGGGCACGTTGACCTGCCGGACTAAGTAGTTCCCTGGACTTGGATGTGTGACCCGGCTAATCTAGCCTGGCACAGGCGGAGCAGCACTAGGCCCGCCTGCAGGCGCCTAAGAGGGCTCGTTGACCTGCCGGACTAAGTAGTTCCCTGGACTTAGATGTGTGACCCGGCTAATCTAGCCTGGCACAGGCGGAGCAGCACTAGGCCCGCCTGCAGGCGGCCAAGAGGGCACGTTGACCTGCCGGACTAAGTAGTTCCCTGGACTTAGATGTGTGACCCGGCTAATCTAGCCTGGCACAGGCGGAGCAGCACTAGGCCCGCCTGCAGGCGGCCAAGAGGGCACGTTGACCTGCCGGACTAAGTAGTTCCCTGGACTTAGATGTGTGACCCGGCTAATCTAGCCTGGCACAGGCGGAGCAGCACTAGGCCCGCCTGCAGGCGGCCAAGAGGGCACGTTGACCTGCCGGACCTGATAGTTCACCTAACAGTGGGGCGCGGCCTACCTAGCCTGGCACAGGTGCCTCAGCACCAGGCCCGCCTGCAGGCGCATGTCGGGAGAGCAGCGCCCGGGAGAGGAGAAGTTGAGCAGCGTGGGTAGCTGAGAGGGAGGGGGGGAGAGGGGGAGGGGTGAGGTGGGAAAGAGACAGGGAAAGGGAAGAGGAAAGGGAAGGGGAAAGGGAAGGGAAGGGGAAGGAGAAAAGGCAGAGAACGGAGGGGAAACAAGAGGGTTATAGGGCGGAAGGGACGTCAAAGGGAGGAGGAATGGACGGGAAGGGGCAACGGGACTGGTTGTGGAAAGCACAGAAGAGCACCATGCATATCAAGCCTGGGTGGATGACTGGGCCAGCACTACAACAGAGCAGGCTGTGGATGTGGTTGACAGCAGGTGACAGACAGGTACAGCCAAAGTCAGGTGATAGGAGTCCAGTTTTGAGGCGCCTCAAAACAACAGCAGGCTGTGGCTGCGGCTGTGGGTGACAGACAGACAGACAGACAGAAAGACAGACAGACAGACAGACAGACAGACAGACAGACAGACAGACAGACAGACAGACAGACAGACAGACAGACAGAGACAGCTACAGCCAAAGTCAGGTGGTCTACCAAGCCAGCGTTGCAGAGCAGGCATTGGATGTCAGGGCTGTCGGTGATGAGCTGCAGCACCAGGCGAAGCACCGCCAGCACGATCTGAGATTCGGGATGGGTGGGTGCGTGGGTGGGTGCGTGGGTGGGTGGGTGCGTGGGTGGGTGGGTGCGTGGGTGGGTGCGTGGGTGGGTGGGTGCGTGGGTGGGTGCATGGGTGGGGCATGCAATCGGGCAGGAGGATCAGATGATGCAAGTGAAAAAATGACATGCCTTTGCACATGCACATGCACATGCACATGCAGAAGCAAGGACAGTCGCACATGTACATCCCCGTGAAAACACAACAAAGTGCCCATTTATATCCCACCCACCCACCCTCGCACTGTCCATCCACGTGCCCCCACCCCGCTCACCCTGGGGCTGTCCACATCAAACACCTCCAGCAGCGGCACCACAGCATGGGTGCTGACGAGCTCCCCTTTGACCTCGGGGTACTCCCCCAGAAGCACCACTACCCGGCTGCACGCCGCCTCTATCGCCTCCTCGCCATTGGACGGCTTGAGCTGGCTCAGCAGCCCCGTTGCCTCTGATACCTGGCAGGTCGGGAAGAGAAGGAAAGGAGAAGGGGAGGAGAAGGGGAGGAGAAGGAAAGGAGAAGGGGAGGAGAAGGAAGGGAGACGGGGAGAAGGAAAGGAGAAGGAAAGGAGAAGGGGAGGAGAAGGAAAGGAGAAGAGGAGACACAGTTTGGTCGTGACGAGCCTATCAACCTGATTTGGATGGGATCATGGCAGCACATACTCAGTAGGACAGCAGCATAGCACCACACCTTCTGGTTGAGAATTTCTGGCCGCAGGCTCGATCGCCGCTCCACCCCGGCCCCTGCTGCGGCTCCAGGGACAGCGGAAGCCCAAGCCCCACCTCCAAGCACACCACCACCAGTACCACCCACACCCACAGCATCCCCCTCTTCGCCTCTCCCCCCACCGCCACCGCTACCCCCAACCCCAACCAGCCCGTCAACCCCAGCAAACGGGTCACTACCCCCTCTCTCCGCCGCCTCTGCCACTCGCTGCATGCCCCTCACCAGCCGCTCCCTCAGCACCCCTGCCAGGCTCCTTCCCCCGCCTGCCACCTGCGGGCTGGCGGCTATAGGGGAGAACACGGAGGTGAGGGACGCGAGGGAGCGGTCCTCCTCTGTCTCAATGAACGCGGAGAGGGGGCGGGGGATGGGCGGGGGCGTGCGGGGAGCCAGGATGCTTGAGGCCAGGTCTTCCTCCTGCTCCTGCTGCTGCTGCGCTCCTCTCTTCTTCGCTGCGCCCCCCTTCCCTGATGACAACGGCCCGCTGTGTTTCTCTTTCTTCTTCCTCATGCCCTTCTTTGCCCCTCCTCCTCCACCCCCTCCTCCCCCTCCGCCTCCGCCTCTTTCCTCTTCCTCGTGCCCTCCTGCCCCTCCTCCCCCTCGATCCCCCCCATCCCCGTCTTGCGACCTCCGCTTTGGTTTCCTCCTGGCAGGCGTACCATTCCGGCTGCCCGAACCACCACCGCCACCACCCAAGTCCTCATCCTGATCCAAGCTGTTCTCCTCCCCTGGAGTACCACTCTCTCCTGCTGACTTCCCCCCACCGGCCCTCGAATGTGGTCTCTCCGGTGACTGCTGCTGCGAGCGAGAGGCGCGGTGGGACCGAGGGGGCGACGCCATGCTTGCACTCATCGACCGCCCACTGCTCGCCCCACTGCCACCACCACCACCGATACCACCCGAACCTGCACCAGTGCTGCTGGATTGGGCCAGCTTTGGCGGCTGCCGAGCCTCTCCCGCCTCTCCACCGTCCTCCTCCTCCACCCTGTCCCGCCCCACCCCACGCTTACCCCTCACACTCCCCAGCCCATCCTCCTCATCAGACACCTCCCACACACCCCCATCCCCCTGCATCGCCAGGAACTCCCTGCTCCCCTCCTCTTCCATCCCCTGGCCGCTCTTCCACCTCTGCCGCCTCGCCCCGTCCTTCCCCCCACTCCCCCCTGTTCCCCCCTCCGCTTGCCCCTCTGCGTCCCTCGCAATGAGTTCCTTGTCGCTCTTGGACCGAATAATCTTACGCCTGCCGCTGCCACTCAGCGGAATCCCGCTGCTGATGCTGCTTCCCCCCCCCCCCCCCCACCACCACCACCACCACCGTTGCTGCCGCCAGCGCCAGCATCCTCACCTCCTGCCGTACCTCCGCCCGAGCTGGAGTCGATGCTGCCGCCTATGGAGTGGCGCTGAGCGCGGGACTTGCGGGCCGCCTTGGCTGCTTCCCGAAGATCCTTGACTGCGTCCTGGTGCAGTGAAGAGTGGGTTTGGGATGGGGACGAATGGGTTTCTAAGGCGTGTCAAAACAGGGTGAGTTTCTTGGCTGCCTCCCACAGATCCTTCACCACGTCCTGGTGCATTGATTGGGATGGACCGAGGGGTTTGGGATGGACCGAGTGGTTTGGGATGGACCCAGGGGATGGAAAAAAGTGGGCTTTTGAGGTGTCTCAAAGCCCCCTGAGATCCTTCACTAAGCAGAGAGGAGGTTTCCGATGCAAAATGGAATTTATTCGAGCAGCAAAGTCAAAAGCCGAGAAAGAAAACGCATTGCAGAGAGAGTCCCAAAAAAAAAGGCCCCTTGTGGAATGTGCAGGTGCTTCCCCTGGTGATCCACCCACCCCGTGCAGGTGGATCTTTCGGTCGCGGCGGTCGCTGTCCGGCGAGGAGGCAGAGACGCTGACAGGCGAGGAGGAGGGGTGGGTGCTGGCGTGCACCCGCCTGGCAGCATCTATGGAGTCGTCGATGGCGGATGCCTCGTCACTGCCACTGGCAGCAGCAGAGGCGTGGGAAGGCGCCTCAGGGTAGCTGCACGGGGGAAAGGGAGGATGGACGGACACGAGAGGGTGGGCGCGGGACGGGAAGTAAGGAGGTGAGCAAGGAAGCTCCACTGTCCGCAGATGCGTGAGACGGCGCCTCGGGGAAGCTGCAGGCGGGAGCAAGAGCTGGAGCTGCAGGCGGAAGCAAGAGATGGAGCAAGGAAAGACGTTACAAAGGCAGCAGGGCTCGTGGATATCGGTTAGACAGGTCGCTTCGAAACTTGCAGCTGCATCAGTAGGCTGGTTTGTCTGTCCATGGACGCTTCAGTGCATGAAATGAGAGGCACGTGCTCCAATGCACATATGTGGGTGCGTGCCACAATGCACATATGTGGGTGCGTGCTCCAATGCACATATGTGGGTGCGTGCTACAATGCACATATGTGGGTGCGTGCTACAATGCACATATGTGGGTGCGTGCTACAATGCACGGCTTGAGGCAGCCGCAGCCGCAGCCACAGCAGCAGCAGCAACAGCAGCAGCAGCAGCAGCAACAGCACAAATCTCTAAGTGCCTAAAACTACAGGCTGGGACATCATCATCATCAGCAGCAGCAGCAGCAGCAGCAGCAGCACGTACAGAGGGCGGGTAGAGGAGGAGGAGGAGCCAGCGCTGGCAGGGCGAGGGATGGCAGCAAGGCCCGACGACACCGCCCGCTTCGCCTGCCGGATCCACGGGTGCCGCAGGAGGGTCTTGGCGTCTGGGCGGGCTTTCGTGTCCTGTAGTGGCGAGCAGGCAGCCAAACAGATCGGATGGGGGAGTTGTGGATGAGGGGCGAGGAGAGATGGAAACGGGAGGCGCAGAAAGAGGAGCACACCTGAGGATCAAGACGAGAAGAATGTTTTTGAGAATTCTCAAAAATAGTTGCGAGCAGGCACTCAGAAAGATCGGATGGGGAAGAGGTGGATTGGATGAGGGGCGTGGAGAGATGGAAACGGGAGGCGCAGAAAGAGGAGCAACCTGAGGATGAAGACGAGCAGAAAAGAACCCTTTCGAAACCAGTCCCCCATTGTGCCACACCAACCAGAAGAACCCTTTCGAAACCAGTCCCCCATTGTGCCACACCTTCCAGAAGAACCCTTTCGAAACCATCCCACCCTGGTGAAAGGTGCCTTTTGAGTCGACTCAAAAGGTGTTGTGTGACATTGTAACGAGGTGACTTTTGAGTCGACTCAAAAGGTGTTGTGTGACATTGTAACGAGGTGAATTTTGAGTCTACTCAAAAGGTGTTGTGTGACATTGTAACGAGGTGCCTTTTGAGTCGACTCAAAAGGTGTTGTATGACATTGTAACGAGGTGCCTTTTGAGTCGAAACAAAAGGTGTTGTGCGACATTGTAACGAGGTGCCTTTTGAGTCGACTCAAAAGGTGTTGTGTGACATTGTAACTTTTGAGTCGACTCAAAAGTCACCTCTTCCAGAAGAAAGTCACCTCTTCCAGAAGAAAGTCACCTCTTCCAGAAGAAAGTCACCTCTTCCAGAAGAAAGTCACCTCTTCCAGAAGAAAGTCACCTCTTCCAGAAGAAAGTTACATCTTCCAGAAGAAAGTCACCTCTTCCAGAAGAAAGTCACCTCTTCCAGAAGAAAGTCACCTCTTCCAGAAAAAGTCACCTCTTCCAGAAGAACGTCACCTCTTCCAGAAGAAAGTCACCTCTTCCAGAAGAACCCTTTTGAAACCATCCCACCCTGGTGAAAGGAAGCACACCTTTCGGAAGCACCCCTGGCCACCATCCCCCCACGGTGCAAGCACCCCTGGCCACCATCCCCCCACGGTGCAAGCACCCCTAGCCACCATCCCCCCACGGTGGAAGGCGCGCACCTTACGGAAGCAGAGGTGGAGGAAGTCAGACGTGGCTGCTGACAGGTTCTCTGGGATTGGGGGCAGATCATCCTGCACACAGAGCAGCGGGGTACACACACACACACACACACATACACCCACACCCACACACACACACCCCCACCCACACGCGCACGTATGCACACACACACACACACACACACACACACACCAGGCAAGAGGGAAGTTGTGAAAGGTGAGACGAGTTCAAAGCCAACATGCTATAGGCCGTCTTGAAGATTCTACGAAACGTATAAGGAAAAAATGAGACTCCCACCTGGACAATGCGGAAGAGTGCGGGCATGGGCTGGAGGTCGAAGTAGGGCGGCTTAGTGGTGAGCAGCTCGATGACGGTGCAGCCCACGCTCCAGATGTCCGACGCGCACGAGATGCCCGACATCTCAATCACCTCCGGCGCCATCCAGTACGGCGTGCCCACCACGTTTGGGTTCTCTGCATCCCCGTGGCACGCTGCGGCTTCTTCTAACCTCATCGCTACACCGAAGTCCGCTAGCTTCACCTGGCCCTGCAGGGGGGGGAAGGGGAAGAAGGGGTTGAAGGAAGGGGGATGAGAGGAGAGAAACAGCAGCCGCGCCATCCAGTACGGCGTGCCCACCACGTTCGGGTTCTCCACGTCCCCCTGGCACGCTGCTGCCTCCTCTAGAAGCATGGCTACACCGAAGCGTGCTAGCTTCACCTGGCCCTGGAGGGTGGGAGGGGAGAGGGCGAAGGTATGGAGGAAGGAGTATCCACGAGATGCTCCATTCCTCGATCACCTCCGGAGCCATCCAGTAGTGCGTGCCCACCACTTTCGGTTCTCCGCATCCCCTTGGCACTCAGCAGCTTCTTCCAGGCGCATCGCCACATCAAAATCTGCCAGCTTAAGTTTTGAGGCGCCTCAAAACTAATCTGCCAGCTTCACCTGGCGCTGAGAGGGGGAGACAGGGCAGAGGGAGATGGCATGGCAGGGAGGAGGGAATAGCCATGTGTTGAAAGGTTAGCCCATCCACGGCACGCTGCTGCTCCCTCTAACCGCGTCGCCAAACTGAAGTCTGTTAGCTTCACCTGGCCCTGAGGGGGGTGGTTTGGGATTGGGGGTTGAAGAGGGAGAGGGGGGTGATTTGGGGGGGAGGCGGGGGAGGAGTGGAGCAGCGGGCGACTGACCTCTTTGGTGGTGAGGATGTTGGCGCCCTTGATGTCGCAGTGGATGATGCCCTGCTCGTGCAGGTACAGCAGCCCCTCCAGTACCTGCCATAAGGGTGCGAGGAAATGGAGGACGAAGAAAAGCACGTGTGAGGAGGGGGAGTGGATTTGTGAGTAGATGTAGATTCACTAGTCGCAGTGGATGATGCCCTGCTCGTGCAGGTACAGCAGCCCCTCCAGCACCTGCCGCATGGGTGGGGCAGGGCAGGGAGGGAGGGGTAAAGAGAAGAACAAGTTGAGGAGCGCGAGGGAGGGGACTCGTGGGTCACCTCACTGGTCGCAGTGAATGGTGCGCTGCTCCGGCAGGCACAGACAGCAGCCCCTCCAGCACCTGCCAGGGGCGCAAGGGGGCGAAGAGGAAGGGCAGTGAGAAGGAGTAGGGTGGGGTTGGGGAAAGGGAGAAGCAGGCAGGAGCAGAGGGGGAAAGGGGAGAAAATAGGGAGACTGAGGAGGCACAGGAAGTGGGCCCAGGAAGTGGGCCCAGGATGCATTTGTCCGTACAGATCCAGAAAATATCAAACGCCTTGCTCACCTGAGCAATGTAGACGGCCACCAGGCACTCTGGGAAGGGCCCAAATCTATTCGGCTTGATGATTCCCGCCAGGGACCCATTCTCCACAAACCTAACCACGGGACAGGGGATGGGATGGGTGAGAGGGTGAGGTGAGAGCGTGGTGTGAGTGAGAGCGCAGGGTGAGAAAGGCATACTGTAACGGCGTGTGATTGGGGCCGAGGGTAGGAGAAATGGAGTGTGTAACCTAGAGTGGGGCGCGCAGTGGTGAGAACTCAGAGGAGGGATAACATAAGAGGGATGGGTGAGGAGAATAGAGCGACAGGAGCAAGAGCAGGGGCTATTTTTGAGGCGCCTCAAAAGAGGTGGGATAAGATAAGAGGGATGGGTGAGGAGAATAGAGCGACAGGAGCAGGAGCAGGAGCAGGGCGTACTCGAGGAGAATGAAGAGGTGCGTCTTGGTCTTGATGGAGCCCAGATACTTGACGATGTTCTTGTGGCTGAATGTCTGCCAGGGGGGGGCGAGGGGGGGAGAAGGGAGAGAAATTGGTGTGTGAGAATACTCAGAAACCAACGTCTTGGTCTTGATGGAGCCCAGATACTTGACTACGTTCTTGTGGCTGAACTTTGGCAGGGATGAGCGAGAGAGCAGACAGAGTGGGTAAGGTGGAAGGGACAGGCAATATGCTCGCTGTGGTACAAAAACAAGAACAATGGGACGCAGCACCGCATAGAACCGCACAGAAGAGCGGCCCACCTTGAGTAGATCGATTTCTTGCTGCCGTGATTGCATCAGACGTGACAATTACGAAGGCCGGCCACCACAAAGCACAGTTAAACCACAGGGACACGCAAGGGAAACACAGGGAGAAGGTTTGTTCAAACGATGATGAGGGAAATGCAAGGAAATGCAGGGAAAGCACAAGTGCAGCTTTTGCTGCATGCACGTGGTAGGCTTGACACTTCACAACTTTTGAGTCGACTCAAAAGCTTGACACTTCACAACTAGGTCATATGCACCAGCGAAGCTCTTGCAGGTGCTGCAGTGCTGTGCTGCACACCCGTTGCAGCATAGCATTGCAGCACCGTCAGCACCACAAAGGCTGCACCGCCATTGCACCCCATCCCACCATCCATGCCACAGAGAGCCCACCATGGCGGACGCCAAGGGCTCCTGGTCAATGAACTCGAGGGATACCTCATAAACTGACACGACACCCGCCTCCCCGTCCCAACCCAACCTCCTCCCCCCATTCCTCCCATCTCCCCCCATCTCCCCCCATCTCCCCCCATCTCCCCCCATCTGCCCCATCTGCCCCCGTGCACCATGGCGGACGCCAGGTCGTCCTGGCCGATGTTCTCCAGGGAGACCTCTTTGACAGCAACCCGCCTCCTTAATTCCACCCGCCTCACCCCAGGCATGCACCCCATCTCACCATGCCATTCACAGCCCACCCGTGCCACAGACAGCCCATCACGACCCAGCGTACCATGACGGAGGCGAGGTCGTCGTGGTCGATGTTCTCGAGGGACACCTCTTTGACGGCCACGAAGTCGCCGTTCTGCAGGTCCAACGCCTTGAACACGCGCCCGTTCGCGCCCTTGCCCAGCTCCTCGCCCAGCAGCTGCCATGCGCAAGCAAGCGCCCCATGCGTGCGCACATGCAGGCGACCATGGTAGGCGAGAACGGAAGGCGAAAACGAAAGGCGAAAATGAAGGCGAAAACGGCTGGCGAAATAGTAGGCGGAAACGGAAGGAGAAAATGATGGCGAATGCGCAACAAACTGGCAAGACGTGCGATGTGCGCAATGAGCATGTGCTGCCTGCAGAACCCGGCAGCAAAGTAGGTATCACTAACGACCAAGCAATAGGCTTGCGCAGCCGGAGGAAAGGAAGCGGAGTCGGGATAGCGCCACTCACGTATTTTTCATTTAGAATCCTCGTGCGGGGAGCCCGCATTGGCGATGGCTGACGGGACATCGTGCACGAGCGGACTGCGAAGCGAGCTGGAAACGGAGGCGAGCTGGAAAAGGAGGCGAGCTGGAATAGGTGGGCTGTAAGTCGATGGAGTTCTAGCTTCCACAGCAGCTTAGGCAGGCAGCTTTAAATAAATGCAAGCAGCTAGCTCAACTATCGTGCTTAGCGTCTACGCGACGAGGACAAACGCAGAAAGCTTCAGGAAAGGTCGCAGTCATCGCAGTCATCGCAGTCAGTCGCATCCGTCGCATCAGTAAATTTTACGGAGTCGGGTCGACGCGTGAGAAGCGAAGCTTCACGGCATAAACGAGTCACCGAAACTGCTTGCTAAAGCAGTCAGCACTTCCTTGATGCCACGCAGCGCTCTGAATCGCAAGCCGCGAACGTGTGAACTTCACCTAAGGTCGCTCTTCCAGTGCAGAAGAGGCCTTTCATCCTGCGACCTACCGCCAGGCTGAACCGGCAGCAACTAGGAGCAACGCGTAGGAGAACGGGGGTGGAGTCGAGAGGAGCGCACGACTAGAGGAGGCTAGCTAGTAGGTTAGGCAAATTGTTGCAGATAAGGACTCATTGGAGGTGTATGTGAACACTAGAGAGAGGGGAGTCATGGAGTGCGGGGGAGACGACGAGAGACAAACCGAAGTTGCTGGCTTGTGGTTGCGCGGATGTGCGAAAAGCATGCAGCCGCAGCACACGCGAGACGAGTGAGAAAAGGACACAGTTGCAGTTGACTTGTTTCGCGTGTCAGTGCCCGCGACAGGCGTGTGCGACGAATTCCTCCCACCTTGATTTCATCCACCTGACGCGTGACAATATCGAGGCGGCACTTTTGATGAGGGAAATCTAATGGAACACTGAAAGCTGTTATACTTCCAGTCTGGATACACTGGATGTTGTTCCATCCATCTCCTGCTAATAGGAACCGCTATGGTATTCCTTCTGATGAAATGCTTTCACAAAACGGCATACAGTACCACATGGTTCCATGCAGTCATGCTACGCATGCCTTGTTTGTGTAAAAACATTTGACGCATCATGGAAGTTAAAATAATACTACCATTGCACAGGCAGACCAACGCCAGCATTGGCAAGACCCATCATTTGATAGCATGTGATACATGGTGGTGCACCTTGCTAAGACAGAGGGAGGCTGAGGAGCCCTAGAAAGCATCACGGCTGTCAAAAAGGAGGTAGAAGCTGGGGTCTGGGGAGAGATGGTATCTGTTGCTCAGTCAAACAAGCTGAAGCCCATGTCGTCATCGCTCTCCTCCTTCTCCTCCTGTAACATTCACATGGCATCAAATGATGACAGGGACAGAGACCGAAGGAGTGACGAATCAGCAAAAACACGAAACATCTGTCCAGCCGAATTCAGAAGCCAACGAGATGAGTGACAAGGAGATTGACTCGGTTAAAAGAGGACCATAACCGAGGGCATACTAACAAAAATACTAAACATATCGGAAGTGGGCTCACCTCCTTCTTCTCCTCCTTCTTCTCCTCCGCTGCTGGTGCGGCAGCACCACCCGCAGCAGCAGGGGCGGCAACAGCACCGCCGCCACCTGGATACGACGAGAAAAGTTCGGCGAGCAAAGAAAGTACGATGAGAAAGAATCGAGGCCGTTAACGCCAGGACAGGACTAGCAGATAGGAAAGTTCCTGCTTTTTCCCTGCTAAGCGAACGGAGTACGTGCGCTTCTCGAGCAAGTCCGCTTCGCTTTAAAGAAATCCTCCAAAAAGGAGGAAACGATGGAAACTAGAACTCTGCGGGTCCATCGCAACACTTTCACAGAAATCCACCGAAAAGGCTAACGACCGCACGACCAGAAATCCACCGCCCTTCGCAAGATAGCGGCACATAACGTTAGCCCGGGCCTCGTACCCTAACTGCAAGCTGCATCCCGCCTGAAAAAAATGCACCACATGTAGTCTGACTGCACCATACCTGATCCGATGTTTGTGACGAGGTCTTCCACGCTGCGCTTCTCGAGCAGCTTGGCGAAGAGCGTGGGCCAGTACGCCTCCACGCTCACATTGGCGGCCTTCACCAACGTCGCGATCTTGTCAGCCTGGCATGTCATGTGGAGAGGATTAGATCAGGAAATATAGAAACTTCGGGATGAGACAGCACGCAACTTAAATCGGACACAAAGCTCTACTTGAGTACGAGTACTTCAGCTGGAACAGAGTCTCTACTGACTATTCTCGGACTCGTCGTTGACCTGGTCAGTACGCGAGTCCCGTTCAGACTGCTACGAATGGAGCACATGTTGAAGCCCCAGACGATGTCACATCAGGGTTATCGGCACGGGAGAGGGAGGTCGTGCCATTCACCGAAACCCTAATTCGCGCATTCGAGCCAGCTATAAGTACACGTGGATTGCGAAGAAACGTGGTGGCAAGCGCAGGCCATCGCTGACCTGAAGCGACCCTCATAAGGAGCAGACCTGCCAACCGCGATCGCTCCTTTGGTTGCCTAACACCCTCAGAATAGATCCGGCGCTTATACACAATTGCACCTCCACCCACGGCCTACAACGTGAACAACTACCCAGTAGATCGTCCCGAGAGTCGCCAGCGGGGCACACCGCGAGCACTGCAACGGTCCGGCACGAAGCACCCTTGCTAGAGTGATTGGGTGTGCTCACCGTGATGGGGATGCCATCGTCGTGGAGGATAAGAGCAGCGTATGTGCAGGCGAGCTCGCTGGCCATGGCTGCGAATTAGGGTGACTAAGGCGCGCGAGATAAGGGCTAGGTGGTAGTGGGAAGAAAGGCGAGCGAAAGAGGAAGGGAAAGGTGGGAGGTGCAGCAGAAAGAGGGAAGGAAGGATGAGATCGAAGGGGTGGAGGTAGGGAAACGTGATTGTCGAAAACGATATGGTAATTTCAATAGCTACACTATGCAAAACCCAATCTAGCACGTGAGTGGCGTACCACCATAAAATCTTTGCTATTGAACGACTCGATTTAACTGTCGGTCAGTTCCCTCAGTCAAATACGCTTTGTTTTCGATGAATATGTTTCCGTAGTTTGGATGAACATCCTTGCCATGTCAGCTGGCGCCACAGCCGCGCCAAAAAGGGTATCAAAACCTTACACGTGGATTCATTTCAGGCCCTTGACCAGCCACAATCTGGGAAGAGACTTTCTCCACAACTGGAATGTTTTTTGGCGGCGCGGTGTCAGCACCCTTCTTGTTCTTCAGGGCAGCCCGCCTCACTCGGCAGCCCCAAAACCACCACAAGCCAACCTCGCAGACGCACGCTATTGGCGGATCCGTTTTGGAATATCGAGAGAAGCAAATTTCAAGGCGCAGGTTGAATGGCTTCACCGAAGTTTCTTTTACCCCACCGAGAGACCCGTGATTTCCAACAACTCCCACAAACTAGCTTTCTCACTCACCCTTGCTTGGGAAACAAGGTACGACAGCCAACAGCAATGCGTAATCTATAATTGCGTCTCAACGGACTACATATTCCTTCCCTTTCTCCGATCTCCCATCTCCGTTTCTCCGGTTTCCTGATCCATTCTTCGATCGATCTGGACTGGAGTCAGACCTGCCTTAGCAGCAAAACCGTGCCTACGCTGTGTATTGCCAAGGCGTCACTCCGAGGCCTGTTTCGTCACTCTTCTTTGAAGGAAGTTCGCGTCTTGTGTTGTAAGGGCGAGAGGGCAGCATGGCGCCTTCTGACGCCAAGAAGGAGCGAGCTGCGGCCAAGAAGGCCGCTGCGGCCGCGAAGAAAGCCGCCAAGGGCAAATCGCCTTCCGTCAGTGCGAGCAATTCAGAGAAGGATCTAAAGTCCCTCGACGATCACGACAGATCTTGCACTGGAGTTCTCGCCTCGCATGCTCTGTCACGAGATATACACGTGAGTGAAAGCGAATTTAATTACCTCTCCCGGTTTTTTTTTATCCCACACCTTCATTAGCACGCTCTGTCACACTCTCTCACACTCTGGCTTGCGTTTTTTCTCGTTCTTGTCTCACCCTTTGCATCCGCACTGAGCAGGTCGTTGGGTTCTCGCTCAACTTCCACGGTCACGAGCTGGTCTCAGACACAACCCTCGAGCTCAACTACGGAAGGTAAGCCGCCCGTCGATCCTACTCCTCGTCCGTCCACATCCCTCCCACCCGTTAATTCCAATACATCCTGTTCGCAATCTGCCGAACAGAGCCCTAGCGGCCTCGTTTTCGCCCCATGGTCTCATTCGCACTGCTTTTCCTCTTTCTTCGAACCGCGCACTGCAATTTCTTTTTCCCCCTGTGGCTTTTCCCAGGCGGTACGGGCTGCTGGCCTGAACGGGTGCGTTCGAGTCAACTCAAAAAAAGGTTTTTTCTTCCTGTGGCTTTTTACAGGCGGTACGGGCTGCTGGGGCTGAACGGGTGCGGCAAGTCGACGCTGCTGAAGGCGATCGGGAACCGCGAGGTGCCGGTGCAGGACCACATGGATATCTACTTCCTCTCGCACGAGATCGAGGCCACCGACATGAGCGCGCTGCAGGCCGTCATCTGCGTCGACGAGGAGCGCCTCAAGCTCGAGAAGGAGGCTGAGGAGCTCGCTGAGATGGTACGTCATTTTGATGTGGATACCTGGTAACCACTGGGTGGATTTGTTTTTCTGGTAACCCGCTGCAGACCGTCGTCTGCTTCGACGAGAAGCGTCTAAGGTTTATAAAGGAGCTGCTTGCCAGCCTCGGGTGGTTTGAGGTTCTCGATCATTTAGTCCGTGTGTAATGAGTCGATTTTTGAGTCGACTCAAAAATCGACTCATTACACATCGACCATTTAGTCCCCTTCTCGCTCCTCCCGTCGTCACGTCGTCTCCCCCCCCTCCCCCTTTCTCCCTGTCCCCCGGCTGGAGGGAGTGGCAGATCAGCTGGAGCGGATTCAAGAGCGGCTGGTTGCCATCGACTCGGCGACGTGTTAGTGAGTTGAGAAACGAACCCCCTTGCCCTCTCTCCCCTCCCCCACCCCTCCGTGCCCCCCCCTTCCAGGAGGGCGCGGCGGACCAGCTGGAGCGCATCTACGAGCGGCTGGACGCGATGGATTCCGCCACCGCGGAGGTGCGCGCGGCGCAGATCCTGCACGGGCTGGGGTTCACCAAGGCCATGCAGCAGAAGAAGACGCGCGACTTCTCCGGCGGCTGGCGAATGCGCATTGCGCTCGCGCGCGCGCTGTTCATGCAGCCGACGGTGCTGCTGCTGGACGAACCCACCAACCATCTAGGTACGGAATACGTGCCAACCAGTTAGGTACGAACCAGCTAGGGACGGAGAACTTAACTAGGATCTAGGCCCGGGAAGTGCGGTGGCAGTTGTGCTGTTCGTTTTGGAGGTTTCAAGAAGAATCCACACCACGTGCTTTCTGAAAGCGATCTCGCCACAACTATCAAAAGCTTTGCCGTGTGCACGGTGCACTGTGCACCGTGCGGTTTTATTAAACCCACCAACCGTCTAGGCACGACATAGAGTCCAACATCCCAAATGCTTTCAACTGGTGGGGAAGAAATGTCGAGCCTACGAGTCACGTAGGTTGTGGAGTAGATTGACCCTGCCTGCCAGACATGCACGTTTGGGGAAGCCAAGCTGTGTGGAATCCTAGCTGCCATTCGACCGCAACTAGGTGGTGGCGCACTCTTAGGATGCGATAATTTTCCGTCGCACTTCCAGGATTATTTTGAGTCGACTCAAAATACACCTGCGATTATTTCCCCTCGCACTTTCGGGATGATGCTCCCTCGCTCTCTTCTCCCTTTTCCCCACTCCCCTCCCCCAACCCTCCCTCCACCGCTCTTCCTCCCCCCCCCCCCCCCGCCCCTCCCAACCCTTCCCTCACTTCCACCTCGTGACACCTTCTCACCCTGCAAGCGCATCACGAGGCGTGCGTGTGGCTGGAGGTCACGCTCAAGAACTTTGATCGGGCCCTGGTGGCGGTGTCGCACTCGCAGGCTCATCTATTTTCCCCCCCATATTACCCCAACGCCCCCCCTCTATGCAGATCTGGAGGCGTGCGTGTGGCTGGAGGACACGCTCAAGAATTTCGACCGGATCCAGGTGGCAGTGCCGCACTCGCAGGCAGGAGGCTCATCTCTTCTTCTCCCCCCCCCCCCCCCCGTATTACCCCACCGCCCCCCCCTCTTTGCAGATCTGGAGGCGTGCGTGTGGCTGGAGGACACGCTCAAGGACTTCGACCGCATTCTGGTGGTGGTGTCGCACTCGCAGGACTTCCTCAACGGCGTGTGTACCAACATCATTCACATGCAGAACAAGAAGCTCAAGTTCTACACCGGCAACTACGACCAGTACGTGCAGACGCGGTCGGAGCTGGAGGAGAACCAGATGAAGCAGTGGAAGTGGGAGCAGGAGCAGATCTCCAACATGAAAGAGTACATCGCCAGGTTCGGGCACGGCTCGGCGAAACTGGCTCGGCAGGCCCAGAGCAAGGAGAAGACCCTCGCGAAAATGGAGCGCGGCGGGCTGACGGAAAAGGTCCAGAGGGACAATGTGCTGACGTTTAGGTTCACGGATGTGGGGAAGCTGCCGCCGCCGGTGCTGCAGTTTTCGGAGGTGTCGTTTCAGTACGATCCCGCGCACGTGATCTACGAGAAGGTGGACTTCGGCGTGGATTTGGACTCGCGGATTGCTCTGGTGGGGCCGAACGGCGCGGGCAAGTCGACTCTGCTGAAGCTGATGACGGGCGACCTGCAGCCGACTGAGGGCGCGGTGAAGAGGCACAACCACCTGCGCATCGGGCAGTATCACCAGGTGCGTAGTAGCTTTCGGTGGTTTCAAACCAGGGAGCGAATGGAGTTGTTCCAGGTCCAATTAATTGTGACAGGGGGCACGGGAGAGGGCCCTGCCCAATGCCTCTTGAAGCACCTGCGCATTGGGCAGTACCACCAGGTATGTGTCTCCTACGAGGCCCGAATTTGATCAGGAACTAGGTGCTCTTTTGAGTTGTCACCAGCAGGCATTGTTAAGTGGCACAACCACCTTCGCATTGGGCACTACCACCAGGTACTTGAGGTGGCAGTGCCACCAGGTGGTAAGGCATTCCCCCCGTTTTGCTCCGCACTCACAGCACCCCCCCACTTGCTCCCACCTGGATGTGGACCGCACTATCGAAGCATGGTGCTCCCTGCTTTCTTGTCCGCCCTTCCCCCCCACCCCCCCCCCCCCTCCTTGCTCCTCACAGCACCCCACTTGCTCTCACCTAGATTTGGAGGGTTGTTGACATATGCCCTCTGCCTGCCTGTCGTCCCTCTCCTCCCCTCTGCTCCTTTCAGCACTTGGGCGAGAAACTGGACCTGGACAAGAGCGCTCTAGCATGGATGATGTCGGAATACCCCGGATTGGAGGAGGAGAAGATGCGGGCAGCCATCGGAAGATTTGGGCTGACTGGGAAGTGCCAGATCATGCCGATGCGGAACCTTTCGGATGGGCAGCGGTCTCGGATTCTGTTTGCGTGGCTGGCGTGGCGGCAGCCGCAGATGCTGCTGCTGGATGAGCCGACCAACCATCTGGACATTGAGACCATTGACTCGCTGGCCGAGGCGCTGAATGAGTGGGATGGCGGCATGGTGCTTGTCTCTCACGACTTCAGACTGATCAACCAGGTGAGGGGATGATAGAAGAGGGATCAGATATAGCATTCAGGTAAGAAGGTCGGGGATATTCGACCCACCCTGTACAAGCTGGGTTGACTCGGGCAAGGGGAGCAAGGTGGGGCTCGAAGTTTTGTGCCGGCAGCTGCTGTTGCTCCTGCTGGATGAGCCGGCCAACCATCCTGACATTGAATGTGAGACCATCGACTCGCTGGGGGAAGATTTGAATGAGTGGCATGGCGGCATGGTGCTTGTTTCTCACGACTTCAGACTCATCAACCAGGTGGGGGGGATGGCGGCATGGAATGGGGCTCAGGGGAGTAGGTTCAGGCAGTGTCGATGTGGGTGTACACATGGCATGACGTGGCATGGCATGGGGTGACATGGCATGACGTGGCATGGCATGAAGTGACATAGCATGGTGTGGCATGGCATGGCGTGGCATGGCATGGCGTGGCGTGGCGTGGCGTGGCGTGGCATGGCTTAGCGAAGGAGATGGGGTGTGTGAGAACCTGCGTTGCTCAATCAGCTCGTCCCCCTGACGTGCCGCATCCCCATCAGGTTGCCAAGGAGATCTGGGTGTGTGAGAACCGCACATTGACGCGGTGGGAGGGCGACATTGTGGCATTCAAGGAGCACCTGCGGCGCAAGGCCAACATCGACTAGACCTGCACCTCACGTTGTGCCCAAGATTGAGGTTATGGTGGCATGAGACGAGCCTCTCCAGGGCTTGGGAGTTGGAGAAGAGTCCGCTTCAGATGAGACAAATTGGTGCTTTCTGGCATGGCATACACGATTGCCTCCGTTGTGATGCGCCTGACCACCTTCGTGAAGGTTCCACAAGTTTTTATGCGAATACGTTAGTTTCTTCGGCCTGCATGGTCCTGCCCTGCAAGTGGCCAGTCAACCTGCCGGTGCAGCCCGTTCCTAGGGTGTTGTGCTGTGCCCTCTGATTTTTGCTATTGCCCATGTGCAATTCTTACAATACCTTCTGAAACATCACCTTGGGTGTACCCTTTATTACTTTGTCAAAAACATCTTCAGGAGGAGACCCCAATCATATTACTGTATCTCAGATGGACAGGAGCAACAGCCAGTCTGCCCATTACCCTTGCATCCAGCATCAGCACAGACAGTGTTCTGCAGGAAATTACTTCTTGCAAACTTGCCTCAGGTAACCACTTGCCATAATAGTACCGTAATCCCCCATATATAACACCCTATGGCGTATATAAAAATTCACTATAAAAAAGACTGGGTGTTAACAATGGCCCAGAAAAATATAGTGCCCATGTGTTATGTAAAATGCAATTTGAATTTGAGTGTTTCAGGCCATGTGTGTTCACAAATGCGCGGAGCGACTGTTAGCGAGGTACAGCATCCGCTAAGACGAAACTCACAAGCCAATCGCCGTTAGCCAATCTATGCTGAGTGTTGTGGTCAGAGCCAGGTTTGTGCGGCACCTGCGACCGTCATGATCGCGACAGAATCCGCGACTTCGACGGGAGGATTTCGCTCGGGAGGATTCTGACCGTCAAATCACAACAGAATCCGCGACTTCGACGGTCGAAATCCTCCCGAGTCTCGACCTTTGCTGACGTTTCGATTTCGCGCTGCACCTTGTGTTGATGTTTCTGCCCGTTTTTTCGCTGCTAATGGTAGTTGACATTGTCAAACATGTGTATTTGTCATGTTTGTATAGACTGTATAGGGTCGCCTCTTAGAGGGTACAACACTTAGGTATATCTTTGTGTACTCTCACTCTATCTAATACTTCACTAATTCTGATATGGTATCACGCGTAGGTTAGGATCCCCCCCCCCCACCTACCGCTTCCGCTCGCCCCCCCCTACCTCCTAGCCCCGTCGCGACCCCCCTAGCCCCGTAGCGCCCCTCCTGGGCCCCGTAGCGCCCCTCCTGGGCCCCGTCGCGCCCCTCCCAGGCCCCGTCGCGCCCCTCCTGGGCTCCGTCGCGCCCCTCCTGGGCCCCGTCGCGCCCCTCCCAGGCCCCGTCGCGCTCCTCCTAGGCCCCGTAGCGCCCCTCCTGGGCCTCGTCGCGCCCCTCCTGGGCTCCGTCGCGCCCCTCCTGGGCCCCGTAGCGCCTCTCCTGGGCCCCGTCGCGCCCTTCCTGGGCCCTGTAGCGCCCCTCCTGGGCCCCGTCGCGCCCCTCCCAGGCCTCGTCGCGCCCCTCCTGGGCCCCGTAGCGCCCCTCCTGGGCCCCGTCGCGCCCCTCCTAGGCCCCGTAGCGCCCCTCCTGGACCTCGTCGCGCCCCTCCTGGGCTCCGTAGCGCCCCTCCTGGGCCCCGTCGCGCACCTCCTGGGCCCCGTTAGCGCCCCTCCTGGGCCCCCGTCGTGCCCCTCCTGGGCCCCGTAGCGCCCCTCCTGGGCCGCGTCGAGCCCCCCTCCTGGGCCCCGTCACGCCTTCAGGCCCCGTCGCACCCGCCCGGCCCCGTCGCACCGGCCCGGCCCCGTCACGCCCGCCCGGCCCCGTCGCACCCGCCCGGCCCCGTCGCCCCCTGCCCGGCCCCGTCGCAGCCGCCCGGCCCCGACGCACCCGCCCGGCCCCGTCCCCGTCGCGCCCGCCCGGCCCCGTCGCACCAGCCCGGCCCCGTTGCACCGGCCCGGCCCCTGCGCTCGTCCCTGCCCCGGCCCCGGTCCTCCTCACTGGTACGGTTCCCCCCCCCGCCCTGCACTGCCCTGCACCGTACTGCCCCGCACTGCACCGCCCCGCACCACCCTGTATTGCCTGGCACCGCACTGCACCGCCCTACACCGCACTGCACTGCCCTGCACCGTACTGTACCGCACGGCACCGCACTCCACCTTGCTGCACTGCCCTGCACCGCACTACACTGTTCGTGATGGCGGCGGAGCTTCGCTTCGACGCTGAAGGCCAGCCTCTGGAGTTCGAGGCGTGGCTTGCCGACCTCCGTCGCCAACTCACTGGCCAGCGGCAGGATGGTGAACCGCTTTCCGCACACCTTGACGGTACACTCCCCTGCCCAGACCCCCCTGCTATTCTGTCCGCTGACTCCACACCCACTGAGCGCGAGTCCACTGCTGCCACTGCCCGTGCGCGCTCTGTCTGGCTTTCTCGCGATGCTGTCGCCCAGCTTGCCATTAGCAACGCTCTTCCCCCGTCCGAGCGCCCTCGCTTTAGGTCCCTCACCACTGCTCAGGCATACTTAGATGCTGTCATCCAGCGCTATTCCACCCCTCCGGCTGCTTCGGTGGGTCGCCTGATCCTCCCGATGCTCTTTCCTGACCTTGCGTCTTTCCCCACTGTCTCTGACCTCGCTGCCCACCTGCGCTCGATAGATGAGACCTGGCGCGCTGCCTGCACTGACGCACAGCTTAGAGCCCACCAGCCGCCCATTACCTCTACCCTCTACCTGCTTGCCACCCGCCTCCCTGACAGCCTTGCTGTCGCCCGCGACCGCTTCCTTAGCATTCACCCCGCAGACCTCACCCTCCCTGACTTTGTAGACACCCTGACTGTGATAGAGACCCGTCACCGCTCCATCGCCCAGGCGAGCGGTGTCGTGCCGGTCCCTATCTTTCAGGGTTGTGCCCCCGCCCAGTGTACCTTCTCCGACGGCTCTGCCGCAGTGGCTGAGACTGCTGCTGCAGTGCAGTTTCGTTCGGGGAAGGGCCGCCGCCCCAAGGTTGGGCGCGGCGGAGGCGGCGGCGGGGGTGCGGGAGGGGGTAGTGGTGGGGTCGGGTCGTCTGGTGCTGGAGCGGACGAGGGGACCCTGCCCAGTCCAGCTGAGCCGCCGCCCCTGCAGTTGCAGCAACCGCCGCAGTCGCAGCCTTCGCAGCAGCCGCCGCAGCCGTCGCAGACGCGGCAGACGAGTGTCCTCCCGCCCGGGTGGCCCGGCGCTGGCGGTGGCCGGGCGCGTGGTGGTGTGCCGAGTGGTGGCTCTGGCGGCGGGCGTTGTCAGTACCAGATCCAGACCGGTCCTCGCCGCGGCTTCGTTTGCGGTAAGATCGGTCACTCCACTCCCCGCTGTTTTCGTCGCTTGGACGACCTCTTTCGTCAGCGCTTCGGCCCGTCGCCAGACCTCCCGGACTGGCACAGTTTGCTTAGTCGTAAGATTCAGATTTTTGATATGGACATGGATGCCATTGTTTCTGCTCTGCATGTGATGTATGCTGATGACTCTAGTGTGCTTCCCGCTTATTACTCACTGTTGCCTACTGTAGGTGTGCCTAGCTTAGCCTCCCCTGCTGCGTCAGGCGTAGGATCCCCTGCTTTGTGTAGTCTTGGTGCTTCCGCCGTCGTTCTGTCGCCAGACGCCTCTGCTTCGCTTTCCTTCACCTTGGACTCTGGCGCTTCTCGGTGTTTCTTCCGCGACTCCACCACCCTGACACCGCTTCCTGTTCCAGCTGCCGTTTCTCTTGCTGACCCCTCCGGCGGTCCGGTAGTCGCCCGCAGTTCCACCACCCTTCCCTGTCCGGCGGTTCCTTCGGGCACTCTCACAGGTCTGCATATCCCCTCGTTCTCCAGGAACCTAGTTGGTGTCGGCTGCCTCCAGGACCTTGGCGTCACCACTACGTTCAGTGGTCACGAGCGGTATGCTGTCTGTACCGAGGCCGCCACTGGTGCCCCCCTGTCCACGTTCCCCCGGGACCCGGTGTCCGGCCTGTTCACCCTGAACACCGTGACCCCCCCGGCTGGAGCGCTCACCCAGGTTGCTGCTGCCTGCTCCTGTCGGTCCCTCACTCACCCGACCCTCCTTTGGCACCACTGCCTAGGTCACCCTGCACTCCCGCGTCTGCGTCACATGTCCCAGCACGTTCTTGTCCTTGGTCTCCCAAGTTCCCTCCCCGCGTTTCCCTCCTCCCCAGCCCCACCTTGCACGCCTTGTGTCGAGGGTCGGCTTCGCCGTGCCCCTCACTCCTCCTCGTTTCCCCCTACCGCCGCGCCGCTGCAGACCCTGCACCTGGACGTCTGGGGCCCCGCCCCCGTCCCTGGGCCGCGTCGAGAGCGCTACTTCCTTGTGCTTGTCGATGACTTCACTCGATACACCACAGTCTTTCCCCTGGAGCGCAAGGCCGACGTGCCTGGCGCTCTCATCCCCTGGCTTGTCTCTGCGCGTGTCCACCGCGGTCTCCCTGTCTTGCGTCTTCACTCAGACCGTGGTGGCGAGTTTGCCTCAGGTGTCCTTGGTCGCTTTTGTCGTGCGGAGGGCATCACCCAGACGTTCACCCTACCGGACTCCCCACAGCAGAATGGGGTCGCTGAGCGACGCATCGGTTTGGTCATGGAGGTGGCTCGCACCTCCATGATCCATGCCGGTGCACCCCATTTTCTGTGGCCGTTCGCTGTGCGCTACGCTTCTCACCAGCTTAACTTGTGGCCGCACCCTCAGCAGCCGCAGGTTTCGCCAACCCGTCTTTGGACTGGGTCTCCTGGTGACGCGTCTGCGTTCCACGTCTGGGGCTGCCTTGCTCACGTCCGTGCCTACGGCACGGACAAGCTCACTGCCCGCACCCTTCCCTGCGTCTTCCTCGGTTTTCCCCTTGACGCGTCCGACTGGCACTTTTACCACCCGCCGTCTCACCGCTTCTTTCACTCTCGTGACGTCACCTTTGACGAGTCCGTCTCCTACTACCGTCGCTTCCCCCACCGTGGTCCCCCGGTTACCCCCCCCCTGTTCCTGGTCCCTCCTTCCCCGGTAGTCCCTGCCCCTCCTCCTCCTCCTCCCCGTCCCGCCCCCTCTGGTGTGTCCCAAGTCACCCCCCTTCCGTCGGTGGACCCGGTTGAGGAGTCTTCTGACTCTGGTGGCCCTCCTGTTCAGTCCTCGCCGGCCGCCCCTCCCCTGGCGTCCCCTCCCCTGTCCCCCCCTCCACCGCCTCTGCCGCCACTGCAGCCGTCGTTGTCGCTGCCGCCGCCGCCGCCGCCGCCGCCGCCGTCGCAGCACCCGTTTGCTGACTCTAGGGGTGCTCGTCCCGGTAGCCCTCGGGGTGGTCCCTCTGGGGGTGCTGGTGTGGAGAGTGCCAGTGGTAGCCGAGGAGCAGCTTGCGGTCCAGGTGTCGCCGTTGTGCCGCCGCAGCAGCAGTCCCCGCCGGTGTCAGCCCTTCGCCTGCTCGGCCTTCCGTCCCCCGACCCTGCGTCGGTTCCTTCCCGACCGTCTCCTCCTCTTCCTGTCTACGGCCCTGTCTTCCCTCCGCCGGACTCGTCCCCGGCCCGTCTCCCCCCTCGTTCCCCTCCTGTGTCCCCTCCTCTGTCTCCTGACCCGACTCCTCCGTCGCACGTCTGGTCTCACCGTCCCTCCCGTGCTCGTCCTGCCTCGCCTGTCCTGCGCTCCCACCCTATGTTGCTTCGTTCACACGCGTCTCGTCCTCCCCTTCTGCCGTCGCCTCCTCCGTCCTCCCTTGTTGTTGCGCCCCCCCCGCTGTCCGACTACCTTCGTGCCGCTCGTCCTCTCGTTCCTCGGGTCCTTGCCTCTCTCGTTACCGACCCGTCTGTTCCAGTCTCGTGCCTTGACGCTCTTGTCGCTGCTGTCGCTGACTTCGCCTCTACCCGGCGCCTTGACTACGCCACCGCTCTGGTCTCTGACCCTGCCTGTCCTCCGTCTGTCGGGGGTGCTCCTGCCCTTGGCAGTGACGTCCTGGAGGACCGCCAGTTCGAGCTTGCTTTCCTCTCCGAGGCTGCTCCCCATCTCTGTTCCATGCTGCTAGTCCCTGAGGGTGACCCAGACGCTTTCGACATCCCGACCCCTCGCACTTACGCTGAGGCGACTTCGGGACCCTGGGCCTCGCAGTGGATAGCTGCCATGGAGCAGGAGATGGCATCTTGGAGATCCACCGGCACCTTCGTCGACGCAGTTCCCCCACCTGGGGTGAACGTAGTCGATGGCCGCTGGCTCTTCAAGGTGAAGCGCCCTCCTGGAGAGCCGCCTGTCTTCAAGGCGCGCTATGTGGCTAGAGGCTTCAGTCAGCGCGAGGGGGTGGACTTCTTCCAGACTTTCGCTCCGACCCCGAAGATGACTACTCTTCGGGTTCTGTTACACCTAGCTGCTCAGCGTGACTATGAGCTTCACTCCCTCGACTTCTCCACTGCCTTCCTTCAGGGCAGCCTACACGAGCAGGTCTACCTGCGCCGCCCTCCGGGCTTTACTGGCACCTTCCCTCCTGGGACCCAGTGGCTCCTGCGGCGCCCCGTCTACGGCCTGCGCCAGGCTCCCCGTGAGTGGCACGACACTCTGCGTGCTACGCTTGCTGACCTGCAGTTCTTTCCGTCTTCTGCAGACCCTTCACTCTTCGTTCGTGCTGGCCAGACTCCGTTCTACATCCTCGTTTACGTCGACGACCTGGTCTTTGCCACAGCAGACAGGGACGCGCTGGCCTCCCTGAAGGCAGAGCTGCTGAAGAGACACACCTGCACTGACCTTGGAGAACTGCGCCGTTACCTTGGCTTGCAGATCTCCAGGGACAGAGCTGCGCGCACCATCACCCTGACTCAGTCACACTTGGTGCGCCAGGTCCTTCAGAGGTTCAGCCTTCAGTTCTCCTCTGCACAGCCCACCCCTCTGCCTGTAGACCACAGGCTCTCCGCTCCAGTGCCTGAGGAGTTGGTAGAGCCCAGCGGCCCCTACGCAGAGCTGGTGGGTTGCCTCATGTACCTGATGACTTGCACTCGCCCAGATCTCGCATACCCTCTCAGCATCCTGGCGCGCTTTGTGGCCACAGGCAGACACCGACCGCAGCACTGGTCTGCCGCTAAGAGGGTTCTGCGTTATCTTGCTAGTACATCGGGCATGGGGTTAGTGCTAGGAGGACGCAGGCCAGCGGTCCTTACTTGGCACACAGACGCTTCGTGGGCAGACGACGCTGAGACACTCCGGTCTACACAGGGCTACTGCTTCAGCCTTGGCTCAGGTGCCGTCTCGTGGAGAGCTACTCGCTCCTCGTCTGTTGCACAGTCCAGCTGTGAGGCTGAGATCTACGCCGGTGCCATGGCGGCACAGGAGCTCCGCTGGCTGACCTTCTTGCTCACTGACTTAGGTGAGCGACCTAGCTCTGCCCCGGTCCTGTTCGCTGACAACAGGGCCATGATCCTCCTGTGTCAGGAGCCTCGACTCGAGGGCAGAGCGAAGCACATTCAGCTGCGGTACTTCCTCCTGCGTGAGCTACAGCAGCGACGTCAGGCTCGCGTAGTACACTTGGCCTCAGGTGCCAACACGGCTGATATCTTTACGAAGGCGCTTGCGCCTAAAGATCATCAGCGGTACTGTGTACAGCTTGGTCTAGTTCCTGTAGCCTCTCACTTGCTAGGACCTTGACTTTGTACTGTCCTTTATATGTATACTCAGACTGGACTTGTGTCCTCTCCCAGTGGCTGGACTAGTAGTGCCGCCCTGCTCTTGTGCTTGCCTTGTCTGTACTCCTTCTGACCGGTCGCTCAGACTCTTGTCTCAGAGGTTGGACTAGTAGTGCCGCCCTGAGCTGCTTGTTTAGGGTATTCCCCTATGCAGTCTAGGGGGTGTGTCAAACATGTGTATTTGTCATGTTTGTATAGACTGTATAGAGTCACCTCTTTGAGGATACAAAACTTAGATATATTTGTGTGTACTCTCACTTTACAATCATACAATTATTCTGATATTGGAGGCCTCATACTATCGACTTGTTCGCATCCCCTACCAATGCGCAGCTCGCTCGTTTCTGCTCCCTCGAGTTCTCACACTCTGCGGTTGCGCAAGACGCCTTTTCTATTAACTGGGGACACGAGAATTGCTTCGCCTTTCCTCCACCCGCCCTCATCACGGCTGTTCTAGCTCATGCCCGTCGCTCGCGCACTTCTCTCACTCTCGTGATCCCATATTGGCCCAGTGCCTTTTGGTGGCCTTTGCTAAGCCTGGAGGTCGTTATGGCCCTTCGCCTTACCCTTGGTGCTAGTTGTTTACGCGTTGGTAGTGACCGTCATGCCTTTAGCGCTGCCGGTCTTCCGAACTCTCCGATGTATGCGCTTCGTTTTGCATTCAACTAATGTATAAATTTATTTCACTGCGCAGGCTCATGTATTGGTCGTTTATTGTCGGACCTTCTCACACTCACCGTTGATCTTCGGGCAAAGTCTACCCTTCGCACTTACGAACCCTATTGGCGACAGTTTCGAGCCTTCTGTTTGGCGCACTCACTTCCCTTCCTTCCCGCCACCGACCTGACAGCGGCCCTCTTTCTGCTGCACTCGGTCCGTCGCGGCGCTACCGTCTCAGCTGTGCGCACTGCGTGTTCCGCCATATCCTGCGCCCATTGGCTGGTCGGCCACCCCTCCCCGATTCGCGGCCCCTTTTCTTCACAAGTCAAGGATTATGCCATGCGTCATTGTGGCAAGCCATCTCAAGCTAAGGAGCCCATTCCTCCAGCTAATATTTACGATATCTGTGACATCTACTTCTCATCGCATGATCCGGCCACATTCCAGCGGGGCCTTATTCCCCTCCTCATGTTCGCAGCCTTCATTCGTTTCTCTGATCTCGTCTCCCTCCAGTGGCACCAGATCGAGTTCGATCGGGACTGCATGTGGTTGTTCATCCCCTGTTCGAAGACCGACCAAGCTGGCACCGGTGTTTGGGTCCCAGTGGCTGCTTCTTCTGCTCGCCACTGTCCGGTGTCGCGTGTCCAACAATTCCTCTTCCTGGCTTGCTATTCTCCGCGGACCATTGGCCCCCTTATTCGTATATTTCAGCCGGGGGACCGAGCTTCCCCCTCAGATCGCTCTCCCTTGTACGCCGCCATTCGGGGTTGGTGTCGAGATGCTTTCTCCCGTGTCGGCCTCAACCCGACCCTCCTGGGCACCCATTCTTTCCGCAAGGCGGCTGCGACGGTCGCCGTTGATGTTGGAGTCCCCGACCGGCTTTTCAAGGCCCTAGGCCGCTGGCGAAGTGATACAGCCAAGGAGCTTTACATTACTCAGCTTGACCGCGAGCTAGTGGCCGCTTCTCGCACGCTACAAGATCCTACTCGCTCAAGCGCGACCGATCGGTACCAGGCCACCCTCGAGCGCCATCGCCGACGACCTCCCACTTGATGTCTCGTTTGACCTATGACGACTGCAGTGCACACTCCTTTGAGGTCGTGTCACAATATGAGAAAAAAATTGTAATAAAAAATTTACAGATTGTGATTCGACTAGAAGAGGAGTTTGCTGTAAAGGAGACAAACTCCTTCATCTATCAGCAGGTCTTTCAGACCTGCCACCTAGTCTCATTTGCATTTTTCTGTTCCAACTTGCCCACCCTTCCCTCCCATGCTTTGATAACTAGCATGGCATGCTCACCCTTGTTCCCTTGCCATGTATTTGCCCTATCTAGTGTGCTGTATTATGGAGCTATGATATGCTATGACGACTGCACTGCACACTCCTCTGAGGTCGTGTCACAATATGCACAATTGCCACAGGAGGTGCCGTCCATGTCCATCATGTCCCTGGCAACCAGCAGATGGGACATGTGCTGTTTAAACATGCTCGATTCATCAGCAAACTCACGAAAGTCTGTTGCATGGAGGCCTTGTGAGCCCATGTGCCGTGGAAGTAGTACGGCACATGCGACCTGAACGTGGGACAGGGGGTGCCGCCACGTCCCTGGCACCCGCACGTGGGACTTGCTTGCGCCATGCCGCGAGGGACATGATCCATCTGACGCCATAATTATGAGACGCCTGGCAGATGACTTGCAACGAAATCCCTTATTACAGGGCAGCCTTAGGAGCCCATGTGCCGTGGAAGTAGTAGGGCACGTGCGACTTGAGATGCACAACTGCCACAGGGGGCGCTGCCACATCACTTGCATCCAGCACCAGCACGTGGGACTTGTGCTGGGACGCGTCGTAGACAAACACGGCCAGGTACCCGTCGTCCTCCTTAGTAACAGTCTTCGTATCCTTTTTAGCCTTTTTATTCATACCCTTTTTAGGAGCTTCGCCAGTAGCATCATTGCGGGGAATGAAGCTGCACTCATTGACGTAGCAGCCAGGTGGCACGATGTGAGTGGTCACTTGCAGCATCTCCAGATCATACTTCTGAATGCAGTTCAGGTACCCATACTTGGCCACCCCGTTTCTTCCCTCCACCTCCGCTCCCCCTCCCTCCTCTCCCTCCTCTCCCTCCTCTTCTCCCTTCAGCTGCTCCTCTCTACCTCCATACCACACCCCATCTCCATAACCCTCCCTGCTCCACCTCTCCTCCCTCTCCATCTCGGGCATGGACCCCAGCACATACAGAAACCTGCTCTTCCTGCCCAAATAACCAGGATTCACCACAGCAAACTCCATGCCTAGCGTCGGACCTCTGGTGCCAGGTTCGGAGGGCATGGCCCGGTGGCGAGAGAGCACCTCCCAGGTGGCAGTGTCAAGCACAAGCTCCCACGCCGAGCACTGGTTGCTGCGCTGCCACGACGACCCGTACATGTCTTTGAACACACCCTCCAAGCCGTCCCTTGGGCCGTCCTGATGGGGAAACGGGCGACAGTAGAGAGAAGGGTTGGGTGGGACAGATGAGGACCTCCCAGGTGGCGGTGTCAAGGACAAAATCCCAGACCAGGCACTGGTTCCTGTGCTGCCACGTCGACACATACAGGTCATTGAACACTCAGCCATTCTCTAAGCCATCCCGTGGGCGGTCCAGGGGGAAATCGGTAACGGGAGAGAGGAGGGGATGAGGAGTACCTCTCAGGTGGCAGTTTCAACGACAAGCTCCAACAACAGGCACTGGTTGCTGTGCTACCGTGATGACCCGTACAGGTCTTTGAATACTCCGTTCAAGCCGTCCCCTCCCCCGTCCCGGAGGGATGGGAGGTGGGCCTGGGGTCATCCACTCGGCCATGGGATGACTCACTCGGACATTGGGTCATTCACTCGGACATTGGGTCATTCACTCGGCCATGGGGTCATTCATTCGGCCATTGGGTCATTCACTCGGCCATGGGGTCATTCATTCGGCCATTGGGTCACTCACTCGGCCATGGGGTCATTCATTCGGCCATTGGGTCATTCACTCGGCCATGGGGTCATTCACTCGGCCATTGGGTCATTCACTCGGCCATTGGGTCATTCACTCGGCCATTGGGTCATTCACTCGGCCTTTGGGTCATTCACTCGGCCATTGGATCATTCACACGGCCATGGGGTCATTCGCTCGGCCATTGGGTCATTCGTTCGGCCATTGGGTCATTCACTCGGCCATTGGGTCATTAACTCGGCCATTGGGTCACTCACTCGGCCATCGGGACATTCACTCGGCCATTGAGGCATTCACTTGGCCATTGGGTCATTCACTTGGCCATTGGATCATTAGCTCGGCCATTGGGTCATTCGCTCGGCCATTGGTTCATTCGTTCGGCCATTGGGTCATTCACTCGGCCATTGGGTCATTCACTCGGCCGATGGACCACTCACTCAAACATTGGGTCATTCACTCGGCCATTGGGTCATTCACTCGGCCATTGGGTCATTCACTCGGCCATGGTGGTCACTCACCAGCACAAGGTGACTCACCAGCACAAGGTGACTCACCAGCACAAGGTGTCTCACCAGCACAAGGTGACTCACCAGCACAAGGTGACTCGCCAGCACAAGGTGACTCGCCAGCACAGCCACGAGCATGTGCCGCCGGCCCACCCCACCTCTTCATGCACGTTGCAAAAGTGGTCGTTGGAGAAAAGGGGGGAGAACCTCCACATCCATTCCTGCTAACCTCTAGAGAATGCCTCACTGTTATCAGCACATGATGACTCGCCTTTAGAGCAGCACTCACCAGCACAGTCATCAGCACATGCAGCCGACCCTCCTCCTCAAACGCGTTGCAGAAGTGGTAGTTGGAGAACGGGGGGAGCACGTCCACTTCCACCTCCACCGACAGAGTGTCCTTGGCTACAATTACCACCCTCGTGGGCTTAGACTCGTCGTACGTGAACCTGTTGCCCAAGGCGTGCTGGCCTGCCAGCATCTGGCATGCAGAGGGAATAGTGGGAATAGCGGGAGGGAACAAAGGGAGAAGTCGTATCCCAATCACCACCCTCGTCGTCTTGGACTCGTTGCGCTGAGCCTGATGCGCAGAAGATGCTGCCCAAGGTGAGAGGGTGAATGGGTGAGTGGATGCTGCCCAACTTATGCTGCCCAAGCGATGCTGCCCAAGGGATGCTGCCCAAGGCGTGTAGTGTTAGTGAGCTGGTGATGGGACGCATAAGGATGCATAGCGCAGAAAGCAACAGAACGTACCTGACCCACATCCCCAGCAGTGGCAGTGTAGGGCGGCATGGTGAAGACGAGGAAGCGAGCCGACATGGCACAGTCGTGCACCAGGGCGGCCTCCGACGAGCCCTGCAGAGGGCCCACCCGCGTGTGCTGCCCGTCTGCACTGATGGCGAATGGCTGCGTGCCAAACAGCATGTTGCCAAAGTTGTAGAGCTCTGGGGGGTGGTGGGGGGTGTGTTGGGGGGGGCCACGCTAGAAGGACTAAGGTGTCCCTCAGGCGTGCCTTGCAGGGCGCCCTCTCTCGTGTGCTGCCTGTCAGAATTGTGCTACGGTTCTCACCCTCATAATGCGTGCTCGTGTACCTGCTGCTTACCTCCGTGCCCGCTACTTACCCCTCTGCTGTTCACCCGCTAGCTGCTGACTGCCCGTGGCTGCGTGCGTCAAGCTTGGGGTGGCAGAGAAGAAGGGCAGGGACAGGCAGGGGAAGGCAAAGGGGGCGCGACGAGAGTGCTCAAATCTGGCAATCTCAATGTTACGCTGCTTACCCTCATGGTGCTTCTTACCCTCATGGTGCTTACCCTCATGGTGCTTACCGTCATGGTGCTTACCCTCAGGCTGCTTACCTCCCGTGGCTGGGTCGAGCTTGGGATGCGCGGAGAAGAAGGGCAGGGGCAGACCGGGGAAGGCAAAGGGGCCGAGAGTGCACAGGGAGAGGGGATCCAGGAGGAACGGCGGGCCGCCCTCGCACAGGGCTAGCAGCCGACCAGCAAAGTGAATGACGCTGGTGGGGGGTGGGGGCGGGGTGGGGGGTGGGGAGGGGAGAGGGCGGACGAGAGGAGACGGACCGAGAGTGTACGGGGAGAGGGGGTCCAGGAGGAATGGCTGGACGCCCTCACACAGGGCCAACAGCCGACCAGCGAAATAGATCGTGCTGGAGGAAGGGGGGGGAGGGGAAGGGGGGGTGGGATTCGGGTGAAGGGAGGAAGAAGGGGCGGGGATTGTGGAGGGTGAGGGAGTCGAGTGGATGGTGCTGGGGAAGGGGGAATAGAAGGGGGAGTGGAAGGGGGAGCGGAAGGGAAAAGGAAGGGGAAGGGTGGAAGTGGGATAAGCAAAAGAGGAAGATATAGGACACGGTGGAGGGGTTCAATAGGGTGGTTAAGTCCAGACGGTGGTAGGCGAGGAGTCAGTTCGCTCGCACCTGGTGTTGACGGGGTTAGCAGGCAGTCCAACGTTCTTCAATGGCCCCCCAGCAGTAGCGGCCGTCCATGCCCCCTTCATTCGTATCCCCCTCTCCTCCTCCTCCACATGCTTCCCCCTATCCTTCTTCTTTCCCCCCATCCACGCTTCTTCCCCCAAATCCTGCACCTCCGGTCCGCCCCGTTTCTCCAGAGCTGGTGTGCGCACCCACTTGCAGACAAAGCGTGCCGTACCAGTTGGGCCGTCCAAATGCAGGGCGTAAACCTGGGCAGGGGTGAGGGGAATGAGGAAGAAATGGGGAGTTGTGAGAGGCGAAGGTGGAAGGCAGGGTGGTGGGCGTAAGAGAACTGGGGAATTGTGAAGACGAGAAGGCGTGAAGGAAGGGTTGAGGCTCCGCAGTGTTCAAATCTCAATCCACTTGCCCTGTTACCATCCCCCTCCTCCCCTCACCCCACCCTATCACGCACGCTCATCATGACATCCCCGCATGTCTACTGCGAGGTGACTTTTGAGTCACCCTGTCACGCACTCTCATCATGACACCCTTTTGAGTCGACTCAAAAGGCACGCTCGTCCTGACATCCCCGCATGTCTACTGACTGCTCCCTTCCGCCCTCCCTCCCAGCCCACACAATGCCTTCTTCCCAGCAATTCACACCCTTTCTTTCACAATGCCTACCCCCCCCTCCCCCCCGCCACACACATAACACGCTAACCATGCCGTCGCAACTTCTTCCCCCCCACTCGGATCCCTTTCCTCACAGCGCCTATCCCTCCACCCCTCATGTTGTAGGTGAGTTTTGAGAATCTCAAATATCGCCCACCTCCCCCAAGCAGCACACGCTCACCATGCCATCGCCATCGAACCAGTGCCCATACTTCTCCCCCCCCACTCGGATCCTCCCTGGCCCACACCGGTAGAGCGTGCCCTGTAACGCCTCTGGTAACCGCCCGCTGACGTCAGCAGGGTTGGAGGGGGAGAGGGTGTAGTCCTGCTCTTCACACGGCTCGAGCCCTCCCTTCCACGGCTGCTGCTCTATGGCCTGGATGGCGCAGGGGGGAGGGGAAGAGGAGAGCGGGGAGGGGGGGTCAGAGGGTGAGTGATGGGGGGAGAAAGTGTACCCTTGCTTTCACACGGCTCAAGACCTCCCCTCCGTGGCTGCTGCTCTATGGGCCGGATGGTGCAGGGTGGTAGGGGGAGGGGGGGGAGTGGAGAGAGGAAGCAAGGGAGTGGTCGCAGTCACGGCTACACTGCTGCGAGGAATATTCCATGACACCTGGACAAATCCCGCCATGGTTATTCCCCCCAGCGCACCTCTCGAGCCCAAGCGGGTGGTTTCAGGGGACCGCTGGACGGCAGCGGAACGCGAATCTGTCGCCCGCCACACCTCGCAGACGGCGACTGCTGCGACGGTTCGCGTTCAGGCGCTCCTATTGTTTTCGTCCCTCTCCTTCTCCCACTAGTTCGCGTGCCGACGCTACCACTCTCACCGGCGCTCGCGGTAGCCTGAACGCGAACTATTGACCGGCTGAGGCTGCCTGAACGGCTGAGACTGCCTGAACAGAAGAGCCTGACACCATGCTTCCCGGTAGAGGCGTCAGACTGACATTTCGGGTGAGGGTAAGGAGCCGAGCACCAGATCTTCGGTTGAACGAGCAATGTACGACGATCTCGGGCATGGACATTGCCGATATTCACAGAGCCAGCATGTTGGACATTGCTTTGTGAACCTGCTGGCTTGTCGATGCGTGCCAGTGGTACTGGCGACAACGGCTCGAGTCTGCATAAGCGGCTACCCAGTGTTGACATTGTGCACGCGGTCATGATGCCGTGCTGGCTCTATTTGCTGGCTCTATAATGCCCTGGACTGTATCCTGAAAATTGGGGTGTAACGTGAAACGCGGTGGCTTCGGTGCAGCAGACGACACAAGCTGCAATGCAGAAGCCTTACGGCGGATGGAGTGACTGGAATGCCGGGTCGAGACAGGCAACGGGTATCTGTGTTGAGGGGAAGCTGGTACAGCAGTATGTTGTGGAGGTGCCACGGACTTGGTGAAGGCCTTGGGAGAATCCCAAGACCAGATATTGGGAGCTTCGTTTTGCGTTATTGCAGCTGAGCAACATGGTCATACGAGTTCCCTTATCAGAAAGTTTGAACTACCAAGCAGGCATTTTCACATACTTAGGATTGTGCTTGGGATGTGACACTAATTGGGACAACTACACCACATGTAAGGAATTTTCCATTCCTTACCGAGCGGTACTGCTATCGCGTACGCTCGAACACACCCGAAGCCTCGGGACTGTTCCGGACCTTTCTAACAGAACCGCCTCGGCTTCTCCAGACCTTTCGGTTCGACCTTCGGGAGTTCTCCGGGCCTTGCTTCGTCACTTCGAGACCCTTCGATCTCCTTCCCGAACCTTCCCATCGCATGGTTAGACTAGCTCTGGTGTTCCTATATCTTGGCTTGCCATTCCTTGTATCGTCATTCATTGAGTGAACACTTCGTTATTCATTTCCGCGCTACTCTGCTTGTTCATTGATAACACCTGGTATTCAGAGCCACTTTCCTCGCTCACCCGTTTTCGTGAGTTGATTTTTTTTGGGGGGGGGTAGGTCCCTCACGTAAGCTGCAAAGCGGTTGCTCGCGAATTAGATTGATTAATTCGCCCAACTACGATAGCGTTTGCGCTTACCTGAGTACAGGCACACGACGGAATTCCCCCTGCCCCGGCGGAGCATTCGCCAAATGGACCAAGCTCAGTTCAACGAGCTTCGGGAGCAGTTCAACGCCATGAACACGCGCATGGCTACAGTGCTGGAGGACAACAAGCGACTTCGTGCGGAAGTTGCTGAGTTACACCAGGCGCGAGAGGATTCGCGTTAGAAATCTGCCGCCCAAGAAGAGGTCGCCAGCACCGGACGTGTCGAAACCGTCTTGGACGAAATCGCACGTCAAGTGTCACAGGAGCGCAAGAACAGTGAAGCCGCCGCAGCAGCTGACGTGGCAGCACGAGCAGCAGCCGAAGCAGCAGCAGCAGCAGCCGCTCGATCAGAGGCAGCCGCTACTGTAGCCGCACCGGCGTTTATGCCGATCGTGACGACAACGACGATCAAACCGACAATGCCGCCCCCGTTCAATCCCACAGATAAGAATACTACTGTTACGGGCTGGTTATTTTCTGCGGAACTTTATTTTAATGCCGCTGGGATCACTGCTGACGAGTTAAAAATTCGACTGGCTGTATCACTACTGCGGGGACCTGCGCTAGATTGGTGGCAATATACTTTACAGGAGGGGGAGTTTTCGGCAGGCGACACACAGGGGTTTTTCGGAAACTTTGGGTCTGCTGCCCAAGGGTCAACCGCGATTTTTGGATCGACCAAGATTCGCACGTGGAAGGCGTGGGGTACAGCTCTGCGTGAACAGTTCGAGCCCATATCCGCCTCGGACAACGCACGCACGAAGCTGGACAACTGGCGCCAGTGGAGTTCTGTCCAGGATTACGCGTCGGTCTTCATGGCGTTATGCGACCAAATCACCGACATGCATGACTCCGAGAAGAAAGCTCGATTCATTTCGGGTTTGAAGCAGGACATTAAATGCGAGGTCCGACTGCGACTGCCGGCGACGTTTCACGAAGCTGTTCGGATCGCAGACAATTTCGACGCACATCGGACGTATGCGAGAGCGGGTTCCCGAGAGGGAAATCGTTTTCGTGGCCAGAATCCACGACCCACGATTCACGGCGTAGTGGCGAAGGAGCACATGGACGATGTTTCAACTGCCACCAGCCGGGTCACCAATCACACGATTGCCCCCGAAAGAAGCAGATAAAGAAGAACAACGAAGACAGGTCGGGAAACGCCAAGCGTCAGTAGCGGTCGGGCCCCCTACTGACCCTGTCTCCTCGCCCGAAAAACAGCATCCCCACCGAGTAGTGGTTCCGATACATGCTATCAACCGCTCCCGGTTGAAAAAGGAGGATGACCTAGTGGACCACCCTGTACTGGCGGAAGGACGACTTCATGGAAGAAAAATAAAAATATTCATCGACGGAGGTGCGAGTCACAGCCTGATAAATCGAGAGACAGCACGACGACTTCACCTAACGCTGGAGCGGTGTCTACCCGAAATCGACGCATGATTGGTGGACGGCACCTCGCTGGCGATACGCGACAAAGTACCCGTCGTTCGCATGAAGTGTGGCGACGATTTTGGTTTCAGCGCGCCGATGTTGGCGACAACGCTCGACGGCTACGACGTGCTATTGGGACGCGATTGGCTGCGACGATTCAACCCGCAGATCGATTGGACAACAGGCGAGTGCACAGTGAACTGCGACAAAGGTTGGCGAAAATTACCCACGTGGCCGGAAGCGGAGACAACATCGACACGAGTCAACGCAGTGTGCCTCAATCGAGCGGTCAAGAATGGAGCGGATTTATACGCCGTCCATCTAACCGCATCAACGCAGCAGAATGAGGCGACCGACATCAACAAACTCTGCGCCTCGGTCCCGGATGACTTGGCGAAAATCATTCGAGAATATCCTGAGATCTTCCCGGACGACTTGCTAAGTGGACTGCCACCCGAACGACCCCAGGACCACAAAATCGAGCTGGAGCCCGGCGCGCAGCCTACTGTACGCACGCAATGGCGCCTGACTCAGCCGGAGCTACAGGAGTTACGAAACCAGCTGGACTACCTGCTGGCGAAAGGGTTCATTCGGGCGAGCACGTCCCCGTTCGCAACACCGATCCTGTTCACACAAAAAAAGGACGGCGGACTTCGCATGTGTACGGATTATCGTGGCCTTAATCGGGTAACGATTAAATCGCGCTACCCAATCCCATGAACGGACGAACTGATCGACAACCTTCGCGGAGCTCGCTACTTTTCGAAGATCGACCTTCGTGGCGGTTACCATCAAATTCGAGTGTTCGCTGACGACTGCCACAAGACCGCGTTTCAAACTCGCTATGGGAGTTACGAATACACGGTGATGCCGTTTGGATTAACGAACGCCCCCTCGACGTTTCAACTCACCATGAATGGGGTATTCCGCGATCTACTCGACAAATGCGTAATAATTTACCTGGACGACATCCTGATCTACAGCAAGACCCGGGAGCAGCATTTAAAAGATTTGGAAGCAGTTTTCCAACGGTTGCAGCAGCATCGTCTCATCACCAAGGGCTCCAAGTGCGAGTTTTTAAAACAAGAACTGGAGTTCCTGGGACACGTGATCTCCACGGACGGGATTCGAATAGACCCGAAAAAACTCCGGGCTATTCACGAGTGGAAACCGCCGACAAATCTGCAGCAGCTGCAATCATTTTTGGGTTTCGTAAATTATGTGCGGAGGTTTATACCCAACATGGCGGGGTTAACTGGACCTCTAACCGACCTACTGCAGAAGGGGACGTTTTACGAGTGGGGGGAGAAACAGCAAGCTGCGTTCGAGGCATTAAAAACTCTTTTAACGTCTCCACCGGTACTTCGCATCGCTGACCCAGAACGGCCCTTCGAAGTCATCACCGACGCAAGTGACATCGCCATCGGAGCAGTGCTCATGCAGGATTTCGGCAACGGGCTTCAACCAATTGCGTACGAGTCTCGGAAAATGCAATCTGCTGAGCGAAACTACTCGGTACACGACAAGGAGATGCTGGCGATTGTCCACGCGTTCAAAATCTGGAGGTGCTACCTGACTGGAGCAGACGTGACGGTGCAAACCGATCACAAATCATTACAGTATCTACGAGCGCAGCCGAATCTCAACCCGCGGCAGATACGCTGGCTGGACTATCTGGAGTCGAATTTCACCTACAAAATCACATACAAAAAGGGCGCCAACAATATTGCCGACGCCCTTTCCAGACCATCTCCCGAACTCGCAGCAGTACTAGTCGCCCAGAGCAACCCGCTACTGAGTGGACTATTTACCCACGGGTATTCGATTGACCCCTTCTTCGTATACGACGGCCATCTCCCAATCACTACACGGAAAGGTGTCTATTACTTACGAAGCGGGACTGATCGAATTTGGGTCCCAAGTTATCGTCTACTTCGCGAATTACTAATTCAAGAAGTCCACGATTCGAATTTATCGGGACATTTCGGGGCTGACAAGACTCTGAAGGCGTTGCAGCGGTTTTATTACTGGCCAGATATGGTGACGGACGTGCAACGATACGTGGCCGCGTGTCCGATCTGCCAGCGAATGAAGTCGTCACACCAGCGGCCCACAGGACTGTTGCAACCCCTCGAGCCACCTCAACGCCCATGGCAACACGTAACGATGGATTTCGTTACGGGACTACCGGCCGGACCCAGCGGAAACGACGCGGTTTTGGTTGTCGTCGACCGATTGACGAAAATGGCGCATTTCGCACCATGTCGTACAACCATCACAGCCGAAGAAACAGCGCGCCTGTTCATCTCGACCGTCGTTCGCCTACACGGGATACCAGCAGCAATCATTAGCGATCGAGATCCGAAGTTCACGTCAAAATTCTGGCAGGACACGTGGGCTCGGTACGGCACGCGTCTACAGTTCTCATCCGCGTATCATCCCCAAACGGACGGCCAGACAGAAAGGACAAATCAAACGATGGAGCAGCTGATTCGGACAAACTGCCCCGACCGGAAAAAATGGGAGGACGTGCTGCCCATGTTGGAATTTTCCTACAACAACGCGCCCTCCTCTACGACTAATCATTCCCCGTTTTACCTCAATTACGGGATGGACCCTACGGTGCCAATCTCCACCAACGTTGAGAGTCAAGTACCACGATCGCAGCAGTTCGTCGAAGAATTACAGACTGCCCGAGACAAAGCTGTCAAACTTATTCGCAAGGCGAACGCAACTGCCCGACGGTATACGGATTTACATCGCCGGGATATTACGATGACAGCGGGGCAACTAGTCCTTTTGGACACCAAGAATTTACGACTGCCACTACCGACAAAATTGCGACCACGTTTCTGTGGCCCATTCAAGATCGTGAAGATGGTGACGCCGGTGACCGCCCAGTTACGCCTACCTGAGGACTGGCGAATTCACAACAAATTCCACGTGAGTCTAAGCGACCCTTCGTTCCTGACACGTCGGACATCGCTCGACAGCGATTGGTTCCAGATGTACGGCCACCAGCCGAAACGACCATCGAGCCTTCAAAGATCTTGAGCCATCGGATTCGTCTTAACGGTCAAGGACGACACGTTGACTTTCTGATACGATGGACCAATCGTACGAGTGAGGACGACACGTGGGTGCCCTCGGACCAGATACAGTCACCTTCGATACTTGCGAATTATTTGGACCGCAAGCACGTGGCTGATATAGATCACCTTCGCGAAGGGGGGGGGGGGTGGTGTAAGGAATTTTCCATTCCTTACCGAGCGGTACTGCTATCGTGTACGCTCGAACACACCCGAAGCCTCGGGACTGTTCCGGACCTTTCTGACAGAACCGCCTCGGCTTCTCCAGACCTTTCGGTTCGACCTTCGGGAGTTCTCCGGGCCTCGCTTCGTCACTTCGAGACCCTTCGATCTCCTTCTCGAACCTTCCCATCGCATGGTTAGACTAGCTCTGGTGTTCCTATATCTTGGCTTGCCATTCCTTGTATCGTCATTCATTGAGTGAACACTTCGTTATTCATTTCCGCGCTACTCTGCTTGTTCATTCATAACACCACACCAGCAGGTTACGCATGGGGAACAGTGCGTACGGGGATCTGGATCTGAATGGCCACAAAGGCTAAGAACAGTGTGGCGTGCGTGGTGAAAGGATTGCCCTTCGGGTTTTTGCCCACACGGCAGATCCGGGTACCCCTCTAGGGAAACCCGGATCTCAAGTCGCAGGTCAGAATCCGGGCAGGAAAGAAAACAACCCGTCATTTCGGTGAGATTTTCGTAGCGTCAAAATGTTCCAGTTAAAAGGGTCTGTGAGAATTAAATACACAGACTCCACTTATGTAAACTATTTGGCACGGGGGAGGTATGAGGGGTTTTGTAGGGCTAGATCCGTTTTTGGCAGAGGCTAACCCATCAAATCAGGGCACTTCGCAAAACTAACACGTTACTTCACTGGTCCTGCTGAAAACGAACGCGTCAGAATCCGGCTCCATGGAAAATGAGCACCTCAGATTCCGGAATGGGACGAAAATTCACCCGTTATTTTGAAGAAATACGGGTATTTACCCGTGAAAAATAAGCCCTCTCTCTCTGGCATCTACAGTTGGTGAATAGGCACAATGCTTGGCGAGGAGTTGCCTGCCTTCTTCCTGTCTGAGCCCACAAAGCTTGGTGGGGAGTGCCCAAGTTTCGTTTCGAGGCTTGCGTTCAGGGTGTAGAACCACAATGCGTTTCCATCACAAACTACCAGGACTTGTCCCAGAGTCTGTCGCAACCTTCCAGTTGGGCTTTCACTGAACGTTTGGTGGAAATGCAGAACAGTTTTACAGAATTGTACGCATCTACTCCTCAGAAAGCTATTTATTCCCCTTTTAGAATCACATATTTTAAGGATCACTGACCGCAGGGTGTGTAAGTGTCACCCATCAATCGTCTAGCTTCGTAGAGCCTTCGCATCAGCAGTTCCACGCATTTATGACGTAATGGCTTTTGAGATGAGGAATATCAACGATCGATATCATTTTCGCGGCCAGAGTTTTTTCCTTTTGCAGAAATATTAGTAACCCAACCAATCACGTTTGAGGGCGCTATCGCACAGCACACCCACAAGTTTTCGCTAGAAATTGCCGTGCTCAGTGGGGATTCGCTTCGCACGAGCAAGCGACCTTGCTGATGCGGCAATGACGAGTTGCCCGGCTCGTTCGACAATGTTTCTGTGACGCAAACTAGGCATGGGGGAAAGTTTTGGGAAGGAGGCTGGTTCGTTCGGCACAGGGGGGGGTCACGTCATCATCATGCTGTGAAGGAAGTGCCAGCCAAACGAAGTCGCCCAAGTCACAATTGAACGGTGCTGTAGCGGCTCCAGGTTGGACGATGGGCGGCCACACAAGGCGACCGAACGGGGCGGAAAGAGGAGGGAAGGGGGATTGGGGGAAGCCAAGCGCGCAGCAGCTGGCCGTCGAGCAAACCAGAGGCTCCGCTGACGACGTGCCTGACCGAATTGTGGGGGGAGGAAGGTGGTCAGGCCCGTGATTGGCGGAACAGGCTGGGTTCGGGCTCTAGTGCCTAGCACGGGAGGGATGGGAGGGAGCCACCCTGACAGGACAGGCAAGAGAATGCTTTTGGTGGTGGTGTGGCAGTTCTGGTTGGAATAAAGGTGGAGAGAAGGTGCTGAAGATGGAGGCAGAGAGTTAATTTCACCAACCACTGTGACAGCTAGTTTGTGTGAAGCCATACTCCCATCCCTGCATAGCTAACAAGATCCTAAGCCAGGCTCTGGTTGGTGCTCCTTGAGGTTACCCAGAATCACGGGTTTCTTGTGATGTAGCGTAGAGATATCTTGCTGCGCCGCACGCACAGCATTGAAGCCATAGAATCCGAAAGCTTGGTCGGAGACGGAGTTGCAAGCAGACCACACAAAAAAACAGCTGGCTGCTTTCTTCGCTTCTGTCAAGAGTCACCCTGTAAACTTCCAGCGTTTCCTGCCATTGATACGCTTACGGCCCTCTGGATATCTAAGGAAGTCTTCGTTCACAGGCCTGTTCGCAAGGCGAATGGAGACTCACCCTACAACGTCTTTCTGGCGAAGAATCGCGTCGCGGCGAACCAAAAGTGCGACAATGCCCGACGTGATTCACGTCGAGGAAAGTGTGACGGAAGAAAGCATTCCCCTAGAGTCCACTGCCTCCATGCCTGAGCCTCAGCTGCCAAGTCTCCAGCCGTGCTCACCACCCGAAGACCACGCGAAAGGCGTCCACTGGCGGCGACCGCGTTTCTTTCATCATAGCAGAAGCATATCTCGGAGACTCTCTTGCCCGGACAATCTCGCGACACTTCGTGAGCATCATCGCGAAGACGACGCTTGTTCGACGGACGAGGAGTATCGAACGACGTCGACGTCCGGAGATTCCGCCGATGGAACATCAACTGGTCTCGAGGATCGGCCGATTTCCTCCAGTCGCCGAAGTTGGAAGCGGGCGTCTCGAAAGTGGATTTTTCCTCGCGCGCGATCTCTGACTGATCCCACGTCGCCAGAGGCGAGAGCACGATCATCGTCACTTTTCGTCCGGCCGCCTTCGTGCCCATTCAAGTCCAGTTCCCGTGCTGTCACGCGGCAATCCGACCCGAGTCCAGCGGCCAGCAGCCCCTGCAGCTCCTGGGGTTTCTCAAACAGCAGCAAGAGTTCGCCGAATGTTTCACCACAGAGCAACGTCATACTTGCTGAGACTGTGACGCCGCGCAAGCTTGATCTGTGCATAGGCCGTTGCAGCCGTCCGACGACTCCTCCCCGCGACATGTCCTCAAACTCGACAGTGACGGCTCCTTCCAATTCGGAGAGTCCTGGTCTTAAAAGGAGCTCGTCCAATGGCAAGCTTAACGGAGGGGACATGCTGCTGCTGCACTTTCTCCTGGCCAGCTTCCTTGGATGCATCGCTGTCTTCCCACCAAAACACCTCATGGTGCTGCCTGTCTTGTGGAGGAGCTTCATTGGAGCGAGCCTCATAATTGTGAGCTTGGCTTCTTTCTTCTTGCTGCTCTCAAATGGTCAATCAACAGCTGCCGTTGACAACGCTGGGGAGAAAATCTGCCCAACAGACGAGCCGTGTTTGCTGGATGGAAGCATAGCCAGAGCAGTCGAAACTATGCAAGCAGCTTCCAAAAATGAAGGGGCTGCGCTCGGACTTCAGCACTGTGGCATACAGGAAAGCCGTGAGGGCTTGGATGTGTTTGCAGTACCTGTTCTCCTGGCGGTGTTTGGCATCTCTGTAATGGCCAACAGTGACCCAAGGCGAGTGGCGCTAATCCTACTCTTCTTAGGGCTGCTCTTAAAAGGTGGAGTGCTCCTGGTGAAAGGTTTATCAGCTTTAAGCACTCTGAAGATAGGCCACAAGCCAGCTTGGTGGTTGTGGGTCGCTAACGTCCTGAAGGCCAGGGAAGAGTGGGATAAGCTTAGATACGGGATCCACTAATGTGTAGATAGTTTATTTCCTTCTGTCACCTAGTGGGATTGTGCAGAGCACATGGTGTACCTCTGCACAGCTAATTAATCACAGCACTGACTGCGAGCGTTAAAACCTGCGGCCCAAATCGCACTCGTATTGGGGTATTGGGGTATAATATGATATACGTGGGTGTATTGGGGTGTAATGAGACACTCGTCACTCGGGTGCCTTTCAAGTTCAGTGCGGAAGGTAATTTGGAACACCAGGTGTTGAGCATTTTTCAACCGTCCAGTTTTTCCAGTTTTTCATCTGATGGCGGGTAAGCCAAGCACTTCCCCCAGTCAGTTCAAAGGTAATATCATCCGTTAAACTGTGCGTTTGTAAATCTGACGGTTCACGACAAACGTTGAGTTTGCGAGAGTAAACGCCCTCGCGATATTCCAACGGATTTCGTACAGCCAGAGGGTCAAAGTTCATACGCAGTGCGTTTGAACAATTTGGGCCGTGGGTTTTAAGAAGGTGAAATGTATGTAATAGGCAGGACCAATATTTTCACACGCATTCTGATTATGGAGACAAATTCTACCATAAATGGTATTGATAGACTTAGAATGCTGAACGAGGAATCCCCTCTGATACTGGACCAACACGGAAGTGAATATCTGAAGGGTTGGTTTCTCTGCTTTCAATGGAATCAACAGACAGCCACAGCATCAACCTTCTCACGTGAACTCCCTGCATGGAAGAAGGGTGTGATCGTCAAACTGATGGACATACTTGGCAAAGACAAAGGGAACCAATCGTACCTTCAGATTCGTAATCTTTCCTCGACAAATGGTTCCTCTGACTTCAGAAGAATAGCGGACAAGGTTTCCGTTAATATTTCTTTCCACGCTGTGACTGAGTTTCACGTGAAAGGGCCCTGTTCTCGTGTTAGTGCTCTGCACGACCTCTTGAAGCGGCAACAACCCTGGGGGAAGTCCGTTTTCCTGCAAGAACAAGCTGCATCAGTCGCGCTTCTTCTACACAATAAAAAACGATCTTTGAAATTCTGACCTGAAGTGCCTTGGACGCTAGCGTTGCAGCCAGCTCGGAAGCCATACCAAACCCAGCAACGCCTGACATTGCAGGACCCCAGCCCACAATGTCCCCGACAATGACAGGAAAAATCACTTGGCGTGAACGACCAACATTCTTATGTGACGAATGTCTTCTTCGGAGAGCCTCCGGCTCTGTCAGGACGTCACTTCCAGGGTCATCACATGGAAGTTCACGCAGAACATATTCGGCACAGGAGCGAGAAATGCTGGACATGACTAGTCTCGAAATTGCCGACCGTCACAACAAGAGAAAGCTGGTCGCTCTTGATGTGACACATGGCAGGCATCAAACTACGTCCGAGGCGCAATTTCATCTCTGGCAGGGGCCTGGAGTGGAACCAGAAATTGCAAACATGGGATTGGACTGACTTGTGGTGGGTTGAATTGATTTCTGTAGTAAAGGTGGAGTGTAATTTGTTATCATGGTCGAACTTTGGAAACGTCAAAATGACTGTATCGCGTACACGAATCGATTGCCCAGCTCCGTCAAGATGTCGTGTCTGTGTCTGTGTCAGCAATGGCTGCTCCTCCCCTCCTAAATCCACCCTTCCAATTCTCTGTAGCGAACTAGACAGCTGTCAGTAGATGCGGTACATTGGTTCCTCGCGATGCTGCCACGCTTTCCTCTTATAATGGCTTGCTAGCAACCGTTTTCATGGATACACGCTGCGCGTGGATCGCCCTTTTTGTCTTGCTGGTGTTCGAGGTAGCACCTTCAAGCTCCCACTTTTCCGATGGAATTTCGTCGAGCGATCTCGCAACGAACGACCGTTCCTTCACGCATCCGGTTCTAGCAGAAGCGTTCTTTTCGGATCGACGACGCCTTTCTTCCAGCCTCCTTAGGAGCCCTCAGCAGCAGCACGAGCACTTCGAGCATACAGCTGTGAACACCACCAATAACTGCACCAGCTGTACTACTGGTGATGACACGTCAGACACGCGCATGTGTGCGTCCGTGCATCACCTTCAACGGAACACCACGTCAGCAGCCAGATGCGACTACGTCAGACAGTACTGTTCATCGGCAGGCTCTAAGTCCTTGATTAACTACATCGACCTACACTACTGTACCTTGGGTGCTCGATCCTGGATCTCCCTGCCGCTCCTCCTCCTAGGGCTTCTTGCAGCTATTTTCCTGCTCGCTGACACGGCTGACCGTTTTTTCTGCCCGACTGTGGAGACAATGTCGGCCATGCTCGGCCTCTCGCCTAGCACAGCTGGCGTGACGCTATTGGCGCTCGGGAACGGAGCGCCTGACGTGTTCTCATCGCTAGCGGCGATTGTTGGGGGAAACCCGAAGGTTGGGCTGGGAGCAGTTGTCAGGTGCGTGTGCGGGAGTGCAGAGATGACCTGGAGTGTAGAGTGCGTGAGCTGTTACAGATAATGTGCATTGTTCTACCTGGCATTGAGCTGAATGAGGAGGGGTTGGGATGGGTTTAGATACGGTTGGCATTGGATTCGTATACATAGAGATTGGAGTGACAGTGTGGAGGGAATGGGAATTCTGGTGGGTACCATGGCTCAAAATCAAGTCAGGAAGATTCCAGTCCTGAGTTGTTCATAAAGTTTTGAGCTAATGTTTTTTCGCCCGGTCAAGCCCCTTTAGATCCCTATCTTACAGCCCAAAATCTTTCTGAAACCCAGTTCCAGCCCATCCACCAGGTAATGCAGAATTTTTGTGTCCATCATCCCCACCTCCAGCGCAGGCGCATTTGTTACGTGTTTCGTGGTGGGCTGTGTGGCAGTCGCAGCAGCGCCTTTCTCTGTGCGGCCCCGTCCCTTCCTGCGCGACTCCTGCCTCTTCGCATGCGCCGTGCTGCTGCTGCTGCTCGTGTACCTCTCAGGCCGCGTGCACCTCTGGCAGGCAGCAGGCCTCGTGGCCTTCTACGTCTGCTTCGTTGCCGTGGCCATTGTTTCCAACGCATGGGAGCCGCCAGATGCCCCCCATCCGCATGCCCATCCACATTCCCATGTTCACTCCCGTGGCAACTCCCCCGTAAAGCGGTTCAAGAGCCATCCCGTCCTACAGCAGGGCGATGACGAGGGTGATGTGCCGCCGCACCAGCACCAGCATCAGCATCAGCAGTTGCTGCCGTTGTTTCGGTCATCATCCCCCACTGCACCCCACCGCAGCAGCAGCAGTCCAAGGCCTCCTCCCCATGTCTCTCTACATGCCCCTCGTCTCTGGCGTCAGGCCCTCAGGGCTCTCACCCGCTCGCTTGACAGGGTATGCATGCCACTTCGTTTCTCTGAGTGCACTTGTACCCCCTCCCTAGAACCACCTGTACCTCTTGCTTGTTCCTCCCCCATCCCTCCCCCCACTCCACAACCAACGTCGCCCTCTGCCCCTCTCCCACCCACCCTCCCTTAGCTTCAGCTGGTTGCATCCCCCCCTTGCCATTTCTTACCTTCTTACTGCCAATTCCGTCTCTTCTCTTCTCCTCCCCCTTTCCTCCCCTCCCCCTGTCCGCGACACTCCAGCTGCGGGCCTGCCTGCACGTACTATTCGACCCCCTCCGCCTGGCCACCATCCCCTCTATCGACCCCTCTGCCTGGGACGTACGCTACGCCACGGCTAACGTCTTCCTCTGCCCCTTAATCGCCATCTACACCATCCGCGCCGTCCTCCCCTCCGACTCCAACCTCCTCTTCTTCCTCCCCCCTCTCGACCCTCCCTCCTCCCTCTCCTCAGCCTCCTCCTCCTCCTCTTCCTCATCCTCCTCTTCCGCCTCCCTCTTCTCCTCCTCCTCCTCCCTCTCCACCTCCTCCCTCGCCGTCCGCTCGTTTGTGCTCATCCAAAGCTCCCTCTGTGCAGCAGCCTACCTCCTCGCCACGCGAGCCTCGAGCCCCATCGGCGCCCCCCGCTCCCTCATAGTCCCTGTCTCCTTCGCCATGTCAGTCTTCTGGATCGCTCTGGTAGCGTCTGAGCTCCTAGGCCTCCTCTCCGCCCTTGGGATTGTCCTGCACGTGTCGCCGTCGATCCTTGGGATTACCGTGCTCGCGTGGGGAAACTCGGTGGGTGATCTTGTAGCGGATGTGACTATAGCGAAGGCTGGACATCCGACCATGGCGATAGCGGGGTGTTTTGCGGGGCCGATGTTTAATCTGATGGTCGGGGTTGGGTCGGCGTTGGCTGTCCGTAGCTGGGATCTGTACCCCGAGCCGTTGGTGTTGTTTCACCACCCGAATGTGCTGCTGGCCCTGTGTTCTTTGCTGGGGGGGGTTCTTTCGTCCATAGCTTTTGTAGTGTGGTCTGGATTCAGGGTGACTAGGACGTGGGGTGTCTGCTTGATTTGCATGTACTTGACGTTTGTGGTTGCCGCGGTTGCAATAGAATCTTCATTGCAATAAATACCAGTAAATATGAAAAGGGTTCACTGATCTCTTTCAAGATTGACACTCGAACCGTACGCTGCTAACGGGGGAGCAAAAATTGTGATATTGAAAACCCAGTGGACAAAAATGGCTGTGCTGCAAGCTGCTGCTTCAGCTGGCCACCCGAGCAGGGCGCATAAACAGGCATTGCTGCTATAATCCTACTGGTACACCTTCTGATGCTAATGAGGGTCACAAACAGTTAATGAGCAAACCATACCGTCGGGAGAGAGTCAGATCTGACTACTGTCATGGCCCTCACGTGAGCTGAGCGGCCCAATCCAACTTTTCCAGACATGGGCGGCAGACATTACCCACCTTATTGCCACACCTTGCAAATACCGTAACACCTCACACGACTATGGTGAGCGTGCCGTCTTCATCCGACATGAGCAGCTGGCACTCCCTGACATCCTCCCCACCCTCTCCCTCCTCACCTCCCCCCACCCCATTGCCTGCAGCGGCTCGTCGCCAATCCCCTTCCGCGCGCGAACAAGCTACTTGGCCGTACATGCAGTGGCGATCGGATAGCGCGTGGGTACCCCTCGCTGCCGCTCCTTCCACCTCATTCGCAGCCTGCACTGTCAGCACATGTGCCACCTGTGGCGTCTCGCCACGTGTCACTCTCACATGAAGGTTCATTCTGACAGCTGCTGCTGACGTGTCGCGATGGGTGGTACCTTGGGAGCTCCTGTGGTTACAGCTGTTACCCTCTCCATGGTACAGCCCTATGGCAGGAAAGGACTCGCCCGATTCTGCATATCGCTCCAGCCAATCCCGTTCCAAGAACTCGGTATTCCCATCAATGCTCTCGATCAGATCTGATAGCAGCAAGTCAAAGTCACATAGACTGGCTAGCGGCTGGCCCGAGGACGACGTTACTCCATTCCCTACTGCTGCTGCTGCTGCTGCTGCTGCTCCTCTCCCTCCCGCACCCGCAGCAACACCCGCTGATGATGCTTGGCGCGCTGCAGCCTGATCCGGAACTCCGAAGACGCCTCGAGCAGCGCGGTTGACACAGGACAGCCGCCCAGACGGCGCAACTGCCAGCACCGCCTGGCAGGTTCCCTCCAGCACCGCATTCAACCGCTCTTCTCTCTCCCACCGCTGCCGCCGCTGCTGTATCCCCGTTACAACCTGCCCCACTGTCTTGGTCAGCGCGTGCAGCTCGGTCACCATCGCTTCGCTGTAGCCCCCCACGCGATTGGTCACTGCGAACATTCCCACGAGGCGCGAGCCTGTGATAGGAGGAGAGAGGGGAGGGGAGACGGGAGGAGAGAGGGGAGGAGAGAGGGGAGGGAACGGATGGGGAAATGGGTAGAGTGAGTGAGAGGGAATTTTGGACATGGTGTGAGATATGGTGTGAGATTTGGTTGCAATGGAAGGGAGGCGGGAGGCAAGCACATCAAGACAAATCGTGCCACGTCATGCCATCCCATGCCACGTCACCTGAGAAGAGCGGCACGCCGAGGAATGTCGTCATGGGCGGGTGTCCGGGCGGCAATCCCGCGCCTCGCGGGTCCGACGCCACGTCGTTACTGACGATGACGTCAGCGGTGTTAACCACCCGCGCCATGAGTGTGCGCTGGTTGCTGAAGACCAATCCCGAGGCGGCGTTCTCCGCGTACCACGCCTTGAGGTACGGCGTCCACGCGAAGTTGGTGATGCTGTGCGTCCTTAGGAAGAGCGACGGGTCTTTACTGCTGCGGGGCAACGCGCTGGAGATGCAGCCCGCCGTGGACTGCGTCAGGTGCAGCAGCTGCGACAGCAGGTAGTCCGCCACCTGGCTGCCGTTCGGGGTCTGCAAGGGGGGGAAGAGAGGGGAGAGAGGAGAACGGGGAACAGGAGAGAGGGAGCACGGTGAGACACTGGAGATAGTAGAGAGACTGCAGCCCGCCGTGGACTGCGTTAAGTGTAGCAGCTGCGACAGGAGGTAGTCCGCGACTTGGCTGCCGTTGGGGGTCTGGCAGGGGGGGAGAATGGGGGAGAGGGGAGAGGGAGCGCGGGGAGAGGGGGAGATTGACGCCTTGAGAGGCAGCGTTCTCCGCGTACCGCGCCCTGAGGCATGGCGTCCAGGCGAAGTTGCCGGCTCAGCGCGGGGGGAGCGGGGAGCGCAGAGCGCGGGGAGATCGAGGAGTTGGGAGCAGAGGGGGGAGGGGGGGGGGAAGGGGAAAGGGAGCACGGGGAAATAAGGGGAGTGTGACGGACACGTGGAGGTGCTACGTAATGCCCAGTACGGTTTAGGCGGTGTTGGTTGGTGGTTCTGTGCGACGTCGTGAGAGAGTGAGTGCGTCTGACTCACCATGTCGCGAGCAAAAATGTCGTGCGTTGTAACAATAGTCGTCAGCAGCTCCCGGCTGCATATCCTCGGCGCACCCGCCGCGGCGCCATCGTCCGCCACCCCAGAAAACGGGCCATTCCCGCTGCTGCCAGTGTTTCCCCTGCCATTCCCCTGCGCTCCCGCCCCTCCCGACCGCGTCCTCTCCAGCGCCGGTTGACGCGCCGCGTTGACCCCCGCGTTGACCTCCCCCACGTTGACCGCTCCGTTGACCGACGCGGAGAAGGGCGCGTAGGCGGAGAAGAGGCTGGCCTGGTACGGGCAGGCGGAGGGCCCGAGATCCTCTCCGTCGGACGAGGACGGCGCGGAAGGGTGCGACGAGGATGCGAGGAAGGAGGGATCATGCGACAACGAGGACGGGAAGGAGGTGGCGGACGACGACGACGGCGACCTTGAGGGTTGCGACGCGTGCGACGCGGGGAATGCGGACGGGCAGACCGACGACGACGGATTCGACGCGGTGTACGACGCGTAGGTGGGAAGCGAGAACGTCGGCGCGAGCGGCGCGGGCGGCGGCGCCGGCGCTAAATATGACGATTCGCTGGAGATAAGCGACTGAGAGTTGCCCGGCGACAACCCGGGCGACGAAGCGGGCGACGTCGTCGAGCGACGAAAAGGTAACGACTCGGGGTAACCGTAGCGAGCCGATGGCGATGTCGCGACGTGGACGGAAGAAGAGCAGCGAAAGGACGGCGATGGTTCAGCGCTCCACGTGACGTCGCCCGCGGGCCTGGAGATGCTCAGTTTTGTCGCAAACTCCGTCGCAGGCGACGATGACGGGGACAACGAGCGACAGCTCGCGCCGCCCGGCGACGTGTTTAAGGCCCCTTGATCGTAACCCGCGACCGCTGGTGAAGATGGGACAGATGACAGCCTGAGAGGTAGCGCGGCGCGGGTGGTTTCGGCCTCCTTAATCTCCTCGAGGCAATGAAGGAACCTCTGCTGGCAGGGCTTGCGGCATTCCGGGTGAGCGCGGCTCGGCGGTGCGTGATCCTGTAACGGAGGCTTGCTTGGGGTTACCACAGGCCCAGGGCTCTTCGCGGATTTTGCGCCGAAGTGCTTGATGGTTGGAGGCGAATCGTGGTTACCAGGCTTCGCTCCGCTTTGCGACGCCGCTGTGCGACTGCTCGCTGCTGCCGGCGGGTTACCAAAATGCGGAGACATTTATATCGGCAGATCTAGCTGCGCTCGGAAGGCTGCTTTCTGGAATCTGCTTTCTGAAAGCTGAGCTCTGAAAGCTGCTTTCGCGGCACGAGGGTCGTTAGCGGAGCGGCTAGCGTGGCTACTAGGCACGAGGGTCCAGGCGCGCCTTTGGTCCGACTAAAAGTGAGTCACATGTAGTAGAAAAGGATACAGGTGGTCGATCCTTTCGAGTTCAATGACAGAAACAGGGTGCAGGTAGTGCTGCCCTGCATGACAGATGAAAGTGCGCGTGGGTCGGGTTCCAAGAGTGCGGCCAACAAACACGGTCGAGATGAGAAGAGCAGGACGCCAGGCTGCAAGCAGCACGAGCGAGGAGAGGCCAGCAGAAGACACTGCAGCAGGTGTGGTTGGATACAGAAGTTGACAGGCAAGGCGCAGTCTAGTCGCGCTACGAGCAGAGAGGGGAGGAGTTTGCCTGTCACTATGGCGTGGGTTTTGGCTGGACTGTACAGTACTGTATTGTATTTCTGCCTTTTGGCTGTTGGTTCGTTCGCTACGCAACGCAGCGCTCCTGCCGCAAACGCCCTTGTTGGCCCAGCCCTGCAGAGATGGCGGCGAGGAAATCGGGACGAATTATGCCCATGGCTGTCTCTTCCAGGGCTCTTGCTAAGCTTTTTCGGTACAGTACTCTGTTTCTCCCGGAACCCCCCCTCCCCAACGCGGTCTGTTTCGTCCGGATTCAGGGATTATTGACCTCTGTTTCATCCGGATTTGGGTATGTTACTTTGGTCCGAGGTACCCGGAGAGTCTACTCGGAATGCTTTCCCAAGGTATCCTCGCGGGTGTCACCTCCTTTCGGGTCAGAAACTCGACAGCCCAGATCAGCACGCGTCAGTTTGTGTGCTGACGTATACAGTGCATACCTTAGCTGTCGATAACTTTCTACGAATACCCGACAGGCTAGGAACACTCTTACTACCTAGGGTCGAAGCAGTGTGCGTGTTGAGGCCAATGTTCTATGGCAAGTCTGTTTCAGTGAGAAATATCCCGACATCCGTTCCCACCAGTGCTGTTTTGGTGTGGACTTGGACAATATTTAGGGGAGTGAGTGCGGGAAAGAAGTTTTCCCGGGCTGTGAGGGAAGTATATAGGACTGGGCGGCGAGGGGTGCGGGTCGAATGTCTGGGGCTGTGGGGGACTTCGTCTAATTTTCTGGGTGGCGAGGGGTGGGGATCGAATGTCTGGGGTTGTGAAGGACTTCGTCTAGTTTTCTGGGTGGTGAGGGGTGGGGATCGAAGGTCTGGGGCTGTGGGGGACTTCGCCAAAATTTCGAGGCTGCTGGGGATGCGGGAGAGATGTATCTGCCTTTGAGGGACCGCTGAAATTTCCTGGTCGGGGTGGGAGGGGGGGAATGTCACTGTCTGTAAAGGGCTTCAATTTTTGTGCCCGAGGGGGAATACATAAATCCAGAAGGGGGGGGTGGCCCTCTGGCGGGGTCGTCCGGAATCGCCCCCGGGAGAATTCTGATTCGTCCGGAGAACGCCCCTTGCCCAATTGTAGAAATTCCGGGCTCCAAGTAAACATTACCCGTTCAAATCCCGGAATCAGGCCCGAAGTTACTCTTAATTTTTTAACTCCGAACAATTACCCTTGACACCTGAGCCCTGGTCTCTTCCCTCGGCGTCCGCGACAAATGCGTCGCGGCACGGCTGAACAGATGCGATGCGATTCCCGTTATGCTCGAGGTGATGTCAGCAAAGGCAGCCCTGCCCAGCCCCCTCCGATTCTCCCACGTGCTTGATGATGGTTTAGGGCTGGAGGTCATTTCGCCACTAAACATTTTGAAACTGTAAATCGCTAATGTACAGTTAACAATTCGTGTATGCTTTGCATGTTGTGCCCGACTATGCGGATGCTTGTGATTTGTTTTTTGTCAGGGCACCTGTACGCATGAATATCCAAGGGAGGGAGTCCAAGCTGTCCATCTGAGACAGCCAATTTTTGTATTTTCTTGATGAGTTGGGATAAGACCGTGCCTCATAACCACACGTTGAATATCTGCCATCCGTTGATTTCCAGTGATGCTTATTGGTGCATTCCCGACTGGACATGGACTGTCTCGCTAAAGAATTTGGTCATCCTTTTGTACTAAGTGCTTCCTAACTTCAATACGCACCTCCTTGTTGAGTTAAAATGATCGAAGTGCCCGATATATGCCGTTGCCAACGAGTAGCACCAAGCCATTTGAAGAAGGCATTTCGCTGTGTATAGGTTGGATGACTTAGAGAGCTCCGCCCTAACGCGTATACCACCTTCATCCCCTCCAATCTCCTCCTGCCTCCCTTCAGCTAGTGGGCTTCTGTGCCTTCCCCACTCGTCCCCAGCGGTCTCTTTCGTCTGCACCGGGATCCCCGCTCTATGCTCCTAGTTACTTCCCGATTTCAGAAGTCTATATCGAATCAAAGTTTTGGCAGATTGAACGAGCAAGCATGGCCGAACCAGCAGCAGGTAGGGACGATCCACGTTTCACCTGATTGCCACAGCAGCGTCGTAATCCCAAGAATCTCACTACCTCTGATCCTTACCATTGTGCAAGCCACTGTGATCGATAGCTACCTCACTATGCTCCTCCTCCATGCGCATCCCGGTGTTACCCGTTTCGCAGCTCCCGTGAGGTCTTTCGCACAAGCAGCTGCGACAGAGGAGGTCGCACAGCCACTGCGACATGTGCAGATCGACGGCCTCGTGAGTGTCGTATCATCGTCCGTCTCGTCCATCATTTCTCTCGTTCCCTCCACCTAGGGTTTAGTCTCGGCCGCCTTCCATTGTCGCTCCGCGTGTTGCCTCATTCAAGGCAGTCCAGGCTGCCGTTAAACCCTAGACGCGACCACTTGCTTGGTATCCATGTTTATTTCCCTCTTCGTTCATTACGAATTTCTAGGTCGCGATGAAGATCGACAAGCACTGTAGCGACTGGGCTCCTCAGCTTGTAACGGGTCTGCTGCTCGGTCTCGATATTGGCAGCACTCTCGAAGTCACCAATTGTTTTCCGTTCCCCGTAAGTTCTGTGCACACTCCTTCCTCGTCCTTACTGCCGTCCTTGCTCCATCGCCCCTGTATCTCCCTGCCAAGCGATACCCTACTCTCCATTCCTTTCCTGCTTCGACGACCGGCAGTGGGGGGAAATCAGGTCCAGGCGGTGTGTGTGTGTGTCTGGTCCTTGAATTGCGGCTCTTTCTTCCCTGGCTCGTGCGTGCGTTCTCCTCTGTTGTGCGTGTGGTTTTTATTGGTGTGGTGTGCATTGTGGAGTGGAATATGTGCCGCCTGGAGCGTTTGTTGCACGTGTATGGGGTCATGTGCACTATGTCACGTGTGTTACGGCACGATGCATGACGTCGGACACCATGGGATTTGTGCATGGCATGGCATGGCATGACGCATTGCGTTGCCTGTTGCGAGAGCAGAGTCGGGGCGGCGAGGAGGAGGAGGAGGAGGAGGCGGACGGAGCCATGTATCAGCTGGAGATGATGCGCTGCCTGCGCGAGGTCAACGTCGACAACAACACCGTCGGCTGGTAGGTGATTGCGATGCAGTGCGGTGCAGGTGACCCACCGCAGGTGACCCACCGCAGGTGCCATGAATCAGCTCGAGATGATGCCCTGCCCGCGGGAGTGATGAGGGAGTAACCCCTGCCTGCTTAACGTCGACAACAACACTGTCGGATGGTAAATGATGGGCCCTGGGATGTGGTAAGACTCCGTGCAGGTGCCATGTTTCAGCTATACGTGGTGCGCTGCCTGCGGGAGGGTAACGTCCACAACAACACTGTTGGATGCGATGTTGGCATCTTCAAACCTCCTCCCCCGCCCCCCCCTCCTCCTCCCCCCCCCCCACCCTTCTTCCACTTCTCTCCCTCCCTCTTCAATGTTCGCATCTCTTCCCTGTTTACTCCTCTGCTAACTCGATCTCGACGGTTGCGAGCTGCTGCGAGAGCATCAAGCGCTGCTGGTGATCCCTCCCTCCCCTCTGCCCCCTCTCTTCCCACCCCCCTCTCCTGTCCCCTTTCCACCAGGTACCAGTCCACCACGCTCGGCTCCTTCCAGACGGCGGATCTGATCGAGACCTTTGCGAGCTACCGCGAGAACATCAAGCGCTGCGTGTGCCTCGTGTACGACGCCGACAGGGCCGCCGCCCGGGGCACCGTGGCGCTCAAAGCGCTCACGCTCAAGGCGCCGTTCCTGGAGATGTTCAAAGCGGGCACGCTCACGGGGGAGAAGTGAGTGGAGGGGTTGGAATGGGTTGGAATGGGCGGGAATGGGTGTGGGGGGAGGAATTTGACAGCTCCCAGGGGCACCGTGCCGCTCAAGGCCCTCACGCTCAAGGCGCCGTTCCTGGAGATGTTCAAAGCGGGCACACTGACGGGGGAGAATTGAGTTAGGGTTGGAATGGGCGGGAATGGGCGGGAATGGGTTGGAATGGGTGTGGGGGGAGGAATTTGACATCACCCAGGGGCACCGTGGCACTTAAGGCCCTCACGCTCAAGGCGCCGTTCCTGGAGATGTTCAACACGGGCACACTGACGGGGGAGAAGTGAGTTGGACGGAATCTGGGGAAAGCAAAAGAAATGTGAGGGGGAGTAGGGGAACAGGGGACGGGGGGAAGGGGGGGGGGGGGGAATGAGAAGGAATGGGAGTGGGGGCAGATGAGGAGCGTGGTTTCTTTTGCCCTTCATCTTCTTCTCGCTGTCGTCACGGTCCATATTTCTCTCCCAACACCCTCTCCTCCCCCTCCCCCCCGTTTCGCCCTCTCCTCAATCCGCCAGGTTGAGGGAGACCGACACGTCATGGGCGAGCATATTCGAGGAGATCTCAATGAAAATGGCCAACTCGACCCTGGTCTCCACTCTTCTTCCCTTCCCATCTCACTCCCATCCCCTCATCCTTTTTCCCAGGTTGAGGGAGACCGACACCTCGTGGGCGAGTATATTCGAGAAGATCCCGGTGAAAATGGCCAACTCATGTGGTACATCATGTGACCCTGGTGTCAGCCATCATGGCGTCCGTGCACCCCCCTGCCGCTGATGTCGCTGCCTCCCCCTCTCTCATCCCCTTGTTTCCCCCCCTTTCGCCCTTCCCCCTCCCTCCCCCTCCCTGAAGGCTGCGGGAGAGCGACACGTCGTGGGCGAGCATATTCGAGGAGATCCCGGTGAAGATGGCCAACTCGACCCTGGTGTCAGCCATCATGGCGTCCGTGCACCCCCCTGCGGCTGACGCCGTTCCTTCCCGCACCGACTTTGAGCGTCTGCTGCTGGGCACCAACCCATTCCTGGAGACCAACCTGCAGTGCCTGTCGGACTGCATGGACGATCTCAGCGCGGAGCAGCAGAGGGTGGGTGCTTTGGGGTCATGCAAGTGAAGGAAGGTAGGGTTGGGTGGGGTTTGGGTGGGTTTGGGGGGGTATTTATTGCGCTTCCCGCTCGGACTTTTGAGCGTCTGCTGCTTGCTGGGCACCAACCCGTTTCTGGAGGTCATCCTGCAGTGCCCGTCTGACTGAATGGACGATCTCAGCGCGGAGCAGCGGAGGGTAGGTGCCGCGGGTTATCTTTGGGCTGCTTCTTAACGCTCTCCTCCTTTGATTCTCTCCTCTCCCCCCCCCCCCTTACGGACTAATAAGGCAGGGGTATTCAATTGTTGCCTTCTGCCCTTCACCTGTCTCTTCCCGTACACTCCAATTTCTGTCTGCTTTCCATCACTCCCCCCCTTCCCCTCCTCCTCCCCCCTCCCCCCCGCCTCCCTTTATTCTCCCATCGCACTACTTCCCCCCCCCCCCCCCCCCTTTCCCCTCCCTCCCCCTGCAGTTCCATACCATAACCGCAGTGTGCAGCAGTAGCCAGTCTATTTTGATTTGGTCCGTTCATGTTTAATTCTCTTCCCCCCCCACCCCACGCCACCCCCCTCTCCCCCCTTCGGTCTCTGCCCTGTGCAGTTCCAGTACCACTACCGCAGCGTGCAGCGCCAGCAGCAGCAGCAGCTAGCATGGGTGCAAAAGAGAAGGTGAGGGCGCTGAAGTTTTTGCGTGTTTGTTGAGATAAGTTGAGTTGCCTTTGAAAATTCCCAGAAGCCAACTTCCCAAGTGATAAGGTGCGAGCAAGGGCGGATGGTCTTTGTGCTGTGAGACTCCGACGTCAGCTCTCTCTCACCACATCTGCCACCTCTCAATCAAACGGATGCTGCATTTCTTTGACCAGCTGCCATCTCTCTCTCTCTCTCTCTCTCTCTCTCTCTCTCTCTCTCTCTCTCTCTCACTCTCTCTCTCTCTCTCTCACTCTCTCTCTCTCTCTCTCTCTTCCCCCCCCCCCCCCCCCCCTCCCCCCACCACCACCACTTCCCCTTCTCTCTCTCTATCTCTCCCATGGCTTGTGCAGATCCGATAATGCACTGCAAAGGGCAGCAAGAGTTTCGTGAGAGGTTTTAAACCTACTGCACTCACGTGCACACACTCACGCTCTTTCTGTTCCCTTCCCTGCCGTGTGTGCAGATCCGACAACGCACTGCGCTGGGCGGCAGGGAAGGAGCCGCTGCTGGAGGAGGACCCGTCCAACCCCTTCTTCAAGCCCATCCCTGAGCCCTCTGAGACACACACACACACACACACTCACTCACTCACTCTCTCGCACGCTCTTCCATTCTCTCCCATGGCCTGAGCAGATCTGACAACGCACTGCGCAGGGCGGCAGGGGAGGAACCGCTGCCCGAGGAGGACCCCACCAACCCCATCTTCAAGCCCATCCCTGAGCCCTCTCGCATCGACATGCTGCTCACCACCAACCAGATCGCCAACTACTGCTCTCAGATCAACGAGTAAGCATGTTATATATATGCTTATATATGTATATATTACTTCCACGTGTCATTTCAGTTGTAGAAGTCATGGACTGCCATTGTTTAGCAGTTTTTTTTGGGCCATTGGAGGCGACTGTTTGTTATCCTAAGTTGTAACGTCTGCTTGATTGTATGACTCCTGTGCTTGCAGGTTTAGCGGCCCGGCTTTAAGCAAGCTCTACCTCATGGATGCTCTGAACGGAGCGTCTTGAGTGCTGCTTTATCAAAACTGTCTACTTAAGCCCCTGAATAAATATTCACCCTGTATGAAGTGTTTTTGCCCAAGTGTGATTTTGTAAGTCCGGCAAATATAGTTGACTGCTTGCTTTTCGGCACTGCAGGAAAACCGTTTGTGAAGCGCTTTGCTTGCTAACGCGGAAATTACCAGATGCCTCCAAGATTTGTGCGTGACGCACTAAGGCCAGAAATGTACACAACTCATAGTTCCTTCCGCTTTCGCGAACGGTTCGCTGGTATCGTCGACTTGGCTTGCGACAAGATCGCCATGAACTGACAAACTCAAGAGGGCTTCTTTTAGGAGTTGAGAGCTCTCATCTTTTAGTTCGTTCCGCTGACCGAAAGTTGGTCGTTCTTCGAGCAAGGCCAGAAGACGCGGTGGTCACTGCTGGAAGTAGTTTACCGTATCCCTGGTTCTGAGGCAACGCTCCATTTGTGCTAGTGTCGAGGGATGGACTCGTCGCAAACGGCACAGGAGCTACAGGTGCAGTCACAGGAAGTGACTATGGAGGGGGAAACACCCTCGCGGCAGGTTCGAGCGACCGTGGTCCAGGCGGCTACAGTGATGTACAACACGCCTGCCACGCTGGACAAGGGTAATTTCCCAACAGTTGCAATGATTGCAATAATCATAGGCGGCTACAGTGATGTGCAACACGCCTGCCACGCTGGACACAGGTAATCCTTGTAGAATTCGCAACAATGGAAGTACACAGCAAGGCTGCAGTGACTTCACATCCCCGCTCCGCCCCCCTTTTCTCCCCTGTCAGCAGAGCACCTGCCAGCCTAGCACACGCAGCTCAGCAGAGCACCTGCCAGCCTAGCACATGCAGCTCAGCAAACAAGTCAGGTAGCGCTGCCCCCTTTCCCCCCCCGCCCCCCCCCCCCTCTTTCCCCCCTCCCCCCCATACACGAATCCCATCCCCTCCTCTTCCGCCGACCGCCTGCTAGCAGAAGCAGCGCAGCTGGGCAGTCAGCTCGTGGTGTTCCCAGAGGCGTTCATAGAAGGGTACCCCAGGAGAGAGAGAGCCCTTTTTTGGCGTTCTGACAAGCATTATTCTGCCACCTTCCCGTGGCATCCTCCTCCTTCTCCCGTGTCCCAGCCGAGCGTCTGCTGGCAGAAGCAGCCCAACTAGGGAGTCAGCTGGTGGTGTTCCCAGAGGCGTTCATCGGCGGCTACCCCAGGGGCGCCAGCTTTGGTGTGCTGGTGGGGTCCAGGACGGACCGAGGGCGGGACGAGTTCAGGCGGTACCATGCCTCTGCCATTGATGTGCCGGGTGAGATTTGGGGGGGGGGGGGGGGGGGTTATCGGACATGGATGGGAGCATGGGCACGCAGGTCCGACATTGGGGGTGAGGGTGAGGATTCGGCTTATGCTGATGCTCATGCTCATGCTCATGCTCATGCTCATGCTCATGCTCATGCTCATGCTCATGCTCATGCTCATGCTCATGCTCATGCTCATGCTCATGCTCATGCTCATGCTCATGCTCATGCTCATGCTCATGCTCATGCTCATGCTGATGCTGATGCTCATGCTGATGCTGATGCTCATGCTGATGCTCATGCTCATGCTCATGCTGATGCTCATGCTGATGCTGATGCTGATGCTGATGCTGATGCGGATGCTCATGCTCATGCTCATGCTCATGCTCATGCTCATGCTCATGCTCATGCTCATGCTCATGCTCATGCTCATGCTCATGCTCATGCTCATGCGGATGCTGATTAATTCAGGAGCTGAGAGTTCGGTACAAAGATATTATTTGTAACCGTTCCGATTTCGCTTTGCTTTCCCTCCGCCCTTCTCCTCCCCCTCCGTCCTTATCCTCCCCTATGCCCTCCTCCTCCCCCTACGCCCTTCGCCTTCCTCTAGGCCCCGAGGTGGCTCGCTTGGCAGCAGCAGCAGCAAAATTCGGAGTGTTCGTGGTGATGGGTGCAATAGAGCGGGCGGGCGGCACGCTCTACTGTTCCATACTGTTCATTGACCCGCGGCAGGGGCTGGTGGGGCGGCACAGGAAGGCAGTGCCGACTGCCCTGGAGCGCGTGATATGGGGATGCGGCGACGGCAGCACGGCTGCCACCGTGGTGGACGCCGAGGGGGTGGGGAGAGTAGGGGCAGCTGTTTGCTGGGAGAACAGAATGCCCATGGTGCGCATGGCACTGTATGGGAAAGGTGAGAATGGCATGGCTAGGGTGATTCGGGGGCTGGGGAGTTGTTGGCCGGAGATTGTTGGCCGGAGATTGTTGGCCGGAGATTGTTGGCTGCTGCCACTCCTGGTTCTGGGTAAACTTGCTGCTGGGAACTCTTGGTGCCAGACACTCTTGGTGCCGGGCACTCTTGCTGCCGGGCACTCTTGCTGCCGGGCACTCTTTTGGAGCTCTACTGTGCGCCCACAGCGGACAGCAGGGGTTTCCGGCAGGCAACAGAGCAGCACATCCTTCCAGGCTTGGAGCTCTACTGTGCGCCCACACCACAGCAGGCAACAGAGCAGCACATGGCGTGGGAGGGGTTCTTGAGTCGACTTGAGTGTCCCTCGCTCCTCTCCCTTCCTCCTCCCCCTCCCCCATCCCCCCCTGCAACTCATTCTCACAGGAGTGGAGCTCTACTGTGCGCCCACTGCCGACTCCAGGGACTCGTGGCAGGCCACCGTGCAGCACATTGCTCTAGAGGGCGGCTGCTTCGTCCTTTCCGCCAACCAGTTCTGCGTGCGCTCCGACTACCCGCCGCCCCCCGACTTCGTCTTTTCCGCGTCCGGGCGGCTGGATGCAGACGAGCCACCGCCATCTGCCGTGGTGTGTCGGGGCGGCAGCGTGATTGTGTCGCCTCTGGGGCGGGTGCTGGCTGGGCCGAATTACGATGGACAAGCACTGCTGACTGCCGACTTGGGTGGGTGTTCATCCTCAGTCTTGGAGTTTGCTCACGTTGCTGCGATAGTGTCTCCTCTCCAGCGGGGTGCGTGCCAAGTTAGTTGAGACCAGCTACTGTACCAGCTACTGGCCAAGTTAGTTGACCAAGTTAGTTGACCAAGTTAGTTGCCCAAGTTAGTTGACCAAGTTAGTTGACCAAGTTCGTTGACCAAGTTGGCTGGACCCAAGTTCCAACTATGATGACCTGGGACAGGCGCTGCTCACTGTTAACCTGGGTGCGTCTCATGCGTCCCCCCCCCCCACCCCCGCCCCCCCCCACTATGTCACACGAGCTTGGGTGGCTCCACCATGCATCTCATTCTTGAAGCCACAACGTCCATTTGCTTCACCCTGCCCGCCCCTCGCCCCCACCACCACCACCAGACATGGGGGGCGTAGTCAGAGCCAAGTTTGGCTTTGACGTCACAGGGATGTATTCTCATTGCGTGTGGACACTGTATGGACCTCTCCCTACCCACCCTTCTCTTCCTCCACCCCCCCCCCGCCACCCTTCCCCACTCCCCACCAGACATGGGAGGCATAGTCAGAGCCAAGTCCACCACCCTTCTCAGAAACCTATCATAGTCAGAGAGAGCCAACCTATCAAAGTCAGAGAGAGCCAAGTTTTACATGCCCCAACCCACCCAACCTTTACCCCCAACCCCACCAACCATCTTCCGCAACCCCACGACCCCCACCCCCACACGCCTCCAGACGTGGGCCGCCTAGTCAGGGCCAAGTTTGACTTTGGCGTGACAGGGCATTACGCCGGCCAGACCTGAACTCCCTGTGTGTGTACCCACATCCCACCCACCCGTTCCCCCCCCCCCCACCACCCCACCAAGCATGGGCGATCTAGTCAGAGCTAAGTTTGACTTTGCTGCCACTGGGCACCACGTGCGGGCGGATATGTTATGTTCTTCTCTGTGGCACCCCGTCACTTACACTTTCTCCCTCTGAATGTATTTTTGAGGCGCCTCAGAAATAGACTCCCCACGCGCGGGTGGACACTTTCTTGGGGATGTATTCGTATTGCGTGTGAACACTGTATATGCCTCTCCATCTCCCATCCCACCCACTCCTTCTCCCTCCCCCCCCGCCTCCCCCCGACACTCTTGACAGACATGGGAGACATAATCAGAGCCAAGTTTGACTTTGATGTTACTGGGCACTATGCACGGCCGGACATATTCTCTCTGCGTGTGAAAGAGGTGTCCACAGCGCCTGTACTGTATGATAGTGATTCAGCATCGTGCCATATGCTTCATTATAAGCACCACCACCACCACCAACAGCAACAACAGCAGCAGCAACAGCAGCAGCAGCAGGAAGAGCAAAGGATGTGAGATGTAACTGGGGATTTCGCGACACCATGCCAAATACTTCAACCACCAACAGCAAAAGCAACAGCAACAAAAACAGCCAACAGCCAACAGCAGCAGCAGCAGCAGCAGCAGCAGCAGCAGCAGCAGCAGCAGCAGCAGCAGCAGCAACAACAGGAAGAGCAGACGATGTGATGCGAGATGTGCCAATTGTGGGGATCCAGGTGCTTTTGCTCTCAGCAGCCGTCCTGCCCTGTGCCTCCTAAATTTCCCATGCCACTAACCACCATAATTTTACCCTAAGGACGTCCTCTTGAAAATGTAACCCCTTGAATGACACCCTCTTCAAGAGGTAATACCTGTTAAATTATAACTTTGATATATAATTGGTAGGCTTGGTAGGTGTTATTGAAACCTACTGTAGAGGGTACAACCCCCCTCCTTGTATCCGTCTCTCTTCTATTCTCGACTCTCTTTTCTCTCGTCAACTTCCTCTCCTAGCAAAACCCTCACGCCATTCCATGGCCGCCTACCGTTCCTAGCATTTCGTTTACTTTGATATGGTAACAGAGCAGGTTGCCCTTCCCGGGCCTGCTTGTCAACTTATACATATATTGTTATGTAGAAGTTATAGGGTAGATAGGGTATGTTCTTATTGGGTACAACCCAAACGCTATCTCCCCTGTTCTCCCTTCTTCTAATAATTCTTTCTAGTCTTAACACTGCTCCCCACGCTTCCTCTGCGCACTCCTCTCCCTCTCGCGCTGCCATGGCGGCCGCGTCGTGCGGCTGTGGCGGCATCGTCGTGCCACCGGCCGCGTCGTGCTGCCGCGGCCGTCTCGACGCGCTGCCGTGGCGTCGCGCTGTCGTGGCGTCGACGTCCGGCCGTGGCGGCGCCGCCGACGTCAAGTCGTGGCGGCGTGACGGCGCCATCGTGATGCTGTCTCAGCGCCGACGTACCGCCGCGGCATCAACGACGTGCTGTGGAGGCGGCGTTATGCTGCAGTGGCGGAGTCGACGGGCCGCGTGACGCCTTAGGCGCCGCCGGTCCTGACGCCCGCGCGCCAGCCACGGACGTGTTGCAGAAGCCCCGCCCCCCTTCCCTGCGTCCCCTCTTCCTCGCCGCCGCCGATGGCTGACTCCCGCTGGCCGTCCCACCGTCGCGGAGCCCGGCCACGCCGCTGAGTGCTGCGAGCCCCGCCGCCATCGCCGCTGCTGTTGTCAAAGCCGTAGCCGCCGCCGCTGTCGCCGCTTTCGTTGGGGCCATGCCGCCGCACGCCGCCGCTGTCGACACTACCGCCGCTGCCGCCGTCGCCGCCGCAGCCCTTGCTGTCGACGTCGCCGCCTCACGCACCGAGGGGTTGATCGGGCTGGTGTGGCCGTCGCTGCTACTGAGTATGGGGGTGCTAGATTTAGGGGGTGTGTGTGGCTTAGTGTTCCATGTGTGGTGTGCTTTCGGCTACCAAGCCTAGGGGGTGCGTTAAATTATACCTTTGATATATAATTGGTAGGCTTGGTAGGTGTTACTAAAACCTACTGTAGAGGGTACAACCCCCCTCCTTGTATCCGTCTCTCTTCTATTCTCGACTCTCTTTTCTCTCGTCAACTTCCTCTCCTAGCTAAACCCTCACACCATTCCATGGCCACCTACCGTTCCTAGCACTTCGTTAACTTTGATAATACCTACTGCGTATGTATCTCACCACTGTAAGAAACTCAGCCACTAACCACTGAATTAAAAGGGCTTATTATTAACGGGTCGGTGCGCCCACAGCCCCTTTGGCTCTGCACCTGTGGCCCTTCCCCAAGGATCTTCTCAAGGGTAAACCCAGCGGGTTTCTCGACACCCCCCCTCGCAGGGATAGGCGGTGGACACGAGCGCCTCTGCAGCGCTAGCACTGGGAATTGAACTCGAGTCACCAAGGCTCTGATAGCATGTTAGAAACTCAGCCACTAACCACTAAGTTAAAAGGGCTTATTAATAGCGGGTCAGTGCGCCTTATCTCAGAGTAGCGGAATAACTAGAAAAGACGGTACAGGGTAGTTTTGTCCCAGGTGTTGTACTCTCGATGGGCATGCACCTAGCTAGCCTATAAACATATACAAATATATGTTGACACACCCCCTAGGCTAGACAAGGGGCAATGCCTAGCAAGAGGCATGCAGCTCAGGGCGGCACTACTAGTCCAACCTCTGAGGCAAGGGACTAAAGACCCGTCAGAAGAGTCCAAACTACACACGAGCAAACAAAGGCGATACTACTAGTCCAGCCACTGGAACAGAAGCCACAAGGCCAGTCAGGAGAATATTTAAAAGAGTAGTACACAATCAAGGCCCTAGCAAGTGAGGAGCTACAAGAACTAGACCAAGCTGTACACAGTGCCGCTGACCATCTTTAGGTGCAAGCGCCTTAGTAAAGATATCAGTTGTGTTGGCACCGGAGGCCAAGTGAACTACGCGGGCGTGGCGGTGCTGCTGTAGCTCGCGCAAGAGGAAGTACCGCAGCTGGATGTGCTTTGCCCAGCCCTCAAGTCGAGGATCTTGACACATGAGGATCATGGCCTTGTTGTCAGCGTACAGGACCGGGGCAGAGCGAGGCCGCTCACCTAAGTCTGTCAGCAAGAAGGTCAACCAGCGGAGCTCCTGTGCCGCCATGGCACCAGCGTAGATCTCAGCCTTATAGTTAGACCTTGCAACGGACGACGAGCGGGTGGACCTCCACGAGATGGCGCCTGCACCAAGGCTAAAGCAGTAGCCCTGGGAGGACATGAGCGTCTCAGCGCCGTCTGCCCATGAAGCGTCTGTGTGCCCAGTAAGGACCACTGGCCTACGTCCTCCTAGCACTAGCCCCATTCCAGATGTAGTTGCCAGATAAAGCAAAACCCTCATAGCGGCTGACCATTGATGTGGTCAGTGTCTGCTTGTCGCCACAAAGCAAGCCAGGATGCTGAGAGGGTATGCGAGATCTGGATGAGTTCAAGTCATCAGGTACATGAGGCAACCCACCAGATCTGTGTACGGACCACTAGTCTCCACCGACTCCTTACGGACTGGAGCTGAGAGCCTGTGATCTACTGGCAGATGTGTGCGCTGTACGGAGGAGAACTGAAGACCGAACCTCTGAAGGTCCTGGCGCACTAAGTGTGACTCTGTGAAAGTGATGGTGCGCACTGCTCTGTCCCTGGAGATTTGCAGGCCAAGGTAGCGATGCAACTCTCCTAGGTCCCTGCAGGTGCGTCTCCTTAGCAGCTCAGCCTTCACGGAGGCCAGTGCGTCTCTGTCTGTAGTAGCGAAGACCAGGTCGTCTACATAGACAAGGATGTAGAACAGAGTCTGGCCTGAACGAACGAAGAGCGAAGGGTCTGTAGACGACGGGAAGAACTGCAAGTCAGCTAACGTAGCAAGCAGCGTGTTGTGCCACTCATAGGCCGCTTGCCGCAGGCCGTAAACTAGGCGCCGGAGAAGCCACTGGGTCGCATGGCCAAAGGTGTCGGTGAAGCCTGGCGGGCGGCGCTGGTAGACCTGCTTGTGCAGACTGCCTAAAACAAAAGCTGCAGAGAAGTCGAGGAAGTGCAGCTCGTGGTCACTGGATAGCTGTACAAGGGTCAGAAGACAAAGGAGGTGATGAAGGAGGAGAAGGAGGGGGGAAACATGCCATGGACGAGTCTGGAGGAGGAAAGATAGAGCCGTAGAGAGGCGGAGGAGGCGGCGGCGGGGGAGGCGCAGGCGGGCAATCGGGGGAGGGAAGGCCCAGGAAGGGAAGGGCTGACATCGGCGAGGATTGCTACTGCTGCTCCACGCCGACGCCAAAACCTCCAGCTGTACCACAGCTACCTTCGGGACGCTCCACGACAGCACCCCCAGAACAAGAACCCTCTCCAGCACCGGTGCCACCCTCAGGACTGCCAGGACAAGCCAGGACAGTACCCCTAAGACTAGCACCCCTAGAACCAGTACCCCAAGAACTAGCACAGGCCTCAACGCCCGCTCCCCCAAAGCTGGCGGACCCGTGCGACAGCTGCTGCTGCTGCGGCGGCTACTGCAGATACTGTTGCGGTTGCGTCTGCGGCAATGGCAGGTGCGGCTACGGCGGCGACTGCGGCTGCTGCTGCGGTAGCGGAGGAGGTCACACCAGGGTGGGGACAAGCGGCAACACCAAAGGCGAAGGGTCCTCGGAGTCTGCCGACTCCTCCACTGGGATAACCGATAGGAGGGGAGTGATGTGAGAAACACCAGACGGGGTAGGACAGGGAGGGAGAGGAGCAGGGGCTACCGGGGAAGTGGGGACCAGGAATAGGAGTGGGGTAACCGGGAGACCTTAGCAGGGAAAGTGGGCGTAGAAGGAGAGAGACTCATCAAAAGTGACGTCACGAGAGTGAAAGAAATGGTGCGACAGCGAGTTGTAAAAGTGTCAGTCAGACGCGTCTAGGGGGAAACCAAGGAAGACACAAGGGACGGTGCAGGCAGTGAGCTTATCCATGCCAGAGGCATGAACGTGAACAAGGCAACCCCAGACGGTACAGACATCGTACTGCTCGTGTCCAAGGAACGTAGTGGTGATGCCAAGGTCCTGAAGACAGCCGACACCAACTAGGTTCCTGGAGAACGAGGGGATGTGCATGCCGGTAAGGGAGCCCGGGGGAATTGTCGGACATGGAAGGGTAGTGGAGCTATGTGCAACTTCCGGACCTGAGGAGGGGTCAGCAAGTGCGACAGCTGCAGGGGCGGCAAGCGGCGTGAGCACAGTGTGGTCGCGAAAGAAGTAGACGAACGCACCAGAGTCCAGCGTGAAGGAGAGTACGGCATTAGCGTCAGCTGGCGGAGCGACTAGGGTGGTGCCGAGGCTAAACAAGGTAGGAGGTCCTACACTTGACGCAGCAGGGGAGCCTAGACTACACACAGTGGACATGCCTACACTAGGCAACACAGGGTAATAAGGTTCTGTCACACTAGAGTCATCCGCATACATGGCATACAATGTAGACCTAATCTGATCCATATCCATCTCAAAGACCGGCACACGGTGACGTACCAGACTGTGCTAGTCCGGGAGGTCCAGCGCGGGCCCAAAATGGAGACGGAAGACGTTGTCGAGGCGTCGGTAGCAGGGGGAGGCGGTGTGACCGTGACGGTCGCACACGGTGTCGCGACGGGGGCCATTCTGGAACTGGTACTGGCAAGTCACCACACTGGAGCCATCACCCGACGCCGAGCTGCGCGAGCCGCCACCGTGGCCGACGCCACCAAAGTCGCCAGGCCACCACGATGGCGGGGGTCCCCACAGCTGCTGCTGCTGCTGCTGCGACTGCTGCTCTGCGGCATTAGCCCCAGCCTCCTCGTTTTTACCACCAGCACTCACACCACCTCCACCACCTCCGCCACCCCTCCCTCTGCCACGCCCCCCCCTGGGGCGGCGGCCCTTACCCAAAGAAGGCTGCGCTGAGGCCGTTGCAGCGGTCTTAGCAACAGGGGCTGTCTCA